TTATTTGTTTTAATTGGAAAAAATTTTTTTGTTGAAATGGCTAAAAAAAAAGATTTTATCTACAACATTCCTCTTTTGTTTTGTTCCCTTTTAAAAGGAAAGAAAAAAATTTTTTGAGTCCTTAAAAATTAAGTCCTTAATTTTTTATCAATTAACAAAATTGATTAATTTAGGTGTCATTCGACTAGGTTCGTCAAACTCTTCCGAATAAGATCACATTTGTATTTTCTAAAGAGTTTTGAAACCTTACCCTAGTGAATTACCGACATTCGAGTTTTAAACATAATACGACTAACAAAGAAAGTTTACAATAATATTTATATAATATCTATAAATTTACTTCAAGTTTCTCTGACAATACACCGCTCAACGCAGCAGCAAAGTTCTTCCCACTTCCACAAAGAATAATAACACGTCCACTAGTCATGTATTCACAACCATGATCACTAACACCTTCGATGCCAGAAGTAGCACCAGAATTACGCACTGCAAAACGTTCTCCAGCAAATCCTCGAAAGAATGCTGTCCCTATAAAAAATTTAAAACTTAGAAATTGAGAAAATTTTTAAACCAGAAGTTGAGCCATAAAGAGCCACATTTCCAATTATTGTATTTTCTTCAGAAGCATAATTAGAATTTTTGTATGGCCGAATTATTATTTCACCTCCAGAAAGGCACTAAATTAAGAACAAAAATAACAGAAAAATTAATTCCCAACCTTTCCAACATAATCATTCGCCTCACCGTCCAATCTGACAGTGAATACTTTTGCCAAAAAAGCACAAAAACTTTGTCCAGCGGATCCTTTTAAATTAATTTCCAATGAATGCCTCTCAGGCAACCCTTCTTCTCCATAACGAATAGAAATCTTTAAAAATATTTATAAATTTTATTAATTATTCAAATACCTCGTAGCTAGGCCGGGCCCCAAAACAACGGTTTATATTGCCTATTATTCTTTCTTTGAGACTCACTTGTTTGATTGCTGACCTAATATTATTGTCTTTGGATTGATCCTTCCGATAACGTTCAGGTCTCTCACCACCTTCTCCTTTGTTGGATTTTGCACCGATCTTATTCATAGCAATCACTAATGATGTATAAGCTTCCATACTTATAACCCTAAACAAACACTTTTAAAATGGTTTGAGACATTTGAAAACAGTTACATGGAAAAAAGTGAATTAATCTCTTATTACTTTAACGCAATGTTAACACCAAATTAAATCAAAAATAAAAAGAACCCGAAAGACATTGCTCCAGTGACAAATCTTTTCACAATTTCTGATGCCGGTTCAACTTGATCCAATGGAATTTGAAGTTTAGTGTTTGTTTTAATTTCCAGTTGACCACGAAGGCTGCAAAGACGTTGAGCAAGATTTGAAGCTATCGCAAAATCTTGATAACTCTTGGCATCATTAAAACGATCAACAGCCTTTAAAAGTAAAATCTAAGATTTCTTTAGAATTTATAACCTGAAGTTTTGCTATGTTAACCGGGTCATTGACATGTTTTTCTCCACCATCGCGCCAATGATAGATTCCAGGACTTACTAAAACCTTGCTATCACCTGAACAGAAAATTTTTGTAATATTAGCTGAAATGAATTTTAAGCAAACCATAAAGGTATAAATCACTATTTGGAACATTTGGATAGGCGACCCGATGGCTTCGAATTGCCTCCATCGCCAAAGTTTCAAAATCAGCACCGCCAAGCCGAGACACTGAATTAGTAAAGTATTTGTCAACTACTTCTCGACCCTGTCCAACAATTTCAAAAATTTGTGCACCCTAGAAAACATGTTAAAAAAAAAGAAAAACTTATACAACCTTATAAGAATGTAAAGTACTAATTCCAATTTTTGCCACCACTTTATAAATTCCTCGTTCAATTCCTGCTTTATATCCTTGTACAACATCATCGTCTGTCACATTTTTATCCAAAAGTCCCATTGTTCTAAGTCGATAACAAGTCTCATATACCATACAGGGACAAATTGCATCAGCACCGTATCCAAGAAGAACACAAAAATCTAAATAAAATTTAAATGATTCATAAAAATACGTAATTATTAAACTCACCGTGAACTTGTTTTATTTGACCAGACTTAAATATGTAATAATTTATTTCAGTAATAATAAAATTAAAAAATTCTACCTCGATAATTAATGCAACTTTCATACAAAGTCGTTGTTTTATTAAACATATGTGGACGGCCCCAGTAGCCAGAAGCGCACTGAAATATAGAATAATTTTCAGTCCTTTTTCTTTAAAAATACAAATTACCTAATTGGAATGTAATCTTTGTCAACTTGTCTATCAGAAAGAATTAAAATTTGATAACCGTCTAGAGCTGCGGAACAAGTCTCACTAAAAATAAAATTCCTAAAAAGGATCAAACTGCTAAAAAAATACTTGCATATTCTGTCTAAAGCTGCCACCAAACCTCTCTGCCCATGTCTTGCTTGATAAACAATATTAATTACATATGAACGCCATCCCAAGTCATAAATTACTAAAAAATATCAAAAATTTCTAAAAATCAAAATTTAACTTGTGCGAGATCATCAAAAATGTAAATGCCATGATAAAGAGGAGAGATGAGTCTAACTTAAAAGATAGTTTAAATTAGAGACCGGCACGGAACGGGACCCCATACGGGATTTTCGGGATCCCGTCCCGGAATCCCGGGTTTTTGGCGACAAACGGGATTACTGGATTAATCATGTGGGATCCTGTCCCGGTCGAATTTTGAAACACAATCCCGTTCCGGGATCCCGGGAATGCGATTTTTAAGGTTTTCCCGTTATAATTTATAAACTGCTAAACTAAACAAACCTCCATGAGTTGATTTTCTTGTAGCGGCAATTTCTCTCTTTACTTTGTAACCAGGAATTTCACCTGAAATTTGAAAAAAAAACAATTTGATTTTACAAAGAAAAACAAAACCTCCGTCGCCCAGCTTTGCTCCCTGAGCCATTTTTATTTGTACCTCAACGGAATTTGCCAGATAAGAGCTATATATCACGATTAAAATTCATATAACTAAAAAATCCGACCTATTAACACCAAAGCTGGCCGAAGCTACCATTTGTTGCGAAATTTAAAGGAATGATCCGTTGATGGGCACACAGGCAAAAAGCTGTTGAAAATAGGAAAGAAAGTCACAGGAAGGATCGATTGACGGGCACCCGCGCAAAAAAACTGTTGAAAATAGAAAAGCGAAAGTAGTGGCTTATAGTAGCAGAAAGGAGAGAAGCTTTGTTTGTTTGTTGTCTCTGCTCTAACTCTACAGCAGAGAAAGAAAAGAATTACTGCAGAAGCGAGAGAAAGTTTTTTAGCAGAAAAGAGAAAAGATTTTACAACAGAAAGGAGAGTAGAGTTTTTTGTTTGTTTGTTGTCTCTGCTCTACCTTTTCTCTGTCTGTGGGGGGTGGGTAATCAGCTTAAGTTAAATTATAATTTAAATTCGTTCAGCTACCCGGTGGCCGGGTCGGTAGTGTGCTTGCCTTTAGGCAGGAGGGCACAGGATCGACCCGGCCACCGGGAAATTAATTTTATTAATTTCGTTTTTAATAATGGCCTTTTGACTTGTTGGCGTTTTGTCCCGTTGCATTTTGTCGTGTGGCGTTTTGTCGCGTGGCATTTTGTCGCATGGCGTTTTGTCGCGTGGCGTTTTGTCGCGTGGCGTTTTGTCGGGTGGCGTTTTGTCGGGTGGCATTTTGTCAAGTGGCAAAATGTATTGAATTACGTCATCCTTATTTTCTCTGCCCGTCTCTTCAGGGGCGGGGCGATAATCAATCAATAAAAAGAAAGGGATGTTATAGTAGTTTCAAATGGATCGTTGACAACCTCATCATAATTCTTAAATCAAAATAAAATTTTCAAAATATAGAAATTGTAAAAATTCCTAATTTTTAAAACCTCAAAATTTTTTAAATAAATCTTTACCCGTTTTCCTTTCGGAGGTTCAGGAGTAATAACTCGTTCCAAGTTCTCAACCTTTTGAGGTAGAGGTGGCATCACAAACTTGGTTCTCCAGAAAGGGAGAGAGTCATCACCAAGCGGCATAGCGCACGAAGTGGACGTATTATACCACGTCCTTTTCACTAAAAACACAATTTTAAGAGGTAACTAAATTTCAAACAAACCTCCAACAGTTCTTATTATGTGAGCATGTAGTAACTTTCTGTCATTGTCAGACATGTTTCTGAGAAAGCATTGCTTGTACTTAAAATCACGAATGTTGAAGTCAAAAGTATAAATAGATCCACGAGGACAAAGTTCTTTAGTTGGCTGTACGATGCAGTTCATTGGTATAGATACCTTAAAAATGTTGTTTAATTATGAAGCATAGAAAATAATGGAGATCAGGGAAAGTATGACCATTTTTTGGCTGCACTTTCGCCGGTGGCCGGTTCGAACGAGCTATCTTTATACATTCAAGATTCGGGTCCAGGGTTCGAAATTCGGTTCGGGTTCAGGATTCGACCTTTTCAAAATCTGATCTCGGATTCGTGATCAGCATGGTCGATTACCTATAAAAAATTATTTTCGGAAAAAACAAGTAAATTTTTATAGTGGATCCCAGATTCTTCACGGCTACCAAATTTTAAAAAAAGAATTTATTTTTAAAAATCAACTAACCGTTTTGCGTATTTGTTTGAATGAAATGATAAAAGAATTCTTATCCGCATCAAATTCCAAATAACCAGATTTTGAATTTTGTCTTTGAAGACTAGAAGTAGGCATAGTGAATCCAATTACAGCAGAAATTTTAAAATTTTTTTGACCAACCATTTTTGGAAGAAATAGAAAACGAATAGGTAATCTAAAAAATACTAAATAATTAAGTTGAAATGATTTAAATTGATAAAGCAGTAAAAAAACTTTATTCAAACTAATTGAACTTTTCTACACATTACACGAGAGATTGAGTCAATTGAAAAAAAAGAAAAAGAAAATAAACATTATGCCAAAAATAAAAATTTATTTTCAAATTAAATAAAAGGGGTCGTTTGAGTCTTAGCATGATGACCGAAAAAAACTCGGCACTTGAAGAAAAATTCTGGAAAGAAGTTTGTAGGAAAACTTTTACTATAAAAGCGGAAATGTAGTCGAGCATATATATCATTTTCTCCAACTCGTCAAATTTTCCGCGCTGCGCTATTAGGCAAAGACTGATGATGGATTCACTTCTCATTGGGCCTGCAGTCACAACAATATGTGTGCTCCTGTTGTCTTCGGTACTAATGCTGGCGCAGTGCTGTAAGGTTTGTTTTCATGTTTTTTAAAGTCTGTAGACACTCACTCATTCGTTTCAGAAGAAGAAGCCAAGACAGATTCCTCAGCAAGGTCTTCCTGAAGATGGTCCAACCGCCGCGCCGCCGCCGACACAATTGAAGGTTAAAGCGAAAGGGGGGAAGAAAGGAGTAAAAGGAAAGAAACGTGAGTTGATTGACCTCTCAGTCATCAAAAGCCTTAATTTTTCTTCTTTTTCAGCTCCTCCAAAAAAGGTGGAAGATGAACCAAAAACCCCAGGTATCGGAGTTGGCATAGACTATCAAACTCTTGGTAATCTCGACAAGAACATCTTCGTCAAGAATTAGAAGCAAAAGGACGCTGGCAAAGCAAAGAAAACACCATCGGTCCCAGCTGCAGCAGCTAAAGCGCCTGCCGGGGTTGAAGAAGCGGTGCAGAAGGAGGGATTGGCTGCTGGTGGGGACTACCAAACAATGGCTGACATTGACCAGGTTTTTAATTTTTAAGGTTTCCTGGTCCCTAGAAAAAAGGAGGAAAAAGTCCTTTTTCGATATTTTTTGACGTTTGCCGCTAAAAAACCTCAAAAATCTCGAAAAAGCACTTTCTTCCTCATTTTTTCTAGGGACCAGAAACCCCGACTTTTACCGGTTTTCTAAACTTCGTTTTTGAGAATGTGTTCGGCGGAAAAGGCGGCGATGGTGGTGGTGGTGGTGGCGCTCCTCCTGCTGCTACTCCTGGTCCCTCAGGTCAAGGATCAAAGGTGGAGGCAGCACCGAAAGAAGGAATTGGACAGGGAGCTGACTATCAAACATGGAACAATTTGGATCAGGTTTGTGAAGCTTAACCCCTTTACCCCTCATTTACCTCATTTTTTAACTTCAGAATGTCTTCGCTAAGAAGGACGGCGCCAAATCGGACGCGGACAAGAAGTCGGCTGCTGGTTCCGGATCACAAAAGGAAGCGGCACCCAAGGAAGGAATCGGCGCAGGAGCGGACTATCAAACTTGGAACGCGATGGACAAGGTTTTTACATGCCCTCAGGCATTTTTAAAAAAATTTCCCTCATTTTTTCAAGGATGTCTTCCTCAAAGGCAAAAAACCTGATGATGACAAAAAGTCTTCTGGAGGGGGGAAAGGCTCTGATGATGAGGGATCGAAGGCAGAGGCGGCCCCACGCGCTGGAATAGGCCAAGGTCAGGACTATCAAACTTGGAACGCGTTGGATAAAGATGTCTTCGTCAAAAAGTGAGATAGATTGAGGGATATTAGGTCTCTTTCCCTGTACATCCTGAACTTGTGTGAGTGGATGTTTGTGTAATCTCACTATGGTATGTATATAAATAAATAATCCCTCTTTGCCTATTTTCCCCTTTGTTTTGTTTACTAATCGACAAATTAATTGCTAAAAATAATTTCTGTCCATATTATAAACCTTTTCTATGTGTTCGGCGCCGTAATTGTCCGCGCCTAATTTTTTCCAGAGAATTTTTTTCAGAAATTTTCCTAAAATCTGTCGGGTTTCTTTGGCTACTTTCTATAACATTCTTCTCAATAAATATTCATCCCTTGTATTTTCTGTCCATTTTTATAAAATATTTGTGTTTCCTCATGTATTTATTGCTTGTTTGTTGTATATTTTTTGCTGTTGAATAAATTGTTATGAATTTTTTGTTAAAAAGTAGGGGTTAAAAAATATTTGTTGTTGTTTAAGTTGAACATCGAAAAAAATTTTTTGTCTCACTCAACCGGAAAAAATGTTTTAAAAGTGATTGACACTGAAAGGATTCGAACCCCCGTCGAAAATTATCGAAAACAAATCCTACGCAGAAACACAACCACTACACCATAAATGTTATTTGCTAAATTGGAGTGGAAATTGTCTGTATAATTAAATGAAATTAAAATATATGATAGCAGAATCATTTCTGCAGCAAAATTAATTTAAAAAAAATTTTTTATGTGATACTATTTTGAGGTTTTCATTTTTTAATAATTTTTTTAATTTTATTTTGCTTCAATAATTTTTTGAAAAAATTGTTGACCGGAAAACTGTGATTTTTTTAATTTTTATTCCCCCACCTCTTCTCCTCCTCTCCTTTAAAAATTATTTTTATTTTTTTATTATTTTCCCCTTAAAAATTTAACCGGTAAATCTTGTTTCTAAATTTTTAATTGTCTATTAAATTGTTTATAAACACTATAACAGGTTAAAATTAATTTTTTTCTCCTTTTGATCGAGACAAAAATTAACACAAACAAACAAATTTAATTCATTATCCCCCCAAAATACCTGAGAGAGAGACTCGTTCTCTCCTTCTCTTAAAAACATATTCTCGTGCCGTCCCCCTTTTTTTACTAAAACAAATTTTTTGTTGATTTGTTTAGATGTACTTTTTCCTTTTTTAATTTTCTCTCTCAACAACCATAAATCATTTTAAAGGAGAAATCTACGCCAATTTTTATATTTTTCTTAAACAAAAAAAATTTTTTTTGTGTACCCAATTTTCTAGGGGTCAGAATAACCCAAGAATATTTTTAATTTTTTTAATTAAAATTTTTTTAGTTAATTAAAATGTTCTCCGCTTCGCTCTATTTTCTCTTTACTTTATTCCTCTTCTTGAGATTAAATTTTAATGTTGTTGGAATGGATTTGGACAGAAATGGATGTGGAAAAACTAAAGGATGTCTTTTCAGACCTAATGGATGTAGTAAGTCTTAAAAAAATTATTTTTGATTTAAAAAATTTTTAAAAACTTTTTTTGGATTTTTAGAAATTTTCGAAGTTTTTAGAATTTTTTGAAATTTTCAAATTTGAAATTTTTTGAAGTTTTTTTTTATTTTCAAAAATTTTTTTATTTAGATCCAATGCTGGATTGTGCTATAGGTTCGTAATTTATTTATTTTTATTTTCCCTCAATTTTTTTCTATTTTTAAGCAATTGTTTTTACAATTTCTGGGAAGAATCAATTATATATCCAGGTTAATTTTTATATTTTTTAATTTAAATTTTCCTATTATTTCCCCTTTAAAGATGGCAGCACAAAGTATTTATCCTCCACCACCACTTCAATATATTGCTATTGGATTTTCACACGACAAATTAATGGTTAGAAATTTTTTTATTTTTTTTTAATTTTTTAAATTTTTTTCAATTTTAAACTCACTCTCCTTTTCTGATTAAAACACCAACAAACATTTTTTTCCAGTCAAAATTTTAACTAATTTTAATTCCCATTGACGCAAATGACCTTGTGTTTTTTCTTATTTTTACTAATTTAATTTGTCTTTTGCGTCAATTCTTAATTTGAAAAGGAAAAGGGAAAAATCAAAAGTGTATTTTTTTGAAAAAAATTTTAAGAAAAAAATTTTTAAGATAAAAAAATTTCGGTTAAATTAAGTAATAGGGAAGAGAAAATATCAAAGGGAAAAAATCGGGACCCAAGAGGGTTCGAACCCGGGACCGTTTCCCACATGAACACAACACCATCGCACCTAACCACTCGCTTCTTGCTAGTTAAAAAATATTTGACTGTTAAATCAAGCAATAAGAATAAAAAAGAAGAAAATGTCAAAGGAAAAAATATAGGGAGTCAAGAGGATTCGAACCCGGATCCCTCTTCCCACTTGAATCCAACACCATCGGACTTAACCACATATTTCTTAAGGACCTACACCTTAATTATTACCCATATAATTTTCCTTTTTTTGTAGGGAAACGATTTTGTGAGTGAGTGTGTACTTAACACTGATGGAAGTTTATTTAATGATGTAGAAGTTTATGCTTCCTATAATTTAGAAAAGTCTAGAAATGACAGAACTTTGTTAAATTCTGTAAGAGTTTTTTAATTATTTAAAAGAAAATTTTATTTAGACAGAACATTCCTTGTTGTATGGTAATGTTGAAGGAAAAATGGAAGATGGACGTCTTTATTGTTCCTTTACTCAAGGTTATTTTTCTTAGAAAAAATTTTTTACTTCTTGAAAAATCTAGAAAAATTTCTAAAAAATTATTTTATAAAGAAATATTAAAGAAAAAAATATTCGGACCGGAGAGGGTTCGAACCCGCGACCATTTTTTACCTGAACCTAACACCATCCAACTTAACTACGCCCATCCTAATTTTTTAAATTTCCCTCAATTTTTCCAGCAATTCGCCCCCAATTTTCCCTTTCTTCATCTCGATCAAATTTAATTTGGAATTTGGACAAACCATTTTGGATAATGGGGGCGACTGGAGGTGCTCAACCTGACGGTATTAAATTTAATTTTTATTAAACTAAAAAAATATTTTGCAAATAATTACAGAAATCAATTCACATGACACAGCAAGGTATTTAATTTTTTATTTTTTTGTCTTTTTTTCAAGGGTTCTCTTGGCGCAAAAAATTTTTTAGGAGTCCCTAGCCCCAGAAAATTTTTTTCCAGGGGTTGCCTCCAAAAATTTTCAGAAAAAATTTTTTTCCAAGGGTGCTCTTGCATAAAAATTTTTTCCAGGGGTCTTTTACCCCTAAAAAATTTTCAAAAAATTTTTTCAATTTTCTAGAGGTTCTCATTTTTACCCAATATTATCCTCAAAAGTTATTGATATTTCAACTACTTCATCAAAACATTATGATTTACCTATTCAATATCAAGAAAATGAAACTAAAAAATTTAATAAAGTTAATGGAACAACTACACCAATTAATTCTGCCTTTAAAAGATTAATTGGAGGAGGGTTGTTAATTATTTCTTTTATTCCCTTAATTGTTACAAAAATACTTTTTCTTCGAATCTAATAAGTCTTGAAAATTAATTTTTTGGATGAACAAAAATTTTAAAAAAAATTTAATTTTTCAGAAAAAAATTTTCCAGGGGGTCTCATGCCCCTAAAAATTAAAAAAATTTTTTCTAAAGGTTCCCCTTCTTAAATATTTTTCTATTTTTTGTTCATCCTTTTTCTGCGGGAATTTAAAATTCTATAAAAAATTAAATTTTCCGCATCTTACGGGTATGTATTTAAATTTTATAGCAACTCTAATAGAACCTAAATACCATCAATTATTTTATAAAATATTTTCTAAAATAATTATTAATCTATCTATCCTTACATAATTAATTGTACATTAAATAAACTCCTTTCAAGTATTAACTAAAAAATAAATTTTTAAAATTTTATTTTATAAAAAAATTTCTTTAAGGAAAAATTTGGGTATAACCAAAAGGTAGAAAAAAAACAATCAAAATTATAATAATAGCTCTACTATACTTTTGAATAGAAAAAAAGAGTAATAATTATAAATAGAAATGCAAAAAATGCTAGTTTTTTTTTATAATAATCGCAGATTTTTTTAAAAAAAAGTCGCCGGAATGCTTTGGATAATAAATAGGGGTTCTAATAATTTATATTTTTGGGGACATTGGCAAGTGAATTTAAGATAAATCACAAAAATGTTTTTTTATATATTTTTGGGAGGAAAAAGAACAACTTCCCGATCAGGAATGTCATGGATTGAGAAAAGAGGCGTGTTACGGCTTAGGGTTTCGAAAATTTTGAGGACCAGGTTTTTTTTCGGCTTGGGGTTTGAGTCAAAAAAAAACCAGGGCTTCAGGTAATCCGTGGTATATTGTTCCCAATTAAAATTTTTGGCAAAAAATATTGTTTGGAAACCTCTCTTTAAAATCCCAAAAAATTCTCAAACCACGGGAAGTTGCCAATAAAATATATTTTTTTAATTTTCTAATTTATTTATATAAACCTTTAAATGTCTCCTCTCCCTCCCATCATTTCTCATATTCGATCATTATATTCTTTTCCACCTCCATTTTCATGTGCAGGACGAACAGGAAAAGGAGATCCAGGAATTTGACCATCTCCATATTTAACAAAAATTAATGCTTCAGTATCATGAGGAATTGTATATTTAACTACAAATTTTCCTCCACCTTTAAAAAGAAGGAAAAAAATATTAAAAAAAATAAAAAAAATACCGCTGTGACTAACACTAAGTTCATCTGTTGGACCATGTGGTGTAACAGCACCAACAAATAAAGCATTCATTCCTAGGAGAAATAGATGTTTTTGAAAAAAATTAGTTGGTCTAGTTTGTGTCTAATGAACTTTTATACGTCCAATAAAGAAAGATATGTAGGAAAATTCTAAAATGGTTAGGGAAATAGGAAGGAAAAAACCCAGCCTAGTCTGGTACCTATAAAGGCACAGACCTCCATGGACTTGAAATTTTTCATAGGACTCACAAACTTTTGTTTGTTAGTTAAAATTTCCATTGGACTCATAAAGCTTCACCGGACTATAAAAGTTCATTGAATGCATAAACTAGTCTAGAATCATAATGATAAGCTTAAAAAACCTGTCGCAGACGTATCCACAACAAATTCATTTGCCTTTCTTGGCGTAAAACTTGATAAGCCTGCACCGCTAGCCCGTACCAAACGATGATCCCCTTCATATTCATTTTGTCGGGGTGAACTTAAATTGCTATAATCTCCTTGTCCAAATTTATTCCGAGAAGGCGAAAGAAGATGATCATCATCATAAGATTCAGAAGCACTATTTTGTTCAGCACTTTTTGGTGAGCTCTTTAAAAAAAATTTTTTTAATTTAAAAAATATTAAAAATAAAAACCTCCGTTCTATTACTAATTTGCAAATAATCATAATGTTGTTGTTCAGATGCTGGCGAGGTAGGAGGACTGTATGTTTTTGATAACGTCTCGACTGTTTGGGGTTTGACAAAGACCTGAAAAATTAAAAATTTTTTAAATGTTTGTCCGCAATATTCGTCCGCAAATATTTTATTAAATTTTTAAAAATATAGATACTTTAAAAGGTGATCCACCAATCGGGGCATCGTTGAAAAGAACACTAATCGTGTAAAGGCCGGGTGACTGGACTGTGTATCTGAAACAGAAAAAATTTTTTTAAAGATACTTTCAAGGTGATTATAAGAAGAAATAACAAAAAAAGAACCAACTCGACTTGATAATTGCTTTCGTTTGGATGTTGTACTGTTCCAACCTCAGCCTTTCCAGGCCCATCAATAGACACAGTCAATTCCCCACCTCCCAAATTCATAGCATTCCAAACGGTAAAAGGGTTTGGGCGTCCAACTACGCCTACAGCCAATCCTGGACCATCAGCCCACGCCATAAAAGCACGTTGTGTACCAAGTAAAGCCACCGGGATTTTGTAAGGCGAACCTTTTGTAAAAAAAGTAAAATTAAAAAAATTTAAACAAAAAACAACCATAAATTTCTCCGTTCTGATTTCTTAATTCAATTGTATGTAAACCGCTTTGATGCGGTACAAAGCTGACTCGGAATTTCTCTCTTTCAATTTGCTCCATCTTTACGTCATGCTTTAAGTCGCCGCTTGGTCCGTGTACATGAACAGATAAATCAGAAATGTGTTGACCTGGAGCTGTAAAGACAATAGCTGTAGAAAGTCCGATAACAGGCTGGAAAAAAATATTTAAAGACAATTCTTTATAACAGGGATGTCGAGGGTTATCCTAAACTCAGACCTCTATCGACCCGATACTCAATCCGAAAAAATTTTGAAAACTCGACCAGAAAACAAATTGTTTTCACTTTTAATCCCCAATCGACCAGACCAGAAACCCAAAATTTTCCGAGGAAAAATTTCTCAAACCCAACCCTAAACCCGACCTTTTCATAACTCGTGACATCCTGCCACATACCCCTCCCCCAATAAAAAAAATTCTTTACTAACCTCAGGTATTTCACTTGCAACTCTTGCCCCAACATTTGAAATTAATTGTTTCTCCTTTCTAGAACGCCTTTCATCACCCATTTCCGGCGAATAATAAAGTAACTGTTCATCTCCACTTTCTTCTTCCAATATTTCTTCTGTATCATATTCAACAGCATTCACAGGAATTTCAAATATTTGCTGGTCATTCACAGTCAAATAAATTTTGTGGACTCCAGCATTCATCGGTTCATAACGAGCGTTGTAGACAGACAAAGTTTTCAAATCAACCTCTACAGGTACTTGTTCCCCTTCTGGTCCAACCACAACAACCTGAACATGCTTTGGTTTTGGAATGTTGTGAACATCAATTGAAAAATTAGTTTTTTGACGTGTTTGAATAGTTGGACTCAATGCTGGACCGCTAAGCCAAATTTTATTTGGGTCAAAAGGGCCATCAACAAAAATAACAAAAGGCCACCCTTCAACAGCTAATTTATCGGCGACGACACTAATCAAGTACTTTAAGAAGAGAAAAAATTTTTTTTAAATTCGAAAAAAAATTAAAAAAAACCTTTCCTTCCTTTTGCGGCATAAAACTGTAAAAATTTCCTTCAAGTTTATTTTCACAATCAAAATCGACTTTTTGTAAATTTGGGTCGTAGATTTCAACGTAGAATGTTTCAGCTTCTAAAAAATTTTTTTGAAAAAATCATTTAAAAATAAAATCCAAACCAATTTCTTTTGGAATTTTAAAATTAAATTGGTTGCCAACTTGTCCTTCGTTGTTTTCAAATGATGGGATTCGAATTGGGTGAGCAATGTTTTTGAAAGGAAGTAAATTTGCTGGTTCAATCCAAAGAACAAAAGGCGAATCTTTTATATGGGAATTGGTGTCAAGCTCGGTGATGTTGATTGTGTAACGACCCGGAACATGAGGCTAAAATGAGAGGAAGATTAGATAAAATTAGAAAAAGAATTTTTGATAGATTCATTAGGGATATCCCGCCCTCTACCCCTTGTTTGAGCCCCAAATCTACTTTCATTTTTACTCAAATAATTTATTTTCCTTAAGCAAAAAATAAGTGGAAAGTGGGTAAACGGAGTCTAACAACCATCATGTAAATCTCAAAAAAAGGAAAGAATCCTCTTTAACTCAGAAAAGGAGAGGGGGGATACCCATAAAGTAACAATTTTTTATCTGTTCAAATTCCTCAAAATCCTCATCAAAATAAAAAAAGAAAAACAAACTGTGTATTCAACCATTGCCGTTCCTTCTCCATTGTCAGAGCAAATAATCTCCGTTTTGCTGGGTCCTTCGATTGAAAATTCTAAAAAAAATTCGTTAATTAATTATTTCTGAACGGTGTTCTACTTATTTTCTTTGTTTAAAAATAGGAGGAGGGGGTGGCCACCCAAAAAAATTCAAAATAAAATTTAAAAAGAGAACCTAAATAATTAGCTCTTCCATGTGTGTCGACATAAAAGACAGCCCTTTCCTCAGCTACACCTCCTTCCAATCCAGGGCCGACAGCTCGAATGCTGGAGATATTTTTTGGGCCAACCACAATCTAGAAATATAGAAAAAAATTTAAATTCAAATTTTTGAATCATTAAAAAACCTTATAAGGACTGCTTCCCAAATGTGTACTGCTTGCAGCGCTTTTCACAGAAACCTCGTACTTCCCACTTGTACGTGGAGTAAAGACGAAAGATTGTCGCGGGTGTATAGCAGTAAAAGGTTGTGATGCTGCTGACGGTCTCTGTTCAAAATCTTGACGAGAAACTAGGATGAGCAAGTCACCTGAATGATAAATTTAAATGAAACAATTCAAAAAAAAATTTTTTCCAAACCTTTTTTAACACTAACAATAACCTCATCCTCACAATTATCCACATATACACAAAGCTCTTCATTAGCGCTCGTCCCAACAGACAAAAGTCCACGTCCCCATACAACAACATTTTCGAATTTATTAGTTAAAAGAGGAGATTTTGGAATTTCTTCGTGTAATGTTTCTTCTTGTAGCATTTCTTCTTCTTCTTCGTGATCATAAACGTCCAAAATAAATGGGCTATTTGGGATATGTTGCTTATTGAAGAGAACATTGATGGTGTGCTTCAAAACAAATATAGGTAATTATTTTAAAAAATTAAAGAAAAATGATTCAAAGTTCCCGGTAGCCTAGCAAAGCCCAGGCACTTGTACTGACCGGTGGCTAAGCTCTCAGTTAATGGTGTCGCTAATGGGAGCCTCACTTGCTTCGGCAGCCAAGCGAAGCCAAGGCATTGTCAGCAAGGTCGCTGGTTAAATTCTTAGTGATGCCGCTAGTAGAGGCCCCAATTGCTTCCAGAATTAATCAACTGATATATAGTAAATAGTGCACACCTAGAGGTCAGTCCAAAGACAGGATAGAAAGACAGGGATCATCTGGGACCATTTTTGGGTAAAAAATATAAAATTCCTTACAATTCCCCCAATTCTTGGAGTATAACAACAAGTAACTGTTTGCCCATCACGTTCAGACCCAGCATCCAAAACACATTCCATTCCATCAGGATTAATAACAGCAACATCTAATCTATTGTAGTCAATCACATTCTCAATTTTAAATCGACGTTTTTCACCAATATTTGCAGTATCTCCAAGCCCTACAACTTTAATTGAAGGATTTGTTTTTATTAAAAGTTGTTCAACTAAAAATGGTGATGATGGTTGGTTTGAATCTTTTGAATATAAATTTATCTGTTAAAAAAAATGGAAAAATTAGTAAAATAAAATAAAATGATGGAAACAGAGCCACGGACGGGTAATGAATAAATACCCAAGAAAGCCTCTTCCCTCGCCCTTAAGGGAGAGAAATTAATTTTAAGTTTGTGTAAAATAATCAGTCCGCGAGAAGAAATGTCTCGAAAAATTTTTTTCCAATTTTTTGTAACCTTCAAGTCCTAATTTCCACATTAACACCTTACTGTTTTCTCCAGAAAAAATTTAAAAGAGTAAAAAAATTTTTTTGGAGTCTAAAAAAGAAAAGCTTATTGTTAGATGACCCTTGACGCCTCAAGTTAAAAAAAAATAGTCCTCTGTTCAAAGAACCCAAAAAAAGATAATAAAATTAACTTCAAAAAATTCAAACCTTATGTTCTCCAACATTTTTCGGAACAAAACTAATTTTATATTTAAATTCTCCATCATCATTTTCATCAGTAGCAATTTCTACTTCAATTCGATTTCCTTCATAATCGGTTATATCCACATCAATTTCGTCTTCAATTCTTTCAATTTCAACAAAAAAGTTGCTGGGGATTCCAACAATATGGTGACGATCAATTCCAGAAATAGACAAAGACGACGATTTTTGTTGCTGCTTTAAAGGCTGTGCTTTCGGAAATTGTGCCAAATAAGTCATTACACTTTTTTCATCGACTGCTGGATTTGACAACTCCTCTGGGGTTAAAAGCTTTAAAATTGCCAAAATTGAAATTAATTCTCAAAAAATAAAAAAAAACCTTTTCAACCCCCAACAATCTCTCGGCAGCTTGCATGGCTTTCTGTGTATTCTCCAACGAGTTACTTGACTCCCAGTTTATCCAGTCATTAAGACTTCCGTTTGTACAAGCATCCACCTTTAAATTTTAGATTTTTTTAAATGAATTTCAAAATTCTCCCAAATGCTTCCGGGAAATAAAAATGCGTCGTAGACTATATTAGTCAGTGGTCGAACAATGCGTCATTGGCTAATCGGTCAGCGAAGTAAATCAGAGACTAAGGGTGATACTTGGTGATTTGTGGGGCTTAAATGGAATATCTGTGGGGTTTAAGAGGGAAATATACCCAAAATATATATTTAGAGAAGATACCGAGGGATTTGTAACGAAGTGTTTCTTATCCCTTGTAAACGAGGTCCAAATCTATGAAGTCCAATCCCCTTGGTATATTCCTAATTACCCAGTAACTCCCCCAATCTTGTCCACTGACGCACCAAACATGCCCCCAAAAATCCCTTAAAATTCCCAAAACCCCAAAACCCTCAAAAAACTAACCAACGCTCCCAACGTGATTCCATCATTCCACGTTGACGTAAAATTTGCAACGCGTCTCCCAGGTATTTTGCCTTGAATCCAAGCAAGTAGACGCTGTTTTGGAGTCTCTTTTTTATCACTTCCATTAGTTATTGTTGTTGGAGATGTTGATGTGTCCGCGGGAGTAAAATGTTGATGTGAAAGAGAATAATGCAAAATTAAAGTCCAAACAAGTCCAAGAATAAGTTTCAAATTGTGATCAACAATGTGTGAACTGTCTGAAAAAAATGAGAAAAAATTAAAGATAAATTCGATTAAAAATAAATTTGAGGGTAGAAAAGTAGTTTGGAACTTTTCCCAAAAGGTCCAAAAGTCTCGGAAATTACAGTTCGTTCTAGAGGTCGGTCGGAATTCCAATTTCCGACAGTTCCGAGTTCAGGTACCTTCATCATTTCTAACCAACCTCTGGTTTGTTTGACACTTTCCATCGAGCTGATATGTGAATCGAATACATTACTCTAGATTCATAAAATCCGGAGGGTTAGATAAGGTTCCCACAATGGTTCAAAGGTTTACCCTACCTGACATTTAGATGGGAGAAAGCTATCCGACACTTATCGTACGAGGTTAATGTGAGTCAAAGGACGCTAGCTTCTGAAAGGTCGGATGTTGGGAGCTTATTGGAGCATGTTGGGAGGACAGCCGTTATAATTTTAAAAGGTCCTTTTCTCCAAAAACCCACCAAAATAATAAAAAAAATAAGAAAAAAAGGCTCACCAATATTCACAATTTTGATATTTTCCTGATTTTGAAAGAAATTTAAAACAAGCGAAACATTATCCAATTTCTGAGTGCGCATAATTGGCTTCTTGTTGAAGCGTGGCAAGCCCTTGCCAGAGAGAACTTCAGCGAGTTTGATGAGAAAAATGCCATCAGCGAAATCTGTCGCCTAAATTAATGAAGTTAAAGGAAGGGGGGAGGGGGGTCAACCCAAGTTCAAATGACCCTAAAGGTCAGCTCCAAATATTTGTGCGGATAAGAGACTCAAGATAAAGAATACCTTGCCTGGTCTCTTTACCCTATCTGAAAATTAGATGGGAGAATCTTAGGAATTCACCTTTAGGATCACCTCCTTATTGATCAAGAAAAGACGTCAAAACTAGAGATCGAGATTTTTGAAGCCTGGGCATGTTCCTGGGTTCCGAGTTTGATTTATTGACCTGGGCCGGATCCTGGGCCTGTAGTCCAGGAAAATCCCAGGAAGGTCAAAAATGCCTAGGCTGGACTCTGGGTACAGAAAAACCCCTGGCCTTAGTCCCGATCCAGCTCAATCACTAGTCAGAGCCCCCAAAAATCACACACAAAACCCCAAAAAGAATTACCAAATTTTCAAGTTGTGGAGAGTTAGCAGAATGCTTCAATTGTTTATTAACCCATCTTGTAAAAGTATTTTGCTGTATAACCTTCCACTTTTCGTCTTTTAATAATTTAACTTCAGTTTGTTGAGTAGAATGATTTGATAACATTTTTCTGTTTAAAAAATAAAAATTCTTTAGAATTAAAAATAGGAAAGGAAAACAAAAATGACTAATTTTTATTTATTGGTGAGAACAAAAGATAGAGTACAATGATTAGAGTAATTTAATCAGAAAAATGTGAAAAATGTTTTTTTTTGTATTTTTCTCTATATTCTCTTTAAATTAGTGTGATGGACTATAGTCTCTAACATTACTGAAATAAACTTTCCGGAAAATTCTGTTTTTATAAATTCCGGAAATTATATACGTTCCGTAAAATTAAATAGAGAAAAACACAAAAAAATACATGAAGACAGAGAAATTTTCCGGAAACATTTAGTTTGGAATAGATTCCGGAAAACAGAGAAACGGAATAGAGAATCGGAAAATAGAGATTATAGAGCACAGAGAAATTTTTCCGGAAAACTTTATATAGATTCCGGAAAATAGAGGAAAATAGAGAGAGAAGGAAATAGAGAGAGGAGAAAATAGATTCCGGAAAATAGAAAAACTTTCCGGAAACATAATACATACATTTAGGTAGAGATTCTGAAAGAGTATAGAGGGAAAATTAGACTATATGAAAAGAGGAGAGATTAGAGGAAAATTCCGGAAAATAAATTCTAATATAATTTAATATCTCTGTTTGTGTGGTTATTTTTAAAATGTTTACAGAACTGTTTATGGCCTCTTTTGTAATATATAAACGTGAAAGGAAGTGTTTGTGTATGATTCATATTTATTTATAAATTAAACGAAAACAGCGCAGAACGTTTTTAAAAGGGCATGTGGTTGCCTAGTGTTAGTTTTGTTGGGAGGGGGATTTAAATTAAGGAAAAGTTAAGGAATGGGAGAAATGGCTAAAATAAACGAAAAAAAATTAATTTTGTATCAAAAAAAATTTTTTTAATTAAAAAAATGAATAGAAAATTTCAAAAGAATTAATTTTTGAAAATAAGGAATGTTTAAAAATTCGTAGTGCGACATTTAGGTACGTGCGACATTTGAGTACATACGACTTTTGCGGTCAAGATTTTGAGACTTGATTGTAGTGAACGACATATCGACTTTTTCTTAAGGAAAAAAAGTCGTTTTAAAAAAATCTACAATTATTCGCGAACGACTTTTTTTTAAACACACAACGCCAGAACTACGTAAATATCGATGTTTTGCGCCAAACGATTGCGAAACGACTTTTTTGTGTCTCTTTTTCTCTAATTTCACATTATATTTCCTTTCTCTTTTTCTATTAATTTTCGTTTGTGTAGTCTCTCCTTTGGAATTTGCAATTTTCCATTTTTATAAATGTTCAGTCCCTTTTCTGTAATTTTTAGGGATTTTTCCACATATATTCTTACTAAATGGATGAATTTGAAAATGAATTAAGAGTCGCATTCGAAAGCGGCGATCTCGAAGAACCTGTGACACCGTCATCGAAACGTCGAAAATCCATATCCTTAAGGATTAGATCTAGGAAGTCCGAAGAGTAGGCGATCATGGAATATGTTAAATATATCGAGCCTGGTTCTCAACATCACCACCAAGCAACTGCTGGCCAACCTGTAAACACTATTAACGCGAAACAAAGTCAAATTGAAGATCAGTACCAACGTTTAATGGTTTTGGGTGATCAACGAAAGAGAAAACTGGAAAAGGCTTACAAAGGTTGTTTAGAAAACAATCCCAAAATTATCTTTAAATCCCTTTTATTTAAAGCCTACCAATTATTGCGTGAAGCAAATGACCTCGCAGAGTGGATAAAGTCACGAGAAACAGTTGCTTCTCAACAAGAAATTGGTCAAGATTTGGAACATGCAGAAGTATTACAAACAAAATTCAATGACTTTAAATGTGACTTGAAAGAAAATGAAGTTAGATTACAAGAAATGAATCAAATTGCTACTAGTTGGAAGGCTTTAGAACAAAAGGCGGAACAAAGAGGGCAGCAATTAGAATCTGCACATGAAGTTCAACGTTTCCATAAGGACGTGGAGGAGACGAGGGATTGGATACAAGAAAAGAATGAAGCTTTGGATACTGAAGATTTTGGTCGTGATCTTCGTTCAGTCCAAGCTCTACAAAGAAAACATGAGGGAGTTGAAAGGGATTTGGCTGCTTTAGGGGATAAAATACGTGCTTTAGATGAAAAAGTTAAAAATTGAATCCTTTTAAAAGCAATTTTTGTTTATTAGGCCAATCGTTTACGCTTTTCTCGCTCAAGAGAACCCGACTGGGGATAATGTTGAATCTCTAATTAAAAAACATGAAGATTTTGATAAAGCTATTGCTTCACAACAAGAAAAATTAAATAATTTGGATCAATTAGCAAAACAATTAGTATACTTATTTCATTTTCTACACTTATTTCATTACAATCATTATTTAAAGATGAATAAAATTTTGTTGTTTTATTTTTTTTAAACTTTAGAAAACGAAAACCTAACAAAAATTCCAATGGAGAGACAACGACATAGAAAATTAATAGAAAAAGAGAAAGGAAATATAATGTGAAATTAGAGAAAAAGAGACACAAAAAAGTCGTTTCGCAATCGTTTGGCGCAAAACATCGATATTAACGTAGTTCTGGCATTATGTATTAAAAAAAAGTCGTTCGCGAATAAAAGTAGTTATTCGCCGCGAATCGACGAAAACGTAGATATGTCGTTCACTACTTGATTGGGCATAAGGTCAGTGATAAAATGATAAACAGAGGAGTTAATTTGAAATTAAAAATGCCCCCTTTACACTAATTTCAAAAAAGCTACAGCTCAACGTCCCCAAATGTCGGTACGCAAATGTCCCTTAAAAATTACACAATTCTCCCCCAACATTTTCACATTGTAAAAAAAAGGCTAGCGATGAATTTTTGTGATTTTAGTATTCGCATAAGGCCAACTAACTAATAAAAAATTGTTTTTATGATAGGAAGGGAGAGCTGAATAAGCAAGAAAGTGTTTAAAAAGGGTAAACATCCAAGAAAAATGTGTGAATTGCTTTAAAATGAAAATGGCGGTAAAAGGAAGAAAAAAGCCGAGACGTTAAAAAAATCTTCTTTTCGATATTTAAATAACGTTTTTAAAGGAAAAGTGGAGAAAGGTGGAAGGGAGGTGTGATTAATGGTAAAGAAGAATGGGCAAAATGTCAAGGCTTTAAAAGTCTTAGAATTTTAATTTTAAGCTCAAGAAAAGATAAAAAAAAATTGCTTGTAAGTAGCTGACAGTATCTAGGAGGCAGAGGAGGTCTGTGACTAGATCCCAAACAGGATTATGGAGATCCTGGGACCATAGCTATGTCGAAACAAAAAATCTACGAAAATCAGAGAAGCTCAAAAATATCGAAATTTAAAAACATTTCTGCCTGGGACCAACTCCTCCGCCACTGACAAAACAGACAGGGGGCCTATTCCAAAAAGTGACATTTCAACAACTGTAAGTTTGTGGAATATGAAGATTATAGGACCAACCTCCCCTCTGTCATCTGGGAAAAAACACTGGGGTCTGACCACTCAAAACGACCGATAGACTATAAAAGGGTCAATCAAAGAAAAATTAGTGTATAAAATCAGTTGGGTTTGTTTAAAAAATGTGTTTTTGGACAAAAAATTAAATTAATTAATCTATCACGCAAATCTCTAAACAAAAAATTAAAAGTACAAAAAATCAGTTTGTCCTTGCCCCCAATTAATTACCCAAAAAATTCTCGCAAAAGAGATCAATTGACTAAAATAATTTAATAAAAATAAATGCGCAAAAAGCAGCTGTTTTCAAACAGAAAAAATAAATAAAACAAATTTATTCAACGCAAGATTTTTATCTTGCAGAAAAAAAAGGTGCAAATAAATTTATTAAGTAAAAAAAAACAACAATAAGTCGTTGTTGAGGTCTTTTATAAGAACTGCAATTTAATTTTTAGATTCAGAAAATTTTGTTTAAAAAATAGATAAAAGTATTCTGTGTCTGGATAATTTGCCGAAAAATAATTTTTTTTGCGGACAAAATTTGCGGACTTTTTCAAGATTTTTAAAATTTTCTAAATTATTATTCTTGAATATTTTTGAAAAAGTAAAAAAGCAGATAAGCAAAGGATAGGTACCTCCGTCTACCTTTTACTTCTCCTTATTATGTACTGAATGGTCAGCATTTCTTTCTCGATTTCTTTAAACACACTCAACACAAAGCTGTTTGCGTTCTCAATGGCGATGTTGACAAGAATGTTAAAGGCACTATTCGATTCCATCAGAAATTCAAATTTATTTTGTAAAATGAATGGGTTACAAAATAAATCTGAATTTCTGATGGAAACGAATGGTGCCTTTAACATTCTTGTCGACGTCACCATTGAGAACGAACAGCTTGGTGTCGAGTGTGGTCATTTTAAATTAAAATAAAACACTTTGGACATAAAATGCCTGACCATTATTTCTAAAACGCAGACCCAGGTACTTTTTTTTTATTTTGGTGAAAAATCTCGAAAAAAAGTCCGCAAATTTTCTCCGCAAAAAATTCAAAATTAAAATACAGCCTTAAAAATAAAAATTTTTTTAAATTTAAATATATTAACTTTATTTTTATGCTTCGAAAAGGAATGTGCACTTTCCATTGCATTTTTTGCACGAGAGATTTTGTGTTATTATTGATCTCCATTCATTTCCTCGTCATGGTCAACTTCGCCGTTTTCATGGCATTCTTCATCGTCCTCGTCGTAGTTATCCTCATCTTGAAAATTTTTTTAAGAGAAAATTTTTAAGGGAAGAAAAAAGAAATACCCGACATCTCCTCCGGCTCAGGATTCAATTCTTGGCATTTGTTCAAAGTTGCAAAAAGATCCTGGACTGTAATGGGAGTTAAATTATTAGAAAAATTAATAAGAGAAAATCCCAACTATGAGTAGAGTCCGCCGGAATAAGTCGAAAAGCAACCGTCTTTACATCCTCGTTCTCTTCAATTTCCTCACCATCATCGTCTAAAGGCTCTGGTGTGTATTCCACTCCTAAAAGAAGAAACCAAAATTAATCACAAAAAAATTAGAACCAGAGACCCCAAATTTGTTACACAACAACCACAAAATCGTATGGATACCCAAATAACCCAATTTATGGAGAGGTGTTTTGCTAGCTATTTCCAGTGGTTCCGATGCTTACAAGGAACCATATCAAATGTGCCCAAAAATTTCTTAATTATTTTTATACCTTTGCGTAGAACGCGGTCGATTTCCTATTGCCAATTTTTTTCTTTTCGGGCCTACCCCTGAAATCGGAAAGTTATAGGGCCTCAAAGTTTTCGACCTTTGGAGTGGGATAGGGTTCCTTGTTAGAATACAAAAAAAGCTACAAAAACGGACACCCTTACAAATCCCCAAGTCCCCCAAAAAAGTTATTTAAAAAACAAATACCAGCTTTCGATGTGTCAATCAAAGTGAAAAGACAAGGTTCCGGAAAGCTTTCATTCGAAGCAGAAACAGCATGCACCACAATCGACGGAACTGGCAAACGAAGACCTTTACGGCTTGTTGGATTAATCCAAATTAATTGCCTGAAATTGAATTAAAAATTATTTTATAAATTTTATAAAGAAACCGATCAGTCAAAAAAAGATTTCCTTGTCCAAGACAGTCTCTCTCCCAATAAGCAACAACCATATTTTCGGTAGCCATAATATTTTCGGAAGGTTCTTCCAAATCTTGTAGAACAAGCATTTTGATTAAACTTTGCGAATAACTAGTTAAGAAAAGTAAAAACTGAAACAAGAAACAAAAAATTAAAAAAATCTAACAATAAAAACAAAAATTTTGGGGTGGGGAATGGTTGAGTACCGCAGTTTGAGAGTATTTGAGCCATATTTCAACCCATAACTTTTCGTGTTTTCAACCAATTTGAATAATTCCTATATCACTCGATTGCCATGGATGTGAAGATTATTTTTCATAAAAGGATCGATCCGATCCAACAATTCTGTAAAAAGTTATAAGCTGTCAAGTGGAGTTAAGTAGCGTAAAATTTTACTCAAAAATTAAAAAAATAAATTAATTTTGTAGTTTTGGCGTTCTGTATTTAAAATAAATGACAATTTATCCCAAAATGAAAATAGTACAGGTGAGACGGTTAGAGAAAAACCTGACGCTATTTTTTTGAAAAAGACGTAAACAAAAGTTAATTGTGACGTCAAAAATTTTTAATTTTCTTTGTTTTAGCTTAATTTTTGTTTTTTAGAAATGTTGACAGCACTAAATAACAGTGATTTACAACAAATTACTATAAATTATACTGATAAAACTGTTCATTTGGACCCTGGATGCAGTTTTGACGTGACTTGGAGTTGTGGAGGGGGACAATTTGCAACAAGTTTGAATAAGGTTTTTTTAATTATATTTTTGTTTTTTAATTTTTTCTGGGAGGTTAGTAAAGTAATTGAGCCCGAAAATCGGTTGAGAAAATTTATTCACTTTAACTGGACGCCCCATTTATTCGCAATGGGGCGTTTGCCTTCAGCCGATGCGTATCCACAGATTCCCTGAGGAAGGTTCGTGGGTTTTCCACAAGCGTCTTCCCGACTCCAATAGGGTTACTTTGATTTTAATAGTGTTACTTTCCCCAGCATGATTCTTTCAGTTTTTATGCCGCAACTAATCGGTTTCCTTAGGTTCTTCCCTCATAAGTTCGAGGAAGCTGACGTTCTCATCAGTCCGTTGGCTTCTTACAATGTCGATCACACTTTCCTCAACTTATTATTTTTAATTTTACAAAAATATTTTTTCCCACTAACTCTTATTGTTTATCCTTGGGCTGTTCCTCACTAGTTTCCACAGGAAAAGTTATTGTGAAAATTTTTTGTAAAAAAATTTTTTTAATTTTCCACAGGTCTCAATTCATAATTTTTTTATTTTAAATATATTTTATTTTTAATTTTATATTTGTTCTTTTTTTCTAGTCTCAACAACAAAATCAACCAGAAAATATTCCAAAACCAAATTATAAAATATTAACAAAAAATGAATTAACAACAAAACTTGAAACAGCAATAATGCCAAAATCATATATAAAATATATTGAAAATGAAGGGGAAAATAAAACAAATGAAATTGAATATGATTTGGATAGAGAAGATTTGGAATGGTTAAAATTAATTAATTTGAAGAGGAAGGAGAAAGGTTACAATTTTATTGATGATATTGTTTTTGAGAAGGCAATTAATTTGTTGGAAAAGGAATCGTATTTTCAGGTTTTTTTTTCATTAAAAAATTTTTTCCAAAATTTGTTGATAATTTTTTGGATTTTTCTGAAATTTTTTTGAAAATTAAAAAAAAATTTCTCTGAAAAAATTTTTTTACTAGTATGTCAAAACTGGTCAATCAAATGCTTCAACTCTCCCTTTAACTGATGAAGATGCTCCTTGTTGCATTTGCAATGGTTTTTTTATTTTTAAGTCAATTTTGAAGGTATAACGGGAAGGGAAAAAGTCGGTAGGAGACCGCGGGCTGGATTTTGGATCGTGTTTTCGAAATTCATCGGTTCAAATATTCTTTTAAAAATTTTTATCAGTCGCCCTGAGTTTTGAATTTGGATAAAAAAATTGTCCAGGTTTTGATTCCGGGAATTCGGATAACCCGTGACATCATGCTGCCACATGCCTTTTAGCTTCTAAATTTTTCAAAAAAATTTTAGAAAGGAAATTAATCTTGCCTCCAAATATTTTTCTAAAATTTGTTTATAAGATTTTTCAATTTTTTAAGATGCTGAAGATAGCAATGCAAACCAAATAATTTTTTGTGACATGTGTAATGTTGCTGTACATCAAGAATGTTATGGTGTTCCTTATATTCCAGAAGGTCAATGGTTATGCCGTAAATGTCAGCTTTCACCTTCTGTTGTTGTAAAGTGTGTTTTGTGTCCTTTCACTACTGGAGCATTTAAACAAACGGCTGATGGACGTTGGGTACATGTAATTTGTGCAATTTGGATTAATGAGGTTTTTCTGAAATTTTTTAAACCGAAGCGCGTCATAATGCCAAAACCAGTGAAATGCCAAACCCCCCATAATCCGTTGAAATCCCAGACAAATGGTAAATTTTGATTCTTGTCCAATTTAAGCATACAATCGTACCTTTATGCAATACCGGACTATAATTCTCAAGGGTAGAACCGGGTACTTATCGCTATAGATTGGGCGCTTAAAAATCTGTTTGGACGTATAAATTTGCGTTTGGACGCTTAAGCTGGAGAAGAGCCTGTATTTCAAACAAAATATTTGACATTTTGTTTGTTTGGCATTTCAACGGCTTTTATGGCATTTAACGTTTTGACTTTATGAACTCATATCCTTTAAAAATTGAAAAAATTAAGTTTTTTAAGGTTCACTTTGCAAATACTGTTTTTCTTGAACCTGTAGAAGGTGTTGACTTTGCTTTAAAACGTCGAAAGAAATTAACGTGTATTGTTTGTAGAAATAGAATGGGAGCTTGTTTGCAATGCAGTCATGTAAGAAAAATTTTTTTATTTTTTAGTTAAAAATTTTTTTTCAGAGAAGTTGTGCTCGTTCATTTCACGTTACTTGTGCATTTTATGCTCATGTCAGAATGGAACTTAAAGAAATGAGAACAAAAAAGAATCCTGATACAATTGCTGTTAATCGTTTTGTTTATTGCCATCAACATTCACACAATGGGTATTTTAAAAAATTTTTTTGTAATTTTAAAGACATCCTTTTTTGACATTTTACTGTTTGACGCGTCGTAATGCCTTGAAATGCCAAAAACTCCCAAAAACCTTTCAAATGCCGGACAGTGAGAATGACGTTGAATCGTTTTACATTTAAACGTCTTTTGGAGTTTGACATTTTGACGCTTTGGTTTTCGACTTTATGTCTATTTTGCGACTAGAGACTATCTCGATCTTTTCTTAAATTTTTAGGATTATTTTCAACCTCCCTTTAAAAATTCCCCGCTTAATTTTTATTTTACAGCCCAAGTACTGAAGAAACTGCTGCTGCTTGGAAGCGTGAAATTCAATGTAAAATAGCTCAAGCAAGGAAAAGACTTCATGTAGAGGCCAAAAAACAGAATATGTCTGCACCAATTCCTGTAATTCCTCATAACAAGTTTCTTTAATTTTTCTTAAATTTTCTAAATTTAATTATTAAAGGATTGTCCAATTAGCTGATGATCTTTCTATTGAACATTTTTCTGATATAACTGCTTATTGGGCGCTAAAGAGGCAGTCAAGAAGTGGTGTTCCTTTGATTAGAAGATTACAGGTAAATTTATAAGAAATCGGTTGGTTTACTATTGTAACTGGGAAGCAACCCCAACCTTAGGAGGCGGAATTATTGGGGTTACTTTTCAGAATTTGAATTTCGATCGGGGTCGGATTTGTTACCTAGCGGGACGTAATGTTTTGAGCAGAAAGTTTGATCGGATTTTGAAAATTCCTCGGGTCGGGTATCGTGTTTCGTGCCAAATAATGATTTCGGGTCTCAGATTTTTAATACTCCTGATCATAGTTACCTGATACCTAGTTTTAATGAATTTTTCAAAAAAAATTTGTTTAAAGGTTTATCTCGGTCAGCAAAAGCCAATTGAAGGACGCCTTTCAAGAGGAATTGACATAACAACAACAAATCGTTTGGGTATTTCTCCTACACGTGTAGAACAACAACACCTTGAATTACAACAAGGAGGAGGAGGAGACAATCAAAATTCTTTAATGAAAATGGCATTACTTCGAAGAGAATTTGAAAGAGTTCGTCTTTTGAGTGAATTGGTGAAAAAGAGAGAAAAATTGAAAAAAGAGTCCTTATCATTTGATGAAAAATTGCTTTCAATGATAACACCTGTTGCAATTTTAATTAAAAGAACATTGGAAAAGCTCATCTCAAAAGATCACCAAGAGGTTTATTTTTTTATTTTAAAGTTTTTTTTTGTGATCAACATAGGGTTAATACCCAGAAAGTCAACTCATAAAAAGTCAAATTACCCTGAAGATCACTTACAATTATTTGAGTGGATAAAGAAGGATTTGAGGTGGATTAAGGTGGTTTTGTTTGGATTAGTCAGAAGCGAGAATTTCTTTCGTACAAATATCAGAAAAGGCAAAAAGAGCGAACCAACGTATCCTAATCTTGAGTCCATTTTTTAACTGCCCAAATATTTGGAGTTGACTTTTGAGGATCATTTGATCAATAGGGTGTTTACCTTCTGCTTGGACTTTTTTATTTTATTTTTAAAAAGGTGTTTATGAGCCCAGTATCGGAAGAAGACGTTCCTGGTTATCGAAAATTTATTGCTCATCCAATGGATTTTTGTCAAATGCAGAAAAAATTTGAAATGGGTCAATACAAACGGGTTGCTGATATTCGCTCAGATTTTCTTTTAATGATGAATAATTGTGCTACATTTAATCGTGATAACAAATATTTTTATGATTATGGACAAAGAATTAGACAAATTGGACTTAAAGTTATTAGATCAGCTGAAATTGAAGAATCAAGAATATCACAAGTATTTTTTTATGTTTTTGGAATTTTTTAAAATTGAAAAATTTTTTTAGACCCTTCAAATGGTCGAAACCTTTATTAGTCGATTTGAATTTCTTAAGGAAGATTATATGAACAAATTAAAATTGGAATTGGAACAAAAAGGAAAGAAGGTTACGGGTGTTTCTGAAAGTGGTGGACGAAAAAATGTTGAGAAACAACCTAAGAAATGTAAATTAAATTTTTTAAGAAGAGGTTTTTAAAAATTAGTAGGCCATCAGGCGGTGGAAGCAGCCTAAGTGGTTATCCCTAAATTTGATACCTTTCATTATAAAGGGATGTCACGGGTTGAGAAAAAGTCTGGTAGGTTTTCGGATCGAGTTTCCAAAATTTTCTCGTATCGGATTTCGTTTTGAAAAATTGTCAGAGGTTTCATATTCCAGATGACTTGTGTCATTCCTTGTATAAAATAAGGCTGTAAATGGGTGTTTTATCGTGAGTCCTTCATATTTTCTTTAATTTTTGTCCAATAATCTTTTAACTTTTTAGCAAACAGTACCACGAATAAAACTGTTGATAACAATAATGCAAATAACTTGACTCCTTCAATCTCCGCTTCAATTGATAAGAAAAAACAACAACAAAATTCAAGAAAGAAAAATTCTTCCGTTGATGACGACAAAAAGAAAAATGTTAAAGAAAAACAACAACGACGACGAAGAAGTTCAAAGAAAATAAATAAAGATACTTCTGGTGAATCTATAATAATTGTTGAAGAAAAACCGAGTACATCAACAACAATAACAGATAATTTGAATAATGATGGGGAAGAGTATGTTGAAATTTGTGAAGAAAAAGAAGAGCAACAACAACATTTAAGTACACCTCGACGACTTTCTACATCTAGAAAATGTTTGTGAATTTTTTTTGGATTTTTGTTTTTAATTTTTCTGTCAGTATTACTTTGGTTGGGGATTTTTGCGATGTGTGTAACCCTAAGACCGAAACGAGGATTTTTTTGAACTGAGAAATCCTCGGACCGAAACTTGGATTTCTTTTGAAATAAGGAATCTTCCGACCGAACATAGGATTTTCTGCTTATTGTTGGTTCCTCGGTTCGGTTCCGGGTATCCAAAGATCTTCCACGAACCTACAACTTTTTTTGTGAGGATTCAGGTGAGGATACCTCCTCCCCTTCTTGTTTTACTTTACCTATGGGTACTTACTTATAATTCCTTGTTTAAAACTTAAAACATTAAAATTTTTAATTTTGTTTTTAGGCAAACTTTCATCAACATTATCAACTCCTGGAGGACCATCTGATGAACAACCAAAAATTCCAAGAAAGCGAACCAGGACAGATAGCATCAATAAAAATTTAATTAAAAATGCTGCAAAGGTTTCCTTTTTGAGGCTTTATTTTTTAAATTAAATTTATTTTTTTCAGATTTCCACATCTGTTGGTTCCACTACTGCCTTTGATAGAGATAAAGTTGTTGGTAACACTAACAAAATTACAAATTATTTGACACATGATTGTGGAAGTGTTGGATTAAATTCAACGGTATTTGAATTTTTTATTATTATTTTTGAGGTTGTTGGTGATTCCGCCGGAAAATTTTTGGTATTTATAGCAAAAACTGACCGATTTTTGTTAAATTCTGAAAATGTAGGGTTCGAAAAAATCTCTCAAAATAAATTTAAAATTTATCTCAAAACCGAAAACCGAGGGTTTTTAAAATTTTTGGATTAACTGAAAACCAAGGATGCTGGTTAATCACCAACTACCTTAATTTTCTTTAAATTAAAAATTTTTTTCTTAAACCTAAAACCGAGGGGGGGGGTTACTAATCGCCAACAACCTTAATTATTAATATAAAATTTTATTTAAAGCACCAAATTTCAAATGTTAAAAATACTCCCAATTGTTGTATTGGAAGAAATGTTAATAAAAACAAAAATTTTACATATGCTTATTTAACTGAAGCTTCATCAGCAGCCGATGAAGAAGATAGTTATGATAATGAAGATGAAGAAGATTTGTTGTTGCCTCCTATTAATTTAACAAAAAATGGAGTAAAACAACGGCAACAATCAAATAATAATAAATCAAATAAAAGATTGAGGAAAGAAATGATACAAAATAATAATAATAATTCAAATGATGAACAATTTCGTAAGATTTTTTTGGAAATTTATTTGAAAAATTTGTGGGAAGGGTAAAGATGGCGTACTTTGTTTTTTTTGCAGGTTTTGTTTTTTTGCGGATTTTTTGGGGATTTTTAAGGAACTTTTTTTCCTATTTCTTATATTAACGTAGCGCGCTGTAATCAGAGGTGGGTCGGAACAGTCAGAGGTGTCGGAAATCGGAAGAGCTGGAAATCGGAACTGGCTCAAAAGTCGGAAATCAAAAATTTTTTCGGAAATCGAAAGGAGAAAGAAATTGGAATTCCGACCCACCTCTGGCTGTGATGCTACAACGTCTAAAAACCAAACCCTCCAAAAGTTGCCGAAATGTCAGCCCGGGGGGATGGCGTCGAAAATTCTTAAATTAATTGCCCTAGATACTTTTTGATATTTAATCAAGGGAAAAAATTAATTTGTTCAATGGGCGAAAATTTTTTTGAAAATTTGTAGGAGCACACCATTCTTTGTAAAATTTTGCTGGTCCAGAAAAATTTTATTTGATTAATATCGGAATAATTTAATATTTTTCCTTTTTTTTTCAGAACATAACGACATTGTATGGGTTGAAATCGAAGATGGAACACAAATGCCAGCAAGAGTAATAGATTTGCGTATGCGTTATGAATTTGATGAAGATGAAGGTTTAGGAACACAGTTTGTACAACAAGCAATTAATTGTATGCCTGGTAGAGAAGGGAGCAATGACAATAATAATAAGACACTTGTTGTTCTGTTTGATAAATTAAATACTTGGTAAGGAGGTTTTTTTGATTTTTTGAAAAAAAAATTTTTTAAGGAGGTGGGTGTCTAATAATTATTTGGAACCTTGTGAATTTTTGCAACTTGATATTTCTCATTCACATTATAATCAAAACGTTTTGGAAGCATTGGCTAAAGCACGACAATTTTGGTATGGATAGATCTTTTTATAATGGGTTTTCTTTTTTTTTATTATTTAAAAAAAATTTTTCCCTATTCTATGGCTATTTGTTTATCTTTCTATTTACTTCACGGATACCTGTAATTTAATAATTTTTTCACAGACGCAGTCTGTGAAAAATTTTTTTCAGAAGTAAAAAAAAATTATTTTTTGAGTTTAAATTAAGTTACAGATATCCCTGGTGTAAATATCAAAGCTGTAGGCTGTCCGCATTTTTACGGACTCACAATTTTGTTTACAGGATGAAAACCGCGGCCCACGGGTGTATACTTAGACATTACGCAACTTAAAGCCCTTTAAAAAATGCGGACAGCCTACAGCCCTGATATTTACACCAGGGATATCTGTAACTTAATTTTAATTCAGAAATAATTTTTTTTATAAATTAAAATTTTTTATAAATTAAATTTTTAGGGAAAATGTGCTCCATTTACAATCTCTATAACTATATTTGAAGAACATTTAATTTTTTAATTTGAAGCCTTATTATTTTTTTGTTTGAAATTTTGCATATTTTATTTTTATATTCTACAATTTATTTTACTTTTTATACACGAATGTATTTTGCTGAACCGGAGAGATGATTAAGGGCTTTACCAAAAAGAAAAATCTCAGAAATCACTAATATTTTTTAATAAAATGCATTTTTAAAAATAAAGCATTGATGGGGTTTTACATATTGATGGTTGACTTTCATATATTTAAAATATATATTTATATACTTTTATCGCTTATATACATAAAAAAATTTTTTTTAGAAATATTAAATTAAAAAGAATTTATTCAACCAGCGCTGTCAGTGGACTCCCTTTCTTTTGAATTTTATAATTTTTGAATAATAAACAAAATTTTCAAGATGCAAAGTGTATTGTTTAAAAATTTTTCTTTTTCTTTTGCGAGGTTTATTATTTTTTTTCTTTCTCTAAAGGTTTTTTTTCTAGCAAATTAAATTTTTCAACTACTACAACTAAAAAAATTGACTCCGTTGTAGCTCATAAATCAGCCCGACTCCCGTCTGGTTTTAATCCAATTACTCCATTTGCTGTTTTTGTTAAAGAAAAAATGAAAAATTCTACTGGGGAAAAAGCGTCTGAATTGGTAAAAAAAGTTGCAAAATCATGGAAGGAAATGAGCGATTTGGATAAAAAAGTATATTTTTAATTTTTATGATCAAACATTTTCTTGTTTTGTGTTACAAAAAGTGGTACTTTTTTGGGGAACAGGCCAACCTACCGCGAGTCCAACCTACCAGTGAGCTATAACTTTGTTCAGAATTGTCGAATCCGGGACACCCTCGTATGGTTAGATTAAGCTCGAAAATTCTGAACGAAGTTATAGATCGGCGGTAGGTTGGCCTCGCGATAGGTTGGGGGTGTACCCACTTTTTAGTTATTTGCCCTCATCTTTTCTTCCTTTTTTCTCAGCCTACTTCTGTGCAGTCCCTTTCTTTATCAAATTCACTCCATTTCTCATTGTCATATTCAAGTGAGACATTATGTAGATAACAGGGCTGGGCGAAATCAAAAAATTAAAGGCGAAACTTTTCGTTCTGAAAAATGCGAAAATGCGAAATCGCCCAGCCCTGGTAGACAAAAAGCAAAAGATGAAGATTATTTTGAATGGATTTGCAATTTTTTACAAAAAATAATCTCATTTTTTTTAATGTTGCCACAGGAAATTGGAGTGAATTTGAGAAAAAAATGAAAATCTGACCATTCTGTACAAAATTAGTTGAGAAAATGGAAGAATAAATGAGGGCTAATAACAGGAAAGTACCCAAAAAGTTCTTTTTGACTAGTTAGCCAAAAAAAATTTTTTTGTGAATTTGATATTATTTCCAGTTATTTGAAGGTTATTAGGAAACCTAGATTAACAACTAGTTTTTTTACAAATCTCTATCGTTAACTTTTTTTGAATTTTCAGTCTTATGTTGAGAATGCAAAAATAATTTCTCAAAAAAGGAAGGATGAATTTTCACAATTTTCTGTACAACAACAAGAAGATTTGATGAAATCTAATGCTTCTCTTATTGAAAAACGTAAACGTGGCAAACTTTTGCATGATCTTCATGAAGTATTTTTTTAATTATTTTTTTATCCCAACGTCACTGGAAAGTTTAGTCTCAGTTTACCGCAGAACCAAAATTAGATGTAAGGCTCGAAGCATATTTGGTACTTTATTAATATCCCGCCCCCACCCCTATTTGAGTCTCAGATTAATTTTCTTTTTTGTTGTCAATTACTAACAGCAAAATTTATTATTTATAAAGGAGGAAATGTGACCATTCCGAGGTAGGAAAAATATAAAATGAAAATTAATCTGAGACTCAAATAAGGGTTGGATGGAGGGCGGGGGGGGGGGTGTGGGATGGAGGGCGGGATATCAATAAAGTACCGCATATTTTGATTATGTGTCACAAATCTATGAGATACGCATTGAATAATACCAAAATTTTATATCCACAAACATTTATAATCTTTTTGGTAAACTGGGCTCCTCAGTGTACGTCCAATTTTTAACAAAAATTTTTTTTAAGTTTTATAAACAAACAAATAAACCAAAGCGTCCAATGAATGGTTTTTTACTCTTTTGTAAAGATGGTATGGAAAAAAATCAAACCCCTAAGGGAAAAGAAGAAATTATTCAAGTTGGAAAAGATTTTGGACAACAATGGAAGCTTATGACTGATGTTGACAAAAAAGTTTTTTTAATCTTTTTAATATTTTTGGTAAAATTCAAATTCGTTCCCTTCTATTTTTCCTTCCTTTTTTTGTTTTTTTCTCTATCCAATGATACTAAAAGTTTAATAAATTATTTCCAAATCCCCGAGTTACAAGCTCGGGACTGAAACGGCCAGGGACTGAAGTGGGACGTTCCGCAAATTAAGGAAGGAAAAAGAGAAGGGAACGAATTTGAATTTTACCAAAAATATTTTCTTTAACTCAATTTTTTTCAGTTTTATTTGGAAAAGGCTGAAAATCTTAAAAATCATTACAATAAAGAATTACAAGTTTGGAAGGATGTTAATGCAGATGAAATTTCAAAATGGAATGATAAATTGAAATTAGGGAAGAAGACTACGCTTAAAAAATGAAGAAATAAGAAAATTTGGAATTTGAGGGTTTTTTTTTGAAAATATATTATTTTATATTAAAATGGAGTTTAATTTAATTTTGAATAGGATTGGACACAACCAGGGCCCGTACTATAAAGAAAGTGGTTTGTGGTTATTTAACTAGGTTACCGGAGGTACCTTTGCTACTATAAGAAAAATTTCTGGTTTTTGGTCCCAGGTCATTTGCCCTTTGGTTAACCCGTACTATATGAAAAGCACTTTTTGGTCATTTGACCCCTACAAAGTGGTAAATCTCAAACCCTGCTCTATAGCAGGGTTAGCAAAAATTTCGAAGTCTACGACTCGTTCTTATAGTACGGGCCCAGGTTTTAAATCAGAAAATTTTGATATATTTCTTGCCAAAAATTTTAATAATTTTTAGGAAATTTTAAAAACCGAAAATTTTTGAAAGAAATTGAAATTTTTAAAAAAAATTTCCTCGAAATAAAACCGTTATTTAACTAAAACTCAAAACCGAAAACCGTGGGGGGGGGGGGGGGGGGGGGGTTTAAATTTTAATTAATTGAAAGCCTGGGGGTATTGGTTGATAATCGCGGTTGTGTCTAGCCTTAAATTCTAAAATAAAATCTTAATTTAAAATTTAGAAGAAAAAAAAACTACATTTTTTTTAATTTGGATAACTATTTTGCGTGACGGGGTTGTACTCGTCTAACAATAAAAGCGATACCTCTATTTAAGATACACCTCATTATATAAGATAAAAATTTTTTACGATTTTTTCTACCCCCAAGGGTGCGAGGGATCAGGAACTTTTTTTTATTGGAAAATTTTAGAGTGAAAAAAGAATTCATTAGAACATCTTATAGTTACTAGCTCTATTTACTTGTAAAAGAAAAATTCTTTTAAGTATTTTGGCATTGTAGTTGTTCAATATTTATTGATTAAATTGTATAAATTTTTCAATTTTTCTATTGATTTTTTAATGCTGGGATGAAATGTCCCTTTTATATTTTTTGTTTTATTTTTGTAAATTTAATTATTTTTTAAAGAAAAATAAATATGGAATCAATAATTCCAACGCCAAGTATTGACCAAGTTTTGCAGAGTCTTGCAAGTAATGCTCTTTCATCAACATCAGCGCAAGATTCGGAAGAGGATCAACCAGGAGGAAGATTAGGTTTGTTGAATTTTTTATATTTTTTGTTTCGTTTAAAAAAATTTTTGGGGCTGCTTTGGGGATCTTTAGGCTAGTTCTGCTGTGTGACAATGGCTAGATGCCTAGAACAAATTCCTGTGATTCTTGTGATTAAAATTTTTGTGGATTCTACAAAAGTCCTCTAGCTTGTCTACGATTATTGTGCCCTAGGATCCGGTTCCGTTAGATTATTTTTCTGAAATGGGTGAATTTGCGGTTGAATTTGTGTACGAATCTATCAAAGTAGAAAAATTCAATTTATAATATTATCACAAAAATATTTTGTAGGCCATTTCATAGGCTAAGAGAAAATTATTTGAGATTTTTTAATTTATGTTAGTAGAAAACACTTGTCAAAACCATTATTGAATCGAAACTATTTAAATTAAAATTAAAAATTTTTTTCAATTTATAGAAATTGTAAATTTGGACAGTAGCGACGATTCTGAAAGTGAAAAAGGAAATGCTGCTGCCAAAAATAATAAAATTGTTTTTAATCAACTGTCAAGGCCAAATAAACGTAAATTACCTCTTGTCACAGACCAAGCAAGATTAAATGTTATAATGGATAAAAATCGTTCGGCTTATTTGAGAGAAAAGTTTCAGCTGAATCAAAAGAATAATTCAAGGTTTTTTAATTTTTTTTAAATTTTTTGGGGCTTCCTCCCGGGGAAAATTTTTTGGAATTTTTATAAGTTTCTAACAAATTTTAGCTATTTTCAAAATTTTTTAGTAATTTTCCAAGGAAATTATCTTTGGGTTTGGATTTAGATTTTTTTTGCCAAAACTCCAAAAGCCATCGAAATGAAAAACCCTCTAAAAGACGCTGACATGTTTTATGTGTGGCGCCGTAATACCAAATAAATACCAAATTTCTCCTCTGGAACTGACCTAATTTTTAAATTTTGATATTTATTCGGTTAAAAACCTCTTACAAGGGAACATCGTTTACCAAACTGAGAATTTGGTATTTTTATTGGTACCATTCGATAGAGAACCCCTGACTTCCTATTGTGAAATAATTTTTGTTTCTTTAAAAAATGACTTTGGGCCGAGTTATGGCCGGTCAAAGTTGGGCAGATTTTTGACAAATTCAAATTTTCGACATTTTGAGATTAAAATTTTTTTTTTGAAAATTTTAGAACAATTTATCGAATTAACCATTCAAACAATAGAATTATTCAAAAGCCATATCAACCACCAACTTCAAATACCTCAACTTTTTCATCAAACTATGCGCCAAAAACAGTTTCTGAAATGTTAAATGATTTGGTTAATATGTCTGTTGATAAAACTTTGGAAAATTCTGCTTCTTTACAAGGTTTTTTTAAATTTAGTTGTTGAGGATTTTTTGGAGTTTTATTTAGCTTTAATTTTCATAATTTATAAAAATGACAAGGTTTGTTAAGTGGTTCGGGTTTGGATGGTGGGGTATGGGTTCGAACCTGTTCCGGTGATAGAATTGTTTTACAATTCTCTAGATACTTTTTTCAATTTTCCTACTATCTAGTATTATTTTTTTAGTCGTGTTGTTTTTTCGTTTTTTGGTTAAGTGGTTTAGATTAGATTTGTGGGTGAGGGTTCGAACCCCTTTCGGGCCAAATTATTTTTTTCTGTCTTGTTAATGTTAAAAAAATTTTTTTTGAGATTTCCACTTAAAATTTTTTAATCAAAAAATTTTTTTAAAGAACAATCTTCAAACAACAATAATAATTTGCGTTTTGTGCCTGCAACACCTGAAGGTTATTTTTTAAAATTAATATTTTATTAAAGAAAAATTTCAGAATCGTCATTGCTTGTTGCTGCTCCTCCACAATTGGAACCTCAAGAACACGTTATTGAATCTAGTAAAAATAGTAAAGCAACATCTTTAGATGGATCTAATTTTGAACAATCGACTTCGAATTATCAGGTTTTTTTAAATAAAGTTGGAGCTCGTTTTAAGATAGGTCCAAAACCTCTATTTTATATACGGATACCAAATTTAGGTTAGGGGTTTAAAATTTGTTGTTTCTGGTTGAGAAACCGCTTAGGCGATACCCTCTATATAAGAGACACTCTTTATAAGCGACACCCTCCATTTAGGATACACTTCATTATAAGAGACTTTTTCTATCTGCGATACTTTTCCTATATTCTCTTTTAAGCCATACCCTTCTATTTAAGCGACACCCTCTATATAAGGTACACCTCGTTATAAGAGACTTTTTCAGCCCCAGAGGTGATATTTACTATAAAAATGTGTTCCGAGTTCCGAATATTTTTCAAGACTTATTTTTAGCAATCACAAGCGAATTCCTCGGATGATGATGATATTCAAGTTATTAGTGATAATAACAATATTGTTGATGATTGTGAGATGCAGGAAAATTTACAAGACGAATCTGAAATCGTTGGTACTTCTAATGATGCTGTTGAAGATGCTACACCTTTTTGTAAAAATTGTGCTAGTGAAGTTCCTTTGATTATTAAGTTTGTTGAAAAATTTTTTTTTAATTTTCTGGGGTTTTAGGGGGAGAAATAGGAAACAAGTTTGGTTTATTGTAAATATTCTAATATAAGCCCTGAGCTTATATTTTTTCAAAGCCTGTTTAAATGGACTCGGGTTTTTATTAGAGACACTGACCCAAGTAGACCCACCATATTTTTCGATGGGTTTCCTCAGGTGAGGGGTTTTTTGGACTTTATTTTCTGCTCTTTAAAGAAATATAGCTGACTGAGTGATGTTTTAAAGAAAGTTGACTTGACCTTGAATTATGTCTAGTAAAAAAAATTTTTTTTTCATTATTTTTAAGAGAAAAATGATTAGGAGAAAAATTTGTCTGTCGTGTAGAGTGAAAATAAAAAAAATTTTTTGCTGTAAATATTTTTCATTTTTTTTTATTTTTTTGCTATTAGGTTAGGCATGTATATGAGTGAAAAATAAAATAAAAAATTTAAATTTTCCTCTAAAAATTTTTTTAAAGGCGTTTGGATCGTTTGGATGGTATGGTGGATAAAATGATTAAATTGGTTAAGAACTCACTTTCAAGCCCAGCAAATCATTGATCTAATATTTTTTTGTGTTTATTTTTGTGTTTTTTTGGTTTTGATATTTATTTAAATATGTGAAAATTTTTGGAAAATTTTTTTTAGAATTTTTATGTTTTGCCAAACATTTAAATATTTTTTTAAAATTATTTTTTTATTTTTACTGATTTTTTCAGGATATTTAATGTTTTGACGTTTTATTTCTTGGTATTTTTGTAAAAAAGTTAAAAGGGTTTCACTTAATTATTTGCAATATGATTCGAACGCCTTGTAATAATATTTTCGCCGTCAACAATGTTTATAGGTTAGTTTATTTTTTATAGATAAAATTTTAATTTTTAAATAACCTCATCAGTTGTATTATACTTGAGGGGTTGAGGAAAATGGTTATAAGGTTGTAGCCAGGGTTAGGGCTGAAGTTCAAAATGAAAAAAGTTTTGGGAGTAAAATAATCAAAAGACTGAATTTTTTTCGTATACAACCTTCAAAATTCCCCCTGGCTGCGCCTTGCTTGGGCAACTCTGCATTGGCTAAGCATTCATTGTACACGAATATGAAAAAAAAGTTGAAGCAATGAGTTTATTCAATCTGACTTTTGTAGGTACTTAAGTATTCGAAATGCTTCAACTGAACATTTATTGACTCCAGATGTAAATTCTGAAACCTATCAATATCTACAGAAGAGCATAATTCCAACTTATCATTTTCAGGTTTCCATGTTTAATACATATTTAATTTTTGCTACTAACCTGGGTCGGATTGCGCGGATTAGGCTTTTATTGTTCATTACTTTCACGCTTCCGGATTCTTTAGATTTTTCGGATTTTTTCCATAGATTTTTTACTGAAAAATTTGGCCGGATCCGGTCCAGCATTAGTTACAAACCGGGATCCGAATCCGATGAAAATAATTTTACCGGACAGTAATGTTTACTTTCAATTTTTTAAAGAAATCCCTGAGGCGTTTACCTATACCAAAATTGGAGAATTCTTGTAAACGCTATTTGGATGCAGTTAAAGCAATTTATTCAGAAAATGAAGCAAAAGAAATGGAAGGTTTAATTGACAATTTTATGAAAAATGAAGGGCCAGAATTACACAAAGCTTTGATCGATTATGACCGTCAACATTTGGATACTTCTTACATTGTATTTTTTAAAAAATTTTTGAGGGAGAAAATTTCTTTTTTTTTAAAGTCAGAACCCTGGTTTGATATGTATTTGTCTGCACGTGTTCCTTGCCCTGTAAATTACAATCCTTTTATGATGTTTGCACCAGATCCAGATCCTCGTTATAACGATCAGGTTTTTATTTTTGTTTTATTTTTTGGGAGGGACCTGCTACAGAGTCATAATTAGATTGATATGGCTATATGAGCAAGCTAGGAAGCCAAGTCATGAATTTAAAAACTAACTCCCCTTTAAACGCTCACTATACCAGGGATGCCACAGATTGCGAAAAAAGTCAGTCAGGCCTTTTAAATATTTTCTTTGGATCGTGTTTCGGGTTCGGGTTGGTTGTTCGATTAAGGGGATTGTGGGAAAAAAGTCGGAGTTCGGGTCGTTTTCTGAATGAAAAAATGTCCAGGTTTCGACTAACCCGTGATATCCTTGTAAAATTGTCAGTGAGAGGTTTTGCGTTTTCTAACACCATTTTAAACTGCAACTCTGCGGTAGATCCTTTTCATTTATTTGCTTAATTTTATTGTTTTCAAGTTAATCCGCGCTACAAATTTTGTAATTTCTTGTGGTCGTTTCAAACGTTCTTTAGATGCTGAAATTTTGGCGCCTGAAGTTTTTCATTTGAATCCAGAAAAATCCAACAAACTTTCAATTCAAAAATTTTGGAGTTTGCTTCCTCAAAGTATTAGTTGGTTTGGTGCTGTGGCTTTTAAAGCATTTCCGTTAGATATGAGTCAATACAAATCTTTATTTGGTGGTTGTAGAATACCTCAACGTGGAAAAGACAAATTAACTTTGAAGACTGATTCGTAAAAATTTTTTTTAATTTTTTTAGCCGGGCCTAGTTTTTAGATACCCCTCTGGGTTTAGAATTGTACATTATAAATGAGGGGTATCTCGAATTATCATAAGATAGGGTGCCTTATTTAAATCCCTCCCCTGGGATTTAAAATTTATGTTGTCATGAAGATATGGCGGACCTCGTTTTTAAATGACTCTTGGGATTAAAATTTATAATGAGGATTATAAGATCCGTTAGGGATCACATAGTGGCCAACCAAATTAAAAAGCATATCTTTAATAGAGGGGTATCTAAAAAATAAGATTTTAATTGTATTTTCAAGTTAACTATTTTTTCAAACTCTTTTTAGTAAACATTTTGTTGTTGCGCGTAAAGGAACATTCTATTCTGTTGATCTTTTTGATGAGAAAGGTTTTAATTTATAATTAAAAATTTTTTTGAAAAATTTTTTTTAGGTGAATTACTTTCTCCTGATGTTATTTATTCTTCTCTACATAAAATTTTAAATAGTTCATCCTCTTATGAAAAAGAAGAATCATCGCTTGTTGGATCGTTAACAACATTGGTTTTTTAATTTTTTAAATAAAATGATTTTTAAAAATTTTTTTTAGTTTTTAAAAAAATTTTTCGGGAGCTCTAATACATTTATAACCCGGTTTTTGAGTCATTCATAACGAAATATTAAGCATAAAAATTATTTTCCTTGTCCGGGATTCGAACCCTACACCCTCAGTATGGTGACCACAACACTTTCCAACTGAACCAAATGAACTGAGATATTTAATTTTCTTTGGGGATTTGTTGGGGATCTCTTCTCTCAAATAAAAGATTTTTTCAAAAAAATTTTTTTTTATTTAAAAAAAATTTTTAGGATCGCGATATTTGGGCAGATACAAGACAAGAATTAATTGACTTAAACCAACAAAATTTCCAGTCATTAAATACCTTAGAAAATGCTCTATTTTTATTATGTTTTGATGATTTGGGAAGTGAGGATCCTTGTCGTTTGGCTAATTCTCTTCTGTGTGGAGATGATGGAAGAAATCGATGGTTTTTTTTTTGAATTGAGGGAATTTAAAAAATATTTTTTTAAAGGTTTGATAAATGTTTTCAATTAATTGTTGACGGGAATGGACAAACTGTAAGTGAGATTTTCTTAAGTTTGGTGATATTAGGGTAGCACCCGAACCTTCGGGGCGGAAGTGACGGATTTCGGGGTTTGCCGGGGTAGAGCCTTCGGGTCGGGGTTTGCCTAAGAATTCGTCGGGGTTTCAAGCGACGGGGTGTTACCCTAGTTGTTACAATCCATGAGTGTCTCGTTTCTTCTTTCGCCGACTTTTTGACTTTTTGGTGTTTCTCCTTTCATTTTTCGCTTTTTAAATTGGGTTTCAACACATACTCGGATGCAGACCTTATTATAAGGATACCCCCTAAAATTAGATAAGACTCTTTTTTTAAATTTGATTGGGCACCGGATGGGGGCTCTGCTTCAGAGATGACCTTCATTATAAGATACTTTTCAGTCCCAAAAGGTCGAAAAGTCTTTCGCGCCAACTTTTCGACTTTTGACTTATCTCGTTTAACTAAAAAAATTTTTTTAGACAATCAATTTCGAACATTCCTGGGGCGATGGTGTTGCTGTACTTCGTTTAATGGAGGAGATACTCAAAGACACAATTACAAATCGTTTTGTTTCTGCTGGAAGACAAGTGGACGCTGCTAAAGCTGGAGAAACAAAAAGATTGGGTATTAAATTTTAAATATTTTTTTCGGGTTTAAAAAATTGTGTCCACAAGGGTTTTCACGTGGACAAAAAGTCGGGTCGGATTTCTGATAATCCGAGGCACCTCTTGGTCACCGAAGAATTTTTTGGAGTTTAGGGAGTCTGGCACTCTAACAAATTGCCATGGACTACATTATAGCTGCTGCTAGGAGCCAGGGATTGTAGTTCCATGTCTGTCTAGTCAGGGGAGCCATTTTGCTGGGAGATATAAAACCAGAACGTATTGTGCCGTTTTTTATGCTACGCTTTTTAAATTGAATTTCGGTTTTCGCCTTTAAAATCTGTTTCGGCACACCACTGGTATCGAACCAGGCCTCCCATAAGTACAATTCATATGTTTTTGAAACTTTTTTACACACAATTCGAAGTTTAAATATTTTTTTCTTTTTCTAGAATGGAAATTAAACGATTCTCTTCGAGCAAAAATTCGCAAGGCAAGTGAACAACATGTTCATCGTTGTAGTGATTTGGGTTTTGACTGTATTGAACATACAAAATTAACTAAAGAAAAAATAAAAATGGCAAGACTGTCGCCAGATGCAATTATGCAATTGGGAATGCAGCTAGCATTTTATTCAATTTATGGAGAATTTGTGCCGACATATGAAAGTTGTTCTACTGCTGCTTTTCTTAAAGGAAGAACTGAATGTAAGGGAAAGGAGAGGTTTTCTTTATTTTTAGGGGGTTTTAGGAAAATAATGAGAGGCTTTTTTCTGGTTAATGCGGTGAATTCTAGCTGTATGGGCGGAGCAGGTCCGTAACCTGATGGGGGGAGGTAGGAGGGGATTAGGCGCTGAGCATGATCCCTCTGGCCCCCTCCCGAAAGAAAAAAATCCTGGTTATGGGCCTGGGGCGAAGATGTGGATGTTCATGGTTGGTTGACCGAGGACGAGAGAAAGGTTCTCCCCTCGAAGTAGGTATAGTTGGGGATGTCCATTGTTAGTCTCACTGAGGACGAGAGAAGGTGTTCTCCCCCACCCCCAGAGCTACCCTAATCCTATCCGCATGTTCATCAGGGAGTGTGCTGCAGTTTTCCCTTTCGCTTTTTTAAAATATGTTTCAGCCCACCCCCGCCTCTTTAACTAGAATTCACCGCATTAACGACTTTTTTAAGGTATGCGTTCAGCAACAATAGCAACAAAAGAAGCTGTTTTAGCTTTTGAAAAGGGCAATAAATCACCTCAAGAAATGATTGGATTAATCAAAAAATGTTCTGATATGCATTCACAATTGGTTAGGAAATTTTAATTTTTTTCTTAAAAATTTTTTAGAAAATTTTCAAAAAAATTTTTTTTCTTCTCTAAAGATAAAAGAAGCCTCATTGGGACAAGGATTCGACAGGCACTTTTTTGGACTTAAACATACAGCAAAACGTTTGGGCCGTTCAACAGAAAATATTCCAATTTTTAACCATCCAATTTACCAAAGAATTATGTCAAATTTTGTACTTTCTACCTCAACATTGTCTACAGACACAATTTATTTTGGTGGATTTGGCCCAGTTGTTAAAGATGGTTTTGGTGTTGGTTATAATGTTACTGATCAGAAGCTCGGGGCTACTGTTACTTGTTATAAGGTTTTTTTGTTTATTTTTTTTGATGGGTTTATTTTGGGGGAAATTGGACAAAATGTCCTGGGAAATGCCTGTAAAAAGAAAATTGGATTAGAGACCTAGACATTAATCTGGACATCCAGACCCATGGACAGACTCTTCTTGTTTCCGTTTTTTATTTTCTTTCGCCTTCCGCTCTTAAAATGGGACGGGGACTATCCCTAATCCAGATACTGGATCAAGACCTATCCAGCGTTTTGGATCAGCCTCGATCTAGATCCGGACATTGATTTTTCCTGGGCCTAAAATTAAACTCAAGGCATCTTTCAGTGTTGCTAGATTTTTAGCAGTGATCTTGTTCTAGTGCAGGCCCTTTTTTAATCCCCCTAGATTAATTTGTATCTTGATTCCCTAGATTGATCTCTAAATTAAGCACAATAATATGTAGATAAATATTTTTAAGAGTCAAAACAGAAATGCATCAGAATTTTGTAGAGCATTGGATGACGGATTAAATAAAATAAAAAATATTATTGAAAATAAGGAGAAATGAAAAGAATTTTTTGTTAAAAATAATTATTTTTTTAATTGAGTTTTTAATGAACGGCAGCTAAAATTACATTTATGTATTTTATATAATATATATTAATGTTTCTAATTTATAAATAAATAATTAAACCTCCGACTAATTGTTAGCCAGATACATACATATGTATAAACAGGTTAAGAAACCTGTATTTTTATTTTTTAAATTTGCTTTTTTTCTTACTTCCACCAAAAATAGCCCCTATTTTGCCCAAATCCAACGATTTTTTGATGTTTTGTATATTTTACGCTTAGTTACCATTTTGATATTCTTCTGTTTTAAAGACTAGGAGTTAGAGAAATAGAGATATTTTTATTGACACGAACCTATATTGATTTTCTTTCTTTAGTAAACAAAGCCAAAATAACTAAAAATGTGTCTATTTCTCTTTCACTTTTATAATTTTAAAGTAAACCAGAGAGTGAGTAATTCTCAAAATGTCCCATGCAAAATGTCAAAAAAATTTTCTCAAGCGGTATCAAACTTCGAGTATTTGCTTGTAGAGTCTACTGAAATTATTCATCGGGCAATTTGAGTCTTATTTTTAAGAGAGGTTAAGGGGGGTTGTTTATGAGACTCAAGTGACACATGTTTAAAGCGTCGATTTTCTCTATTGTTTTGTTTTAGACTTAAGTTTCCCTTTGTTTTCTCAAATATTTAATATTAAGCCAATCTATATTTTCTGTATAATTTTTTCTTCTTTAAATCAAAAATTTTTTGTTTTAAGGTTTTTTAAGCATAAAATGAATTCGACATTTGATCCAAACAGATTAAAACAACCGTTACTGTTAAAATGGGTAAAGGTTGATGATACAAGTGAAGGGCCAACACCTCGGTGAGTGTTTTTATTGTTTTTTTTTTATTTGGGTTGGACACAACTGGGCTATTAACTGGTACTCGCCGGTTTCTGTTATAGCCGGGGGTTGACCTCCGAGTTTGGATTTTTGACTGCCTGGCCCTTGGGGTTTGGTTAGATGAGACTGGTTTTCGCCTATCTTTAAAACCACTTGAAAAGTATTGAAAAGGAAATTTAGAAAAATATTTTGACGAAATGTATTTTGGGATTAAATGTCCGAAAATCTCCAAAAAATTCCATTTTTATAGTTAGGGGTGTTTCTAGAGTTTTATTTGATTAATTTTCGACTAAAAGATTCAAACCCGAATCATATTCCTCTTTCGTCGCTTCAAAACAACCAACTAAACCACAAAAGTACCGTACTTAAATTAGAGTAACACTGCCAATTTTAAGTTACTGTGCTGAACCGGTCGGGTTTACTCGATGGTTTTTTAGTTTCGTTTGTTTTTAAACCACGGTTTAGCCGGTTAACTGACTTTGCACAATCTTAATTTAACTAAAATATTTTTTGTTTTCTAGTCCGCGTCATGGCCATCGTGGTATTGGTATCAAAGATTTGATGCTTATTTTTGGTGGAGGCAATGAAGGAATAGTTGATGAATTACACGTTTATAATGCTACCAAAAATAAATGGTTTGTGCCTGTTGTTAGAGGGGATATTCCTCGTGGATTTGCTGCTTATGGTTAATTTTTTATTGTAAATGGGGATGTCCCAGGCATGCGAATGCATGTTTTGTGTTAGAATATGTTTTGTAGTCCTGGTAAAACCCAGACCCAGGGAAATCCCATGAAGGTCAAAAAATGCCTGGACTCTGATTACAAGAAAACCCTAGGCTTTGGTCCAGACCCAGGCCGATCTCTAGTACGTATGCCCATTTTACGTTGGTCAAAGCCTTTAGGACCCGGTTCTAATTCATATTCCTCATCTTCTGGCTCTCTCATGCATTTTCTCATTCGTTTTCGGTGTATATCAGGTCTAGTAAACATGAATTAAGTTCACGATTTTCGGGGGTTTCTGACGGCTAGATCCCCTGATACGGATTTCTTCCTTTTTCCCATTTTGTATAGTTGGCATTCTCCCTGGTTATGGGCCTGCCCTGTTATATTTTTCCACATATTTTTTTTGGCTATTTTCTGTTAATATTTTGAACAGCTCTAATTATCACTGATTTGATTTTCTAAAATTTGTTTTTTAGGTATGGTCACTGATCAACTGAAAGTTTTTATTTTTGGTGGAATGGTTGAATATGGAAGGTTTTTTTTCTTTTGAAATTTTCAAAAAACACCCTCTTTCATCATTTAAGGTACTCAAACGATGTTTATGAATTACAAACCAGTCGATGGGAGTGGCGTCAAATTCGTGTCCGTCCTCCACAAACTGGTCAAAATGGGCCCTGTCCACGTTTAGGACATTCATTTACGCTTGGAAGCAGTCACTATGCTTTTGTTTTTGGAGGATTGGCAAATGATAGTGAAGATCCGAAAATTAACATTCCTCGTTACCTCAATGATTTGTATGCTATCGATCTCAGTCAGTCGCCTACTATGTGGTGGGAAGTTCCGATGGTATTAAAAAATTTTTATTTATTAACTGAAATGCTAAATTGCGGACAAAAAATTTTGTCCGCAAATATTTTGCGGACATTCAGTTTCTTTTTCCGCAAAATTTTGTCCGCAATATCTGTCCGCATCTTTCTTGCGGATTTTTACTTTTAAGATGGTTGAAAAAGTTTTCCTTAAATTTTGTCCGCAATTTTGCTTCTGTCCGCAATTCTGAATCTGTCCGCAATTTTTTTTTGCGGATTTTTATATTTATTTTCAATTTTTAGACGGTTGGAATGCCTCCTTCACCTCGAGAATCACACACAGCCGTTCACTTTCTAACCCAAACAGGAAAAGAACAATTAATTATTTATGGAGGAATGGATGGAAATCGAATGGGGGATGTTTGGATTTTGGATTTAAAAACTTGGATTTGGACAAATCCTGTACCTAATGGAATTATGCCTTTACCTCGTTCTTTACATACTGCTAATGTTATTGGATGTAGAATGGTTGTTTTTGGTGGATGGTAAGTTGAGAGAAATTTTTTGGGGGGGGGGGGGGGTGTATTTGGGTCTTGATTCTCTTCACACAACCCGTACCTGTTACCAGGCATCATGGATGGGTTATCCAAAATTTGATAGTTGTAACTTGAACTTTTTCCTGCCCGAAACTCCTATCCGAAGAGTATTTTGGAAACTCGACTAGGAACCTGACCCGGCTTTTTTTTTCTCAACTCCGACCTATCTCTGTTGTTTACTTGAAAGTTTTGGCCATCAGAGTCTGTCTATTCTTTATAATTTTGAATAGGTAGTCTATTTTCGTAGCATATTTACTTCCTAAATAAATCATTCTGAACCGGTTTATTTTTCTTGTTTCTTTCCTTCCTCCTCCCCTCCCCCCTTTAGTGACGTAATTTTTAATTTGTCCCCGCATAAACTTGTTTTTGATACCCTATATCTAGTCATTTAAAAATATTTTTTCTAGGGTTCCTCTTCAGCCAGCAGACAAAGCAGAAACTCCCGATAAAGAATGGAAATGTACAAATTCTTTGGCTGTTTTAAATTTAAATGCGCTGAGTTGGGAACAACATTCGTTGGATGATTTTTCAACAACAACTTCAACAAATAATGATGATTTGATCAAACCTTGTAGTCGGGCAGGGCATAGTGCGGTTGTTATTAATCGAAGGCTTTATATTTGGTCTGGTCGTGATGGTTATAAAAAAGCTTGGAATAGTCAAGGTTTGAATAATTTTTAGAGTTTTGGGATATTTTTTTGATATACCGCCCCCTTAATTTGAGTCTGTTTTCCTATTATGTGCATAATGGCCAAAGTTCTTTCCTTCTATCTCTAGTCTGACCAGTATGTACATATTAAATGTAAGGAAACCTTGAAACTTAAACTAGGGGAGAGCGGGATGTCAAAAAAATACCAATTTTGGGTACAACTCACTATCAACCGAGTCCCGACTCGATTGAATTTCTCGGCCCCTATAACTTATGAAGAGATGGGCACCTTAATGTTCCTGGTACTAATGGATATAGAATTAAGTACACTAATTGTAAGGCTATCAAAAATCAAAACTAGTGGTCCAAGAACATTAAAATTCCTGGACAACTAGTTGATGAGTTCCGCCCTCTTGAGTTAGGGACAGGACTCATTTTGAGCCGAGACTGTTGAAATGCTCCGTATTAAAATTATTTTTCTATAGTTTGCTGCAATGATTTGTGGTATTTGGAAGCAGAACCTCCAGCAGCCCCAACAGCCATTTCTTTAATTCGAGCAAGTATCAACACATTAGAAATTCAATGGACACCAGTTCCAAATGCTGATCATTATTTGCTTCAAATACTTAAATTGGAATCTCAAGAGGCTGCTGATCAAAGTTTGATTTTTTAAAGAATTTTTAATTTATTTTTTTGTAGAACTTCAAAGTGGTAAACGTGTGATCCGTACAATTCCGGCTTCTGGAGGATCTGTAAATTTTTTGTTTAAATTTTTATGACTTTTTTTTTAAAGATTCGAATGGTTAGGCCTTCTACTTATCGCCAACAACAACAACGTTCTATTATGATACAGCGTGGAGGTATATACTAAAATATTATTTTTTGAGGGTGGACCTGGACTATGGCTTGGTCTAAAATTTTTTTTGTTTTTAAAGAAGTGGGATTTTTTGAAATTTCTATGTAAAATCCAAGGACGTAGCCTGGCACAAATTTTTCGAACGCAAATTCCCACTCAGCCCCTGGCTACGCCTCGGTAAAGTCTCCTTAGATCCTCAATTGTGTTTGGCGGGTCCGAAAAAGTCAGTATATCATAAAATTCAGGTTCAGATATTCGAATTCGGATTTTTGGGGATTCCTTTGCATTAACCAGCCTTAATCCTCAAGTCAGATCTCTTTTTTATTCCAATTTTATTAAAGGCGCCTTTTACTGTTTTTTTTGGTCTTATTTAAATTCTAATCCGATGTTTTTAAATGTTGTTTTTTCATTTTTAGGTTTTACTCAACAACAACAACAACAACAACAACAGCAACAATCACCTGTTCAGTCACGTCCTATTTTAGTTCAAAAAGGGCCTCTAGGTGCTAATGCACAGCCACCAATATTTCAATATGGACATTCTATGGTTTGAAAATTTCTTGAAGAAATTTTGTGAAAAATAATTTTGCACGTTTTTAGCAGCCACAGCGGAACAAATTTGGTATTCTTCAACAACAAGGTTTTTAAATTTGCGGTTAATTGATTTTATTTTTTTCTTTTAGCATCCCCTTATAATCCACAAACAACAGCAATAACTCCAACAAGAACTACATATACTGCGCAAGTTGCTTCGGCAATAGATGTAAAAATTTTTTTAAATAAGTGGTGGCGTATCCTGGGACCAACACACACCTCATTTTAGCCCCTGCCTGAAATTCGACCCCTGGCTGTCTCCTTGGGAATATGTTGAAATTTGGTTTAAATCAGGGTGTGCCTTTTTGTCTTTCGCCAAAATTTCGCTTTTTTGGACTTCCGTCTTTTGTTTTTTAAATTTACTTTTGCTTTTTAAAATCTGTTTCAGCACACTCTTGGATCTAGGACTCTTTCCACTGTAGCGGTGATTCATCGGACCATTATCCCCATTTTTATATCAAAAACCACCTCGACCTCTGTCCCATTGAAACACCCATCTGACCTTAACGAAAAAATAATTTTTCTATTTTTTTAAGTCAACTATGCCAACAAATATACTTGATGAAGCATTAAATGAAGCTGAAAGTTTTGTTGATGAACAATTACAAAAACAACAAGAGGGAGAACAAGGTAAAGAATTTGATGAAGAAGAGGAAGAGAAGAAGAAAAATGGAATTGATGAGGGAAGGAAAGATTTGAAAGAAAAAATTGAAAAATCTTTGGAGGAAATGGAAGAAGATAAAGATAAAACTGGTGGTAGTTCTATACTTGAAGTTGAACAGGTTTTTTGTTTGTTAATTAGAGATAGGAATTTTTGAAAAGCCTGGGCCTGTTCTTGGGTTCTGTGTTTGATTTATTGACTTGGGCCGGCTCCTAGGCCCGTAGTCCAAGTAACCTAGGCCCAGGAAAACCCCCAGGAAGGTAAAAAAATGCCTGGGCCTGGACTCTGGGTACAGGAAAAATACAGGCTTTGGTCCTGTCCCAGGCCGATCTCTACCGTTAATTTTTAAATTTTTCTGAATAGGGTTGGGGACCCGATCCGGCCCGGTCCGAAAGATCGTATCGGTCATCGAATTTTGGCTCGAAAAAGACTGGGTCGGGCCGGCCCGATAAAAATGAGGTCCGAAAGAAATGACTCGAACGTTGTCCCGACTCGAAAACCCCAACCCTATTTTTGAAATATTTAGATGCGTGCTGCAAAGGATGATGATGTTAAAGATGATGTGAAAAATAAAGAAGAAATTGCTGGTGAATTGAGTGAAGGAGGAGGATATTTTCAACCTCTTGAAGATGATACGGCCAATACTTCTTTAGATGAAAATAATCGGGAAGATGGACAGGTTTGTTAAATTTTAATTTTTGGTTGGGTTCCCAAAGTCCACATGTCTTTTCACAAATTTTTAGAATTTTCTCTAAAAAGGGATCTTGAACGTGGGTCTTCTAGAAAAAATTTATGAAAATCTTCTAGAAAAAATTTGAGATTTTATTTTTAAATATTTTTTAAAGAATCAAGAACAACAAAATCAACAAAATGAGCAGCTTCAATCAAGTAATGTAGAAAATGCTGCAACAACCGCAGAATTAACAACAAATGCTGAAACGACAACTACTAGTACAGCTACTCTTCCTAGTACTGTTGCAACTTTGGATGATCAAATACAATCTAATGATAATAAGGTTTATTTGAAAAATTTTTTTCATCATTTTTTAAATTATTTTTTTAGGCTGTGGAGGAACAAGAAAAAGAAGTTCAAAATGGATCTTCTTCACAAATTGCATTGAATCAGCAGCAACAACAATCTACTACTGTTGGACCTCGTCAATTTAATTTTTCTTCGACACAGCAACATCAGTCTTTGGACAATTGGTATTTTTGGGGGAATTTTTTGGGAAAAATTTTTAGGACTTTCAAGGTCCTATTTTTTAATTTTTATTTTTCCTGCTTTATTTTCTGGCAACTAAATTAATCAAAAAGGGTTGATTTTGTTTTAGGTTCCACGATGATAGAAGATCGTCCTACTCATTTTTTCTATAGAAAAGGCCAACACTTATTGACCCAACTTGTCGGAGTTTGGGTCCTATATAAGTTTTTTTGCCTGATCCGTCTTCTTTGAGTGAGAGATATCCTTCCGTAAACTATAAAAATGTTTGTTTTCCGGTTACTAATTCCAAATATCTCTCCCAAGCCAAAGTTTCAAAATTTCGCATTTCATTGCTTTAAATAAAGGTGTGATGTTGCTACACTAAACGAAAGTAAATGTTTAGTTACACAATATTTGGCACCAATGGATGCAAATGAACAGGTTTATTATGTAAGATAATTTAAAAAGTTTTTTTTTATATTTTACTTCTTCAGCAACAATTTACACAGGATCAAGGAATTTCTCCATCAACACAAGATTATCGAAAAGTTGTTGGATTAGAACCTGGATTTGTTTATAGGGTATAAATTTTAAAAAAGATTTTTTAAAGGGGTTAAACTTCAGTTAGTCAGATCTCACTTAAGATTAACTTTAATTTTGGTTACGTTTTACTTGGTTGATTGACCATTGGAAGTGAGATCCGGAATAGAAAAATGCCTTTGTATCTGAAATTTTCAGTTGGGATATCGGTTCTGGTTTTGGAGCTTTCGCAGGAACCGCCAACCTTACATTTGAGATATATGAGTCCTAGACTGGATTTTAGGGTTCTCTGGTTTTAAGTCGAATTAATTCCATGAGATTCCATCCTGTTTAACTATTTCAAAAAAATCTCTTTACGAAATCCCGAATTCGGGATGTTGCCAGCGCGTTTCAGTAAGGATACATACCAAAGGTTATATCTTTTAGCAAAGGCGTATCCAAGGGGGGAGAAGTGGGTGAGGTAAAATCCCTCTAAATCGACCCCTGTCTGCGCCATTGTCATCTAGTGAGGCTTGACTTGTTTTAATTATAAAAATTAAAAAATATTTTCTTTAGTTTCGTGTTTGTGCATTCAATGCTGTTGGACAAAGCAAATGGTCACCTGCTAATAGTTTTCGTACTTGTATTCCTGGATTTCCTGGTGCACCTTCTTCAATAAAAATAACAAAAGGAACTGATGGAGCAATTATATCTTGGGTTTATTTTTTGAAGTTTCTGGAAAATTTTTCAAAAAAAATTTTTTAAGGAACCGCCACAGACTACAAATGGCGATATTGTTGAATATTCTGTCTATTTAGCGATGCGTTCTGCTTCATATGGACAGCCTGCATTTGTGCCTGTTTATATTGGGCCTGCTCCGAATTGCATGGTTTCTTTAGAATTTTTAAATAATTTTTTGAAATTTTATTTGAAGGTCAATCATCAAAATCTTCAATTGGCACATATTGATACTAGCCTAAAACCAGCAATAATATTTCGGATTGCTGCAAGGAATGATAAGGTTTTGATTTTATGAAATATAGGATAAGTATAGGGTTGTTGGTCCCGGGAAAATATTTTTCAATATCCGGTGTCGGGATGAAGACGTAACCGAGAATTCTTGATTCTTCGATTCCGACCCCAGCAACCCTTTATGATAGATAATGTCGTCGTCGTTCTTTGCTTAATTTTTTTGAGCTTGTTGGTCTTATAGGTAATATTGGTTAGGAAAAATAAATTAACTTTTTATTAACTATTTATTGTTAGAGAATGTAAGAAAGAAGGGAAAAATAATTTAAAAACGAGTGCATTTAGTAGTTTTCGACCCGTAGTTTTGTAGTTCTTTAATACAAACTCTGATACCCGGCCCAACTTTTTTTAAACTCCCATAGCAGCTGATATAATAATCAAATTGCTCTTATAACTTTTACTTGAAAAATTTTTTTATTAAAGGGTTATGGACCAGCAACACAAGTTCGTTGGTTACAAGATCAACGACCTATGGCTGTTATGCCTCCTTTAATTCCAAATCAATCTGCTACAGTTGTTTCTGGTATATCTCCAGGAACTGCTCCAATTCTTGGAAGTACCCCAAGTAATGTTATTAGAAAATCTGTTGGTGGTGGTGGTGGTACTTATACTTATCAACAACAACAGCCCCAAAAACAACAACAAATTGGTGCTCCTATAATAACTGGAGGAGGTGGTGGGGGAGAAAGAGGAGGAGGAGCAATTTATTATCCTTCAACAGCCCCAGTTACACGTAGAGTGCTTACAACTTCAAGTGTTCGACAACGTTCTTCTCCAGCTATGATGCATCAATATTCGACGTCTACTGGAAATGTTGCTATGGTTCAACCTCAGTTACATGTGAGAATTAAAATTTTTTTTGAAAATTTTTTGAAGGGTTAGGGCCTAGAATTTTCAAAAAAAATTTTTAATTTTCAATAGGGTTACGCCTAGAAATTTTCAAAAATTTTTTTTGCAATTTTTAATAGGGTTAGGCCATAGAAATTTTAGAAAAAAAATTTTTTGAAAAATTTTTAAAGGGGTTAGGCCTAGAATTTTCGAAATATTTTTTTGAAATTTTTAGTAGGTTTAGGCCTATGAATTTTCAGAAAATTTTTTTAATAGAATTTTAACCAAACCCTTTCTTTAAAGTTATCTCCTTCCGCAAGACCATCAACTAGCAGTTATGATTTGTCTTCTACAAATACTACAAGTTCTCCACATCAACTGCAACAACGACGTATTATACCATTAATGTCATCATCTTCCTCCTCTGCAGAGCATCCACAAAAAATTCGTTTGCAACATATGGAAGGATCATCAACATCAATTGCAACAACAACAAGTAGTAATAGTAGTCAATATCAAGAGGAGACATTTTCTGGTGGACATGGAGGGGGAGGAGGAGGACCCCGAAAAATTATGGTTCAACAACCTTCTTTAACTTCTTCTGGTGGTGGAAGAGGAGGAGAAGGACCTTTAAATCCTGGATTAACTGTACGCGAATATTTGACATCAGGTACTACTCCAAATAAAAGAATTCGTTTGGAGCAGTGAAGAAGAGAAGGGAAGGGAGGAAGGAGAAGATTTTTTTGGGGAGGGAGAGATGATTTGAATGAAAAAAAAATAAAAGGGGGGAAAATTGAAAGAAAAAAAAGTTTTTTGATTTTTTTGTTTTTTTTCAATATTTTTAACTTGCTATTTTTTTTAATTAAAAAAAAATTTAGTAAGAAGGGAAAAAATGTTGGAAAAATAATTTTTTTTTAATTTTTTTGGTGACACTCAATTTTATTTTTAAAATTTATTTTTTTTTGATTATTTTTTGTACCCTTTTCTATTTAATATATTTTTTGAAGCATAAATGGTTTTGTGGCCAAATTCTTTGTTTTCTAAAATATTTTTTTTAGTTAGTTACTAAACTTGTTATAACTTTTATTGTGCTCTAATTGGTCGTTTTTTGTTTTAGTGCTTCAAGACTCTGATGCCCCTGGTTTATTTTTTTTAATTTTCTGAAATTTTTGTTTTTAGGAGCTGATTTTGGATGTCAAACACAATTATTATCAACTTGGATTGCCGACGAATTTTGACTAATGCTTTGCTTTTTGATGCGTGATGATGAACTTAGAGATGCAGTCAATCCGGTCAAAAATGAGTCAAAAAATCAAAAGTCAACCCTCTTCATTCTCGCAAGTTAATTTATTTTGAGGGGATGTGAAACTTGAACATGTAAGAAAGGTTTGTGATGTTAAAAAATTGTTTTCCATTGAGCGGGTTCGAACCTTGCTCGTTTTCCACCAATAGATTGAACACTATCCCACTACACCAAAGTGGTTACTTCTTTCTTTAGTCGCGTATTTAGTTGGATTGTTAAATGTGGGGCTGGGAAATAAATTATTATTAACTAGCGGAGTTGGTCGGCCTTCGGCCGCCCCACCCCGCTAGCATAACAAAACTTCAACTCAAGATCCTATTCAAAAGCCTATGGCCGACCCATCTCGCTTACCCAATTTTTCTCCTCCCAATTCCGCCTGCTTCACAATTCTCTGTTTCACTATTTCGCCTGCTTCTCAATCCCCCTTCATTCCCCCTGCTTCAATATTCCGCCTGCTTCACATCCCCCTTCATTCCCCCTGCTTAAATATTCCGACTGCTTCACAATACCGCCTGCTTCACAATTCCCCTGTTTCAATATTCCGCCTGCTTCACATTTCCACCTGATTCAATATTCCGCCTGCCTCACATCCTCTTCATTACCCCTGCTTAAATATTCCGCCTGCTTCACAATTCCCTCTGTGTCAAATGAACGTTGACGTCTAGCACTTCAAATGAACGTTGACGTCTAGCACTTCAAATGAATGTTGACGTCTAGCATTGACAAATGAACGTTTACGCCTAGCACTTCAAATGAACGTTGACGTCTAGCATTGACAAATGAACGTTGACGTCTAGCACTTCAAATGAACGTTGACGCCTAGCACTTCAAATGAACGTTGACGTCTAGCACTTCAAATGAACGTTGACGTCTAGCACTTCAAGTGAACGTTGACGTCTAGCACTTGACACATGAACGTTGACGTTTAGCACTTCAAAAGAACGTTGATGCCTAGCACTTGACACATGAACGTTGACGCCTAGCATTTGACAAATGAACGTTGACGCCTAGCACTTCAAATGAATGTTGACGTCCACTTCAAATGAACGTTGACGCCTAGCACTTCAAATGAACGTTGACGTCTAGCAGTTGACAAATGAACGTTGACGTCTAGCACTTGACACATGAACGTTGACGTCTAGCATATGAACGTTGACACCCAGCACTCAAGAGGACACAGGACTCCAGCAAACGTTGACGTAGAACAGAGCACAGCAATATTGAGAAGTGTTGATAGCAGTTGAAGAATGACCAAAATACCCTGCTTTTATACTCTCTTTTTACCCTTACAACCTAATTCAACTGGCAACACTTTACTATAAAAGCCCCCTTTTCTTCACTCCCCCAATCACTTTACTATAAAAACCCACTTGTCTATAAAAGGACAAACACACACACCCTTCTCAATTATATAATTAGATTCTGAAACGATTCCTTTGGTTGAAAAGGTTTTTTAAATTATATTTGATATGATTTTAAAAAATTAATTTTTTAAAGAGAAGAACGAGCTGTTGTAAAATTGAGGTAGCCATTGGGTGGGATTGAACAACTTGGCCCACAGGTTCGCTAAGTTCTATCCTCAATTTATTTTACTATTTTATCAATCAGCTTGGGGTGGGAATTTTTTGGTGTATCACAAATCCTGACTTATTTCAACGATACTTTTGTGCATGTCACTCACCTTTTGTGCCTGAAACTATAGTGAAAATTACTGGTAGAATGCGTGTAAATGCTGACAGGGACGAAGAAAGCCCGTACGAGCCAATGATTGCTTCTCACTGCTTTTCATCTTTGAGAATCTCATTGTTTCATCTTTGAGAATCTCATTGTTTCATCTTTGAGAATCTCATTGTTTCATCTTTGAGAATCTCATTGTTTCATCTTTGAGAATCTCATTGTTTCATCTTTGAGAATCTCATTGTTTCATCTTTGAGAATCTCATTGTTTCATCTTTGAGAATCTCATTGTTTCATCTTTGAGAATCTCATTTTTTCATCTTTGAGAATCTCATTGTTTCATCTTTGAGAATCTCATTGTTTCATCTTTGAGAATCTCATTGTTTCATCTTTGAGAATCTCATTGTTTCATCTTTGAGAATCTCATTGTTTCATCTTTGAGAATCTCATTGTTTCATCTTTGAGAATCTCATTGTTTCATCTTTGAGAATCTCATTGTTTCATCTTTGAGAATCTCATTGTTTCATCTTTGAGAATCTCATTGTTTCATCTTTGAGAATCTCATTGTTTCATCTTTGAGAATCTCATTGTTTCATCTTTGAGAGCAATCATTGGCTCGTACGGGCTTTCTTCGTCCCTGTCAGCATTTACACGCATTCTACCAGTAATTTTCACTATAGTTTCAGGCCCAAAAAGGTGAGTGACATGCACAAAAGTATCGTTGAAATAAGTCAGGATTTGTGATACACCAAAAAATTCCCACCCCAAGCTGATTGATAAAATAGTAAAATAAATTGAGGATAGAACTTAGCGAAACTGGGGGCCAAGTTGTTCAATCCCACCCAATGGCTACCTCCATTTTAAAACAGCTTGTTCTTCTTTTTAAAAATTAATTTTTTTAAATCATATCAAATATAATTTAAAAAACCTTTTCAACCAAAGGAATCGTTTCAAAATTAATAATAATTTCTTTCCCAGCCCCACATTTATCAATCCAACTGAATACGCAACTATAGAAAAAAGTAACCACTTTGGTGTAGTGGGATAGTGTTCAAATTGGGTGAACACTTATCCCACTTCAATCAACAGAATTAATAGTTTTTGTTGTTGGATCGCGCTTAGTTCAGGCATAAACTTTTTCGTTGCCAACTAAATTTTTTTTAAATATTTTCTTAGTTAGTGGACTTGGTTTGTTCAAATTCCTTTAGACTAATTTCTTTTGGGCAATACTCTAAAGGCCCTTGGGTTTTTTTCAATTTTCCCCGCAGGCAAGTATTATACCAGCAACCTCAAAAAATGACGTGACGGACAGTGCTATGGTCGCAGGTGGTAGAGGGGAATGGCAGAGTGGCACATACAAGGGAAGGAAATAAACGGCCATACAGGTGAAAATATTTTTAAATATTTAGAGGGAACGACAGATCCGTGAAGTATAAAATATGTAAAATTTTATATTCAAGGCTATGTTCTGTGGCACTCATGGCATTTTTTGGTGTGAGAGAGAAGACTTGGATATATGCTAGAAGAGACATGGCACTGTACTTGGAAATGTTTTTATTTCTTTTTGCATTCGAGGCTGGCTGCTCTGGCCTGGTTAGTTGGTCGGCTTTTTTCAACACAAACAAGCTAGAAGGAAAAATATGTGAGTATATATATTTATACTAAAAAATAAAGGGCTAGTAGGATGTAGGGTAAGAGGGAAGGATTGAGAGGGAGGGAAAATATTGTCAGAGGGAGCTTCGAGAAAAAAGATTGGAATTTTTGCGTGACTAAAAATAATAAAAGGCAGAAAAAGCCATGTGTCCGTCATTTGGCACTTTAAAATAAAAAATAAAAGGGGGTAGTAAAAAGGCCTGGCCATTAGGAAAGAAAGTTTTGGTCAAAACAACTGAAGGAAAAAGTAAAAGTTCCTTATATTTTCCCCTCAATAGCTTCAAAAACATATTCTTTTACTTAAAATTGATTTTGAGTAATCGGCCTTATTTTTATATTATTTTTATCTTTTTTGGATTTTTAGTAGTTAAAAATAGCAGTTACTTTAAGCTAGCTTTTAAGGCGCTAAAATTTATCATTTTCTTTTGTATTTTCTGGAAAAGTTTAAGTTTGTTAAATGAAGGTTGGTTATAGTGTTCCGTTAGCTTAGTCGGTAGTGCGGTAGTGTTTGGTGAACGAAAGCGTAATAAGGTCGCAGGTTCGATGCCTGACGAGTGTCTCTATTTTTAATTATCTTGTTTTGACTCATATTTTAGTTTCTTTCTTCTTCTTGAATTTTTTTTCTATTTTTAAAAATTAAAGTACAACAATCAAATAGTAATTTACACCTTAGTAAACTCACTCATATATTCCAATTATTTTTTAAAGTTGTTTTCTTCGTTGTCTATACAAATATTTTATGCTATTCAAGTATTAGCAACTATTTATTATTGTTTATTTACTCTTTAACAATTGCAACAAAAATGAGTTTTTTTTCGCAAAATTTTGTACGAGAGAACGAGATTTGTCCGTATTCCTTTTAGATTTAGCCGGCTTTTAAATTTCTTAAATTATTTTTTCATTAGCCTAAGTTGGGTTATTGCCTTTGTTCTCACAAAGTTTTATCCACAAAGTCATCAAAGTTGATTATTTTTTAAATTTTTTACTTAAAAATCCCTCCAAAAAAGCCTTTTAACCTTTTTTCTACATTAGCTTTATTCACGCTTAATTTCCCAAAAATGCATAAATTCATGTTCGTTTAGTGTGCCAACATCACTTTTTATTTTGCCAGCCATTTTCTGTTTTTTTTTTTTATTTTTTTCTCACGGTTCTCTTGTCATTTCCAATTGCTTTTAATATTTTTTCTTTTTTTTTAATGTTTAGCCTTAAAAAACTAAAGAAAAAATTTTTATTCACTCTTTATTTAGATAAAAGAGAATTTTTTTCTCGAATCGAATCGAGATGTAAAATGCGAACACGTAGGAACCGAAAATAAAAATTTTTGTCGTTCTCGAGTAGTTTGGTTAGAGGGCCATTTTTAGGGGGGAGAAATCGAAAATGTTTTTTTGTTTGGGCTGTTCGGTTATTGCTTGGGAGGGCTTTCATTCGCCATGTATTAGAGGTGATTGTGTATAGGTCGGCCTCTCACCGTTGGATCCATATTAATTTCACTTTGTGTCACTTCAAACCTCCGGCCCTTGTCCCCCAAACAATGGGACTTTTTTCCGTCTTCAGAAATCGGTCAGTTATTGCTGGGGGCTTTCATTCACCATTTATGAACACGTTCACCTCTGACTGAGCTACCACTGGCTCTTTTTTCCTCTTTTTAGCAGGAATAATCTCCGACTGAGCTACCGGAGCATTGCTGCTCTTACTTACTCTTTTCTAGAAGGAAGGATCCCCCTTTCAAAATTTTTAATTTTAAAAAATAATTTTTATTCTTGCCTTTGTTTAAAATTAATTTTTTCCTTTTTTTTCAAAGGTTTCTGAAAACTTAGAAAAGCAACAAAAATAAACAAATATCAATAACCTTTTCTAAAATAATTGGCAATTTTTAATTGGAAAATGGGTGAATACTATCAACAACAAAAAGGGGGTGGTGGAGGTTATGGACAAGTATCTTATGGATATCCAGCTATGTTAGTAGTATAGTTTTTATAATTTTTTTGAAGGTTTAGGAATTTTTAAGAATTAAAATTTTTTATAAATTACTAAGATTAGAGATAGGAAACCTATGGATTTAATTAAGATAACCCGATTGGGATGGTTTTCCAGTCTCTGAATGTAAATTAGGTCTCTAACAATAAATTAGACTTGAAGCTTCCTTTTCCTTCACATGATTTGGAGTTGACGAATCCTTATTAGAAAAAGTCCGGGGATTTCCACGGAAATCCGAGGATTTTTTGTACAGATATCTGGGAATTTCCCAAGATCCGTGCAACACCCTCCTTGTGATAATTTAAAAAATTTGCTTGTCCACCTAGCAAAAACAGCCCTAATCTCGTTAACCGTTGTAAGTTTTGCTCGGATCTGGAGTGACAAAAAATTTTTGTATCATTTCTAAAAATAAATTTAAAAAATATTTTTTAGGCACTGCAACATTTCAAGGGCTTATATGGACCTAACTGAAGTAAATTAAAATTTTTTTAAATTTTATTTAAAAAATTAATATTTTAAAGATGGAAAGAAAATGTTTAGAACAACGTAAATATTGGTGTTTTTTACTTTCTTCAATTGTTACATTTTGTGTTTCTATGCTTTTGGTTGTTATTTGGAGGGTAATTTTTTTAAGAAATAAATACATAAATAAATAAAAATTAAAAAAATTTTTTTTAATAATTTGCGGACAAAATTTGCGGATTTTTTTTTGTCCGCAAGTTTTGTCCGCAAAAAAAAAATTTTTTTTTAATTTTTTCAGATATCAACACATTTATTTTTACAACCAAGAGAAAGAGGTGGAGGAGGTGGAGGTTTATCCGAACCTTTAATTCAAGATGTTGAAAGCTACAAACAAGGAGGAATAATTAAAACAAAAATTGCGGCAACAACAAATCAAGAAATGAGAAAAGAACCTGTACAAATTGGGTGGATGACGGAAGCTAAGGATTGGGCTGGGTAAGGAATTTTTTTGAAAGGAAAAAATTTTTTGAAAAAAAATTTTGAAAATTTTCTGGAAATTTTTTAAAATAAAAAATTTCAATAGAAAGTCCGCAAGTTTTGTCCGCAAGTACGTGCGAACTCTCCATCCAAAAGTATATTAACTTTTTGGGTGGAGTATCTCTGAAAGAGAACAACCAGTTCTCAGAGATTAATCCTTTTCCTCCTTTCTCCTTGTTGAAATAAATATTTTAATTTATTGCGGACAAAATTTGCGGACACATAATAAAATTTTTAAATTGGGAGAAAAAATCAGTTTTTGGGTTAAGAAAATTTATCGGGTTGAATTTTTGGGTCGTAAAAAATCTGGGTATTGGATTTTTGGCGCCTGGCCCTTTGAAAATTTTTTTTGAAAAGTTAAAAAAATAATTTTTAAGAGAATTAATATCTGGACAAAGCATGACTGGACGTATTTTAGTTGTTTTAGTATTTTTATTGTCAATTGGATCCTTAATTATATATTTTGTTGATACTTACAGAGATTCTTTTCAAGTTGAAACTTGTGTGCCATGGTTTGGATTTTTTTAGAAATTAAAAATTAAAAAAATAATTTTTTTTTTGAATAGGAGTGAAAGTCCAACTCAACAAATTGATTTAGGTAAATTTTTTAGAAGGAAAATATTTGCGGGGCTTTTTGCTGGTTGATTTCTAGCAGAAAAATCGGGGTTTTAGACAAGTCTAGTTGGGTTTTCAAAATTTTTTTCTGTTCGGATTTCAAAAATTTTATTTCGAAATATGTCCGGGTTTTGAGTTTCGAGTTAGCCCATTCATGATACCTGGTATCCCCCAAAAATTATAACTTGGAATAAGACCTAAAACTGGGGAGGGGCACTTTGGTGCTAAAGCTATCCCCCTCCTCCCGAAATGGAGATGCACACATCCCATTTTTAGCCCCCCTGAAATCGACTCCCTGGCTATGCCTTTGACTTGGGACCTAATACAGGATTGTTCCCATTTTAGTAAAATTTATTTTTGTCCGCAAATGTTGTCCGCAAATTATTTTTTTTATTTAATTTATTTTTAATTTATTTAAGGCTTCAATATTTTCTTTTTAATTTACTTCTTTATTCGCTTTATTGCTGCATCTGATAAAGTTTGGTTTTTGTTGGATCGTTACAGTTTTGTTGATTTTTTTACAATTCCTCCAAGTTTTGTTGCAATTTATTTGGAACGTAATTGGATTGGTAAGGGGAAAATTATTTATTTTAATTTCTAGAAATGTGGGGGTATTTTATGCAAAGATTTTATGTCTCCCTATCCAGTGACCAAACTAGTCTTAAAAAAATTATTTTAATCGAGGGATGTATGTAAAATTTAGACCTTACTTTATCTGATTTTCTTTTTTATCCTCATAAAAAGTCCGCAAATTTTGCAAAATTTTTATTTAATTCAAAAATGGTATTGTGGATGAATTTTGCGATTTTTTGGGACTCTAGTCTGGTTTATGAGTTCAATAACCTTTCTGAATCTAAAGAAAGTATAAAGAAAATGAACTAACAAACATTAAGCTTTTTGAAATTTGTGCCTTTATATCTTGTATTTTTTCTTTAAAAAAATTTTTTTAAACAGGTCTCCGTTTTCTACGAGCATTACGTTTAATGACAGTCCCAGATATTCTTCAATACTTAAATATTTTAAAAACTTCATCTTCAATTCGATTAACCCAACTACTTTCAATATTTATTTCTACATGTTTAGCCGGTGCTGGTGTTATTCATTTACTCGAAAATAGTGGAGATCCTTGGAAGTTTGTTAATTTTTTTAAAAAATTTCAAGAAAAATGTTTTTTAATTTTTGCGGACAAAACTTGCGGACAAGAAAAAAAATCCGCAAATTTTGTCCGCAAATTTTCAAGAAAAATTTTTTTTGAAAAATTTTTTCCTAAAAAATTTTTATTGTTTTCTAAAGAGATTTTGTCAATTCTCATCGAATTTCTTATCCCGATTGTGTTTATATTTTGCTAGTTACAATGTCGACTGTTGGTTATGGAGATATTGTTTGTTTTATTTTTTTTAAAATTTTCTAAAAAATTTTTTTTAAGTATTGTACAACAGTTTTGGGTAGAGGCTTTATGGTATTTTTCATTCTTGGAGGTCTTGCAATGTTTGCTTCGTTTGTACCCGAAATTGCAGAATTAATTGGTAATAGGCAAAAATATGGTGGAGAATATAAAGGAGAACATGGAAAGAGACATATTGTTGTTTGCGGGTATATTTTTTTTAATCTCTTTTTATGTATTCCTCTCTATTTTCGGTTAGATTTGAGATCATATTTTGGCCAATAACTTTTTTTATTCTTTTCCGATTTGAATAATTTTTCGGAATTCGAAAGATATGGATCAGAGGATTATTTTACCTAGCAGGATTGATTTGTTGGGATATTTCTACAGAAAGTTACAGTCAAATAAGTCGGGATAATCGTGATTTTCGATCTTTATTTGGCTTTAACTTTTTGTAGAATATTCAGATAAGATAGGTTTGTTATTAAAAAGATGCCGCATCTCGAGATCTTTCAAATGATATGAAAATTGCTCGAATCGGGGGAAAACCAAGAAAGTTGTGGCCCAAAATATGGCCTAGATACTGACTTGTCATTCGAATTTTCCTTGATTTTAATTTAATTTTTTTTATTTTTTGTAGGCATATAAATTACGAATCAGTTTCACATTTTCTACAAGACTTTTTACACGAAGACAGAGAAGATGTTGATGTTGAAGTTGTTTTTTTGCATAGAGTAGTTCCAGATTTGGAATTGGAAGGACTTTTTAAAAGGCATTTTACTAAAGTGGAATTTTTTACAGGTTTGGATTGTGGGGGAATTTTGTGTAGTGGGTGGGAAGACATGAAGATCGCCTTGGTCTTGATTAATAAAATGGTTTTGGAATTTTCAATGGTTTTTGAATTTTCTCGGGCCTTTGTTCGGGTGCGTATTTTGATCTGAGTTTTGAGAAATATTTTCCGGGAGTTTTTTCGATTTTCTCCCGATGTATTAGTCAAGTCTCGGATTCTAATCTCGAGTCTGATTTGTATCTTAGTTTTGAGTTTTGGGGAAATTTAGGCATTTGTTAGTTTGATAGACATATTTTAGGGAAAGAGGTTACGTTGCTTTTTTTTCCGATCATTTTAATATTTTTTATTTTAAACTTTTTATTGTTTAGGCACAGTGATGGATTCAATAGATTTACAGCGTGTAAAGGTTTTTTTTAAATTATCTAATTTTTATGTTTAAAAAAATTTTTTAATAGGTAGATGAAGCAGATGCTTGTTTAGTACTTGCAAATAAATATAGTTCTGATCCTGATGCTGAAGTATTTTTTTTTGTTTTAAATTTTTAAAATATTTTTTTGAAGGATGCAGCAAATATAATGAGAGTAATTTCAATAAAAAATTATTCTTCAGAAATTAGAGTAATTGTTCAATTAATGCAATATCACAATAAAGCATATTTATTAAATATTCCAAGTTGGGATTGGAGAAGGGGAGATGATGTTATTTGTTTGGCTGAATTAAAGGTTTTTTTGTTTTGAAAATTTTTAAGGATTGTGGGGGAGGGGAAAGGAAGGAAGTGGTGAGTCTATTACTCGAAGCCTGGACCCCTGATTTTTTTGACCCTGAAAATGTTTACCGTGACCAAGATAAATTTTGCCAGGGTTCAGGAAACGACCGTAACCCTAGCATTTTTTCATGGATTTTTTTAAAAATAAGAAATTTGGCTTTTCGATTTTTCAAAATTCTCAAAATCAAATTTAGGCTGTATTCAAATTTTGTAACTGGCCCGACTCAAAAATTAACCCATCTCTGTTAGAAATTTTTACAAACCCAGATTAATTATTTTTTTATACTCTTATCTTTTCTCCTCCCCTCCTTACATTTTTACTTAATTTGTTTTTTTAAAGTTGGGATTTATCGCTCAATCATGTTTAGCACCAGGATTTTCAACAATGATGGCTAATTTATTTGCAATGCGGTCATTTAAAACGGTTTTTCTTTTTGAAATTTAAGAATATTCGTTGTTTGATTTTTTGCTTTTTTAATTTTTCGTTTAACCCTGATTTTCTTTTCTAAAAAATTCCCTAAATTTATAAGAAATTCAAGATTTTTTTGGGTTTAATTAACTTTAATTCTAACCAAGGAAAAAGATGGGTTGGGTCGGCGATTGTGAATTTGCTAGAAAAATTTTTTGAATTTTTGCTCATTTTTAATTAATCCCCAGCTTAAAGGAAGTCTATACATAATCCATCTTGAAGGAAATTCTTTAAAAAAATTTTTTTGTTTCAAAATGGGGGAGGGGGGGGGGCAAAATTATAAACTCTACGATCGTCAACCTTTCCCTTTAACTAGCTAATTAATTTAATTTTTGCTAATTAACTTTATTGCTTATTTTTAAAAATTTTTAAACAGTCTCCACACACTCCAGAATGGTTAAATGAATATTTAAGAGGATCTGGAATGGAAATGTATACAGAAACTATGTCTTCTAGTTTTATTGGAATGCGGTTTCCTGATGCTGCAGAGTTTGCTTTTTTTTGAAAAATTTTTTTTGAAATTTTTTTTAAATGTTGGGGGTTCCATTCCTTGTCTTTAAAAAATATTTTCTTTTGTCCTCTGCTGTTTTCTGAATTTTTTTAAGAATTTTTCTCTTCCATTTTCTAGTCCAAACATACCCCAGATTGGCTTTCCCTATATTTATGTGGGGCAGGTATGGAAATGTATACAGAAATGTTGTCACATTCTTTTGTGGGTCTACGATTTCCTGATGCTGCTGAGTGAGTATTGAGTCGATAAAAAAATTTTGAGAATTTTTCTGAGAGGAGAGGGGGTCCAAAAATATAGTTTAATATATTTTTCTTGGGTTTTTTAAATTTTTCTGGGGCCAACCAAAGAATTTTTTAAAAATTTTTTTGAGTTATTTTTTTCAAAAATTTATTTTCTTCTCAAATAAATTCATTTTTCTTAAATCAAAAAAAAATCTTTTAAATATTTTTCCCTTCATTTTATTTTTTTTCAGCCTTTTATTTACTCGACTTGGACTTTTACTTTTGGCTATAGAATTAAAAGATGAAGATAAAAAGGAATGCAGGTTTCTTATAATAAAAAAATTTATTTTTTTAATTCTATTTTTAAAGCATTGCGATAAATCCTGGTAAGTGTTATATATTTTTTATTATTTAAGCAAAGCAACCGCGGTAGACTAGGAGGGGATCAATCAATTAGGGGGTGGTCGCTCAAGTTTAGCGCCCTTTTTTAGAAAAAAAATCCCTGGAATAAGAGGAAATTCTTGGAGCTATTTTAAATACTAATCCTTAAAAAACTGAACAAAAAACATAAAAATATATTTTATATTCCAGGTCCAGTAACCGTCATTTTGCCGCAAACACAAGGATTTTTTATTGCACAATCAGCCGATGAAGTTAAAAGGTAAAAAGATTTCGAAACTATAGTGAATTAATTTAAATTTTGTTTCATGTGCTCTTGTGGCGCAACCGGTTAGCGCGTTCGGCTGTTAACCGAAAGGTTGGTGGTTCGAATCCACCCAGGAGCGGATGATTTTTTCTTGGGGTTTTTTGACTTGGGAAAATTTTTTAAAAATTTTCTGAGTTAAAAAAATTTTTTTTAATTTTTAAAAAATTCTTTCTGACCAGGGAAAAATTTTTTTTATTTATTTTTTGGCTATATACTTTTTAAATTAATTTTTTTAATTTTCTAGAGCCTTTTATTGGTGCAAAATTTGCCATGCTGATGTTTATGATGTTTCTTTAATTAAAAAATGTAAATGCAAAAATTTGTCGTTATTCCGGAAAGGTGGAAAAGTGTTGATGAAAAGAGGTTTTTTAATTAAAAATTTTTTTTAATTTAAAATTTTTTTCTCTAAAGCCTCAACAATAACCGGCGCCCTAACAACAAAAATTCGAAATGGATCAATTATGGGAACAAAATTAGATTCAGAATTAAAACAATTAATTAATTTCGAAAATGGAAAAGAAAATTTAATAAATACAGCAGATTTGTTTGAACAACAAGAAATGAAATATGATTCGACTGGAATGTTTCATTGGTTTTTTTTTGAAAATTTTTTTTTTGAATTTTTTAAATTTTGTTAAATTTAAAGGTGTAATCCAAGAAGTATTGAAGAGTGTATTTTGGATAGAAGTCAGGTTAATTTTTTAAATTTTTTAAATATTTTTTGGACAATGAGGGGGAAGGGGTGTCTGTGCCTTAAAATCTTTCAAGTCTTTAATTTATAAATTGGCCAAATAATTTTTTAAAATTCTGAAATTTTTTACAGACAGTCTCAATAGTATTCCTTACCTCATCTAAAAATTTCAGAATTTTTGGTCAAGTCTAATTTATGATATGCAAGAAAAACCGCGAAAATGATGATTTTTTGCCTTTTTTCGGGCATAACTTTTAGAATAGTTTATCAATAATTCTGAAATTTTGCACAAACATTCTCCATTGTATTTTCTACTCCCAGTAAAAATTTTAGAATTTTTTGTTTTGTTTAGCTAAAATTATGGCCAAGAAACTTCCAATTGTCATTTTTCGATCATAACTCTTGAACTATTAAATAAGAAATTCTGAAATTTTTAGAAGATGTAAATAATTAGGAACGTCCTTACAAAATTTTAGACTTTTTGATAAATTATACAAAAATTATGGGTCGAAAATCGGCAAATATTGGAATTTTTATGAGTTTTCATTCTTATTTTTTATGCCTTAACTAGACAAAAAATCTGAAATTTTTACTAGGAGTAGGCAACTCTATTAAGTATTTCTGTGCAAAATTACAGAAATTTTGATAAAATTTTTGGAAAGTTATGGTCAGAGAAAGACCGGTCAAACTGCTTAAGATTATCCCCTAATTTACCCTCAATTTTTTAAATTTTTCTCAAATATTAAATTTTATTTTAAAGGCAGCGATGACTGTATTAAATGGCCATGTAGTTGTTTGTTTATTTGCTGATAAAGATTCACCATTAATTGGCTTAAGAAATTTTATAATGCCTTTGAGGTCTTCAAATTTTCATTATCACGAATTAAAACATGTTGTGATTGTTGGGGATGTGGAATATTTGAGGCATGAATGGAAAACTTTGCATAATTTGCCTAAAATATCTATTTTGAATGTGAGTTTTTGAAGAGGTTTTTTGTCTTTAAAAATATCATAGGTATCCTAATACAAGCCCAAGCCTTTATAAAGTCTCTCCATGCGACTCCCTACTGACCTGGAGGTCTCCGAATATTTGTGAGAATAAAGAAGGCTATATGGATTAAAGGGGATGTCTATGGATTCGGTCGGATTAAGGGTGGTATTACGGGATAGAAGGAAATCCTCTTATATGACTGTCAAATAAGGCAAAATTGAGCAGGTTAACGTATTCTTAATCTTGAGTCTCCTTTTTCCTCCCAAATATTTGGTGAGGACCTCCAGGGTCAGCAGACCACTAGGGAGCTGAGGCTGACCTTCAAGGTTGGGGTTCAACTCCTTTTAGAAGCCCCTTAATGAGACCCATTGGAAAATAAACGCCCAGGGGAAATAAACGCCCAATTTTTTTTAATTTTTTTTCTATTATTAGGCTATTTACTTTAAAAATTATTTTTTATTTAAAGGGCAATCCACTTTCTCGAGCTGATTTGCGTGCTGTTAATATAAATTTGTGTGTAATGTGTGTTATTATAAGGTTTCTTTTTTGTTTAAAAATTAAAAAAAATTTCCCCGTTTTTTCGTGAAGTGCTCGAATTCCTAATCCAAATGAAGACCCAACATTGGCAGACAAAGAAGCTATATTGGCCAGTTTAAATATAAAAGCTATGGAATTTGAAGAGGGTTTACTCAACACAATACCTGTACAAAGAGTTGTGGTTCCAACTGTGCCTTTACCAAATACTGGAGCTTTTTCTTTGTTAAGTCAGGTTTGTAGAGAGAAGATTTTTCATTGAATTTTTATTTAATTTTGTTGGGAGAATCCGGAAAATTTTTGCGGATTTTTCCTTTTTTTTTTCGTCATTTCTCAGTCTTGAGATCATTTTTTGTTCATAACTTTTTCAATTCTTGACCGATTTAAATAATTCTTATAACCAATCGAAAGCTCTTTATATGAGGATTATTTTACCAAACGGGATTAAATTGATCAGACTATCACAAGAAAAGTTATGGACTGACAAGTGCGCGCAATCGTAGTTTTTGAAATTTATTGCGCCATAACTTTTTTGAAATTCAATCTTTTCTCATGATTTTATATTAATCAAAAGCCCTAAATGTACTGATCATTTCACCTAATGGGCTGATAAAATGCAATCATTTCTTAAAAAGTTATGGCTCGATAAATATCAAAAACTACGATTGCGCGCATTTATCCGTCCATAACTTCCTGTAAGATGATCTGATCAAATCACTTCTGTTAGCTCAAATAATCCTCATTTCCACAGCTTTAGATTGGTATAAGACTTATTTAAATCGGCCAAAAATCAAAAAAGTTATGGCCCAAAATATGGCCTCGAGAGTCTGAAACGACTGCCTTTTCCCGTTATTTTACCAAGCGCCCCTTATTTTTAAAATTAATTTTATATTAGAAAAATTAATTTTCTTCTTTTAGAGACCCTTAATGGGTGTTAGAAGTGGCACAAATGTACCTATGATAACAGAATTGGTAAATGATTCAAATGTTCAATTTTTAGATCAAGACGATGATGATGATGTAATGAGGAGAATTTTAGAGAAATTTTCAAAAATTTTTTTCAAATTTAAGCCAGATACAGAATTATATTTAACCCAACCATTTGCTTGTGGAACAGCTTTTGCAATTTCTGTATTAGATTCTCTAATGTCAACAACTTATTTTAACGATTCTGCACTTACTTTAATTAGAACTTTGGTGACTGGAGGAGCTACGCCTGAATTGGAAAGGATATTGGCTGAGGGGGCTGGACTTAGAGGTTGTTGTAGATTTTTATATTTACACGGAAAAGGGTCCACGGGGGGGGGCTTGGTATCAAAAAACCCCCATTCGGAGAAATTTTTAGTTTCCCGTTCGACAATTTGTACTATTTTGGCTTGGAAAATCTTTTGGATTGAAGTCAATTGTCGTTTAGATAATTTGTTAATTTTACCCTGTAATGGTCTTTTGTCCTTTTGAGATTTTGTAATTTAGCATTAATTTTTAATGCAAACAGCCTGTATTAGTTAGAGAAAATAAATTTAGGAAATAATGTAGGCAGAGAGATAAATTATGTGCAATAAATGACTGTTAGTTCATATTTCACCAATTCCACATTTTGCCAATAAGGGTAAAAATTTGCATTTAGTCAACAAGTCTGTTGACTAAACGAGTGATTTTAGCCTTATTGGCAAAATGTGGAATTGGCGAAATGTGATATAAACATAAATGACAGTTTGTCGCGTTAATTATAGAAAATAGAGGAGAAATAGTGTGGGCAGAGAAAAAGAACTTGAATTTCTAATTTTTTAAAATCATTTTTTAATTATTTTTTAAGGTGGTTATAGCACTCCCGAAACATTATCAAACAGAGATCGATGTAGAATTGCTCAAATTTCCCTAACTGATCAACCTTATGAAGGAATATGTACAGGTTCAACTTATGGAGAAATGTTTAGTATAGCACTTAAAAAACATGGACAATTGTGTATTGGCCTCTATCGTTTACATGACCAGGCTTCTGCAGATTCGAACAAACGATACGTAAGAGAAAGAATTTAATTTACGACTCACCCATATTTCACCAATTCCGCATTTTGCCAATAGGGGTAAAAATACACGTTTTGCCAATAAGTCTGTTGACAAAATGTAAGTTTTTAGCCTTGTTGGCAAAATGTGGTATTGGTGAAATTGTGAGGATATACTTGTTAAAAATCCTATTTTAAAGGTAATAACAAACCCTCCAGCAGAATTGAGATTATTAATTAGCGACAGTGTTTATGTGCTAGAACAATTTGATTTTGGTTATTCAAAATTTGAAACCTTTGGAAGCAGTGAACAAAGTGGTGGAGGAATAACTACAACTCTAAGTGGTGGTGGAGCTTCTGGGGACAGGATGATGTTATTTTCTTAACAAAATTTATATATTTTTTATTGTATTTTGTTTAAAATAAATCAATTTTTGATTGATGGTTAGATTGTTTCACTTATTCTGGGCGAAAATGTCTTCTTAACACGGTCTGGCATTTGAAAATTGCCACGTTTTTTAAAAATCGCCGTTCAATTTGGCATAGTGTATATTAAAATAAATGACATTTTATCCTCATAGTTAGAGAAATCATAAAAAAGAAATAGTGCAGTCAGAGAAAAAAAGTAATAGTTTCTGATAGGTCGGTTGAGCGCAGCTATTTGAGAGCTAAAAGGCAATGTTCAGACGACTAAATGGAACATAGGGAAGTTTGTCAAAATAAACTTAGGGATTTTCAAAAATCTATATCAATCGATAAAATCAATACTAATCGATAATTTATTTTTTAAAAATTTATAATTTTCAAAAAATCGATATCAATCAATAAAATCAATGGTAAAATTCCGTCATATGTCCCGGAAACCGATTCGGACAAATGATATGTCATTCGAAAGAGCTCAACGAGCTGAGTCGAACGACACCAAAATTAGCCGGGGGACTCACCTATGGGCCGAGATATAGGTCCCCGAAAATCGAAAAACCATAGGGGGGAGTAAGCTCAATTTTGGGGTGAAAAAATCGATATTTTGAATGATAGCTCATTCGAAAGAGCTCCTCGAGCTGAGTCGAATGACACCAAAATCAAAGAAATTCGACTTGATTTGACAAAGTTATGAGCATTTGTTTTAGATCCTTACCTATGGGATCTGTGGAGATTTTTGCTGCTACGGAGGCCCCAAATACGTCCAAAGCAAGGGAGATACGAATAGGTTTATGTTACGAGCCCAGACCCAGCGCCCGTAGACTCCCCGCGAGGCGCGTGCCGCAAAACCCCGCGCGAAGCGCGGGGTTTTGCACAAGCGCCTCGCCGACGCTCCACAGGTTTAGGTTTTTCGTTTTTTGTGTCATAACTTTGTCTAATCTTGTTCAATCACAGTGATTTTTGTGTTATTCGACTCAGCTCGTCGAGCTCTTTCGAATGAGGTATTATTTGTATAAAAAATTTTTATTCCAAAAATCGCCCCTTTGGATCTTCGATTTTTAGGGGGTCTATATCTCGATCCAATCAAGTCGGATTTCGTTGATTTTGGTGTCATTCGACTCAGCTCGACGAGCTCTTTCGAATGAGGTATAATTTGCATATTCGAATTTTTCACCCCAAAAAAGTGCTTGGTCCCCCCTTTGGTTTTTCGATTTTTCGGGACCTATATCTCGGCCCATAGGTGAGTCCCCCAGCTAATTTTGGTGTCGTTCGACTCATCTCGTTGAGCTCTTTCGAATGACATATCATTTGTCCGAATCGGTTTCCGGGACATATGACGGAATTTTTCCAAATCAATACTAATCGATAATTTATTTTTTAAAAATTTATAATTTTCAAAAAATCGATATCAATCGATAAAATCAATACTAATCGATAATTTATTTTTTAAAAATTTATAATTTTCAAAAAATCGATATCAATCGATAAAATCAATATTAAAAAATAATTGTCTAATTAAAAAATAATTCTTTAGATTACGGTAGACGCTCTAAAATCAGCACTGAACAGTCCAGAACATTTGTATTTATTTATTTCTCTAACTACACTATTTCATTTTTTATGCTTCTCTAACTTTGGGGATGAAATGTCATTTATTCTCAATTTTGCATATGGCTCCCGTGCCCGCTCAAAACATCAAACACTTAAAATATCTAGACGACTAAAAACGCTCAAAATATCTAGACAGATAAAAACGCTCAAAACATCTAGACGACTAAAAAGGCTCAAAATATATTCGCTCAAAACATCAAACGCTCAAAATATCAAAATATATTTTTCTATTTAAAGGGGACAGTTGAGTCCGCGGAAAAGTGTTTTTGCCGCTGCGGAGGAAGCCGGGCATGTCGAGCGGAACGACGGCCGCCGTTTCGCTACGGTCGCCGCGAGCGAAGCGAGCACGACCGCAGCGAAGCACGGCCATCGTGTAGCGAAGACCATGCCCGGCCTACCCTACGTAGCAGCACAAAAAATGTTTTTCCAGCGAAGATTCTGTTGGTCATAACTTTGTCAAAAATCATCCAATCGAGCTGATTTTTGTGTTATTAGACTCAGCTCGTCGAGCCCTTTCTCAACACGTCGAGTTCATGCAAAATTGGTCCTGAGATACTACATTATTCACCCCTGATACAAGGAAGAAATAAGGGACTCAACTGTCCCTTTTAATCAAAAAATATTTTGATATTTTGAGCCTTTTTAGCCGTCTAGATGTTTTGAGCGTATGATGTTTTGAGCGAATATATTTTGAGCCTTTCTAGCCGTCTAGATGTTTTGAGCGTTTGCTGTTTTAAAAAAATATGTTTTGTAGGGTAGCCATGGCTCCTATACAAAGGATCGTTTTTTAAAGGGTCGTCCTGTTAAAGGATCGTCACGGGCAAAAAGTATTAAAGGGCCGTTCTTTAAAGGATCGTCCATCAAAGGATCGTCAAGCGTAAAAACGTTCAAAGGGTCGTCATTTTTTTAAAAATTTCATAAAGCCAGTTCAGTGCCATCAGTTTGGTTGCAGTGATGTGCCAGTCTGATAATGGTGATTAAGAGGGACATCGGGGGATTTGAAAGGATTAAAGTAATTATTAATTTTTGCATCACAGGCAAAATTTCGAGATGGATATCCGCGGATTTGGAGTATCATATCCGTGCTCATCCGTATCCATCAAATAACATTATCCATATCCGTCCGTATCCGGATATATCCGTTGATATCCGGATATTATCCATATCCATGAGCTGGCCTGCATTCAGCTGATAAAAAATTAGTTGAAAAATATGGAGAAAATGGACCCTAAGCAAAAAAAACGAAAAAAATCTCTAAAAAATATGGGACTCAAACGTCTTCTTTTGGGTGGGGACTCAAAAACGATCCTTTGAATTTTTTACCCGTGGCGATCCTTTGATGGACGATCCTTTGATGAGCGACCGTTTAATACTTTTTGCCCGTGACGATCCTTTAAACGTTTTTAGACGTTACGATCCTTTGAACGTTTTTAGCCGTGGCGATCCTTTTATGTGACGATCCTTTGTAGGGACACGTTGCATATTATTTTTTCTCTACCTACACTATTTCTTTTTATAAATTCTCTAAACAGAACTGATCCATTTACTTTATGTATTACCAAGCACTTTGAGTCCTGATAAAATTTCTACAAAACACAGTAAAGAACAAAAATTTTATACAACAAAAACATTCAAAAAACATTTTTAAGCGTCTTACCACGGATTAATTTTAAATGTTGATTAGTTTGTTCTTTATCTTCGTTGCTCACATCACATCTTCTCAAACAGCAAAAATCCAGGGCACATCAAAATCCATCATGTGTCCACTTGCTGTTGTCGCTGTTGGTGTTGTCGGGAATTGCTGAAAGAAAGATCTTTAGTTATTGAATAATATAGTCTATTTTGCGTAATCTTGACCTTATTCTAAGCTCAATATCTTCGAGAATTTTTGATAGAGTATAGGAACCTCAATTACCTTATTACTACCCCAAGTATAAAGTGTCATTCTATAAAGTTTAAAGAAAACGATCTGCAATAGAACAAAGTTTTAACTCTTCCGGAGATTGTCAATGTCCCCAAGTAGTTTGGACTAAATTTGGTGGGAAAACGAGAATGAAAAGTGGAACAAAATCCATTGTATCGATATTTTCAACCCAAAATCCAACTAGTAAAAGCCACAAAAATAAATTTAAAAATACCTTTGTTGTCCAAAATGTAGAAAATTAATCCTCCTCTCCCATCATCATCATTCCCTTCAACAAATTTGTAAACACAGCAGAGGCTTTTTCTTCTCCAACAATTAAACCAACATTTCTTCCAGTTCTTTGGACCTTTAAAGAGAATTCTCAAAAAATTCAAAATTCTTCAAAAAAACCTGTAATGCTCTACTAATCCCCTGTTCTTTAGCTCCAAGTCCAGAACCTTCTCGATAACCCATTTTTGACATAATTGTTGCAGCTACACCCAAACCTCTAGAAACACCTTTTCCAAAGCCACAACAAAAAACTGTCCAAAGATTTCCTAAAAAATGGAATTTTATTTCATAAGAATAAACCAAACAAAACCCCATAAATTTTTAATACAATGGGTAGATTGGGGGGGGGGGATTACACAAATTTTCTCCTTATTTTTACCTAAAGTATATGGAGGTGCCCTACAAAGTTGAAAGAAAACAGTCTGTTATAAATAGAACAAAGTTTCAAATGTTCTTTGGGGGAATACGAGTATGCTCCTGAGGAGTTTAGACGATGCTGGGACAACGAAAAGAAAAAAACAGGATAAACTCAATTGTATCAGTAATTTGAAACTCCCAAACAATTCAGAAATCCACTCAAAAACCCCTCAACTAAAAAAATGAATAAAATACCATTGTCTCTATCACGCCTTCTTTACATCTCAAACATTCACAACCAAAAGCTGCCAGTTCTTGTCTGTCTCCGCGAGAACGTCCAACCAATGAGTGTGTTCATCCGCAGTTGAACATGTTAAAAAAATCTTTTTAAAAGAATTCTTGAAATTATTACATAACCTTTCAAGCCGAGGTTTCAGGAGCATGTTGTTGTAATCCAAAGCAACATCAAAAAATTGTCCAAAAGGTCGTCGTCATCAATTGGGCTCAAATCTAAAAGAAAATAATTATTTAATGAATAATAAAAAAGAAAATCCTCAGAGTATTGAACCCGTGCCTTACTCTCATATGATCGGTAACGCTACCAACTTAACCAACCGTCATTACGAAATTTTTTCTCTATATACAAATGTGAACTTTGAATTTGGGGATCTAATTCTAGTTAAGCTCAAAAGCCACGAAAAAGAATTAAAAACCTTTCAAACTTCATAATCTGCACATCTACAAGCCAAATAAATGCAAACAAGCACTGTCTTCTTGTTGAAGCGATGCACTTTGCCAGTTGTCCTGTGTTGTCGAATGTTGTGGTTCAACCCTTCAGCCATTTCCTAAAAAACAAAATTTTATCTCGTCCAGACACAAAAAAACCTCAATAAACTCTGCAGCTTCCCTTCTATATTTGAGTTCGAATCCATAGACATTCAGGTAATAGTCTCGTTTCCCAGCCCCATTTTTTCCTCCCAATTTTCTACCCTATGTTTGTACGGAATGGTCAAATTTTCCCCTTTCTTTCATCAAATTTGCCTTTCCATATTTTGCCTAAAAACAAATCAAAAGAAAGAATTTTTGTTGGTGAAAAAATTGTTACTAAAAGAAACTTGTTTATCAGCAATTTTTGGATCTTATAATATTGATTCCAATTTATCTTTGTATATTTCAAAGCTTTGTTGAGTTTCGCCATCCTCTTCTGCAACTGGTGAAATAATTGAAACTGGAGCTGTTACAGACATTTATAAAGCCCCAAGAATTTTTGTTGGTGAAAAAAAATTTCCCCTTTCTTTCATCGTACAAACATAGGGTAGAAAAATCAATAGGTTTGAAATTCTTTAGTTCTTCCATTTTTATTAATTGGGAAAATGATTCTTCTCATTACTCTAATACTTTTTTAAATATCACAAATTAATCTTTTTGATTGTTTTTAGGCAAAATATGGAAAGGCAAATTTGATGAAAGAAAGGGGAAAATTTGACCATTCCGTACAAACATAGGGTAGAAAATTGGGAGGAAAAAATGGGGCTGGGAAACGAGACTATTACCGACATTCAAGTTGGAAGCCGAGCAAGTTCATCGTTTAAAAACCCATCAGTCTGCAGCAGTGTCATCCAGTTAACCCCTACACACGCAGGTTAGTGATTGATAGGTGAAAACGCTAAAGATTTAGACTGATATCCCAAGGAACCCCTAATAATGGAGAATTTATCTGCGGACAAAACCTGAGGCTGCTTAAAAAATTAAAAAAAACAAACGCTACTTGTTGCTAGGACGTCCACTCGCATCATGAAGAGCACTACCAATGGGACTCCCAAAGGCGGATACCAATGGGGGCCCCAACGGCGCCAACCACCAGAAGAGCACTACCAATGGGACTCCCAAAGGCGGATACCAATGGGGGCCCCAACGGCGCCAACCACCAGAAGAGCACTACCAATGGGACTCCCAAAGGCGGATACCAATGGGGGCCCCAACGGCGCCAACCACCAGAAGAGCACTACCAATGGGACTCCCAAAGGCGGATACCAATGGGGGCCCCAACGGCCAGCCACCAGAAGAGCACTACCAATGGGACTCCCAAAGGCGGATACCAATGGGGGCCCCAACGGCGCCAACCACCAGAAGAGCACTACCAATGGGACTCCCAAAGGCGGATACCAATGGGGGCCCCAACGGCCAGCCACCAGAAGAGCACTACCAATGGGACTCCCAAAGGCGGATACCAATGGGGGCCCCAACGGCGCCAACCACCAGAAGAGCACTACCAATGGGACTCCCAAAGGCGGATACCAATGGGGGCCCCAACGGCGCCAACAACCAGAAGAGCACTACCAATGGGACTCCCAAAGGCGGATACCAATGGGGGCCCCAACGGCGCCAACAACCAGAAGAGCACTACCAATGGGACTCCCAAAGGCGGATACCAATGGGGGCCCCAACGGCCAGCCAACCAACCACCATGAAGAGCAGCTTTAAAAATAATTTAAAAAATTTAAATGTTTAAAACCGACAAGTTTTGTCCGCAAATACCCCTCCCCTTCAAGGATACCCCCCCCCTCCATTCTCTTGCAGGTGTGGTTGTTGCAGTGAATTTTGTTGCAGTAGTGCTAAACAATGCTGCCCGCCATTGCTTAGTTTCCTTCTTGATTTTTGCAGTTTCTATAAAAGGAAAAAATTCATTTAAAAGAAAATTTTTTAATGGAAAACGGTCCCGGAACAACCCATTCACAGATAAGCCTGACACCTTATTTGTTGTGTCAGCAAATGGAAAAAACCGGTGTACAGAGGGAACATGGACTTTTAATAACCTGAGCACCATCAACAGACAGGATCGAAAGAAAAGAAAGGCCCTATGCTTAACAGAGGATAAGCTCTTTTATAAGCTTACAAAAAGACCCCCCATCCCCAGAAGGGACCACAAAAATAATCAAAAAAAAACAAAACCTGAAGTCATCAGCAACAAATTCCCACTATTTTTACAGATAACAGCTTGTTTCATCATTCAAGCCTGGTGAAGGTGTTGTTAAACGATTTTTGTTGACATTTGAAGAATTTGAAGGAGAAGACAAAAACCCTTTCAATTGTTGTTTTAATAGAGAAATGAATGAATGATTCATTGATTGGAGGCCGTTGAAATAAAAAATTATTTATTGAAGATGTGAACTTGTTGTTGTTGAAGCATTTTGCTGAAATAACTTTTCAACAATTTTTTCATTGTGTGGTCTAAAAAAATTGTTATTAGACTAAATTGAGATTCATTTTTGGACTCGGTCCACAAAATGTTTTTGAAAAAGTAGTAAACAGAAAGGTTATTGATAAACAAGAGACACAAACAAATCAATAACATCCCTTCGTTAGGAAAACAAAAAAAATGACAAAAGAAAATCACGTGCCCGCTCAACTCATCTAATCCTTAACTCATCCACACGCCCAAAAACGCTCAACTCATCTAAACGGCTAAAATTCCTTAACTCATCCACACGGCCAAAAACGCTCAACTCATCCAATCCTCAACTCATCTAATGCTTAACTCATCCACACGCCCAAAAACGCTCAACTCATCCAATCCTCAACTCATCTAATGCTTAACTCATCCACACGCCCAAAAACGCTCAACTCATCCAATCCTTTGGAACGAGACTATTGAGTACCAGTCGTTTGAGTCCCTGGCCGTTTGAGTCCCTGGCCGTTTGAGTCTCTGGCCGTTTGAGTCTCCGGCCGTCTGAGTCAAGTAGGGTCCATGACCAGTTGAGTCCATGGCCAGTTGAGTCCATGGCCAGTTGAGTCCATGACCAGTTGAGTCCCGGCCGTTTGAGTGGTTGATTACCGCCGGTTGAGTCTTGGGCCGGTTGAGACTCAACTGACCAGGGACTCAACCGGCTAGGGACTCAACCGGCCGATATTTCAAGGATTGGATGAGTTGAGCGTTTTTGGGCGTGTGGATGAGTTAAGCATTAGATGAGTTGAGGATTGGATGAGTTGAGCGTTTTTGGGCGTGTGGATGAGTTAAGTGTTAGATGAGTTAAGGATTGGATGAGTTGTAGGGTAGCCGAAAATCAAAGCCCGCCAAAAAATGGACGCCATTATTTCTCTTTTTCTTTTCCTACACTATTTCGCTTTTAGAGATTTCAAAATGTAAAATTTAATAAAAAGCCGTTTCAGTGCCCATTTGAGAGTGCCCTACAGTATATGGGAATACAAAGATTTAACAAAAGCCTCCTAATTATTAATTAATCACATCATTTTAAAAATGTCTTCACAATTAAAATTAATTAAATAAATAAAAGAAAAATCCAAAAAAGAAATATTTTTAGGTCCCAGATGTTGACCAATTTTATTTATTTAAAAAATCTGACAAATAAATTGGATTAATATTTTATTATTCCCCCAAAAACGTTATTTGAATGGACAAAAAAAATTTTTTTATTATTAAAAAAATCCCTTTATCAAACAAAAGTATATATATAAAAGATGGGGATATTTAATAATGCATTGAAATTGTCATTATTTTAAAAAGAAATAATTTTCCTAAGGAACCTGTCTTGCCCATAAACGAGTAAAAAATTTTATTTTAATTTTTTAACGTTTAAAAATGAAGGGATATTGCAACATGACTGAAATGGCTTTATTTGGATTGGTAATACTTGTGGTTGGACAGGTAAATGAAGAATATAACTTTGTTTAAATTAAAAATCAGGGATTGGGAAGGAAGTTTAAATTAAGGATTGTGGCTAGGGAAGGCAGAAGAAGTTCAAAAGTCAGAGAGAAAGATAGATCTAAATAGAAAGGATCCGGGAATCAGAAAGGATGTCTGGATAAGACCCGGATCAGAAAGAATGCCTACAGAAGATGTCTCAGGATCACTCCCTCCTAGTTTGGGAAAGAATCTCTCATTTGATCTCAAGAGAGAGATTGTTCTAGGATTCTAAGATTCCAGAAAAAAAGATCTATGTAGGAGCTATATGGAGAAGCTTACTTGGATCAGAATAAATGCCCAAGGAGGATATCTCAGAATACCCAAGGAGGATATCTCAGGAGGATATATCTATACAAGGAGGAAGATATCTCAGAATACCCCAATCCTAATTGAGAGAGAAATTGAAACTGTCCCTCCTTAATCTCAGAGGAACTCTCTTCATTTATGAGACTTTAGGGGGGATCACACACTCAACTGTAACTAAAAATAAAATGTTTTAGATGTCAGTTTTGTGTGCTAACAGTGCCAACAGAAATTCTCTACTTATGAGTGGTCCCTGGGCGTTGAATTCTTGGTCAGACGCAGACCCAAACTTTTTACGGTTTGGCAGATCTGCCGCCTCAAATGAAGAAGGAATTAAACGTGCTGCTGGACAATCTGCAAATTTTCTTAGATTTGGTAAAGGAAAAATTTTTTTAGGCCTTTAAAAACCCCAAAAAAAATTTTTAAAGGAAGATCAGCCCCGTATGACCCAAATTTTTTACGATTTGGAAGACAATTGGGCAACCAACAACAACACAATAAGGAGTTAGTCGACCAAAGTTATCTTCGATTTGGCCGAAGTAGTGGAGGGAATAAAGGAAATAATTTTTTAAGATTTGGGAGAGGAGCTGAAGGTATTTTTTGAGAAATTATTTCCCTAAAAAATTTTCATTTTTTCTAGATATTCCATCAGAAGCTGAAGCCTTTGAAAGAGAATATCGACAATCTAATAACCCAAACTTTCTTCGTTTTGGTTAAAAATTTGGAAAAAAAGAAGATCGCCGCCTATTATTCTCTTACCCATCTACATTTTTTGCAGCATTCCTCCCCTTCTTAAAAAAATTTTCAAAAAAATTTTTTTCCAAAATTGTTAAATATGCTCTCGCTCCTTTTTACTTAAATTTTAAGTCTCTCATTATCCCAAAATTTTAAATTCGTGTCAAAAATAAAAATTAAAGTTTGTGTTGATTTAAATGGAGTTGCTTGTTAATTTAAAATAATTTATTAGTCAAAAAAATTTTTAAAAATTTCAAAAAAATTTTTTTAAAGAAAAAAACAGTTTAAAATTTCGAAAACTAGAAACAAAAAGGGGGCCGCATTTCTCTGACGATTAAGAGACTATAATTTTGGCACCAAATTTCAATTGACCCACATTTCATTTGTGAAAAATAAACGTTAGTTAAGGAGTAAAGAATGATAAATTACAATTGGTAGAAAGAACACTGGTCTCATAATGGTCAGAGAACTGCGGCCCCCTTAAACGACAGGAGTGCCAAAATAAATTCTCAAAAAAATTTTTAAAAAATAAAAAATATTCAAACAACCTTCTCCACAAACATCATCAAGGCGTAGGCTCTCTCCCCTCATCATTATTTCCCCCTTCTTCAGACAAACTTGTAAACACAGCAGAGGCTTTTTCTTCTCCAACAATTAAACCAACATTTCTTCCAGTTCTTTGGACCTTTAAAGGATTATCAAAAAAATATTAACAAAAAAACCTGTAATGCTCTACTAATCCCCTGTTCTTTAGCTCCAAGTCCAGAACCTTCTCGATAACCCATTTTTGACATAATTGTTGCAGCTACACCCAAACCTCTAGAAACACCTTTTCCAAAATGTTTCTCCAATTTTTCGTTATTCTCATGTTGAGCAATTTGTGGTTGTTGTTGAGGTTGGGGTTGCTGTTATTGGAAATTAAAAATAAAAGCGAGAAAAATAAGAAAAAATCTTAAAAAATTTCTGAACATAAACTAGCAGAAAAGGTGTAGGGCCCGACCGGAAAATCGAAAAAAATCATGAAAATCAAAACTTATAATAGACTTTGAACGGCCATAACTCGGCCCAAAGTGATTTTGCAAGAAACGGATATCACTTCGAAATAGGAAGTCGAGGGTCCTCTATCGAATGGTACCAAGAAAAATATCAAATTCCCAATCACAGTAAATAATGGTTACTTCTGAGTCTTTTTTAAAATAGAGAGCGAAAAACGAGAGGGTTCGGAAAATAATGAAGTAAAGGAAAAAACAGAAAAAAGGGAGTTATTCTAATTTTAAAAGGCACTTTTAAATTTTAGTGAAATAGTCAAATTTTCTTCCAAATAATTTACCTCCAGAAATTTATTTTCTCATTCCCAGTTCCCCTATCTAACATAGAAAATCTTCAAAAAACCTGTATTTGTGGTTCTTCTTTAACCATAAAAGAAGTTGGTGGGGCAATAGCAGCCCCTCTCTTCCTTTTTTCTTCCTCCTCAGAAGCTTCTCTAGCAATTCTATCAGCAATTTCTTTTGCTATTTTTTCTTTTAAGCGTTGCTGTTCTCTTAAAAATTTTTAAAAAATTTTGAAAATTTCAAGAAAAAACCTTTTTTGTTTAAAACTAGAATAATCTGTTGGGGCTGTTGGATTATATTCATCATCTATCATTATTTCACCAAAAAGAAAAACCTTTAAAAAATTAATATTTGAAGAAAATTGAAAAATAAAGGTTATAAAATCGAAAATGTCAGCAAGTTTGGCAAGCAGAAACCCATCCTGACACTTTCCAGAAAAAGCGAGGAAGTTTAAAAAGTGTCCAAGTCTGGCTACAAGGAAAATAGAGGACTGGCCCAAATTTATTTCAACTTCACTCATTCCTTATAGGGGAATTCCACGACTTTATATGAGAGTCCTTATGAAAAGTGACAAAGCTCAAAAAATGCTCAAAAGTTAGGGTATAAGGATGGAAACCAAAATTCGGAGAATTTCTTGGAACTTATTTACTTTACGTCGCACCACATTTATTCGCAAGCTCAAAAGACTCAAAATGGTCAACCAAACCTATGGAAGTCAACGGTTGCTTGGAGTCAGGCACCGGCACGCATCTCGCGGGAGTCAACGGTTGCTTGAGGTAGTACGCAGTAACAAGCTTATTAAAGGCCTGCGAATAAATAGGGGGTGTGTACGTAAAGTAAATAGCTCCTTAACTACCCATTAAAAAATTAAGAAAAGCAACCTTGTCTTCCTTAAACGCTTTTGGAATAATTGAAAAAGCTCCAGACGAATCAAGCGGAAGAGGGAAAGCTTTGTGTGTTTTTAATTTAAATGTACTCCTTTGCTGTGGCTTTAGATTAATCAACGGTTTCTGCTCTGGTAAATTTGATTGTTGTTCAATTACTGGAGTTGATGAAATTGTTGGGGTGGAAGGAGGTTGTTGTTGTTGAGATTGTAAATTCTTCTAAAATTAAAAAAATATTTTCATAAGAAAAAATAGAATTGGAAATGTTAAATAAAGTTTAGAGAAGCAAGAATCGAACCTGACCGACATGAGATTAAAAACAGACCGAGACGAGACCTCAAACAAAAAACTCGGTCATTGAAATATTTTAGGTACGACCTTCCCAGTCGCCTCTACCAGAGACCTAACAAAATTTTGGATACCACTTTCTTGAGCCGGGCGAACCTTACTTATTAAAATTGAGGTTTTCGAGTCGGGCCGACGTTCGAGTCATTTTTATAGAGCCAAACCGACATTTCTTTTTCGGGCCAAAATTAAATGCCACGATCTTTCGGACCGGGCCGGATCGGGCCTCCAACGCTTTAAACAAACTCCTAAGCAAACTAAATACTACCCAATGGAATCTATCCCTCCCTAAATAAATTAGAAAAAAGTTGGGTGAGTTGGAGGAAGTCAAGCTCAAAAACAAAAAAATAAAAGAAGAAAACCTGATTTTGTGCAGCAGCAGATTTTTGAAGCAAAGCCTTTTTGGCTTCCAATTGTGATTTTAAAAAGCTCAAATTCATTTTATTGCTCATTATATTTTGTGAAGAATCTGAAAAATTTATTTTAAAATTTAACTAAAAATCCAAGTTTCAAACCTTCCTTTTCCTTGTCTTTAGAGACAGTCTCATTCTCTTCCTCATAAAGCGACATTTTCTGAGCTTCTCTGTAAAAAAAAAATAAAATCACTCAAAAAATTTAAAAAAAAAACAAAAATTCGCTCAAAATTTCTAAGAAAAATAACCATATTTTTAAATTGTCGCCTTCTAATTTTTATTAAATTAATTTTTTGGCATTCTATATTTTTGTGTCTAACTTTAAGAAAGTCAGAGAAAGATATAAATAAAGAGCTTTAGGAAAGTTACATTTCCTGTAAAAACGGTACGCGACAAAACGGTACACCGGGTAAAATATGACAAAATGGTTCGGGACAAAACTGTACAAGGGTAAAATATGACAGAATGGTATTCAAGCAAAAAAATTTTTCGAGGCCGTGGGCATAAAATTTTTTTTTTGATTATTTTTTTTATCGGGGCTAGGCGAGCGAAATTTTTTTTTGTTTATTTTTTGATTACTTTTTTAATTTTTTAATTTAGTTTAGACAAATTATAAATTTAATAAGAATTCTCTACAATGAATAATCAAACCCCAAGACGTACAAACCATCAACTTAGTTCAAGTGGAAAGTCAAATTCACAACGTGAAAGTTTAAATTCCCAACGTGACAACTCAAATTTGCGATGTGAAAATGCTTTGGTAGAGGCTAAGGTTTTTAAATTTGAATTTTATTATGAGGGGTTTCTTTGGGAAAGTCGAAATTTTTGAAAATTTTTAAGATTTGGATCTTTGACCCTTTTGCGTCTTTTTTGTTTTTAAGTCTAAAATCCACTCTTCCCACGTGATTTTCCTTTAATCAGGGGTCATTCTAAGTTTCTATCTGAAATATTTCTACTTAACAAGTATATATTTTTAGTTTGTCAATTACGACCATTTCAACAGACTTCACAATGAAGCAACTGCTGACATCAGAAAATTACAAGAAAAACAGGACGAACTCAACGCTACAATTAAATCTATTATTCTCAGCAGTGGGGCTTATAATCTTCAAGCACAAACGTTAATTTTATTTTTAAATTTTTTTTAAAGTTTGGGAGAGGGGGAGGAGTGGGTTCAGGCCCGTAACTAGGGGGAATTAGGGGGTCCCCTCATCCCCCCTAAAGGGGAGAAGAAAGAATTTTTGGAAGGGGATTGAGGAAAAAGTGAATGATTTTTGTCTACAGCCCTCAAATTCTCAAAATTCTTAAAAATTTTTCCCCTTGGCCCTCTCTTAAAAAAATCCTGGTTACAGGCCTGATTTGATTTTTAAAATTTTTTGATTATTTTTAAAATTTAATTTTCAGTCCAAGACGTAGTCGAAATTAATGGGCACAATTTAAAAAAATATTTTAATTTTGAGGAATTGAAGAGACGTACAATTTTTGAAGTTTAAAAATAATATAATTCCTGTTATTCACTTTATTTCTTCTCTTATGGTAAAACAAAAAAAAAATTTTTTTTTCTGAATAAATATTTTTTAAATTTATTTTTTTTTTCTCTCGTAATAAAATCTATTTAATTATTTTACTTTAATTTTTTTTAAATTAATTTTTAAAAGCCATTAATTTTAAAAAATTCCAAAAAAATGTTCCCTCCATTCTCAAAACAACCACCACCAGAAAATACCCAAAATTCTTCTCTCAATATTTGCTGCAATGATGATTATTTAGATTTATTATTTGGTGCTTCTCTCCCTTTGGATCAAGTTTGTTATGCTTTTGCTTATGGATCTGGAGCTATTCCACAAAAAGGGGAAAATCAAAAAGAAAAAATGGTGAGGTTTTTATATATTTTTTGTTGGGGGAGGGGGGGTCTTTGAATTTTTTGGGGGTTAAAAATTCTTTTTCTGCCCACCAAAATTTTTTCTCAATTGTTTTTCCCACATTTACACCTCTGAAATGCCTTTTAAAAAATATTCTCGTCACTGGGTATTGAACCTTGGACCTTTTTTTTATAATAATTACGAACATTTCCAAGTGCCCAAGCGACTCATTACTCGCAAAAACATTTTTACTAGGTTTCTGAAAATTTTTTTTGACTGGAAATTGTTTCGGTTTTTTAATATTTTCCTTTTCCCCCCTTACCTATTTAAATTAGGTTTGTTCACAACCTGCTTGTGATTTTGTGGTTTTTGCCACAGGCAAAGATTAACAGGTCGTGAACAACCCTAATTTAAGGCTTTTTTTAATACCCTTAAAATTAAAATTTTCGCTTATTTGTATTTTTATATTTTCAGGTTGATTTTATTCTAGTATGTAACAATTCAATGCTTTTTCATCAAAAAAATCAGCTTTGGTATTTTTTTTAATCTTAAATTTTTTCCTTTAAATTAAAATAAATTGAGGAATCCAGCACATTATTCTCTTCCTTGGCGTCTTCTTAAAACCGAAAGATTAATAAATAATTTGTATTGGTTTCAACGAGATGGATTTTTATTTCCTAAAGGAGCGAAATTGTTTTATAATACTTTGATACCTTCTAGAGGTTTTTAAATGTTTTTTAATTTTAAAGATTTTTTAAATTAGGGTTGGAATTCCGACCCACGGTGTGGTCAAAAAGTTCAGGGTCGGGTTTTGTTAGAGCTGACAACGAGAATGTTGTTGTCTTGGTTAGGGGTTGAGTTATGTCGGTGTTGAGGGGTCAGATTAGGCAAAATCGTTCGAGCCGGGTTTCAAAATCGTTCGAGGGTTTCTCTCTAAGTAATCCTCCGATACCGACCCGACCGGATGAATTTTTGAAAACCAAGGGGTCAGTGTCCACGACTATTTCTAAACTATTCCGTTTTTTCTAGCTAAAAATCTATAATTGACCTTAAATATAATCAAAAAAAATCGTTTCAATTTTAAAGGTCGTCTCATAAAATACGGAGTAATTGACACAGAAGACTTTGAAGCAGATTTATTAGATTGGCCAAAATTGTATATTGCTGGTAGACTACACAAACCTGTTTTAAACGTTCTTGTATGGCCAAACGATCAAAATTTGGGTCAAGAACCGAACAGACCAATTTGGCAAGCAATTAATGATAATAGATGGATGGCTGTGCAGGCAGCATTGTTATTGTTACCTGAAAAATTTAGTGTTAAAGTAAGGCTTTGTAAAAATTTTTTAGTCTGGGCTTCCGACTAGGGATGTCACTGGTTACACATATCCGAAACCCGACCTTTTCTCAATCCGAAACCCAATCCAAAAAATTCTCGAAAACCTAAAACTAGACTTTTTTCCTTTTAATCCCCCAAACTCACAGGTTTCAAAAACAAGAAGAAAAGACTTGAACTTGGCCCGAAGATGTCACAGGTAGTGCTTCGCCGGAACCACAAATTTGGCCAGAACCGGAATTTAAATTTTGACCGAATCCGGAACTGGAACTTCCGGCGAAGCACTAGTCACGGGTTATTCGAAATCCATGGATTTCCTGCTGTTACTAAAAAATCAGTTTGTTCGCAAATTTCATCCGCAAATAAATTTTTATCTTTTAAAACCCACAAAAAAATTTTTCCTCAAATTTTAAAGGAATTTCTTCATAAAATAGTCGGTCTATCCTACAAAGGAGATGTACGTATGGGATGGGCAGAAGATTCGAAAAAAATTGATAAATTGGTAGAAGGTGCAAATGAACAACTCAGAATGCTTTATATTCCTTTATTAAAAAAGTTTGTGGAAATTTCAAAAAAAATTTTTTTGAATTTTTTTAGTGATAAACAAATTTCGGTAGAAAATGATGAAATGATTGAACAGGATAAGTAAGGAGGATTTTTAAAATTAAATTTAAAAAATTTTTTAATTTTCAAGTTCAATCCAAACAGTATTTCATCGTCTCCAAATGCTTCCCTATTTTGTACAAAGAGGCCTTTGTAATTCTTATTATCCTTCGAGGAGGTTTAGACGGTACAATACTAATTTAGACATTGAGGTTTGTTTTTTTAATTAAAAAAATTTTTTTTAAACCTTCCGATATTTGCTGACTTCTGATTTTTTGGTTCAAAAAATTATTCTGATTTCTGTTTCAAAAAATATTCTGATTTTTTGGTTCCAAAAATTCTGATTTTCGTCCCAGAAAATATTTTGGTTTTTATTCTGATTTTTGTTCTGATACTTGTTCTGATTTTTTTACCCAAGAATTATTCTGATTTTTGTTACAAAAATAGTTCTGATTTTTATTCTGATTTTTGGTTTAGAAAAATATTCTGATTTTTTTGGTTCCAAAAATTATTCTGATTTTTGTTCTGATTTTTTGTCCAAAAATTTAATTTTTCAATTGAAAAAATTTCCCAAAAAAATTTTTCAATTTTTAAGGAATTAATTTACCACATTTCTCATCGTTATGATGTTCCAGAAAGACTAGATTTAGTTTTACAAAAAATTGTTGGTCATTCAAGTAAACACCAATCAATTAAAAATGCCTTCACAGCTGGAATTTCACGTTCATTTAAATATATTTGGCCAAAATTAGTAAAAGGAATATTAAGGAAGTAAAAGAAAGTTTTTATTGTTGTATTAATATTTTTGGAAATTTTTTTAAATTTTTAAAATTATTTTTTTTTGGAAAAGAAAACAGCAGGGAATTTGTCTGAATGTAAGTGTTACGTGGGAAACCCCTTTATTTAATTTTTTTACAAACCAGAATTTATTTAATTTTCTGATTTCCCACTTTCTTTTCAAATTATAGCCTTGTATTTTTAAATTTTATAAAATCAGAAATTAAAGTTACAATTGTAAAATATTTTATTAATTTTTACAAATCAGAATTTAAGGTTTATAACTGAAATTACAAATCAGAATTTGCAAAATCAGAATTTAAAAATTACAAATTGTATTTTCCAAGTTTAATTAAAAATAATTTTACAAATCAGAATGTGTTTTATTAATTTGTGTTTTTTCAGTTATAAAATCAGAATTTTTTTAAGTTCAGAATTTTTCTGATTTTTTAAATCTTTTGATTTAAAACCAGAATTTTTCAGTTATATAAATAATCAGAATTTTTTGAGATCAGAATTAATTTAAAACCAGAATTTTATAAATCAGAATTTAATAAAATCAGAATTTTTAAAATCAGAATTTTTAAAGCCAGAATTAATTTAAAATCAGAATTTTATATTTTTTTAAAATCAGAATTAATTACAATAGCTAGATGGGTTGTCATGTATCAACAGAAAGTGCAAGATCACTTAATAATAAAAACAATATAAGCGAAAATGTCGAAAATATTAAAAATTCAAAAATAAAATCGAAAGGTTGGAATATTGTAATGAATCGAGTATTTTGTAATGGATTTGGAATATTACAAAAAGAAAATAATAATACAACATTTATTCATGAAATGCTTCGACCTCATCTTTCGAGTAATCCAATTGTGAATGATGAGAATTTTATTTCAAATCAACAACAAATTAAAAATTGTAGTCGATCTCCTCAACCTTCTATTCTTTCTGCAAATTCTGAGTGAGTTTAGTTTAAAAATAGAAAAATCAGAATTTTGTGTTTTTCTGTATTTTACTATTTTTGTTCTGATTTTTATCAGAAATTAAAATTCTGATTTTTATTATAAACTAAAATTCTGGTTAGTTCTGATCAAAATTAGGAATCAGAAATTTGTCTAGAATTAAGAATCAGAATTCTGATTTTCTATAAAAATCAGAATTTGTGTTTTATTTGTATTTCAATAAAATTCTGATTTCTCTAAAAATCAGAATTCTGATTTTTATCAGAATTTTGTGTTCTTTCTGTATTTTTCAGTTTTGTCTCCCCTGTTCCATTGGAAGAACAACAAGAACCTCGTCGACAATGGATTTGTGGAACCCAAGTTTCATTTGAATGGCTTTTCCAGAGATTAATAGAAAAATTTAAATGCCCAAATGAACCAGAACCTCAGTGGATTGTTGAAAGGCTTAATGATACTAATGAAAAAGGTGACAGAAAAATTTATCAGAATTCTGATTTTTGTCAGAATTTTTTAAATAAATTTTTTCCCAAAGATCTTGACCGTACCTGTGTTTTAAAAATAACTTTTGGGTGGGAAAATCAGAAATTGCCTACAAGTGTTGTTCTGAAAATATCAGAAGCTAATGAGGACGACTCACCCGAGGCAAGATTTTCAAAATCAGAACTTTTTGAAAATCAGAATTTTTTTAAAAATTAATTTTTATTTTTATAGCAATCAAAGCTTGGTTCTGACCTTTTTAGAAGGTAAAATTTAAAAAAAAATTGATAAATAAAAATCAGAATTTTCAGAGAATGTCAAGTATATGAATGGCTTTCAAAACACAAGAAAATTGCAATCCCTCGCATTTTTGTAATTAAAGTAATTTTTAATTTGAAATAAATTTAAGATATAATTTTTTAAAGAAAAAATGGTCAAAATCATGTAGTGCTCTTCTTTTAATGGAAGATCTTAGCGATAGGGCAAGGACTGGGAAGATTACTGAAGGAATTTCTGCTGAAGGTAGTTTAAATTCTGATTCGTAAAAATAAAAACACAAATAATTCTGATTTACAAATTAATAAAATACAAAATTCTGATTTTAAATAAACTTAAAAATTCTGGTTTGTAAACTTGAAAATTCTGACCAGAATATGCGTAAATAATACATATTCTGATTTTGTAAAATATTAAAAAAAATACAAAATTCTGATTTCTAAAATTAAGCAAAACACAAAATTCTGATTCTGTAAAACATTAAAAATACAAATTCTGATTTTGTAAAAATAAAGAAAACACAAATTCTGATTTCTAAAAATAAAGAAAAACACATTTCTGATTTACAAATTAATAATAAAATACAAAATTCTGATTTGTAAACTTGAAAATTCTGATTTACATAATTAAATCAGAATTCTGATTTTTTTTATTAAATTAGATTTAATAAAATATTCTGATTTTAAAAATACAAAATTCTGATTTTTAAATTTTATTTTAAAGGGATTCGAGGCATATTGCGCATTCTAGCACAATTTCACGCTCTCTCAATGATAAAAAAGGATGAATGGCTAAAAATTGTCGGAGATGCTGAACTCCCCCAATATTTTTATGTTCAACTTAAAGGATTTATTGAAACATTTTTAAATGAAAAGAATGGGGAAAATGGAAGAATTTATCAAAAATATAAGTTTAAAAAATTGAAAGGAAAATTTTTTCAAGAAAAAAATTTTTAGTTGTTAGAAATGTTAACTCAAAATAATAATTTACAACGTTATATAACCAAAAATGGTGCTCAATTTGGTATTCCTGAATGTCTTGTACATGGAAATCCGATTGCTTCACATTTCTTTTTTTACTTGAATAATAAACAGAATAATCATGAGTTAAATACAAATTTGGAAAAGGGAATTGTGTTGATTGATTGGACACGTAAGTTTAGAGGGGAGGGAAGGGAATTAAGAAAAATATTTTCAGAATATTCTTTTAAAATCAGAATTTACAAAATCAGAATTTTTGGAATATTCAGAATCAGAATTTACAAAATCAGAATTTTTGAATTTATTTAAAATCAGAATTTCAAAATCAGAATTTTTGAATTTCAGAAGATTTTCTGAAAAATATTCTGAAAAAAATTATCAAAAATTAAAAACAATTTCTGTTTCAGAAACACATTGTGGATGTATTGGTGAAGATTTAGCCAAATGCATTTGTTGGAATATGCCAACCAAGGAGCGCAATGAAACACAACTTGTTAAATTGCTTCAATATTACCACTACCAATTATTAAAGTACTAAAAAACAGAAATTCTGATTTTAAATAAACTTAAAAATTCTGATTTTTGAATATTCTGAAAATTCTGATTAAAATTCTGATTTAAAAAATATTCTGAAAATTCTGGTTTTGAATATTCTGTTCTGGAAAATTCTGATTTTGATAATATTCTGTTCTGAAAAAAATATTCAGAAAATTCTGATTTTATTAAAAGTACAAAATAAATCAGAATAACAAATCAGAATTGTAAAATTATATTTTTCAAAAATTACAATTTTGCCTTTTCAGAAGATTACAATCATTTGGAGCAGATGCCGATTTTCAAAAAGAAATAACTTTGGATCGAGTTACGGATGCTTTTGAACAGTAAATAAAAAATTTAAATAATTAATTTTACAATATTTTCAAAGTTATATTCCCCTTGCTGCTCTCACTTTTCTTCTCTTTCTTCCCGAAGATTTAAATGATGCAAATTCTGCGGTGCTAGAAAAGGCGCATCAACTTTTGGAAGAAGCTGAAACAGCTATTGGAACACTTTGAAAATTCTGATTTAAATGAATATACAAAATTCTGATTTATAAAATTCTGATTTTTTAAAATTCTGATTTTACAAAATTCTGATTTTTTTAATTCTGATTTAAAAAATTCTGATTTTTTAAAATTCTGATTTTTTAAAATTCTGATTTTTTAAAATTCTGATTTTTTAAAATTCTATAGAATTCTGATTTTCTAAAATTGTAAAAACACAAAAATTCTGATTTTGTAAATAACTGTAATTTAACCTATTTATTATTAATAAAATTCCTTTTTCTCTTTTTTCAACCAATTAATCCAAAAGTCAGTTCATTTATTAATATATCAATTAATTATTTTTAACCTTGAGATTGGTCAAGCATTTTCTTTCCCCACTCAATCATTTATATTTTTAATTCTTCATTACTCACCCATAAAAAGGCAAAATCCGCCTATCGACACATTTTGACGTGCGCAAGAAGAAAAGAAGATGATGATGACTGTTAGTTTTACTTAAATATTTTTTTACTTTAAAAAGGCTGAAAAATGGCGGTGGTAGCGGTGGAGGTAGCGCCCTTCCCTTAAAAGGGTCTCGAGAATAAAAGAAGAGGATGGGAGGGGATTTTTACTAGTCACTTCATTTTTCTTCATCCACTCAATCGCCTCCCTTTTTTAGCATTTTTATATTTTGTTTCCCCAATCAAAATTTTTCGCATGAGGGAAAAATATTGAGAGGCGCACACCTACTATTTACAGCAAACACTCCAAATAGCGGTTTTACAAATTTTCCCATATTTTTTTAATGTTATCGATAACCAGAAATGTTATTCTTCTAGTCATAAATAAAAAATATGAATCAGAATTTACATAATTCTGAAGGAAAAAATACATAATGGTACTTTTACAACTTTCCGGAAAACCAGAATAAATATTATTAGTACTACAATTTTCCGGAAACAATAAAATTAAATAAGAATTTGACTTTTCCTTAAATTTTCCGGAAACAATAAAATAAAATCAGAATTTCATTTTCCGGAAACAATATCAGAATTTAACTTTTCAGAAACTTTCCGGAAAAATGTTATTATTAGTATTACATATAATTTTCCGGAAACTAATTTTAAATAGAATTCTTTTCCTAAAACTTTCCGGAAATGAAATAGAATCAGAATTCTACCCTTCGGTTAAATTTTTTAATTCTGATTTTATGGTATAAAATCAGAATTTCGCTTCACACACTCCAATTTTCCGGAAACTAAAATTAAATAGAATTTTTTCCTGAAACTTTCCGGAAACAATAAAATATATTTCTTTCCGGAAAAAGCACCATATAGTATGTATTACAATTTTCCGGAAAGAATTAAATCACAATTCAGGTTATTCCGGAAAAAAATATTTATTCCGGAATTTTTATATTCAATTTCCGTATTTTCTTATTTCTTCCGGTTAAATTGACCAAATTATTTTCTAAGTAATTAGGTCAGTTTGCGGTTAAAACAAAATTGACTCAATAACGTCTTTTCTAAGCATTTTGTTTACTTTTTAGATATTTTTAGAGACAGACGCCCAACGGCAATTTTCCTCAAAATTAGATATGACAAATACACGAGGGAGAAAAACAAATAAATTGGGGGATGTTTTGCCTGTTTTTAAACTTATTTTTAATTTATAAGCTGTTTTTAATAGGGAAGGTTTTATTATTATTTGTTGGTATATCAGAAATTTATTTTAAAATCAGAATTCTGATTTTTATTCAGAATTCTGATTTTTATTCTGATTTTTATTCTGACTTTTATATTCTGATTTTTATATTCTGATTTTTATTCTGATTTTTATATTCTGATTTTTATTCTGATTTTTATATTCTGATTTTTATTCTGATTTTTATATTCTGATTTTTATTCTGATTTTTATTTTCTGATTTTTATTTTTTCATAAACGATTGTTTATAATTGGGTCAATTTAAAACATAATTATTTTCGGGCATTTATAATCTCCTATAAATAATCTATTAAAAGCACAGCTGTTTATTGTTTTATTCTGTCTCAATTGCAATATAATATTTAGAACAAAGTTTGTCATTCGATTGCCATTTTATTTTTAAAAACTTGTTTTTGGGGACTTTACAAATTTTATTTTTCTATCGAACATTTTTATTGCTCATACTATCTATATTTCACCATAATTAGACTGTCGTTATGAAATTTTGATATTTTTAAAAAATCAATTATTTTTCCTTTTATATTTTAAAATTTGTTAAAACTTTGTTAAAAGATTCTAAATTCGTTCCGGAAAGAATTTGTAAAATGAGGTCTTTCCGGAATGAATATTATTTTACAATTGTAGAATATTATTTTACAAATTGTAATATATTTTTATATTTTCTTTTCATATATTCTTTCCGGAAAATTTGTGAAAATATTCTTTCCGGAATTAATATTTGCAATTGTAGAATATTATTTTACAAATTGTAATATATTTTCTTTTCGTATATTCTTTCCGGAATATTTTACAAATTGTAATAGGTATATTCCTTTAATATTCTTTCCGGAAAACATTATTTTACAAATTCTTTCCGGAAGGTTTTTGATAGATATTCCTTCCGGGATGAATATTATTTTACAAATTGTAATTATATTCTTTCCGGAATTATGATGTATATTCTTTCCGGAAAATTTATTTCACAAATTTGTAATTATATTCTTTCCGGAAAATTTATTTTACAAATGTATTACTCTTTCCGGAAGGTTTGTAAAATAAAATTCAAAACTTTAATATATATTTTAATCGCTCTGGGTGTGAGTTCATTGTACAAACATTCCCTCAAAATATATTTACTCTCTCTCAATTCTGAACTCAACTAAAAATAGAGACAAGACCTGTTTGTTTGTTTTGTAATGTTGTCTTTAACCTCTTCCTTATAAAGATTTTTCCCTCAATAAATGGGGGCAGCCATATAATATTTTTGCTATTTTTATTGTTAATGTTTTCCATGCGTCTCTCGAAGCCTTATTTTATTATTAAAAATATTTAGTATATTTTCTACTATATTTCTCTTGGTTTTTTTCAAATTCGCGCATTCTTTCAGGCTTAAAAATCGTTCAAGACTGTGTTTGTATTTTTTAATTGAGAGATGATTTAATTATTGTACCAGTCTCCTAGCAGCGAAAAAAGAAATTTTGTTCTTGTCTTTTTTGGGGTACACCCCAACTTACCGCGAGCCCAACTTGTCGCAGAGCTATAAGTTCGTTCAGAATGGTCGAATCCGTGACGCCCTGGTGTGTTTCGATTCAGCTCGTCGAGGCGCATCGAACCATACCAAAGCGTACCGGATTCGACAATTCTGAACGAAGTTATAGCTCTGCGTTAAGTTGGGCTCGCAGTGTGTTGGCCTGCTCCCTTTTTGTTTATTTTTTATCCAAAATTTTTTTTTCCTTTAATTTTTATTAATTTTTAGACATATCCCTTTATTAAAAAATATTATATTCACAAAAATAAATGGCATCGGCTACCACTTCTCGGGGTGAAATTGACGCACCTTTGGCAGTTATGCAAGATACGGGAACTAAAGGTTCCCCAACTAGAATTAATTTAAAAAATTATTTTTTTTTCAGTAATAATGACAATAATGGTGCCGGGAATGAAAAAACGTGGAGGCCTTCTTTTGACTTTAAAGCGTTGGCTACATATCAAATCAAAAGACCCTTTTGCCTTAGCTTCAAATGTTAAGTTTGGACAATACTCTTTAACTGAACAGAGCATGTCTTTGTTAATGGAAGTTTATTGTGACAAGTCTGCAATGAGTAAACGGTCAGAAGATTGTAAACGTTTTGTTGTTAGTATTGGACGTTTCCCGACGCAAATTAATCCTAATAGTGTTGGTTACAATGTAAGTTTAGAATTTAGAGGAGATTAAATAAAAATCAGAATTTTAAAAAGAATAACTACGATTTCCGGAACATCATAATTTTGTAATTTCCTTTCCGGAAATTGTAACTTTATCCGCAGAAAAGTTTAGAACTTTTCCGGAAAAATAGAATATTAATTATAATTTATTTTTCGGAAGAATTACAATTCCGGAAAGGAAATTGCAAGATTATAACCTTCCGGAAATTAAATATATAAATCAGAATTTGTAAAATGAGTAACCATATTTGCCGGAAAATAGAATATAAAATATTTTTTGTTTTCCGGAATGAAAATATAAATCAGAATTTTTCCGGAAATAAATTAAAATTAATGCAAAATTACAATTCTTCCGGAATAAAAGAAAATTACAAAATTACGGCTTTCCGGAAATTAAATATAAATCAGAATTTGTAAAAAGAAGTATAACTACAATTTCCTGAAATAGAAAAGTCTAGAACTTTTCCGGAAAAATAGAATATTATAATTTATTTTTCGGAAGAATTACAATTCCGGAAAAGAAATTACAAAATTACAGCTTTCCGGAAATTAAATAGAAATAAGAAATTGTGAAAATAATTAATAATTATAATTTCCGGAAAATAGAATATAAAATATTTTTTGTTTTCCGGAATGAAAATATAAATCAGAATTTTTCCGGAAATAAATTAAAATTACTACAAAATTACAATTCCTCTTCCGGAAAGAAATTAAATATCAAATCGGAATTTAAGAACAAATTAAATCAGAATTTACAATTTCCGGAAAGAAAATTACAAAATTACGGCTTTCCGGAAAAGAAATATAAATCAGAATTTGTAAAATAAATTGATAACTATTCTAGTTTCCGGAAAATACATATACTAATTTATTTTCCGGAATATTTAATTTATTTTATTTTCGGAATGAAAATATAAATCAGAATTTAACATTAAAGTTTACAATTTCCGGAAACGAAATTACAACTTTTCCGGAAAATAAATAGCAAACCAGAATTTAAAAATCAGAATTTATAATTTCCGGAAAGAAGATTACAAAATTACGGCTTTCCGGAAAATTAGATATAAATCAGAATTTGTAAAATAAATTGGTAGCTACAATTTCCGGAAAATACATATAGTACTAATTTATTTTCCGGAATATATGTTTATTCTATTTCCGGAAAGAAAATTACAAGTTTCCGCAAATTAAATAGCAAAACCAGAATTTAAAAATCAGAATTAAAATTTTAAATAATTTTATTTCTCTATTAGATTCAGCAACGAGGGGACAACTCATATATTGTGATGACCATTTGCAAAGTAGATAACTTCTCTACTAATTGGAAAGACTTTTTGTCGGTGAATGGTACCTTGGATTTGGCTACTTTATAAAGACCTTATAATTTTCAATTTTAAATTTTATTCTTTTTGGTTGGTTAAATTTTTGTTTAATGACCTTTTAACATCCCAGTTGAATTTAAAAAATTTTTTGTTAAATAAAATTAATTTTTAACAAATTTTCAACTGGGGTGTTTACAGTAATTCTCTCTACATATTTATCAAAATACACACAAAAACAAAATTTAATAAATGTTTAAAAATTAGTTTTAATTTTTATTGTGTTGTAAAATCACAAAATTAATTTTAAATAAATTCAAGTTTGTAAAAAAAGATTATTTAAAAATTCAAGTTTGTAAATTATAAAAATTTGAAAAGAATTAAAATTACACAACTTTCCGGAAATTAAATAGAAAATCAGAATTTGTAAAAAGAATTAATAACGGAAAATATAATATATTTTCCGGAAGATAAATTATAATGTATTCTATTTCCGGAAAAGAAATACAAATCAGAATTAAAAATTACAATTTCCGGAAAGAAAATTACAACTCTACAAAACTAGTCTTTTCCGGAAAGAAATTAAATAGAAAATCAGAATTTAAAGCAAATTAAATTTAAAGCAAATTAAATCAGTTTATTTATTTTCAGAATTATCCCCCTTTTAACAATAATATAGAGATTGGTTATTGCGTCTTTGTTGTATTGTATTTCTCTGTTCCGTTCCGGAATTGTCCTCTAGAGCTCTAACCACTTTTTCCATATCCCAATAGTGATGCCAAAGAACGAGAGTAAACATCCTTCAAATTTTTTAATTATTTAAAGAAAAGTTTTTGTCTTACCAATTAAGCAATACCCCACAAACATAAATACTTAATAAAGTTGTTAAATGGCTATCAACCCGTGTGCTTATTGCTTCAAGTATTTTTGGAGTTGTAGCCATTGATAGAATAGCCATGCCTAATACAAAAGAGGATTGCATGAAAAGGGCTGTAAAATGGGGGGAATTTTTGGAAAAATCTTTGGGTAGGAAATACCCGGCCAATAAAGCCAAATCTTTTTTAAATCCAAACACAAAACAGCGAGAAGAATGAGCAAAGCAGATGTGTGTTCAACACACCTTCGAATAAATAAATATGATTTTTAGGCTCCTTTTAGGACGAAATTTGGAAACTTTACGCTTTTTAGTAAGCGAGAGTTACTATCTGGCCTATTCCTCCCATACCTCACTTTCGGATACCAACAAAAAATTTTCCTAACAAAGGAGAGGCTTTTGGGTACCATTCAGCGAAAATGGTTCAAAATTTACAATAGCCTGTCTATTTTAAACCTGTCTACCAAAATCTACCTGTCTACCAAATTTCATCCAGAAGTCCCCACGGACACCCAAAAGCCTCTCCTTTGTAAGTGGAGGGGTGGAGGGCCCCTCATTATCTAGAAGTAAGGATTCGACCTGATTCATGTTCTGAATTAATTTAAAAATCCCTACCAAAAGAAACGTAAATAGCCTCCATCCAAATAATTCGCCACACATTTACTCCTTCAAAATTAAATAGAAGAATAAAATTTAAAAAAAATTCTCACATTTTCAAAACAATATTCATCAATCCATAATCAAAAATTACAATATCATAAGCTAACAGTCTTTCATCAAAAGTAGCCTCCGCGGTAATATTTGAATTGCATTTGAAAACGTGTCCAAAACGAGACCAAGAGTATAAATGCTATAAAATTGGGTTTTTGAAGGGTTTTGGGGGTTTCCGGAACCGGGGAGATTTTCCGGAAACAACCGAGGAGATTTCCGGAAACAACCGGAAAACCTGAAAGATTTTCCGGAAACAACCGGGGAGATTTCCGGAAACAACCGGAAAACCTGAAAGATTTTCCGGAAACAACCGGGGAGATTTCCGGAAACAACCGGAACTACTTCGACTAAATGAGAAAAAATCAACGATGTGGCGAAATGTCGTTCAAGTTGTTAAACAAAGATTTGAGAATGTTAGAGAAAAATAATAAACCTGAAACAAAGAACACCCAACAACAATAATTTGTAAAATACAAAAGAAAATACAAAGAGAGCGATTAGAACAACTTAAACACCCAAAACATTTAGTTTTGCGTTCACCAATTTCCAAAATATATAAAATACGCATCTTTTAGTAGAGAATAAAAATGGCAAAAATTTTGGGGAGGAAAAAAAATAAAAAAATAAAAAAATTTTCTCTCCTATATTTAGCCTATCAAAAGTAATTAACACAAAAATTTAAAAATATTTTTAATGGAAAAATTTTTTAAAGAAAATTTAAAAATGGAAAAATAAAAGAAAATTATTGAAAACATTTTTGGATAATTAATTTTTTAATTCTTTAATTTTTAAATTTTGAATTTTTGCTTTAAAATATTACGGTAATATAAAAAAAGGATACTGTAGTTTTCCGGAAACAACCGGAAGTGAAATTCTTCTTCGACTAAATGAGAGAAAATTAACGGTGTGGCAAAATGTCCAATCTATAGATTATGTTGACTATATGAGAAAAAAGTAGGGGTGTGGCAAAGTGTCCGTAGATATTTTGAAAAAACTTTTTTTATGTTAAAATTTAAAGGGTAGGGGACGACTCAGAGTCGCCGATTCAGAGTCGCCGATTCAGAGTAGCCGATTCAGAGTAGGGACAATTCAGAGTCCGCCGATTCAGAGTAGGGACTATTCAGAGTAGCCGATTCAGAGTACGTGGAAAAGGGGACGATTCAGAGTACGCAGAATAAAATGTCCTAAAAATCGAGATTTTTGGAAAGGAATTGATTTATTTTTTTTGCTTTTTATTCTTTTTTGTTTCCTTTGATTGTTCTAGAGAGAAAAACAACAATTTGCACAACCAACGGCAATTAGTTAATGTCAGAAATTAATTTTTAATTAAAATTTAAAATTTTTAAAATTTTCTTTAATTTTTTAAACTTCTCCCCATTTCTCCAAATTTCTGCAAAAACTTGCAAAAAACTTAAATCGACGAAGTTTCTACTCTATTTTGCGAGGTTTTTTAAAAGAATTTTTGTTTTATTTTTTGAAATTTTTTTTGAAATTTTTTTGTCCCCAAACGGCCCTCTTTAGGGCCAAAAATTTAATAAATGAAATGAGTACAATGACATTATTTATTTTTTGAAAAATTTTTGTATATTTAAATCATTTTTTTAATAAAAATTTTATTCCCTGAAGAAAAAAAAGTTGAGGCCAAAACTTTACCCTAAGGCCGAAAAAACCTAATAAAAGCCTAGAGTTAATAAGCGGCTAGCCTTTAAAATGTTCCTCAGATCGTAGGATGTAAGAAAAACCAGAAAATTCGCAAGAAAAGCTGATTTTTTATGTCCGAAAATTTTGGTACTCTGAATCGTCCCCTTTTCCCCGTACTCTGAATCGGCTACTCTGAATTGTCCCTACTCTGAATAGTCCCTACTCTGAATCGGCTACTCTGAATCGGCGACTCTGAATTGGCGACTCTGAATCGACCTTTTCCGAAATTTAAAAGTTTGGCAAAAATTTCTTTTTCTTAACTTTCATAATTCTTGAAAAAAATTTTTATTTCAAAATTTTTAAAAATTTTTTTAAATTTAGATAAATTTTATTTCAGCATGTCTGTGATGGAAGTAACATTTAAACCTTATAAAGAAAAGAATAAAGGCAAGTCTTCAAAGAAAAATAAAAAAGCAGCAAAAGAGGAAAGTTCAAACAACGATAATAGCAGTATTAGCAGCACTCCAAACAATAATAATGTTGGCAAAAATACTGGATTTAGATACCCTGCATATCTAAGCGAGGAAGAAGTGAAGGAAGGATTGGAGAATGGCTCTTTGATTGAAGTTTGGATATTTTTAGAAATTAAAAAAAAATTGTTCAGTGGAGATCAGCCTGGGTCTGGACCAAGGCCTGGGGTTTTCCCTGTACCCAGAGTCCAGGCTTAGGCATTTTGACATTCCTGGGTTTTTCCTGGGCCTTGGGTTTTTCCTGGACTACAGGCTCTGGTTCCGGTCCATGTCAATAAATTAAACACAGGAACCCAGGAACAGGCCCAGGCTTTTCAAATATTTTGATTTCTATTGTACAGGACATAAAATTTCCATAAAAAATTTTCTAGACTACCACCCCTGAAGATGGATAGATTATTGACATTTGAAAGAGCTCTTCGAACTGAGTCGAATGACACCATAGCTATGAAGGCTGACAAGTCTAGGCTGAGATAGGGCACAAAAAATGGTCAAAAACCATACGGAACCAAGGATACTCAATGGTCTGTATTTCAGCCCAAAGGATCAGCCTCATATAATTTTGCTGTCAATCGACTCACAATCAGCTCGACAAGCTCATTTAAAAAATTTTTTTAGAAATTTTTGGAAAACTTTTAATTTTAGGGTATTTTGCGTGTTAACCAACGAAACACAGAACAATGCTTTGTTGATAATCCAGATGGTGATGCACACAATGAATTGCTAATACTAGGTCCGCAAGATAGAAATAGAGGTTTACATGGAGATTTGGTAGCAGTAAAATTGAAATCAAAAGAGTTTTGGTTTTTGCATGAAGCTTATCGGGCAAAATATAAATTGAGGTTTTTTAAAAATTTTCTGATTTTTTTCAGAATTTTTGTTTTGATTTTTTCAGAATTTTTTCTTCTGATTTTTCAGAATTTTTTTTCTGATTTTTTTCTGAAATTTTTTTTCTTCTGATTTATTTCAGAATTTTTTCTTCTGATTTTTCAGAATTTTTTTTCTGATTTTTTTCAGAATTTTTTTTCTGATTTTTTTAGAATTTTTGTTCTGATTTTTTTCAGATTTTTTCTTCTGATTTTTCAGAATTTTTTTTCTGATTTTTTTCAGAATTTTGTCTTCTGATTTTTCAGAATTTTAGTTCTGATTTTTTTCAGAATTTTTTTGTTCTGATTTTTCAGAATTTTTTTCTGATTTTTCTCTTCCAAAAAATTTATTTTTTCAGTCCTCGTTTTCCTCATGCCAAGTATCACAGAATCTCTGATCTTGATAATTGCTGTTCTATTGTCAAAGAAAAACATTTAATCAAATCAGCACATGTTGTAGCAATATTAGAAAAAAATGCAAGTCGCCGAGTTGTTGGACACATTAGGCCAATGTATTCTAGTACTGCTCATTTTATTTTTGTTCCAGTCGATTCAAGAGTTCCAAGAATTTTGATTCCTATCAAGTAATTTTTTTTAATTTAAAAAATATTTGGGAATAGTCTCGGGTGGGGGTGACATATTTTCTATGGGGATCCATAGAAGCGGGGAATAAAACGGTTAGGGTCACCTTTAGATTATCTATGGGGTTCTCTACATTATCTATTGGGTTCAGAGTTGGGCGAAAATTTTCGTCTCGTTTTCTTTGGATTTTTCCTGGTTTCGAAGTTGATTTTTTATTTTTGTTTCGACTGCTCTAATGAGTCGGCAAGAGCCAATTAATTCATGGGTACCTTGCTTTTCAAGTTATACTACCGCCAACGTGGCAATTTGATAGGTAAACCCTAGCCTGTGATCGACTTCTATAGCCATAAAATTTTAAAAACCTTTACTTTCGATTAATGAGCACATTACCGCTGTGGACCGTTGGTTTGATTTCTAGGGCTAGGCACTTAATTCTGTAGGTCTAGGTTTATAAATGAATCCATTAGGTGCTTTAATAAAAACAGAATTAATGAATACTAGAAATGTGTCACACAAACGAGACTATTACCATTCCAAATATTTTCCCCTCTTTTTTTTTCAAAAGGCGTGCCCCAACAGGATTTTATGATCGTCCACAAGATTTTGAAAAATTTCTTTATTTGGCTCAATTACAAGAATGGGAAGATGATTGTATTAATCCAAGAGGAAAATTACTAGATAATTTGGGAAAGGCTGGAGATGTTAACGCTGAACATTTGGCTTTGTTGCTAGTAAATGGGGTTGATGTAAGGGAATATGAAAGTTCTGGAATTATGAAGGGATTGAGAGATCGGTTGGTTAAACTTGGTGTGGAATATGTAGAGGTGAAACCTGAGGAGGTGGTGGAAAAGGAGGAATCTGAAGGCAAAAATAAAAATAAGGTGAAGAATGAAGGGAAGATTCTTCCAGTACTTAATGGAGAGAAGACGCCAATATTGAAGCCGAAGGCTGTAGAGAAAAATGGAAAGAAGGATAAAATTGAAAAGAAGCTTATTCCAACACTGAATATTGATCCAGTAGGTTTTGAAATTTAGTTTAAAAAATTTTTTTTTGTATTTTTGGTCACTGGGATTGAAATAAGGATAAGGTTTAGAGGGATATCTTTTAGAATTTTTGGAATTAAAAATTACGGAGCAACAAGTTTACCCTTTTTTCGAAGCAGAAATGTTTAGGATAGTGAGCGGGTTCCGGTCCGATTCCGGTCTCCTTTTTCCAAATTCCTGGTCTCAAATCTGGATTTTTTCTCGATCTTTTGATTGGCCGGATCCGATCCGTCTTTAATTACAAATCCGGGGAAATTGATTTCATCGTTCACTAATTTATAATATTTTGCTTATTGTCAGTACCGACGCCCATAAATTTAAAAAATAAGAGTCATATTTATTTTTTTCAATATTTTTTAAAGAAAGAATTTGATTATCGTCGTGATTTTCGAAAAGAAGTTGTTGTTACAATCGATCCATTAACAGCAAGAGATTTGGACGATGCTTTACATATAAAAAGAATAAAAGGAGAAAATGGAGAAGATTGTTGGGAAGTTGGAGTACATATTGCTGATGTTGCTTATTTTCTTCCAATTGATACTGAAGTTAATGGATGGGCACGTAGTAGAGGAACAACTGTGTATCTTGTGCATAAGGTTCTTTTTTTTTAATTATTCGTTCGTTGACATTAAATGACAAAAGGATAGGGGCAAAACTGTCAGAGAAATTCTCTTTCCGTTTGTTGAAATCCACTGACATCGAGGAGCCTCTGTTTGCTGGATCACAGACACAGGGAATTAAACGGCACAGGGAGGGGGGGGAGGTCAAACCTGTCAGAGAAATCCCCTTCTTTTTCGTCAACATCCACTGACACCGGGGGCCTTAATCTGTTGGCTAGACCAGCTGTTGGATAGTTGAGCTCCATTCGCTTCGACAACGTTCGCCAAAGACACAGGGAAAGGTAGGCGAAAATCGTATCGCAAAAAATGTTTCTGATGATAGTTACCACCTTTATGTTAACCCTTAACTCGTGGTTGATGACTCCTCTTGGGTAACTATTCCAATTATAGAACACGATTCATAAACTTATTCGGAAAACACGTCTTTAAATTTATGTAGAGCAATTTTTATTCAATCAAAATTTGGTCGCAAAAAAGCTATTAAAATTATATTTTTAGGCAATTCCAATGCTTCCATCAGATCTTTGTGAACATTTATGTTCTTTAAATCCTGGTGTTGAAAGGCTAACCTTTTCCATTGTTTGGACTATGGATGATGAAGCAAATATACTTTCTACTTGGTTTGGACGTTCTGTAATTAAATCTTGTTCTAAATTGTCGTATGAACATGCTCAGGTTTTTAAATAATTTATTTATGGGATGAGTATTCCAAATTCCTTCTATAATGGAGGTTTTAAGTTTGTTTGAGCTAGAGGTCAGTCGGAAACAGAATTTCTCAAATTTTGATTTAATGATCAGTTATTGTTCAGTTATTAATGTTTGTGAAGCTTTTATCGTTTTCGGCCGATCTCTGTTTAAACTAGAATTTGAAACAGGGCAAGGATCATGTTTTCGGAAACCTCAAACTATAACCAATTTGAGGTTTTAGCCCAATTCCCGGTCCAGTTTAGTTTAAGAGAAAAAAATCTGGATGGATGCTGGGCCCTTCGAAACCGGGACGAGGATGATGTTTTCCAGACATGGCATTATTTTGATAAAATTTGGTTTTCGAGGGTTTAGCTCGGAAACCCAGGTTAGGGCCATTTCAAAAGTAAAAAAACCTGGATGGAGGCTGGGCTCGATGCCTTGAAAAGTTCAAACTATATTTTAAATCCCCTTCATTTCTTATCCTAAAATGGAAGAATATAAATTCCTCAAGTTCTCAGGATTTGATTAATAATTAAAAATTCTTCACTTTTATTTTTTTAAAAGGATATAATAGAAAATCCAAAAAAGCAATTTGCAATATTTGAACTTCCAAAAATTTATGATGGAATAAAAATTCGTCAAATAAAACAAACTATAACCAATTTAAATTTTATTGCAAAAAAATTAAAAAGAAAAAGATTTGAAAGAGGAGGATTAAAATTTGATTTGCCAAAACTGAGATTTGATCTAGAACAAATAAATAAAGATGAAAAGGGAAATTTAAGTGGAACTTGGATTCCTCGTGGACTTAGACTTGATCAGGTTTTAATTTTGTTAATTAAATTGAAAATTACTTGACCAAAAGGAATTTTTTTTAATTTTCTGTGTAACTAGGGAGAGGGCTGGATTTAGAAAAAGATTTTCTTGTCTTGGAATAGGTTTTCTTTTTCCATTTTTATTAGGATAGGGTTTTGAGTCGGGAAAAAAGATTGGGTATTGAGTAACTATTGGGTAACGGTTTATCACTTGGTATTGGGTAACTCGGCCCATCACTTCAGTATCCCACATGAGATTTGGAGACCTGAATATGAGCTTTTTGCGAGAATCGTGACCGATATCCCAAAAAAGTTTTCTCTATAGGTTTTTGATGGGGATCTTGTTTTGTCAATCATAAAGCTTGAAGGTTCAGTTCTTTTTTAGTGGATAAATTCATTTTAATTTTTTCCTTTAAAGTTTGAATATTTTTTATTTTAAAATTAAACTTAAAAAAAAATTAATTTTTTAAAGAGAAAAGATTCCAACTTTTTGGTTGAAGAATTAATGTTATTAGCAAATATGGAAGTTGCTCAAAGACTTTATAAATTTTATGATGATCGTGCTATGCTTCGAAGACATCCAACTCCAAAAAAGAAGGAATTAAAAAATATGGTTTATAAATTTTTTTTATAGTGAGAGTGAAGGTGTCGATCCTAGGTTTTATCAGAGAATTAGGATGACTCGCTAGGCGGAATTTGTGTGTGAGCTTCTTAATCTATGGCCAGTTCCTTTTGTTGTGTTGAAAAATTTACGAAAAAATTATTGGAAAATTTTTTCTCAAAAATCCTCACACTCTTTAGTGGGCGTTAAAAATATTTCTTTCCCTCTTTTACACCAGTGATATCACGGACTGAAAAAGTCGGGTTGGGTCTTCAAGCTTTCCTCTTATCGAGACAAGTCCAGGTTTAGGTCGGGTCAGTTGGGTCAAGTTTTGGATTACCCGTGACATTCCTGTTCCACACATAATTTATTAAATTTTCAATTTTCAGGTCGAAAAATGTGCCAAATTGGGAATTAAAATTGATTCAACAAATTCAAAAACTTTGGGAGAATCAATCGAAGAATTTACAAAAGTTGAACAATATGCTTATACAGTTGCCCCAGCACTTAACCAATTACTTATTAAATGTATGAATTTTGCTCAATATTTTTGTACCGGTGCTGTGGATGGACCTGCTGATTTTAGTCATTATGGATTGGGAGTTGATTTGTAAGTGGAAGTTTTTTTTTGGTTTAATAAATTTTTTGGGAGAAATTTTTTTTTAATTTCAAGAATTTTTAAATTTTTTTGAGAAAAATTTAAAAAAAAATTCAAAAATTTTTAGAAAAATTTTTTCGAGATTAATTTTGAAAGTTTTTGAAATTTTTTTTTCAAAATAAATTTAGTAAAAGATTTCTGAAATTAAATGAAATTTTTTTTATTTATCTGGATTTTTTTGGAATTATTTTTTTCTGTGATTTCAAAAAAAAATTAGAAATTTTTTTTTCAAATTTTTGAGATTTTGGAAAACATTTTTCACTTCAAAAAATGTTGGAAAAAAGATTTTTGAATTTTGTTGAAATTTTTTTCAAAAAAATTTTTTTTTAATTTTTGGAAAATATTTTCAAATTTTTCGTAAGTTTTTTAAATTTTGCATAAAATTTATTTTTTTAGTTATACACATTTTACATCACCAATTCGTCGATATCCAGATATTATAGTTCATAGACTTTTGGCTGCAAGTTTAAACTATACGGAGGATCCAGCTTATTCTGTTAAACAATTACATGGAATTGCTATGAGAGCAAATTCAACTAAAGCTTGTGCTAAAATGTGTAGTGAAACTAGTGCTGATATATTTTTTGGTTCTTTTATAAGGGTAAGAAAATATATAGTAAATAATTTTAATTTAAAGAAAAAATTAGAATTTATTTTTGCCTTATTTTAATTGGGACTGGGCCGTTTTGGCGCGGGGCCGTTTTGGCGCGAGCTTATAAAATAGCGAGTTCGTTATCAAGAATGATAAAATTTTGCAATAATAACTCTCGTATCTTTATCTAGGTTCTCCAAAGATTTCAAAATTTTTGATCAAGAATTTCGGAAATTGTAGCCAGAAATGTTGATTTTCTGCAAAATGCCTAATTTTTCAAGGTCTATTGACTATAACTTCGGAAATATTGGATGAAAAATTCTGAAATTTCTGGAGGAGGTAGTCAAGGATGTTAAAGAAATTTGAGAAAAATTTTATAAATTTAGGTCTAGCCTAAGTGCCACTTTTTTGTTCTCGCGCCAAAACGGCCCGGCGCCAAAACGACCCCAACCCATTTTAATTTGGTTGGGAAAATCAGAATTTCAGGGGGAAAATCAGAATATACATACTAACAAATTATATTCTGATTTTTATTTGATTTCTAATTTGAACTTTGTCCTTAAAATTCTAAAATCAGAAAGTCAGAATTATTAAATTAACTGACTAGTAATTCTGATTTTAATTAACAAATAATTCTGATTTTTATTTCAAAAAGACAATTTATATATGTTTTTATCTAGAAGAAATCAGAATTTGTTGTCTTTTTTTTTATTTTTAAATGAATAAGAAAAATTCTGATTTTTCTATTAGTAAAAATATTATTATTTTTTATTAAAGGAATATGGAGGTATGGAAGTTGTTGGTGTAGTTATGGCACTTTTCGACGAATGTTTTGATTTACTTTTGATAAAATATGGAATTGTTAAACGTATATACCTTAAGGTTTATTTTCCTTTTATTTTTATTAAAATTTTTTTCTTAAGAAACAAAAATTTTTAAATCGAATTTACCACGGAAAATTAACAAAAAATGGTCCTGTAACCCTTGTATTATGGTTTAATGAAGAAGCTAAAAATTATTTTAGTGGGAAAGATGAGGTGGTGACTAACAATAAAATTAGAAGAGAAGAATGTTTGCCAAATTTGGATAAAAAAATTGATAAATTGTTAAGAGAAGATGTGGAAGATGATGAGGAAAGTGATGGAAATGGAGTTGTGGTAGTTGAAGGAATAGGGGAATCGGAGGAGGAAGAAGAGAGAGGAAAGAATGGAGGAGGAAAGAAGGTTAAGGAAGATGTTTATGAAGAAGTACCTGCATGGGTAAAAGATTTGCAACCTGAAGAAAGACAAACTATAAATTGTATGTGTGTTGTTCGTGTAAAATTGGTTAATGTAAAGGATACTTTGAGATATGAGGTTTGTTTTTAGAAAATTATTTTTTAGTTTTTATGAGGGGATTTTTAATTAGAATAGGAGAAGGGTCTTTTTTTGAAATCTTTTAAAAAGGTGATTTTCTGTGGAAGGTTTTATGAAAGATTTTTGGTCCTTCCATAAAATTTGGTTGGGCAATTATCCTTGGGTTCTTTCTATTGTTTTGAAGTTTAGGTCCGCTTTACAATTCTATTAACTGTCAAATTCTCTTAAAAAAATTTTTTGATTTTTTATGTGATCTTATTTCATATTTTCTTAAAGAAATCAACTTCCAATATTTTCTTCTGGGAATTTTTCCGTTTTTCGATTTTTTTAGGTTTACCTCTTTTCGATTCCCCTTCTGTAAATTTTTAAATGGTTTGACTTGTTTATTTTCTTTTTAATTTTTTTTTTAATTTTCAAGGCCAGTCTAATTCCAACACCAGATTCTAATCCTTTAACTTGGGTTGATGCAAAGCAACATATGGATGAATAAAGCAAACAAACAATATTTTTTGTATGTACAAAAATACTAGAAAAATATTCAAAACCTCACACAGTCGTTTGTTTGTTTATTTTTGAGTTTTTTTTTGTTATTAGAGTTCGATCCGGGACAAGCGCTTCACGGGCCTGATAGCTCGGAAACCGAATGTTTTGATAAAATTTTTTGGTTTTCGGGGTTTCCAGGTTTTAGGAGGTTCCAACTCGAAAAAGTCCCTTTACCCGGTTGGATGTAAAGCCCCTCGAACTTCCGGCCTGGTGATGGAAGTTCGAGATGTTTTCCGGCCTGGTAATGTGTTTTTTCATCGGTTGGATGGAAATCCCCTCGAACTTCCGGCCTGGTAATGTGAAAAGTTCGAACTCTATTTATTATTGTGCCCCAAAAATAATTGTTTTTTTTTGTTTTTTTTTTTGTTTATTTACAAAAATTTTTTTGTTATCATTTTCCGGGTTTTTCTATGTGTTCCTTAAAAAATTTTGAGAGAATAAATATTTTAAAGTGATCAATTTGTGTGAAAAGAGAAATTGTTTATTGCTGATAATTAAATATTTGTTGTTATCTTTTTTAATTTTTTTTACTTTTTTTTAGCTTTAAAAAGTCAATGAAACAAATAAAAAGAGAGAAATTTAATGATAACTATAAAAAGAAGGTGCCTTTTACATCTGAAAGTATTCAGCAATTGATTACAAAACTAGGGGAAGTAAAGGAAAGAGAACGATTAGCATCAATAAGAGGTTTGTTAATTTCTTTGAAGGGGGGGGGGTTAATAGAATAATAATAGGTTAACAGGGGTACGGCCCGAAGTGTCGCGCGGCCACGAGGTCGCCAAGTCATAACTTGCTGGTAAATTTCTGGCCCTTATCAATTTTGGTACGTATCTCTTTAGCGGGGAATCGTTCAATACCAAATTTGGAAAGATTCGGAAATCCTAAAGCAAGTTATGGCTCGGCGACCTTATACTATTCGGGCGTATCCAGGTTAACCGGGTTCTAATAGAAACCCTGCGCTTTTATTTGTTCGTTGGGTGTCTGAGGGTTATTTAATAGGGCTTCTATTTAGGACGGGGTCTATTATTTACGGTGTTTACTTTTAGCAAGACTGGGCAAAGAAGTAAAACAGATGAAGACGAAAATAAATCAAGGAAAAAATGAGCAACAAGTCGAAACTGCAACAGTCAAACCAAAACTTGCTTCAAATGAGCAACAAGTCGATGTTTTATCAGTCGAGCCTGAACTTGCTTTGACGAAAATAAAAAAAGAAGAAAATAAGCAGCAAGTCGATACCTCATCAATCAAACCAAAACTTGATCCAAAAGACGATTTTCAACAAGTCAGTAACTCATCAGTCAAACCAAAACTTGCTTTATCAATCAAACCAAAACCTGATCCAAAGGACGATTTTCGAGGCAAAATAATAACAGCAAAATGGGTTTGGTTCAATGGATCGTTTCAACAAAATGTTTTGCTTAAAATAGATAAAGATGGTAAAATTGAAGACATATTTAAAGAGGGTGAGTTGATAATGATTGAAGAAGATGCAATTACTGATCTTGGAGAAATGGTTTGTTAAGTTTTAAAATTAGAAGAGATTGGTCGGGATCTGGACCTTGATTTTTCTTGGATTTATAGTCAAGATCAAGGCATTTTTCAGGGGTCACCCCAGGGGTACACCCCAAGGTACCGCAGAGTTATTGAATCCGGGATGCCCTGGTATAAGCCGATGCACCTCAATGAGTTGAATCGAACCATACCAGGGCGTCCCAAATTCGACAATTTTTAACGAAGTTATAGCTCTGCGGTACCTTGAGCTTGTGTTACCTTGGCCTGCTCCCGTTTTCAGTGTTCCTTTATTTTTTCTTGACTCAATGTCAGGAATTTGGTCAAAAGTCCTCAAACAAAATCAAGTCAAGATTTTTTAAATTTCCAATCTCTATTAAAAATAAAAAAAAATTTTGTTCCTTTTTCAATTAAAGGCTTTATTACCTGGTTTTGTTAATGCTCATTCACATGCATTCCATCGAGAACTTCGTGGACTCTCTCAAATTGGAAATGAGGGAGCTGATAATTTTTGGAAATGGCGTCAAAATATGTACAAATTGGTTGAGGATATTGACTATGGAAAATTGAAAAAGGTTTAAATGCTTATTAAGTTGATGAGGGGGGAGAGTAGGAGGACACTCACTGGGTCCAAAAAATATGTGAACCACCGAATGGTGTTCAGAAAAGTTGGAATAGCAAGTCCACGTCCTTCATTTGCTCGCCAGGCAGGGCTTGAATAAGAATCGAGTTCTAGCTTCGTCCCGAAATTTTTTTTTTGGATTTTTATATTTTTATTTTTTTTTAGATTTGTATCGACACATTTAGTGAGATGTTATCAGCAGGAATTACTACTGTTGGAGAGTAAGTTTGTTTTTTTTTTAATTAAAAGATATTTTTTTATTCAAGATTTCATTATGTTCATCATTCAAATAAAGCTGCTGGATTTTTTGATTTTGACATGGCTGTAATAGAAGCTGCTTGTGAAGTGGGCATTAGATTGGTTTTAATTGGTTAATTTTTTTAATTTTTAATTAAAAAAATATTTTTCAGAAACTCTTTACATGCGAGCAGGATTTTCTCAACCAGATATTAACCCTGAACAATGGCGATTTGCAAGTTCAACTGTTGAACATTTTATTGAACATGTTGAGGATTTGAGGGAAAAATTGAAGAACAATGACTTGGTCACTTTGGCGTTGGCAGGTTTGTTTTAAAACAATTTTTATGAATCTTACTTTGCCCTGTTTTAATTTGGTCCATCTGTCCAAAAAAAATTTTTTCGTTTTGTCCAAGGCCATTTTTGTTTCAATTTCTTAGTTTGGGTCAGATATTGTTTTGTCCTCTCTTCATTGATCCAAAGTTCGATTTTGTCCAACGTTCAAAAAACTTCATTTGGTCCATCTGTCCAAAAAAATTAAGTTCGGTCTAAAGGCCGTTTGGTCCCCTTTGTTTTAATTTTTTGTTTGGGTCATGTCCGTTTTGTCCATTTCTCATTGATCCAAATTTGGTCCATTGTTACAAAAATTATTTGGTCCTATTTCTATTTGGTCCAGTTCTAAATTTTTTCATTTTGTCCTTTAGTGCACTCTTTTCGTGCTGTTCCAGTACCAGAAGCAATCAAATTATACCAATATGCTCAAATAAATAATTTACCTTTACATCTCCATTTGGAAGAACAACCAGCTGAATTAGATGATTGTCGTCTTGTTAATGAAGGGAAAGACCCGGCAGAAGTTTTATTAAAAAATATTTTGGTAAATGAAGAAACAGAAGAGGTTTAAATTTATAAATAGAAAAGTTGATATTTTTGTGGGTTCCAATTTGGATTCCAATTAGTTTGGCGTGCTTTATGAATTTTCCAAATTGTCCCAGAAAGGAACATTGTCTGCTGCCAAGGGATCGTCGTTTACTTTCACCACGAATCTGTTATAGTTTTTGATTCAGTGGAGGACCGACCCCTTTCTATTACGAATTAACCTGATTTTTCTTGCAAAAAAACTTTGAACTGAGTTATGGTTAGTCAAACTTTCTGAGGTTTTACGTACCAATAGAGTAATTCGAGGTACTTTCAAAAATTAAGTGGGGGTGGAGGGGGGTCACACTTGCGAAACCACAAATTGACGCTTGGGGGTCCGCAAGTGTCAGTCCGCAAATTTATCTTTTTTTCAAAAAAATTTTTTTAATTCTTTAGATAGACAATTCATTAATTACTGCTGTTCACTGTACCCATACTAAACGCTCAAATCTTGATGAATTTATTAAAAGAAAAATAAATGTTTGTATATGTCCGTGTACTGAAGGTTTTTTTTCGATTTTTAAGAGTTTTTAAAAATTTATTTTTAAAGGTTATTTGGGTGATGGAATACCCAATTTAAATGAATTTGATAATATTTGTTTGGGAACTGATTGTAATAATAGAATTGGTATTTTTTTTAAATTTTTTTTGGGGGTTTTTTAAATTATTTTTTTAAAGCTATGTTTGAAGAAATGCGTTGGCTTGTTTTTTGTCAAAATGTTGGTTTTAAAATTTTTTTTAAATATATTAATAAGTGAATAATGCTTTCTCGGAATCAGGGGCGGGTGAGACAATTTCTAAAAATGCAACGCAAGGCCTAAATTTAACGCAAAAACAACGCAAAAACAATGCGCCCGCCCCTGCTCGGAATTGGGAAAAAATTTTTTAATTTTTGTTTCTCCTTTACTAAAATTAAATGGTTACGGGTTTAGAGTTCAACGATACATGTTACAGTTTTTTGTTGATTTTGAGGTTTCTTAAATTCTAGGAAACTGTGTTTTGATGGGAAATAAATTTTTTTAATTTTCTATTCTGTTTATTAACGAATTCTGAATCCGTGAATATCTGACATGGGGATTTCCAGATATGCAGACCTTTTTCCTCGTATGAGAAGATTTTGCCCATTTTTTTTAAATTAAAATTAATTTTTTTTTAATTTATTTTTAATTTATAGATGCGTACAAATACTCGAAATTGTGCTAATTTAAATGCTTCAAAATTATTTGAATGTGCAACAATAAATGGAGCAAAATCTTTGGGATTAATTTCAAAAATTGGAGATTTTGTAATTGGCAAACAAATGGATTTTTCTGGTATTTTATTAAAAAATTTCAAATTAAAAAATTTTTGTGATGACAAAAAACTTTTGGATTCTTTAATTTTTGGGGGAGGAAATGAAGAAATTGGAATGACTGGAATTGGGGGAATTATTAAATTTAATAAATAGAGAAAATTTTAAAAATCAGAATTTTTTTTATGTATTTTTTGAAAAAAATATTTCCGGTGATATAAAAATTAAAAAAAAAATATACTATATATATTTTTTTGGATTTGTCTCCGGACACCCTTCTATAACACATACCCATCCTGCATGAGTTCTCTCATTTCCAAGCTCCTAATTTGTATTTTTTGGTCAATTTCTTTCGAAATAAATTGATTAAAAAGGGTGTTGATCAGTGCTGGGTATGGCTCCGGGAGCTAGCTTTGGAGCCGGAGCTAAGATTTTAAAAGCTCGGAGCCAACAAATGCCCAACACCCAGCACTGTTGTTGATTAAGGGAATATTATACAATCCCTGACTTATTTTTAAATTAAGTTTTATTTCCACTCCTTTAGGAGAGGTGTTTAAGGGTAAGAATTGAGAGCTAGCTAATGAGAGTATTCAAAGACAAACCCTTTTAATTAATTACAAAAATATTTTTTTAACTAAAAAAATACCCGTATTTTTTATTTTATTTATCTTCTTTTTCCTCTTCTATAATAGCTGGATCCATATAAAAACTAACTGATATTTGTGTAACATTCTTTTTATTATTTCCTCCACCACCTCCACCTCTTTTCATCATTCCTTTAATAATTTTATTATTTTTATTTTTTAATTTTTCTTCCTTTTCTTCTTCAATATTTTCTTCCTTATTTTCATTATTTAAATCTCCATTACAAATTTTAAATTCTTCAATTTGTGGTCTGTCTGTACCAAAAGATGAATTATTTAATTCTTCTAGTGTAGAAGAAGATACTCGACTTTTTACATTTGTTGTAGGAGTAGAATGTCCCTGAAAATATAAATCAAAATTATCTCTTTTATTATGCTTATTTTTAATTAGATTACAATCAGAATTTGTATTCTTTTATTCTGAAAAGAATAATTCTGATTTTTAATATTTTTTCTGTTTTATAATTCTGATTTTTTTCTGATTTTTAATATTTTTATTCTAATTTAATTCTGATTTTATTTCTGACTTTGTTCTCATTTCTTAATTTAATTCTGATTTTTTCTGACTTTGTTCTGATTTTCTAATTTAATTCTGATTTTTTTTTCTGATTTTCTAATCTAATTCTGATTTTTTTTCTGATTCTTTTTCTGATTTTTTTCTGACTTTTGGTTTTAATAATTCTGATTTCTGGTTCTAAAATAATTCTGATTTGTAAACTACACAAAAATCAGAATTTTCGATTGTAATCTTAATATTTTTATTTTATTCTCTACCTTTCTTCTAGCTTCATGATGTTGTTGTTCTAAGTCTTGTAATTCTTCCAAATCCATTGGGGGTCCAAGTTGGAATAGTCCCATTTCCACATATCTATTTTTTTATTTTTTCATTCAAAAATTATTTTTTCTAAATTTACCTTAACAAAACATCTGTCCAACAGCCAGCCGCTGTAAAACAAAAAAGATAATCTGCCGGATATATTGTTTGAGTAAAAATCATAATTATTAAAGTTGACTGGCTAAAACGTAATTCTTCTAGGCCTAATTGATATTTTATTGTATTTGTTTCGAAAAATGTCACTCCAAATCCAACCCAATTTACTACAACTGCAGATAACGCGACTATAGGTAAAAATCGGCGGGTAGCGTGGACATCTCTGAAAATTATATTTAATTTAGGGAAAAAATCAGAATTTGTAAAAAAAATACAAATCAGAATTTGTAAGATTAGAAGAATACAAATTAGTGTGTATATTTAAAATCAGAATTTGCAATTTTTCAAATCAGAATTTTTATTTTTCAGAATTATTAAAAACAGAATTTATAATTTTCAGAATTTTTAAAAACAGAATTTGTAATTTCTAGAATTTGTACAAATCAGAATTTGTAATTTTCAGAATTTCTAAAATCAGAATTTATAATTTTCAGAATTTTTAAAATCAGAATTTGTATTTTTCAATAAAAATACAAAATCAGAACTCAAAATGAAGAGCCATTATTCTATGCAAACACATATACTGCAACCATTGCGAAGCTTGAATTAATGTTAGGGAAACAGTTCGCAGTAATGCTTCAGGCCAAGAAAGAAACCCGTCTGCTCTTTGAAAGTGTAATTCAACCAGCTGTAAACCAAGTTTAACAGTCATAAAAGAAGCACTTCCAAAAATTAAGACTAAGTCCCCTTTAGATTCTGCTTTGTGGTAAGGACAAAAACGTTTAACTGTAATTGCTTGTCTTGCCCATAAAGTCAACTAAAAAATATTTTTTGAAGAAAGTTTAAAAAATGATACCAAAACAAACAAAAATGTTTGTGTTAAACTAGCAGCACATTCAGAATAGGTATCTGTCATTGAACCTTTTTTGTGCATTTCATCTTAATATGAATTTTTTACTCAAACAATACTTATCCGGTTAGAGGGTTTTTGAAATTTTTTGAAGGATTAAAAAGTTATTTTTATGGAAGCTTGCTAAACGAGGGTTTAAGGATTACTAGTAAAGGAGAAAATGGCACCTCTTAATCGGTGGTGAACGTTCACCTATACATGGTGAACGAATGCCTGCCCGGGGCTAAACTTTCTTATTGTTTCAAAGCAACTGGCTGTTGGACAGATTTTTTTGTTAAGTTAAATAAATTCAAAAAAATTATTTTTGAATAAAAAATACATAATTCTGATTTCTGTTTTGCAATAATTCTGATTTTTATTATTTTGCTTACCAAAAAGAATAGCAAAATAGAGGCCTACAAACCAACGAAGACTAGCCAACTAAAAAATTTAAAAAATATTCAACAACAATCGTTAACAAAAAAATCATACAAAAGCAGTAATACACCCAAGTATTACAAGTGAAGCAGTTAAAATTGTGGGTAAATTGAGAGGGGGAAGTTGTCGTCTAATTTGGGCTGTCGGGTCTAATCCATAAATTTTTGAAACATCTCCAATCATTCCTTGAAGCATTCTTCTAACACTTTTCTTTTCCTTTAAAAAATTATTTTTATTTTTTTTTTTCAAATTTTCATTTTTTTACTTGTCTTCTCCTTATAAGCTCATCAGCTCTTTGTTCTGCCCGTCCACAAGCTAACCAATGAGCTACTAACATTACTGGAAAAAATTCTGAGGCACACGAAATTATTGCGGAATTTAACAATCCTTTGTGCATATAATACCTTTTTAGATTAATAAATAGAAAAAAATTTCCTGTAATTTTACCATGTTTTCTGGGTTCCTTTTAATTTTGTTTCGGGATCGCAAGTATATGAACGTCTAATTACAGGGCACCTAAAAATATGGGTATATTATTTTGGTTTCCGGAAGAGTTTATTTTCCGGATAGAAAATATAAACTATAAATTAATAATCAGAATTTACGGAATAATATTAATTTTTCCGGAAATAATAAAGGTCAGAATTTCCGGATTAATTTGTATTTCCGGTATAAATATATTTTCCGGAAAGAAAATACTAAATTAAAAAAATTTCCGGATTATATTTCTGGAAAGAAGTTAAAATCAGAATTTCCGGATTAATTTGTATTCCCTCTATAAATATATTTTCCGGTTATATTTTCCGGAAAGGAAATACTAAATTAAAAAAGAATTTCCGGATTATATTTCTGGAAAGAAATTAAAATCAGAATTTTCAGAAAATTCCGGAAAGAATAATATGTATTAAAAATAGAATTCCAGATAGAATATAATTTTCCGGAAAAATATTATATATAATAATTATCGAATTAACCTACCAATATCCAGATATCTCACTGCGTTGACAAAGTTCTTGATAACTCAAATATCCTTTAAAGATCACAATTTTGACCCATACAATAGTCAAAACAATATTAACCCATTTTCTGGTAATTAAATCAAAATTTGTATTTTGAGAGCCATAATAAGATCTTTTGAAAAAATTTTTTTATTTAATCCAAAGAGAAGGATAAATTACCTTTGAAAGATATAAATTAGTGAAAGAACACAAAAAGAAATCATTAAAAGATCGTAGAGGGCTTCCTGCCATTGTTCTTCGGCCCCAGCTGCGTCAAACAATTTGTCACAATTTCGAAAGGCAATATTAAAAATAAGAAAATAGGCATATCCTAAAGCAATCCCAGCAGTTAGGGCAAATGCAGAAATCATTGTTGGACGGGGAATTGTGTGGGGTCTTGCTAATTTGTCAAAATCCCCGCATTGTGCTTTCCACATAAAAGCTAGTTGAAGCAGTCCACAAGAGAACATCAATGAACAAACAGCCTGAAAATTCCGGAAACTTTATATATTTTAATTTCCGGAAATTATAGAGAAAATATATTAATTATTTTTCCGGAATTGTTATTATCGAAAATATTATCTATTCATAAATGAATATTCTTCCGTAAATTCTGATTATTAATTTATAATTTCTTTCCGGAAAATATTATTTATTTTGAATCCGGAAAATGAATATAACCGGAACATCTCTGGAAATTATTAAATTTGAAAAAAATCAGAATTTGTAAAAGAAATTACAAATCAGAATTTGTAGGCTTAGAAAAATACAACCAGAATGTATATTTTTCAGAATTTGTGTTTTTTAGTTTGTAAAAATCAGAATTTGTATTTTTTATAAATCAGAATTTTGTAAAAATACAATTCTGAATTTGAATTTTCAGAATTTGTACAAATCAGAATTTTTAATTTCGCAAACCAGAATTCTATTTTAACCGGAAAACAAAAATCTAACCGGAAGGAATACATTCTTAATTTAAACTAACCAAATGATATATCCTCAGATAGTGAATTGTTTCGATCGAACGATCAAGCAATACATATAAATTAATTATTACACAAGTTACAGCCAATATATACATTGCTGCCGAACATGCATTCATCGCGTTAAATTTTGTTTCAAAAAAGTTTTTAAAATTTTCTATTTTGTCAGAAAAAAATTCTGACAAAGAAAAAGAGGGGGAGGGAGGAGTTTCTTCTTTTGTTTCCATTTTTCTTAAAAGACAAAAAAATTTTAATTTTATTTGTTTAATTTTAAATTAAATAATGAATAATTAAGGGAATAAGGGGAAAATGAAGAGAAAAAATTTTTTGGGGAGAGAAAAATTTTTTTGAGGAGGAAAATATTTTTTTGAGAGAAAAAAATTTTTTTAAGTTTAAAATTTTTTTTGGATATTTTCTCTTATTTTTAGGGGAAATTTTTAATATTTTTTGGGAGGCTTCTTAAAATAGATATTTTTTAAAAAATAATTTAATAACCAAAAAAAATATTAAAATTTTTTTAATAATAAATACAAAATTAGTAACACTAAAAAAATAGGTATATATTTTTAAATATTTTTATTTAAAAAATTTTTTTTATTTAATATTAAAAAGACGATTTTTAGGAATATTGATGGTTTGGGATTTGGGGATTTGTTGTTAATATTAAAAGAAAAAAAAAAGAAAAGAAAAATGCAACAAGTCCAATATTTTAAAACTTTTTTTGTTACCTCCTCCTCATAAGGCACTTTATATTTTTAGAAGAAGGTTTAAAAAAATTTTGGGGGGAAGATGTGTTTATTCTGAAAAAAGTGTTAAAAGGAGCACACGAACATTTAAGTTTATTTTTTGTTTATAGTTCTTTTTAATAGAAGAAAAATCAGAATTTAAACTTTTTCAGAATTTTAATTCTACATATAACCGGAAAGAATATAAAGTTTATAGAAAATTAAACTTGAATTAAAAAATCAGAATTTTAAATAAATTAAAGTTGGAAAAATCAGAATTTTTCAAAAACAAACTTGAAAAATCAGAATTATTAAATTAAACTTAAATTAAAAATCAGAATTTTGAGTAAATTAAGGTTGGAATTATCAGAATTTTAATTAAATAAGCTTGGCTAAACCATCAAATTTTTGATTGGTTTAATAAGCTTATAAACAGTTCGAGACATTAATTTAATTTTTTTTCTTTTTCTTGGAAGATTAAAATTAAAAAAAGATTTAATAGAATCTGTCCTAGCTATCGATCAACTAAATATTTTCAAACTTTTTTTAAAAATTAGGAAAAGTGGATTTATTGAATGTTTTTTGGGGAGGGGGGAGGAGGGGGGATTTGAAAATGTGATATTTTATTAGCTTTGAAAGTATTAAAAAAATTTTAAAGAACCAATTGTCAAATTTAAATGTTCTTTAAAGAACAAATTTAACAGTTGTTTATTTTTAAAGAAATTTTTGGAAGATTAATTTTATTAAAATTTTTGAAATAGAGCCAAAAAGAGTTGAGAAAAAATGTTTCAAAATTTGACAAATTAAAAAGAAAAATTCTGAAATAAATTCTGAAATAAATATTCTGATTTAAAGTTTGATAAAAATTCTGATTTCTGATTCAAATAAACAAAATAAACTTGGAATCAGAATTTTGAAAAAAACTTGAAATTCTGATTTTTAAGTTTATTTTTGATAATTCTGATTTAATTAAATTCTGATTTATTAAAGTTTATTTATTCTGGTTTAAAGTTTATTTTAAAATAGGGGAGAAGAATTAAAAATAAACTCGAAGATAAAATAAATATTCTGATTTTTTTTAATTTAAATATTTTTCTGATTTTCTTTGGAAATATGAGGGGATAAATAAATAAAATTTTATTCGTCATAAAAATTTTTTCAACTTTTATTTTCATTTTTTAAGCAATAAATTGACTGCAAAAAATTGTTTGTTTAATATCCGCCCACGTTCAAGTGGATTATAAATGTACTGATTGATCAACAAAAAAAGAAGGTAAATAAAAAGAAGCGGAAGCCTTTTTTTTATTAAATAAATATTTAAATAAAATAATATTTTTTATTTAAATAATATTACTGTATTTTGTCCTTAGGGGTTTCTCTAGCTACCTATTTAATTTCTGTTGCCAAGGGTAACTGAATTAAATTTCTAAGCATTTATGTAAATAAACTTTACTTAAAATTATTATTCTGATATTGAAAAATTAAAAAGTTTATTTTCTGATTTTTTTATTAATAATTCTGATTTCAAGTTTATTTTTAAAATTTTGATTATATTAAAATAAATGTTTACTCTGATAATATTCTGAATTTAAAGTTTATTTAAATATTCAAGTTTATTCTGATTTTTAAATATATTCTGAAAACTTGAAATTCTGATGTTTAATAATTCTGATTTTAGATTTTTTTGTTAATATTCTGGTTTTCAAGTTTATTTAATAAACTTTAAATCAGAATATTATCAGAATAAACATTTGTATTTTAATATATAAATCAGAATTATTAATACGACCTGGAATCAGAATTTTTAAAAATAAACTTGAAAATCAGAAAATAAACTTTAATTTATAAATATCAAAATTTAATTTCAAGTTTATTTATTTTTCAGATATTTTCTGATTTCCAAGTTTACTTAAATATTCTGATTTGTATTCAACTTCAATTAAATGTCATTTCACGAACTTAAAGGTAAATAAATTAAATTTAAAATATTTAATTAAAAAATTAAAAGAATTTACTGAAATTCTGCGTTCTCTTGGCTTTCCTCGACTCGTCTCTAATGAAAATTTTCGTTTTCCAAATTTTCCATTAATGGCAGAAATTCTTGAATGGACTGTTAAAAAGTTTGAGCCAAATATTCGTTTACCTAAACAAATGGATAGTGAACAGGAACGCGTTTTATTTGTTAAAAGTGTTGTGCTTTCTTTGTTACAAAAGGCGCATGTTAAATTAAATCCAAAAAATGTTTATCAAGTAAGTTGGAAAATATCAGAATTTTTAATTAAATTCTGACTTAAGTTTATAAATAAATTCTGATTTCTGATACAAGTAAAAAAATAAACTTGGAATCAGAATTAAATAAAACTTGAAATTCTGATTTAAGATTAAATGTTCTGGTTCATAATTTATTAAAAATTCTGATTCAATTAAATTCTGATTTTTGATCCAAGTTATATTAGTAATTCTGATTCCAAGTTTATTTTTGAGGAGTTTGATTTCAAGTTTATAAATAAATTCTGTTTTTAAGTTCAATTTTTAAATAAACTTTAAATCAGAATTTTAAGAATGAGCCTGAATCAGAATTTATTTATTAAAAAATTATTATTCTGATTTATAAGTTTATTTATCAATAATTCTGATTTCTGTTTTCAAGTTTACTTTCTAATAATTCTGATTTTTTTATAAGACTCTTAAAAATCAGAATAAATTTTTGTTTTTCAGTCAGATGGCCATGCAGTTAGAGAAATACTTCCAGTACTTAAAATGCTCTACAAAAGTTTAAAAACACATAATTTATTGAAATCTGAAAATAATGTTAGAATAAATAAAGAAGAATCTACACAAATTAATTTTTTAAGAAGCCAAGTTAATTTGAAGGTGAGAATTTTAATAATGGAATGGGTGATTTCAAAAAATTTATAACAGAGGGATTGTTAAGGCTTTTGATTTAATTTTGGTATCATTCGATAGAGGAGAGTTAAAGCTACAAAATCTCAAAAAATCAGAATTTTTGATTAACTGATAAAAAAGTTCTGGTCGAAAAACCCAACTTTTTTAAACAAATTTTAGTTTTTGTCCCATAATTTTCCTTATCAGTTATCAATAAATATCTTTTTTTGCTATCTTGTAGAGTAAGATCTCCTCTATCTAGCGATACCAAGATCATTTCAATCACTTCAATATATCACGAGTTATGACCAGTTTAATGGAAGGTTCCTAACTCAATTTAAGTGCAAATTCTTAGTTTTTGGACCATAACTTTCTTAATCATTTATTAATAATTATAATTTTTGGCTAGCTTGTAGAGGAAGACTTCCTCTATCTATTAATACCAAAATTATTTCAATCACTTAAGTATGTCCAGAGTTATGGTCGTTGAAGTGAAAGATTAACTAAATTCATGAGCAAACTCATAGTTTTCAGCCCGTAACTTTCTTTATCAGATATCAATAATTATCATTTTTGGTTATTTTATAGAGGAGAATCTTCTCTATCGAATGATGCTAAAATTATTTCGATAGGTTCAATAGTTCCTGAGTTATGATCTTTGGAGTGAGGGCTCTTCAACTCATCTCGAGATCAAATTCTTAGTTTTTGGACCATAACTTGCTTTATCATTTATCAATAATTATCATTTTTGTTTATTTTGTAGAGGAGAATTTCCTTTATCTAAAAATACCAAAATCATTTCAATCAGTTAATTAATTCCCGAGTTATGAATTTTTATTTAAGCGTCAAGAACTTCGTCAAACAGTTTCAACAGCAGGAGAATTACCAAAAATTGGAGCAAATCTTTACCAATTATTAAGAGATGAGGGGTTTTCTAAGGTATTTTAATTTAAAAAATATTTTTAAAATTTAATTTTGATTTAAAGGAAATGAGAAACAAAGCTTTGGGTCAATCCCTGAATACCTCCAAAATTGAAAATGAAATTAAAGAAAAAATTTCAGATGCTGAATTTAAAATAAATGAATTTAAAAAAAGATTAGAAAATATTACATCTGATGAAGTTGAATTAACCAAAAAAATTGAGAGAAGAAAAAGAGAATTGGAACAATTACAAAAAAGATTGGCGAAATTACAGGCAAATTTTAATTTTAATTAAAATAAAAGAATATAGCAATTAAAATGGAAAAAGCAACCGTGTGCTCTTGTGGCGCAACGGTTAGCGCGTTCGGCTGTTAACCGAAAGGTTGGTGGTTCGAATCCACCCAGGAGCGGATGATTTTTGCTTGGGGTTTTTGACTTGGAAAATTTTTTAAAAATATTTTGAAATTTTTTAGGCTTGAAAAAAAATTTTTGAAATTTTTTTTAAATTTTTTGAAATTTTAAAAATTTAATTTTTATTTTTTAGTCCTTCCGTCCTCCATATATGGATGAATATGAAAATTTAGAGAAGGAATTGAAAGACCGCTACAATGTGGTATAATAAAAAAATATATTATTTTTAAAAATTAATTTTATTTTTCAGTATGTTACTCTGTTTCGCAATTTGCATTATTTAAAACAACAGGTCTGAAAATTAGAAAATTTTTTTTATTTCCTGTTCCATTTTGTCAGTCTTTCCCCTATGTTCCATTTTGTCACAGGGACCCCTATGTTCCATTTTGTCACAGGGAAATTCTGTCTCCTACATCTACCCATTAGAGCTGTCCGAGACCAAAATTTTTCCAAGACTCAAGACTCAAGACCCAAGACAAAATTTTTTCCAAGACCAAGACTCAAGACCAAGACAAAAACTCCAAGACTCAAGACCAAAAATCAAGACCAAATTTTTAAATCCCATAGGTCAAATTTTTGGTTTATTTTTGACCGCCAAGGTCTGGACCGCCAAGGTAAAGCCAAAATTTTGGCGATACCCAACGTTAGCCCCCCCCCCCATTCGAAATCGACCCCCCTGGCTACGCCCTTGTATTAAGGAGGATATCGAGGTTTAAAGGGGAATTTAAGTGGATTAAGAGGGATCAAAAGTAATATTATGAAGTTGGGGGTGATTAGGTAATGGTGGCTGCGATATCTATCCTCTATTTTATTTCTATCTTTTTGCGCGTATGCGAAAATTTGTACAATTTTTGGTAGGCCAAGAAGCCAGAATTCTTCATTTTCCAGCGCCGCAGGCGAAAATTTTGAGAATTATGAAGGCCGAGAAACCAAAAATCTTTCTTTTCCTGCGCCGCAGGCAAAAATTTTGAGAATTTTGGAAGGCCGTATGCTAAAAAAATTCACTTTTTCAGCGCCGCAGGCGAAAATTTTTTGAATTTTGGGCCTCAAGAAGCCAGATTTCTTCCATTTTCTGCGCCGCAGGCGAAAATTTTGAGGATTTTGGATGGCCAAGCACTAGGTCCAAAAAGGCAAAAAAAAACCAAGACCAAAAAATAAAACCAAGACAAGACCAAGACAAACACCCCAAGACCAAGACCAAGACCGAAAAAAAACCAAGAAAAGTCTTGGTTCCAAGACCAAGACCAAGAGTCTCGGACAGCTCTACTACCCATTATAAAATTATTTTCTAAAAATTATATTTTTTAAGTTAAACAATGCAAAACAAGCAGAAAGAGAACAAGCAGTTAACGCCGAAAAGAATATGCGTGTAGCTGTTGAAAGAATGCGTATAGAAAGTGAACAATCTGCCTTGGAAATTGCTGGGATTAAATCAGATTCAGCCAATTTCAAGTCCTTTGATGGAGAAAATACTTCACGTTCTAATGGTATGTTTAACTAGAAGATGTTGTCGGGCTTTGTCGGGCTTCCCCTACGTTCCATTTTATCGGGCTTCCCCTAAGTTCCATTTTGTCGGGCTTCCCCTAAGTTCCATTTTGTCGGGCTTTAAAATATAACGTTCAAGGCCCTCAGAAAATGTTTTTTTCTTAGAAATCCGAGTATTCGGAAATATGACAGGAGCAGGCCTTTCAGACGATGAAGATGCCGAGGAAGAAGATGAAGATCAGCAAAACCAGTTAATTGAGGTTGAGGATATGGAGGATGAAGAAGAAATTGATGGGGAAGAAGAAGGCGAATATTTGAAGGAAAATGTTGAGGAGGAAGAAGAAGACGAACATGAAGATGATTTGGACAATTTGGGATTTTAGGGGGATTGGGCGTTTTGAAGTTTTGATATTTTGAATTTAACATTTTGAAATAAATGACACTTTATCCCCATAATTAGAGAAATTATAAAAAGAAATAGTGTAGTTAGAGAAAAAAATAAATATATACATTCGAGGTTGGTTCAGTGCAGCATTTTGAGAGCGGAACGGGAAAATTTGAAAATAAAAATAAATTATCGATTAGTATTGATTTTATCGATTGATATCGATTTTTTGAAAATTCTAAATTTTTAAAAAATAAATTTCGATTGGTATTGATTTTATCGATTGATATCGATTTTTTGAAAATTTTAAATTTTTAAAAAATAAATTATCGATTAGTATTGATTTTATCGATTGATATCGATTTTTTGGAAATTATAAATTTTTAAAAAATAAATTATCGATTAGTATTGATTTTATCGATTGATATCGATTTTTTGGAAATTGTAAATTTTTAAAAAATAAATTATCGATTAGTATTGATTTTATCGATTGATATCGATTTTTTGAAAATTTTAAATTTCAAACGGAAAACTTGCGACAAAACGGATCATAGGTAAAAATGGACAAAATGGTACACTACAAAACGGATCGAAACAAAGCATACAAAATATCTATAGAGGAGAAAATAGCAAAAATCAATTTATGATTTAACAGGATGATGACTAATTCAAATGAATTTAAACATTTATTTTTCCCGATCAAAAAAAATTTTTTTTATAATAAATAAAAAAAAATTTTTTTTAATATAAAAAAAATATTTAAAAAATTTAAGTATTTTTAAAATAAAATTTTCCCTTTTTAAAATTTAAAATATTTAATTAAATTATTATTTTGTTGTTTTCTGGCTATCAGCAATTGCAGCTTTAATTGCATGTAGACGACAATATGGGCGATTTTGCCTTTCAAAAAATATTTTTCCATCCAAAATAGTTTTGCAAGTCTAAAAATTGAAATAAAAAATTTTTAAAAATTTTTTAAAATTTTTGAACCCTTAGAAAAAATTTTTACAGCCTCGGAAAATTTTTAAAAATATTTTTAAAAATTTTTTCAAGTCAAAAAACACAAAAAATAAATGGACGCTCCTGGGTGGACTCGAACCACCAGCCTTTCGGTTAACAGCCGAACGCGCTAACCATTGCGCTACAGGAGCTCATGTTAATACACTAAAAATTCTTTAATATATAATAATGACTATTCAAAAATATATTAAAAATAAACTTTAAAAAATGTTTTTTGGTGTTTTTTGACCTGGAAAATTTTTTAAAAAATTTATAAAGAATTTTTTAAGGTTAGAAAATATTTTTCAGACACTTAAAAATTTTTTTAAACTTTAAAATAATTTTTAAAAATTTTATTTTTTTTTTCTTACCGAGCATTTAAAACAATCAGCATGAAAAGGTTGACCGCCCAAAGCTTCTAACCATTTTTGGCCTACTTTAATTGGCCCTTTACAATCAACACATTTTGTTGTAAATAAATGATTCCAATCTAGTTGAAAAAAAAATAAAAATTAAATTAAAAAAATTTTTTTTCGGAATTTTTTAAGTAAAAATAGGGTTGCTTGGCGACAGTTATTAGCAGGTACCCTCAGTTTTTCGGCTATGGCCAGGTTTCTATCTCCTCCCTGTTTTTGGTTTCAATGATTAGTTTAACCTACTGCTAATAACCCTAATTAAAAATTCGAAAAAAAATTTTTTTTGAATTAAAAATAAATTTGTAGCATTATCACAATAAGGCTTTAAATTTTTATTTTTCATTTTACCCTACTTTAATTGGTAGGTAGGTCCCAGTTTTTTTAATTTTTTAACTCAGTTTTTAGACCCTCAATTTTATGGTTCCCTAATTATAAACTGGAAAATTAAAAATTTTTAAAAATTAAATATTTTACCATCATCACAATAAGGCTTTCCATCCTCCACAAAAAACGAACTAACACCTACAGGTTTACGGCAATGAGTACAACAAAAACTGTTTAAAAATTAAATTTAATTTTAATTAAAAAAAAAGACCATTCAGGATGCCATTTTTCCCCAAGAGCATTAATACAAGACTAAAAAAAATTTTTTTAATAAAAAAAATTAATCTTTTCATGACTATATTGTAAAAATTTTTCTGATTTTTCTTATCTAATCCTGATTTGATTAATTCTGGTTTATACAACTCTAAATTAATTTATTCTGGCTTCTGAAAAAGAAAATTGGAAAGGGTGTGTGTTTTTTAAAAAATTATAACATAAAAATTAATAAGGCTTATGATTTAATTTTGGTATCATTCGATAGGGGAGATATTTCTCTACAAAATATCCAAAAATAATAAAGATTGATAAATGATAAAAAAAAGTTATTGGCCAATAATTTAAAATTGCACTTATGATGAGTTAGAGGGCCATCATTAAAAAGGTAATAACTCGGAGCCTAATAAACTGATTAAAAAGATTTTGGTATGATTCGATAGGGGAGATTTTCTTCTACAAAATATCCAAAAATTATAAATATTGATAGAAGATAAAGAAAGTTATGCTTCAAAAACTAAGAAAAACATCTAAATTGAGTTAAAGAGCCTCCATTTTAAAGTATATAACTCATTGAAAGAATGTGCTAACATGAGCTCTTGTAGCGCAATGGTTAGCGCGTTCGGCTGTTAACCGAAAGGCTGGTGGTTCGAGTCCACCCAGGAGCGTCCAATTATTTTTTGTGTTTTTTGACTCAGAAAAAATTTTAAAAATATTTTTAAATTTTTCTGAGGGTTTGAAAATTTTTTCCGAGGTTACAAAAATTTTCTGAAAATTTAAAAATAAACAATTTTTTGAGGTTTAGAAAATTTTTTTTACAAAGGGTACAAAATTTTTACTTAAATTTTAATAAAACTTAACACGGGATTTAAAAAGAATTTGCATCGTTAGGTAAAGGAAAGAAGCTATAAAATCTCAAAAAATCGAAATTTTTGAAAGACAAAAAAATATAAAAAAAATTCTCGCTAAAATCCAACACCTTACAAATCCTTAATTATTTTTATTAATTTTTCTAACCTACAAAAAGAAAAAAATTTTCAGAAAAAAAATTTTCCACCCTCAAAAAAATTTAAAAATATTTTTTAAAATTTTTCCAAGTCAAAAAACACAAAAAATAATTGGACGCTCCTGGGTGGACTCGAACCACCAGCCTTTCGGTTAACAGCCGAACGCGCTAACCATTGCGCTACAAGAGCTCATGTTAGTAGATTCTTTCTCTGAGTTATAGACTTTAAAATTGAGGCTTTTTAATTCAACTCAATTTATTTCATAGTTTTTGGACCATAACTTTCTTTATAATCTATCAATATTTATCATTTTTGGATATTTTGTAGAAGAAAGTCTCCTCTATCGAATGACACCAGAATCATCTTAATAAGTTCAGTAGACCCTAAATTATGACCCTTTTAATGGAAGGCCCTCTAACTCAACTTGTGTGCAAATTTTTAATTTTTGGACCATAACTTTCTTTATCATTTATCAATCCATATCTTTTTTGGATATTTTGTAGAGGAATATCTCCTCTATCAAATGATACCAAAACCCTTTTTAATCAGTTCATTAAAAAATTTATTTAAATTTTAAAATACCTCATTTAAAGGCAAAGAACATTTAAAACATATTGGAGCCAACAAAACTTCATAACATTTTGGACAATAATTTCGACGACTTTCAGGATCCTCAACAAAACCAGTTTCCATTAAAGTTTTGGCACATGCCGAATTTGCACAACAAAAATGTTCTGGACACCAAGCACGTCCCTTAGCCAAAACAAAGGAGCCACTAAATTAAAATTAAATTTAAAAAAGGCATTTGAGTCAGGGAAAAAATTAAAAAAAAATAAAAATAATTTCCCCTTCTTACTTAAGCTCCATATTGCAATACCCACAATAACACAATTTTGAATCATCAATAAAATCATAATTATTATTATTATTGTTGTTGTTGAGACTCTTATGTTCAAGCTTGTTTATTTCTTTGTTGTTGTTGTTTTTATATTTTCCAAAACAGGCGGAATTTTTATTTATTAAATTTTCCGCCTGTTTTCCTAAACAGGCGGAATTTGTTGTTGTTGTTGTTGTTGTTTTATTCTCTTTTGTTTCAAGTTTATTTGAATAATTAATGTTTTTGTTGTTGTTGCTGTTTTTATTATTTAATGTTTGTTGTTGTTGTTGTTGTTGTCCGTTTGTTGTTGTTTTTGATGTTGTTGTACTTTTCCAAAACATTGCTCCATTGTTGTTGTTGTTGTTTTTATTTGTTTGTTGCTTGTCTTTAAATGTTTTTAAATGTTTGTTTTTAAATGTTTTTATTTGTTTTTAAATTATTTTCAAGCTGTGGGGACACTAGAGTCTTATTATTTAAATACCCTTCCTTGACCCATAACTTCCTTAGATCTCAATCGATTTTAATATATTTTATATCATTCGAAAGCTCTGAATGCGCAGATCCTTTTGTTCAAAAGGACCAAACTGATCAGAACTTTATCTGAAAAGTTATAACAGAAAAAGTGCTGACAATCGTGATTTTTAACAACTATTTGACTGTAAATTCGAAGAAAATAATCTGATCAGAGAGGTTTATTGAAGGAAAATAATCTACTCTTCAAGAGCTCTAGATCGGTATAAGAATTAATCAAAATAGATGAAAATTTAGAAAAAAAAAGTTGTGGGCGAAAACAGCCTTGGAGGAGGGGGATCCACACAACGATTTTTAATTTTTTTTTCAATTTAAAAAATTTTTTACCCTTTTCTTCTCCATAAAATCGAACAATTGTAGAACTTAAAAAAATTAAAATTTATAAAAAAAAGTTTTTTTTTAATTTTCTCTCACATTTCTTAAATTTTCACAATTTAATTGGACAAAAAAGGAGTATTTATATTTTAATTTAAATGCCAAAAAAATTAAAAAAAAAATTAAAAAAATGTTTCTTTTTCCCATAATATTTGGGTAATTAAATAGGTAATTTAAAAAATTGCAATAGTTTTAAATAATTTTCTAGGAAAAAAAATTAAAAGACTGCAAAAAAAGGCCAAAAAAATATTTTTTGGCACTACCATCAAGAATTAAAAAAAATATTTAAACAAAAAATAATGGCCCAAAAAAGTTTGTGCTTTTTTTAACCCCTATGGGAAATAAATTTATTATTAAAAATAATTTTTTTTTCTTAATGCCACCCCTTGAACCAAAAAATTATTTTTTTGACAACTATTTTTTAATTAATTAAAAAATAAAAAAAATTTTCCACACCTTTTTTTACTTCCATTAAATTCATCAGCACTTCTTTCCCACCATTCTTTTTGTTGTTGCTCCTCCTGAAGCTGTTGCTGTTGATGGTCCTCATTTTTAAATTTTTCTTTATTTAGAAAATTATTATTTTTTAATTTTTCTTCTTTATTCAAGTGTTGTTGTTCAATATTATTTTTATTATTATTTTTAATTAAATATCCATGTACTTGACAATAAAAACGTCCATCACGTTTAAATACTTGTTCTTCTGGTGTATCTGCTAAAAAAATTTTTTTTTAGAATTTTTTAAAAAAATTTTGGAATAGGAAGGGGAGAGAGAAGAGGACTAAGTCTCAAAATCTCTCGTTTGAAAAAAATAGGACCAGTCAAAAATAAATTCCAAAAATTAAAAGTAGAAGATCAAGGAGTTGAGAAAGGCTTATTTAAGTATGTCCTCCCTCCCCTTCCCCTTCTCTAAATTTTTTTAATTTCAAAAAAATTTTTTTCATGAAATCTCGTCTTATTCCAAACTCTCTAATAGGTATATCAACATTTCCAAAAAAATCAACTTTTTAGATTAAATTAAAAATAAATAAAATTTAATATACCCAAATCCATTCCACAAGTAGCACATTGAAAACACGAACAGTGTACCAACAATTCTTCTTTTCCAAAAATGGCACTTAATATTAAAAGAATTATATTAATTTTATTAATTAAATTTATTGTAAGTTTAGTGTGTGATTAAATTAGAATTTTAATTTATAATCAAATTAAAAAAAAAGAAAATTAGTAAATATAAAAAAAAGAATTGAGAAACTTTTATGGCCAAAAATACGGTCTTGGGGCGGGATCGGACGGATTTTTGTATTTTTTTGATTCGATTTTTTAAAGTTTTTTAAATTTCTTAGACGGATCCACATACAAAAATGTGTGTGGATAAATTTAAGAAAATTTTCTGAGGGTTCAAAATATTCTGTTCCTTAATATTTAAATTATTCAAATTTGTCAAAAATTAAGAAAAATAAGGCTAGAAAAATTTCTTCTCTTACTTTTTAGCTTTCAATTCAATTTAAAAAAGCGAATGGATTAATGCTGACAGGATTAGTAGATTTAAATAATTTAAGAGAATTGGAGGAACAATTTCCTAATAATGATGATGAAAATGAAGAGGATGAAGAAGAAGAGATTATGGATGAATTTCAGAAAAGGTACCTAAATTTCCCATAAAATTTCCCAAAAATTTTCACCCAATTTTTAGAAGCTCTCCCCAACATCCAACTACTCCCCAATTAAATCGCTTCTTTAAAGCCTATTTTGCCCCAATAATTCAAAGACGTTCAATTAGAGATATTAATTTAATTGAAAGAAACAGAAGAAAAGCTTTTCAACGTACTGGAGGAACAATATTATTAGGAAAAAGAATAGGAGGAGGAAGAAGATTTTAACGAAAAAGAAGAGATTAACAATTTTTTAAATAAAGTCTCGAAATAAACTAGAAGATCCGCGGATATCTGGATCCGGAAAAAAGCCCGGATATCCAAAAAATATTTGGATCGAATCTGGAAATCCGGGTGGAGTTCCCACGATTCTTTCCCAGGATCCTTTCCACACTTATTATTCGACCACAGAAAATCGGCTCCGGAAAAAAGCCCGGATATCCAAACACCTTTAGATCGTATATGGATATCCAGGGGAATTTCCCAGGATCCTTCCCAACCTTATCCCGAACCTCATTTTTTAGATACACATTAAAACACACAATTTTTAAGAGTTTAGGGTTGTCGGTTCTGGACCATTCCGAAGAACCCATGATTTTTCAGTTCGGTTCTTCGGTTCGGTTGCGGATATCCAAAGAATTTCCAGGAACCGACAACTCTAGGTTAGAGTACAAAATGGGATGATTACCTCCCCCTTCATTTATAAAATATAAAAAGAAAATTGAAGTTCAAAAGTGTATCTTATAAGATGCTCGAGACTGTATTCCTTGCTTTTATTTTTAAAATTAAAAAATTTCTACAAAAAAATTTATTTCACCTTTTCTTATCCCCAGACCATATTCTTCCACCACAAACAGAACAACAACAAAAAACATCTTCAGAATTATTATTTTCATCAACTTTATTATTTATTTTTGTAGTAATAAATTTATTTTGCTGGTTATTTTGATGTTGTTGATTATTTAAATTTGTTGCTGATTTTGTTGTAGTTAATGTATTATTATTACTTGCACCTTTCCAACGCAATTCCTTCTTTTGAAGCAAATTTTTATCATCTAAAAAAATTTTTTTTTAAATTTTTTATAAGAACAAATTCAGGACTAGGATCTGGATATTCGTATACTAAAAAATCCGGATCTTGGGAAATTTTCGCTTTGGATAAATAATCTGAATATCCAAGGATTTTCCAGGATATGCCAACCCTAGCCAAGGACACCTGGTATAATAAACTACTTTTGGTTTGAGAATATTTTTGATTGGAAAAAAATTTGGAAGAGTGCGTTTTGTCTATATCTATGATTAGAGAAGAGTAAGTTTAGCCCCTGGCAGGTACAGATATTGTGAACTACTGACAGTTGAACTGCTATACACACAATTCGTTCACCACGTACAAGTATGCACTTTACCGACATTGAAAGCTACCAAGGCTCGCGCTGCTTTTTTTAATAATAGCCACGCTTTCTTCCTCCCAAATTTTAAGTTTAAAAAAATTTTTTTTACCACTAAATTGTCGTTGATGATTACCACTTCCAATACCTCCACCACCACCTCCTCCAACACTTTTTCTTGAATAATTTAACACTTCATTTTCTAAAATTTCTTCCTCATTTTTTCCTTTTAAAATTGACTTTTTTGAAGGTAAATTATTATCATAATAACTATATTTTTTAATATATTCTTCCTCTTCTTTATAAAAATTTGATGTTGTTAATTTTTGTTGTTGTTGCTTTTGTCTATGATTAAGCAAAACAGCTATAGATTGAATGGCTGCAGCCCTCTGGCTCATTTTTAGTTATTTATTTAATTTTTTAAATTAAAATTTTAATTTTAAGAGTAGTTTTATTAAGAGGAGAAGACAGGAAAATTCTTCAAAAAATTTTTAAAAAATATTTAAGGACCAAAAAATCTTAAAAATTTTAAGGACACGCCTACTTTCTCCCCATTGAATAAGGACAATCCAACGAAGATTAGAGCTTAAAAGCCCAAATTTAAAACCCAAATTTTGAATTGATTTTTGAGGAAATCCCCTCCCTCACTGTCGCAGTGCTTTACAGAGAAAAGTCGGGTCGGATTTGAGATTTTTTGAAAAAAAACTCTAAAGGTCAGGGATGGGGTGGGAGGGTTTCGAGTCAAAAATCAACAAAAAGAATCTGTCCATGGTTGTGACGAAATTGTTGAGGAATTTGTAGGTCATTTTTAAGTTTTCAAAAAAAAATTCTTAAAGTCGGTTAAGGAGTCGAAAAGTTTATCCATGCTTATTGGAGATATTTAAATCCCTCCTAACAAAAATTATTTTCACCAAAAAATTTATTTTTAATAAAAATAAACCAGACCGATCCCCGTCAAAGTTGATCAAATTTTGATTGTCGCCAAAATAATTTCCGTCTGCTTTGTGTAATAAATGAATGGACTCTGCCGCGTTGTTGTTGTTATACCCTAAAAACAAGTCGGCAACTTTTTAATGTTAAAAATATGTTGGAAATATGCGAAAAGCCACGCCCACAATCTCCCCATATTTTATAATAATTTCCGGAAGAGATTTTAGTATCTCTAACATTTGTTTAAAATAAAACTAGTTTTCCGGAAAAATCTCTTAATTTTCTACACTATTTTTCCAAATCTTTTTATTTTTTCTCTTCAACAAAAGCTTTCCGGAAAACATCTCTATTTCTAACATTATTTTTTTCAACTTTAATCTCTCTTCAATAAAATTAAAACTTATTCCGGAAAGGTTTTTAGTATCTCTAACTTTTGTATGAAATAAAACTTGCTTTCCGGAAAACTCTCTTAATTTCCTACACTATTTTTTTGCAAATTTAATTTTTTTAAACAAGTTTCCGGAAAACATCTCTATTCTCAACACTATTTCTCTAACCTTTTTTCTAACTTTATTTTCTTACTTTCCGGAAAATTATCTCTACCTCAAACAATTTCTTCTAACATTATTTTCACCGTTAACGTTTTCCGGAAAACACTCTCCATTTTAACACTATTTTCCCTACTTTATTTTTCTAAAATAAAACTTTCCGGAAGCTATTTTTCTTCTTCCGGAAAGTCTCTCAACTTCTAACACTATTTTTCCAACTTTTTCTAACAATAAACTTTATTTTATTTCTAAAATAAAAATAAACTTACTTTCCGGAAAGTTTCTTTTCTCTGCCCACCATTTTCTTCTTTTTATATTTCTCAAACTTTGTTTAAAATTAACATTCTTTTTCTCTTCTTTGTTTGTAGTTGTTGTAGATAAAATCAGAGAAGAGTCATCAACAACTTTACTAAAAGCATTGCTGCCATCGGCGTCCTTTTCAACATTATTATTCTTTATTATTGTTAACCACCATTTAAACCAGTTTTTTGCCCTTTCTTTTATATCCCGAATCATTTCTTTTAGAAAATATAATTTTATTATTAAAATTGAAAAATTTAAAGAAGAAGAGGACAGCCATCCATGCATTAACTAAAAGAAATTTTCTTAAAAAATTAAAAAAAAATTTAATTTTAAAAAATTAAGTTAGAGATTGGGAAAGAATTATTTTTTAAATAATTTAATAATCCAAAGAAATTTATTTTTGGAGTGGAAACTGGGTGATAATTATGGCCCTAGGCTTTGGAGCAACCTTCTTTCTTCCCTTCCCTCCCTTTGACTCTCTACCCCTTATTTTATGAAAAAAATTAATTTCTAGTACTTTTTTTGAGAGGCAAGGAGAGTGGCATACCTGATGATTGTGTTAGGAGCTTTCCGCTTTTTTCCAGTTTTTTTTTCTAGGTTATCAGGGCCTTGGGCTTTGATTAGGAGCCCCTCTCTCCCCCTCACTCTTCTCCTATTTATGGTATTTGAAGTTCTGTTTTCCCAAAAATTAAATTTCCCAGTCTTTTTTTTCCAGTTTTTTCCAAATAAATTTATAAAATTTATATTTTTAGGTCAGAATATAAAATATAAATATTTTTTAATTTAAAAAAACTTGAATTTTTTTTTCTAAATTTTGTCTAAAAATATAAATATTTTTTAAATAATTTTTGGCCATTCTCTCTGATTATTTTGCCTTTTTATAACAATTTTTGATGATAGCATTAAATTGAGCTGTGTAGATTAGCATTATTCCACGAATTATTCCAGCAAAGAAAATCTTTAGGGAAAAAAATTTTTTTTTGAAAAAATTTCTCAAAAAATTCAAAAAATTTTTTAAAATTTCTAGAAAAATTTTGAAGAAAATTTCAAAAAATTTTCTAAAAAAATTCAAAAATTATTTTCAAAATTTTCAAAAAATTTCTCAAAAAAATTTTTTCAAAAAAACCTGCATAACAGCATTAACAAAATTAGTTTCTGGTGAAGCTGCAGCAGAAAGAAAGCCAAGCATTTTACCTTCTAATCCAACACAAGTCCAAAAATCCCCCATGCGAATAGAACGAATTAATGCTGCGGCAACTTGTTTAGGGGGAAAAACACCAGCAGAATTTGAAATTTGACGGACCTTGAAAAAAATTTTTTTAACTTGAGAATTAAAAAAAAATTTTTTTTTAAGTTCCAAAAATTAAAAAAATTTTTTTTTTAATTTTCAAAAAAATTGAAAAATTCAAAAAATTTTTCAAATTTTCAAAAAAAATTTTTAAAAAATTCTGAAAAATTTCAAAAAAAAAAATAAAATTTTTTTCAAATTTTCAAAAAACATTAAAAATTTTTTTCAAATTTTTCAAAGAAAAAAAACCTGTTCAGGCATATTTTTCAATTCCTCATCAAATCCTTCCGTTGCTGTATTTGGTGGAAATAATACAGAAACACCAATTTCATAAGGAAGAAGTTCCATATAAAGAACATCTGCAAAGGCTCTAACAGCAAATTTTGAAGGAGAATAGGCTGAATAACCCCTAAAAATTTCAAAAAAAAAATTTTTTAAATGGATAAAAATTTTGAAAAAAAAATTTGCGGAAAACCACACAAAAATATTTTTATATAGGTTCAAAAATTATTTTCTTATAAGAAAGAGTCCCAGTGACCGTTAATTTATTCCCACTCCTTTCAATTTAAACAAATTTTCCTAAACCTTTTCGACAGGACCAAAAACAAATATTGTTTTTCTAAGACCCAGTGGCCGCTACAAAACATTCGTATTTTAACTAGAATTATCAGTAAATGTCTTATGAGTCTTTTAATATAATAAAAAAAATTTTTTTTAGCTTTAAAAAATTTTCTATTTAAAATTAATTTTTAATTTGTGAATAAATTTTGCAGACACCCCTCCCAGTGACCTATTAATTTTATAAAAAAAAATTTTTCCTATAAAAAATATATAAAAATAAAAAACTCACCAAATCGCACATTGCCCTGCTGCCGAACTAACAAAAGAAATGTGTCCACACCGACGTTGTTTCATTTGAGAAAGAACAGCCCGAGTCATATAAACTGCACTGAAAAAATTTGTTTTCATTTGTTTTTCAAAAGCATCTTCGGGTAATTCATCAAAAGAATTTTGTATACAGGTACCAGCATTGTTTATTAATAAATCTATTGGGCCCGAATCGACAATTATTTTTTCTATCAAATCCTTAAAAATAAAAAGTTTATTAAAAATTGATGCTCTGTTTATATTAACGATTGAGCTGACAATGAGACTGGACTAAAGGTTTGGGGTTTTCCTGTACCCATAGTCAAGGCCTAGGCATTTCACTCTTCCTAGAGTTTTCCTGGGCCAGACTACAGGCCCAGACTTTTCAAAAATCTCGATCGCTAGTTTATATCCCACCACTAGAGATCAATAAGAGACATGATTCTGTACGGGATTTACGGGAACTCCGTCATGAAATCCCGGGTTTAACCGGAGATTTACGGGATTAATCCCGCGGGACCCTGTCTCGTAAATATGCAAACAAAGTCCTAAACGGGATCCATAGAATGCGATTTTACCGACACCCTACTGCCCTTCCCTATGTAAGTCTAAAATGAAATTTTTTTATTGTCAGTAGTCCGACAAAACCTTTTCCAGGTCAGAAAGACGGATTTTGGATTTGTTCACATAAAAAACAGAATTTCCGGACTCTGGCTGAATCTGACCGGATTCCTGAAGAGGCTCAATATTCCGAGTTTTTCAAAAAAATTTCTAAAATTTCCTCAAGCAATATAAGCAAAAAAATCAGAAAGAAAAAATTAAACAAACCTTGATAATTTTTTGTCCACTGTTAAGGTCAAGAGAATAAATTCTAACAGAATCTTCTTCAAATCCAAGCTGTAAAATTTCCTTTTTAGCCTTTTCCAAAGCTTCCAAATCCCTAGCAATTATTGAAACAATTTTACATCCTTCTTCTAAAAGTTGTTCTGCTATACATCTTCCAATGCCTTTTGACCCTCCTAAAAAGGAAATTTTTTAATTTTTAGAAATCTAGAAAATTTTTTCATTTGCGGACAGAATTTGCAGACATTTTGAGAACTTAAAGAAAAAGAACATTTTTTGGACGACTTCCGGAAAGTCTAAGGAAGTCCGGGAAGTCCAAAGTTGCGAAAAGTTTCTAAGATTCCGGTAGGTATTCATAGTTAAAAAGCTTGGGGGAAATATGGGGAGTTGGAATAACTTCCTTTTTTATGTCCGCAAAAATTTGTTTAAGATATCCAACAATTCCCACATTTTTCCCAAATTTTCTGCAAAATATTTCTGGAAAATATTCCAAGGAAAAAACAAAAAACCTGTTATAACAGCATGTTTTCCTTCAATAACAAAAGGCAGTCTTCCAGGCAGACTAAGGCCAATAACAAATAAAAATAGAATTATTGCCAAGAGAATACCAACAAATAAATAAAACGGCAGCATTTTTAAATGGCTAAAAAAATTTTCTGAAAAATTTTTAAAAATTTCAAAAAAAAATTTTCAATGAAAAAAACATTTTGCCAAAAAAAAAATTTTCAAAAAAATTTATTGAGACAACAAATTATAAAAATGCAAAGCAATTTTTTGTTCAAAATGACACCCATAAATTGTTAAAGCACCCCAAATTAAACTAAAATCTTCCGATTTTAATAATAAACTTCCTCGTCTTGTGGCAACATCATAAGATAAAAATTGATATAAAGGGGCTGCTTCGCCTAGAACTGTGAAAAAGAAAAATTTTAATTTTTGAAAAAACTTAAAAAATTTTTGGCTTCCTAATTCCTTAAGGATTATAAAAAATTTTGAAATATTTTCAACCAAAAATTTTTTCAAAAAAAATTTTTCTTAAAGAGGGGTACCCCCTCCCAACAACCTAACAAAATTTTCAAGAATCTTGATTATGTTTTGGTATAAATCGGTGTCGAACGACGCAACCATACCATAAAAATACGGTAAGCTAAAAATTATTCTTGAATTCCTCCCCAAAAAATTTTTTAAGAGACGGGGAAAGCCAGCATCCCCCAAATTTCTCCCCGAACAAAACTTACAAAAAATCCCTTCTAAAATTTAAATATTAAAAAAACCTCTTCTAATTGCAGAGTCCACAAGTCCTTCAAAATCTTTACTTTTAAAATTTTCATTTTCTGACGGATTATCAAATTCCCTAGAAAATAAAAATATTAGAATTAAAAAAAAATTAAAAAAAAATACAAATTCATAACAAGCTTGTAAAGTTTCCCTTTTTCAATATTTCCTTGTTTTTTCTTCTTAGTTTTCATTTTTTTATCTAAAAAATTCTAAAAAAATTCTTTTTTTTTCATTAAAGATATGTAATATAATAAAATATTTAAAAATAAAATTTAAACAGAAAATTAATTTTTTTTTGAAAATATTTATCCCAATATTAAATCAAAATGTTTGTTTTTATTAGAGACTGGACCTAAAAATCAATCGAAAAAAATTTTTTAAGGAGTCCAGTTTCTAATTTTTAATATATTACATTCAAAATTGCATAAAATTTACAATTTTTTAAAAAAAATTTGTTAAAGTATCATAAGTATCAAAGAAAAAAATTTACAAGTCATTGTATTAGAGATGGGCCGCGGTTACCAGAAACCCGAAAAAATTGAAACCCCTGAACCAGGGGTGGGCGCAAAAGGTCATCTCAAAAAAACGCAAAAATAAAAGACGTAACACAGGGCCAAAATTTAACGCAATGCGACCCCACCCCTGTCCTAGACCAAAATCTTACCCAATTTATTTTTTCTCAACCCCGGCCCATCCCTGTTATATATTAATATTACACAAAAGTCAATCATTTTTAAAGAGGTCATTAATTTTTTTTAAAAGTCATTCAAATTTAAAAAAAATTTTTTTTACATTCAATTTCCCTTTAAATACAAAAGAAAACCTTCAATTATGCCCAAAAAATTTCCCTCAAATTTTTTTCAATGCAACAGTACCACGTCCTTTTTTGACAATTTGTACTTGAACTGCTTCTTGTCGAAGTATTTGTTTAATCTTCAAACAAAATAATTTTCTTTTGGCAAATTTTCTCAAAAAACTCACAGCAGATGTCCGATAAACTTTGTCAAGAAACAATTCTTTTTTTGAAGAATCCTTCAAAAATTCCTGAACTTCTTTTAATACAGGACCACTCAAAACAGCATCTCCACTAGTTGAATTAACATCAGGATGGAGAAGATGGTGGCCTACTCCATGTTGATTTGTGGAAGAACGGAAAGGAGGCTTGCAGGAGTCTGAAAAAAATTTTTTAAGGAATTTTAAGAAAATTTGTATAAAAATTTTAATCGAAAAATCCAAAGACTTTTAAAATACAATTTTTGTCGAAAATAATCGAAAGGTACGGAAAAGCTCATTTCTGTCTAACAAAAAAATTAAAAACTTTAAAAAACTCGTCTATACCTAATGGAAAACTCAAGACAAGTCAAAAAATCATTTCACCCCAAAACTCCAATTCAAAAAAAATTAACCTGGCCAATCCGATTGTTCATCATCCGCATCAGCATCAGAAGTACTCTCATCAGAAAAATCAGAAAATACATCCGAATAGTTAGTAGCCACATCAGAAGTCATTAAGGAAGATGAAGGTATAGTCTCTGTCATTTCCCAATCCATCCTTGTTTTATTACCTTAAATTAAAAAAATGAATAGATTATAAACAAAATGGTTGGACCACATAATCTACAAGATGTGTACGAAATTAAGAATGGAACTACATTAGACTTAAAAAGTTAGGGGTTGGGTTTTGCAGGGAAAATATAACTAGAGATCAGAACGAGAAGAGATCTCAAGCGAAAATCTTAGCTACGAGATTGAGATTTTTTATAGATATCGATCTATAGAGACTCCCAGACCGGTCGCTAGTTGCGGTTTCTTAACGGTGCCACAGGGAAAAAATTATTCAAGGAAGAAATGACTAAACACTTCGTACTTCAACTAAAACACGGACTGGAGGGGGAATAAATACCCGAGGCGGCTGCGTAAATTCTCGAGGTTGTCTTGGTCCAAAAATTCTAGATCAGGGTTTAACCTAGTCAAAAACCATTTAAAAAAGTCAAAAGTTATACACAAACCTTTAGGCAAAGCAACATTGTTGTTATTGTCATCCTCAACACTTGACGATTTCATTTTCTCCTTACCATCCAAATCCATTTCTGTCATCTTTTCTTTTCTTGGAATTTTCTTGCGCCTTTTACTTCTAAAACTCATTGGTTGGTCAGCAGAAAGTGAATCAGATTCTAAAGTTACACTAGCAACTCTATTTGTTGTTCCATCAATATCATTGTTGCTATTTTCTGTTTGTAAAACGACAATTTGTTGTTGTTGAGGATTACTTTGACGACGAGTATCTTGATGAACAACTTGCATTTTAAATTTTCTTATTTTTAAATCTGTAAAGGAAAAAAAACTAATAACAAAAATAGAGGTCGGTGCGGGTCGGGATCTCTCAAAATCCCGCGCCGGATCCCACTCCGCAATTCCGCGTTTTTTTAATTGTGGGATTTATCCCGTGGGATCCCGTCCCGCCTACATTTAAGAAAAATCCCGCATGCGGGACCCCGCAAACAACGATCTTACCGACCTCTAACCACAATCACAAGAAAAAAATGACCCTTAAATTTAATAAGTGAAATGAAACAATAATCTCGAAAAACTTCATAATATCTAAAACAAGGGAAAATTTCAAAATGTCCAAAAACCCGTTAGACGCAAAGCAAAAAATTCCACGGTTGGGCATTTTTGATTTTAGGTATTTCGTGTATTTTCCAAAAAATTTTCATTTTTCGAAGCGAAAATGTCAAAATGGAAACTCACCACAAAAACTTTAATTCGGTCAAACTTAAATTCGGTAAACAGTCAAAAATAACCCAAAATGACGTCAAAATGTTTCTAAAGGGTTTTGTAAACTTCATCCTAAATTCTATTTTCCTAAATTTGAGTAAATTTTTTTGTTATTTATTTAATTTAAAAATGTCTACAAATTGGGCAGAATTACGAAAAGTCTCTTTTTTCTCTATTAAACCTTTAAGATTAAACTTTAAAATTTAAGGAACTTAAAGAAGTTCGAAAAGAAGTTGTTCACAAACAAAATTCTAAAAAACGGAAAGGAATGCCTGGTGAAGCTAATAAATGGAAGAAGGCTAGACAAGAGATTGATAAATCGGTGAAAGAGGGGACTTCGTCTAATGGTCCAGCAATAACTAAAGTTTTGGCTTTGGACTGTGAATATGTTGGAGTTGGAATTGGAGGGACAGAGAATATGTTGGCTAGAGGTTTTTTTTATTTTTTTTTTTGAAATTTTCTAAAATTTTTTAGACAAAATTTCCCTCCCTAACCCATCTTTTTTTCAATTTCCTCAAAAAATGGACACGTTGGTGTAGTCGGAAAACTCCTAGTTTAGAGGTGAATAGGGGTCATGGTTCGAATCCAACTCACGTAAAAGTATTTTTATTTTGATAAAACTGAGTTTTAGTGAATTTCCTACCGATTTTTTAGTCTTTAAAAAATTTTTTAAGCTTAAAAATCACATTTTCAAATTTAGTTTCAATTGTTAATGTTGATGGTGAGACTGTTTATGATGAATATGTTTTGCCCGTAAATTTTTATTTTTATCTATTTTTAATTTTCTTAATTTTACAGACAGAAAAGGTAACAGATTATAGAGTGCATGTTAGTGGAATTCGACCTGGGCATTTACTTAGAGGTTTTTTTAAAAATTAATTTTTTTAATTTTCAATTTAAGGCATTCCATTTACACAAGCCCAAACAGAAGTACGAAAAATACTTTCCGACAATATTGTGGTTGGGCATTCTATTCAACACGATTTTCAAGTTGGATTTTTCTATTTAAAACTTAAAAAATCCAAAAAATCGAAAATTTTTTGTCATTTCGATTTTTACCATTTTGACATAAAAAAAGTTTTTTCCCTCAAATTTTTTTTCTTCAAAGGTTTTGGGACTTACCCATCCTCCCAAACTTATTCGTGATACAGCCAAGTTTAAATTACTCAGAGAAACTCTTGATAATCCAAAAAAGACGCCTTCATTAAAATTATTAGCCCACCATTTATTGGGTGTTCAAATTCAACAAGGAGAACACGATTCTGTTTTGGTATTTTTTTGAAATTTTTTAGAAGGGAAAAATTTCTTTTTTTAATTAAAGGACGCTAAAATTGCTTTACGTATATATTTGCAATATCAAAATAATTGGGAGAAAAAGAATTCAAAGAATCCTTCAAAGACGAAGAAAAAGAAGAGTAAATAAATTGTCTTTTTGGAGTTGATAAAGAGAGGTTATTTATTTAATTTATATATACCTGGTATTTTTTGTTTTGTTTTTTTGAAATTGGAGGATATTTGTTACTTTTATGTGACTTATATAAAGTTTTTTTTAAATTAGTTTCTAATTTTGACATTAAAATATCCTAGGGCTTAGGAGAAGTCTGGATTAGAGATCGGTATGGGAGGGATCCTGGGCGGGATTTTACAGGATCCCGTCCCGAAATCCCGGGTTTTTAGCGACGAATTGGATTACCGGGATTGACGGGATTAATCCCGCGGGATCCCGGAAATGCGATTTTGTCGATCTCTAGTCTGGTTATTCGAAACCAGACTTTTCCTCAACCCGGCCAATCCCTGTTATGTAGTTTAACTTTTAAAATTTTTTATTTTTTGACTTGAAAGTTTAGTTTTTTTGAGATCAGAATCTTTAAAAAATTTTTTTAATTAAAAATTATTATGCCCAGATGCCTTCCTCATCCACCAACTGATTTTCAAATTCTTCCTTCAAAAAATTATTTTTTTTTAAATATTTTTTAAATTAAAGTTTCCCCTCTAATTATTAAGAAAAAACAAACAAAATTAAAAGAAGCAGGTGCAGACATTCCATAATTACCACCACTACCACCAAAACCATTTTGTTTATTAAAATACAATTCATTATTATTTGTTAAAATTCGAATAGGTTGAGTATATGGGGTTGTTGCTGATAAGGAAGTTATAGGCCTTCCAGGCTGGATATTTGTATTATTAAATTTTTGTGGGGGAACTGTTTGACTTGGAGGAGTGAGTACCTAAAAAATTAATGAAAAAATTTTTTAAAAATGGGGAGGAGGAAAGTGACATCAGGCCCGTAGCCAGGGGGATCCCCCTCCACTCGAAATGGGAAAAATTTGGAGAGGGGATTGGGCAAAGAAGTGAATTTTTTGGCCTACGGCCTTCCAAATTTTTCAAAATTTTCGCCCGTGGTGCTGAAAAAGGAAGAAATCTGGCTTCATACCCCCAAAAACTCCCTAAATAGGGTTGGGGGCCCGGTCTGAAAGATCGAGTCGGCATCGAATTTTGGCCCGAAAAAGACTCGGTCGGGCTGTCCCGATAAATATGAGAACGTCGGCCCGACTCGAAAACCCCAACCCTACCCCTCAATCCCCCACTTCCCCCTCAAAAAATAAAAAACCTTTTTCTGATTTAAATTAATCATTTTTCCATCAACTCCAAAATTTTGTTGTTTTTGTTGTTCATCAATAATTAAAAGAGAATGTTTAATTGCTTCTTTTTGTTTTTGTAATATTTCCAATTTTTCTCTTAATCCAGGTATTAAATCTATTGAAGGACATGAATTTAATATTAAATTTATTGCTGATTCTTTTTCTGCAATTAATGCCATTCCAAATTCTTTTCTTTAAAAGATTAAAAAATTTTTTAAAATAAATTTTTAATCTCAAAAAAATTTTTAGACCCTAAAAAATTCAATTTTGGGATTTTCTTTGATTTCCAGAAACAATTAGAGTTAAACAAATTGTTGCGGCCAACGAGTGGATTCGAACCCGCCCCTTCACGCGAGCTTCTCCTAACACATTCACGCGCTCTACCGAGTAGGCTAACGAGACAACAAGTTTGAACAAGTTTGGTTTCTATTTTATCAACCTTAAACCCCCACCTAAACGATTTAAAAATGCTCAAAATAGACAGGCTCGACCCCCTACCCAGCCACCAGATTTTTTTGCTTAATTTTTAAATATCAAAAAAAATTTTTTGAAGAAAACCTCAGGGATGATATTTGTCGTTGCCTCAATTGTTTTTCCTCTTCCAATAATTTTTGAGTTTTTTCCAATTGATCATTTTGTTGTTGCTGATGTATAAGTGTATTTCCTCCTCCTCCACCAGATTCAAAAATTTTTCCAATCTTTTATTTTTTTTAAATTTTTAAAAAAATTCTTAAAAAAATCTAAAAAACCTGTTCATTCAATTTTTCAATTAATTTTTTCTGTTCATTCAAAACTTTTTCTTTTTCAGTTGTACACTCCACAGATTCTTTTAATGCCTCCTCCAAATCCAAAATTCTTTGTTTAAACCCAAGAATTCTTTCATCTATATTTATTGACAATTCATCACGATTTTCTGATAATAATGCCATTTTATGAAGATCATTACTTGAAATTATAGGAGAAATTTTATTTAAAAACCAAGGCGATTTTAAGTGGTTTGGACATTTTGGGCTTTTTTCAGATTTGGACATTTCGAAAATTTGACATTTTGAAAAATAAAAAATTTATAAACTTAAATTTTGACTTTTCAAACCAATAATCTAGCATAGGGTAGCACCCCGTCCACCGAATCCTCGACGACTTTTAGGCAAAAAACCCCGGCCCGAAGGCTCTAGCCCGACAAAACCCCGATCCCCCAGGCCCACCCCCGTACGGGCAAAACCTCGACTCGCCCTCCGAAACCCGAAGGCTCTACCCCGGAAAACCCCGAAACTCCCGCCCCCGAAGGTTCGATGTGCTACTAGAGACCGACAAAATCGAACTTCCGGGACTCCGAGTCGGGATTTTTTTCCTGGCCGATGCCGGGACAGGATAAATTCCAAAAAAATCCCGGATCTCACAAATAAAAAAAATCAGGGATTTCGGGATCCCGGAAAATCCCGTCCCGCACCGATCTATAGGTACTACTTAATTTAACGTTATTTAAATTATGGCGTTATGAAAAATTGGACAATTCAAAATTTTGGACATTTTAGACCCTGGACGTTTTGAGACCTTTTAAAAATTTTTTTTTAATTCCCCAACAAACCTTTCATCAATTCCAACAAATTTATCAGATTTTTTAAAAGCTTCAATTAACTCAGATTTGTCCTTTTCCAATTGTACAATACGTTTAAGTAAACGTTCAATTTCTTGGTGTGTTAATTCCAATTCTGACAAATTTTGAAAATTTATTTTTTCTTCTTCGTTTAATTCTTCGTTTTCTTTTTTTAAATTAAAATTTTTAAAAGCACAATTAAATTGAGATATTTTTTCACTTTGTGAACCTATAAGCATATGACGATCAGCTAATTCTTTCTTAAAAAAATAAAAGAAAATTTGATTGAATTGTCTCTCCCCACTCTGGACAAAATTTTAGACCCCTAGGAAAATTCTGGACTCTAGGAAAAAATTCAGATTTAGTCCGAAAAATTGAAAGAATGTCTGAACTAGCGACAGCATCGAGGCGAGATATCGAACAAAAATCCTGGTTACCGAGAGACCGGACTGGGTGGGCTGTTCCGGAATTGAGACTTAGTTACCGAGTTTTTGAGATAACGATCTCGATTCCGGTACAACCCTCCCAGTCTGGTATCTAGTCTGAAACTAGATCTTCTTATTCAAGGAAAACTCACACGGCTTTGACCAAGTTCCAAACTAACAATAAGTCCATAAAATTTAGGCAAATAAGAAAGAGATCGAGCAGAGTACTCGGATCCAAACTCTGCGATTTCTTTAAAAAGATTCAGAGTCAAAATCCCCAAAACATTCTCAAATCTAAACTCCAACCAAGATCTACCGAACACAAAATTTCCCCAAAATTAACTTAAATACTCAAAAACCCATTTCAATAAAACCTCAAAAAATTAAAAAAGAAAACCTTTAAATAAGCTATATCCAATTGTAATTGTTCTCTTTCGGACAAAAATCTTTCCAATTGTTGTTGACGTTCAATATCATTTTGTTTTTGTATTTGCTCAATAATTTGTTCCAATTTACTCCTTTCTTCCAACATATTTTCAATTTTATCTTCCAAAAGTTTTTCTGCACGGGTGCCGGGCTGCTAAAATGAAAAAATATAAAATTGACCCAAATGAGCATTTTAGGGCATGACCAAATAGTGTCTGACCCATTTTGACCCAAATGAAACTTTTTTATGAAAATTAAACCTGCAAAATTCTCTGCTTTAAATGTTCAAGCTGTGCGTCTTTTTCACGCTGTAGACGTTCCATCTGATCAATTTTATGTAAAAGTTGGGATGAACGATGCTCTGACTCCTGTTAAAATAGGGGAAGATTATAGATGAATTAAATTTTTAAAAATTTATAGAATAAACCAAAGTTTACCTAAAATCACAAAATTTCGCATAAATATTCCCAATATCGTTATCTACCTCCTCTAAAAATTTCAGAATTTTTGAAAAAATATTTTTAAAGTTGTGGTCAAAAAAGTAACTTTATTGAGTAAAAGTAGGACATTTTGTCCCATTAAATTTAAAAATATTTTTAGAAAAATTTGAATTTTTGAGATGAGGTAGATAATAATATTGAGGAAGTCTGTACAAAATATTTTGGTCATCTTTTATGAAAATTAAAAAAAATTGTCCGCAAAATTTTTTGCGGACTAAAATTTTGTCCGCAAAAATTTTTGCGGACAAAAAAAATATTTTTGCGGATTTTATAAACAATTAATTTCTCCCTCTTCTAAACCTACATTTAAATTCTTTTTCTCTTCCTTCAATTCAAATTTTAATTCTTCCTTTTCTTCCTCCAATTTTTTTGTTGCCTTTTCTCGACTTTCCAACAGTTGATTTTTTAATTCCAATTTATTTCTTAATACATTCAAATCTTCATTTAATAATTTTAATTGTTCTTCAAAATCCAAATTATTTCTAGATAATATTTCTATTCTTCTTTCTGCTTCTTTCTTAATTTTTTAAAAAAATAATTATGATTTAACAAAATTCAGGAGTCTATCCCAGAAGGGCAAGGGCGTAACTAGAGGGGAGGGAGGGGGATTCTGGCGCTGAAACGGTTCCGTGACTTTTGCGCCGAGAACATTTGCGCCGCGACTTATGCGCCGCGACTTTTGCGCCGCGACTTATGCGCCGGGCGACTTTTGCGCCGCTACTATCATTAAAAATATATCAATAACTACAGCCGGACCTCACTTTAGTAGGGTTGTCGGATAGTTGGAAATCTTCGGATATCAGGATCCGATATCCGAACTGAAAATTTCGGATATCCGGCATTTTTCGGATCCGGATTTTTTAAACAATGGCGGCGCAAATGTCGCGGCGCATAAGTCGCCCGGCGCAAAAGTCGCGGCGCAAGAGTCGCGGCGCAAAAGTCGTGATACCGCTGAAACAACCACAAAAATTCAAAACAATTTTCGCCTATGGCGCCAAAAAAATGAAAATAAATATAAAAAAATTTGCGTTCGGAACTCCCAAGTAAATGCCAAAATTTTGGTTCACCCCATATTAGCCCCCCCCCTGAAATCTTCCAGACTACGCCCTTGTCAGAAAGTCAACTCCCTATTGATTAAATGACTCTTGAGGACAATTCCAATATTTGGAAGGATAAAGGAAACTTGGCCTACACCCTTTTTGCTTTATCTGACACAATCCCTGTAAAAAGGAAGAAAATAGTTTTTTTTCTTGCGGACGATTTTTGCGGATTCGGGAAATTTTCTGATTTTAATCAAAATTCTTTTTTTATTTAAAAATAGAAAAATGAACCTTTTCTTCTTCCAAACATTTTGCCTTCAATTCAACATTCTGCAACTCTCTACTACATTCAGAAAAACAAATTTCACTTTGTTCCAGTTTTGCTTTTAAAGTTTTAAATTCGTGTAAAGTTATTGAATGATCAGTAAAATCACGTATTTGGGTAGAGGAATTGCTTAAAAATTAAAAAAATTTTAATTAAGAGACATTTGGTCCCACGACTTAACTAAAAGTATATCTATCATTTTAGTGGGAACGGGCCAGTATACCGCCGCCCAATATATCGCCGCAAAATTTTTTATTATTTTGGCGGGGGAAGTTGTCCAACATCCCCCGTTGACGGAACAACAACCCCGTCGTTGGAACATCTTTCCCCGTTGACTGACCAACTTCCCCCGTTGACGGAACAACAACCCCGTCGTTGGAACATCTTCCCCCATTGACTGACCAACTTCCCCTGTTGACGGAATAACATCCCCCGTCATTTGAATAATATCCCCTGTCGTTGGAACAACTTCCCCCGTTGAACGTCTTCCCCCGTCAAAATAATAAAAAGTTTTGCGGCGGTATAATGGGCTCGAGTTTAATGAGGAGTACCTCGTTTTAGGACACCTTTTGTTTATTTTAGAGTTTTATACTTGTTCAGGAAACGTCCCCCCCCCCCCTACCCCCGATTTATCCTCCTCCAACTTCCCAAAATTATTAAAAAATAAAAACAAACTTTTGATTTTTTCCAGCATTTTCACCTTGATTAATTGAATGTTTGGCACCAAAAATATTTGCTTGAGACTAAAAAAACAAAAAAATTCAAAAAATATTTTTTTGCGAACAATTTTCTCTTAAACCCCCCCCCCTCTCGAGTTCCCGAAAAATTAAAAAAAATTTTTTTAATTAAAAAAACCTGCAATTGGACCAATTGTCTCTCCAACTTTTCTTTTTTAATTTCCAACTCTTCTTTTTGTTGTTTTTCAAATTGAAGTTTTGGGATCCAAAATGAGTGAATAGACGATATTAAATTATTATAATGATCACAAATTGTTAACAATTCTTTTTGTAATTGGAGAGGGTCAAACTTGAAAAATTAAATTTTGATTGAAAAATTTTTTAGAAAAAAAACCTCTTGAAGAAAAGTTTGTGAAGTTATTGGTTGGAAAGCTGTTAAATTCCACATTAAATTGTCATTTGAAACATTGGTATCAAAAAGGCTTAAAAAATTTAGTTATTTCTTTAAAATAAAAATATTTGTTGTCCGCAAACTTTTTTGCGGACATCCATTTTTGCGGATTAAAAAAAACTACGATTTAGTTTTTTACTAGCTCATTTCAGAAAATACGCCCGAAAAACTTAAAACGATAAAATGAATTCAATAAGTGACTCGGAGTTTTTATAAAAAAATTGTTTGGTAAACATATCCGAAACGTGAACGACAACCCCCAGCGATAAATAAATTTAAAAAAATTAAAAAAAAAACCTTGGCTGATTTTGTTGTATTTGTTTTTGTTGCCCATCGCAAAAATAATTTTGATTTTGAAAATAATAATCATTTCCTCCAACATTATTTTGCTTGTAATAATTTAAAGAATTTGAAATTTGTTGTTGTCCTCGATTTTTAATTAAATTCATTTTTGGAGGTGCACTTGATAAAGGCATATTGTTGCTGGGACTCAAATTTTGTTGTTGTTGCATAAGTAAAAATTGATCATTATCCAGAGAACGGTGCTTTCTAAAAAATTTTAAAAATTGAGGAAAAAATTTTTTTTGCGGACAAAATTTTTGTCCGCAAAAAAATTGCGGACAATTTTTGCGAATTTTGGAAATAATTATTTTCTTTATATTTAAAACATAGAGTGTCCTCTCACTTTTACACACTATTTTCACATTAAATTTTTGAAAAAAAAATTAAAAAAATAAATTCACCTCATAGCCAACAATGTCTCATTATTTCCTGGTTGCCTATTTAAATATTGTTGTTGTTTCATTGAATAATTTGGAGTAGTCATTTAAATAAAAATTAAATTTCTTCTTTAATTAAATATATTTTGAATGCTTAAATCACTCTAAAATAAATTTAAAAAACCTCCCGTCAAAAAAATTTTTTGCGGACAATTTTTGCGGATTCTTCCCCCTCAAAGTGCATTAAACTAAAAAAAGGACTCTTTTATTTTACCGCTACATTTTTTCTAAGCTAAAAAAATATATCGATAGAAGAATAACCCAAGTCTTTTTTTTTGTGGCCGTGTGTGCCAAATAATACTAGCAGCTCTACTTTCTATATAAAGAAAAGACAGAGCTAAAAATACAAATGGGTAGTAGATGGGTGGCAATTTTTTTGTGCCTATGGGAAACAAGGAATAAAAAATTTTAATTAGAAAATTATTTTTTACATATCCAAAAATTCATATAAAAATGCCGAAAAATTATCTTTTTAAAATTAATTAGTTTTTAATTTTAATTTTTTTCAACTAAAAGCAATTCTTATAAATAAAGAAGCTGCTTCATCTGTATTATGTTGACTTCCAGTGTTTAAACGAACATGGGAGTATCCTTTAAATAATTTTTATAAAAGATCAGGACTTTTGGAAAATCTTTAAGGATATTCGGAACGACTAAAAAAAGCCTCGGTTCAGTTCCGATTCCCCCTAGAAAAAATAGGCTCGGTGGTTAAGTCGGTAAAATCTCAAAATGAGGGGGGTCGCCGGTTCGATACCGGCTGGGGCCCAAATTTTTTTCTCAACTACCAAAATATTCTTAATGGGTTAAAAAACATAATAAAATTCGGAAAAAAATTTTCCTTTAAAAAACCTTGTCTAATGCTTTGTACAGGAACAGAAAATTCTCCAATAAATTCATCTGCACTAGTTGAATCAAAATCTTTTACACAAATACGTAATATTGCCAATTCTGGACATCGGAGTTGAAAAGACATTTTTTCGTTCCAAACGGGGTTAAAACTATTTTTGAAAGAAAAAAATAAAAAAATTTCGAAAAATTTCAAAAAAAAATTTTGCGGACAATTTTTGCGGACAAAAAATTTTTTTGCGGACAAAATTTTTGATTTTTTTAATTTAAAAAATTTTTTTAATTTTAAAAAATACCCATTATTATAAACTGGCTTTGTATTTAATTTACAACGATCATTTGGAATTCCAAAAATTTCAACACTAACATATGGGTCAACAATTCCACTATTTCCAGGCTCTGCTTTAGGTAAATATTGCCCACAAATTATCTGAAAAATTGAATTTAGACGTTATTAATTTGGACATATTGAAATTTGGACATTATTAAAATTGGGGTTCGAGTCGCAAAAAATTAAAAATGTCAAAAAAATTTTGCGGACAAAAAAATTTTCTTGCGGACACTTTTTGCGGACAGAAAAAATTTTCTTGCAGACACTTTTTGCGGACAAAAAAATTTTTTTGCGGACACTTTTTGCAGAATCCGCAATTTTAATTATTCAGATTTCTCTCCTCTTTTTACACACTATCTTCATTTTCTCTAACATTAATTTAATTTTTTAATATTTAAACAATTATACCGCAATTTCCAAAGTGCAACAAATTGTAGTTTTATGCCTTGGATCTTTAAAAATAATCAAAAAAAATTTTTTTTCGAAAAAAATTAAAAAAGAAACCTCTCCCTTCTAACAAAATTTTTGGTTTTAAAATATAACCAATACTTCCATTAATTGAAAATAATCCTTTATTTATATCCAATTCTTCATCACAAGTTTGAAAATTCATTGCAGCTAATTGAATTCCACAAATCCACTTGAAAAATATTTTTTATTATAAAACGGCCAATTTAAAAATTAAAAAAAGGTTAATTTCGAAAAGGTCAGATTCGGTTAAAAATTCAGAAAATAGTCAAAAGTACGAAAATCTGAAAATAAATAAATGTCCACTATCATCCACTAGATTTCGCAGAGTTAGATATTCGAATCTGAAAATCCACGGAGATCCGGAAGCTTTCGGATCTGATCCAAATATCCCGGTATTTTCAAGGCCAAAATCACCCTCTCATTTCCCCTTTTTGAAAAAAACCCACAAGAAACTACTATCCGCTAAGTTTGGCAGATCTGGATATCCGAATCCGAAAATCCCCAGAGATCCACCGGAGCTCCGAGGGCTACCCAGGGATTTTCCAGATATCAGCCCAAACCCCACAATCTTTCCCCTCCCCCTTTTTAAAAAAATCACAAAAAAACCTAACAGATTCCATAGGGTCTATATTGCTCGAATCCTGTCTAATCCCACTTGGAAAGCTTTTAACAATTCTTGTAGATGTATATGTAGCTAAGGGAACATTAGAATCCAAAAATGCTTGAACTTTTCTTTCACTTAAAGATGGACTGGCATTGGAAGGATCTGAAATGAGAAAATAAAAATTGATAAAATAATTATCGAAACTCCTCTAAAATATCCCCGGGGGCTATTTTTTCGATAGCCCTCTAGAGGAGGGATATTCGGGGGGGGGGGGTATTTTAAAAAAGGGGGGGGGGGGGTAAAAATTTTTCTAAAAAATTTTAAAAAGTTTGTGCGTCCAACGGGAATCGAACCCGTGCCTACTGCTTGGAAGGCAGCAATGCTAACCACTACACCATGGACGCTCATATCAATTACTTCAAATAACCTTTCTTATAATTAAAAAAAAATTGATTTTATATATTTAATTAAATCGCGCATGTAAATATTCCGGTTTTTGGATACGTAAATGCAATAAAATCAATCACACAATAATTATAAAAAATAAGAAGAATTATACTTAAAAATCTTAGAAGATAAAATCTAAAAAAACCATGAAAGTAATGCTCAAAACTCTCGGTACACCTCAGTTGAGTCCCGACGCAACTGAGTCCCGGACCCTATAACTTATGAAGGGATGGTCACTTTTTTTTGCTTTTGGTACCAATGAATAGGGCATTAGATGGACTACAACATACCAAAAAATCAAAATTCCTGGCTGACTGGTAAAAAAGTTATGATCGATAACGTGCCGAAAAACCAGATTGTTTTAAAAAAGTTAGTTTTTAGATCATAACTTTTTTACCAATCAATCAAAAATTTTGATTTTTGGGTATATTGTAGCCTATTTGATGCTCTATCCAATGGTACCAAAAACATTAAAAAATATCAACCCGTACTTGAGTTATAGGGCCGGGACTTGGATGAGACGGGACTTTGTCAGTTGAACTGCTCCGTCTCCCCCCTCCTTTTTTAAGAAAAAAACCAACGTTCTTTAATATCCATAAAAATATTGTTTGGAGATATCTTTAAAATAATTAAAAATCAAAAAAAATTTAAAAATTAAAAAAACCTTAAAACTCGGCAAAGCGATTAATTTCCCAAAATTAGGGTCAATAAGTAATTGAGGGGTTGAATTAGACTTTTCACTTCCTTCTCTTTTAAATTCTTCCAAATTTTTTGAATTTTTCTTTTTTGATGATGAATTTCTAGAAGATGTTGTTGATGAATTTGTAAATGTTTGTAAAGTCTTTCCACGCAATAAAATTTTATTTTTTAAAAAGTTGGGGGATGGAAGTGGATGAATTAAAGCATTTAATGGAGGAATATATAAATGTTCTCCCAAAATCTGTGAAAAAATCAAAAATTAAAATTTGCGGATTTTTCTTGCGGACTTTTCAGATTTCTCATAAAATAATCAGTAAAAGATCTAAAAGCCGCTGAAATACCAAACAATAGAAAAGACGTCATAATACCAAATATAGTAAATAGAAAGTTTGTTAACAACATTCTTCCCCATTATGGACGGATAAGTTGCTAACCTTTTGTTGGAACACTCCTTTTCCTTTTAACTAGAACAAGATTATCAGGAATGCCATGGGTTAACGATGTCCGAAACCCGATTCGAAAAAAACTTTCATAGAACCCTACCCAACTTTTTTCCCCTCTTAATCCACCTAACTAGGGTTGCCAAAATGGCTCGACTCAAACAGAAAGATAGAGTTAGACCTAAGATATTAGACCCGAAAAAGACTCGTACGGCCCGACTCAAAAACGGCAACTCTACACCTAACTGATCCAATAGACCCGTAACCCTGACTCCTTCCGGTCTAGCCCACCAATCCTATTCTTTTCTTAACCTGCGACATCCCCGATACCTATAATACTTATGTTTGTAATTTTTCCAAAGTTGTTTGGTATTTCGACGCCCTTCCAAAAATAATTTTTAATTCCCCCAATATTTTTTCAACCCCAAAATTAAAAAAAAACCTGTACAAATATTTCAGCCATTTTTCCTTGTTGTAATGGACTAACATGATTTTCAATTGTTAAAATAACTGGATACAAACTTTGAATAAATGCATATTGTTTTATACAATTTAAAACATTTCTTAAAGATATTGGTGCAATAAATGTGTGTTTATGTGTTATTTGAGGTTCTCCATTCTCTCCATCAAATATATCTACTGAAAAAAAAAATTAATTCGAAAATTTCTGAAAAAATCCGCAAATCAAAAAAAAATGAGTCCACCCCTGAAGACCTACACCTCCAAGACCTACACCCTCAAGACCTACTGACCCTTAAGACCTACACCCTGAAGACCTACAACTTTTTGATCAACTCAAATTATTTATTTTCCTTTGCAAGTTTAATAGGTGAGTCTGAGTGATTAAAGGAGATCATTATCCACTTTAACACTCAAAATCCTTGATATCCCCCTTAATTCCTCTTTATCTCCTTTAAAACCTTCAAATCCATCGCTATCCCCCTTAATCCATCTTTTTTTCTTTACCTCCTTTAAATCTCCGATTATACTTGTAAGGAAATAAAAAGTAAAAAATTGTGTTGATCAAAAAGTTGTAGGTCTTCAGGGTCAGTAGGTCTTCAGGGGTGTAGGCCTTCAGGGTTGATCCCAAAAAATTAGTCCGCAAAGTTTAGAATTGCTTTTAGAACTCAAATCCAGACTTTTTCAGTCAGTCTTACCCACATTTCTTTTTTTTCGGAAATAAAATATAAGTTTTATATACAGTCAAACATAATTTTTAAATCAGTTAAACAAATCGGGACATAGAAAATCGGATGAGGTGCATCGTAGATTGGGAGTATCGCTTAGGGATACGACTCCAACATAATAAAACGTCTTAATGAAAAACCGCCAAAAAGCTCACCTCCCAAAAACAGATGGAGTAAAATTACGACGTCATTTCCAATGGTTGGCTTTTGACGGCTTTTGGGAGTTTGGCTTTTTTGTTTTTTAAGCTCCATCTTCTCCCAACCCAGTGGATAAGTATCTTAAAGGAGTGCCCGACTTCGTGGGTACCCAAAAACGAGGTCCTAAAAACTGAAGACTTTTTAAAATTTGCGGACATACCTTGCGGACGTTTCAGACTTAAACAGCTTAAAATTGAAAAAAAAACAAACATTCTAATAGTCGACATCCCTTTTTTAAAGCACAAATATATCCTTCAATTGTAGCATTTCCATGTACTTGTAATCCAGTTAAATAAGTATTGTGACTAGAATTGATAAAATAACAATGTAAAGGCTGGTCCATATCCATAAATACAGTTTCGTGTCCTTCACGTAAAATGTTACCCCAACGGGATTGGAGAAGTCGGCGAAAGCCTAAAGAAATTAAAAAAATTTTTTTAGAAAAATTTTGTCCGCAAAAAAAATTGCGGACAAAATTTTGTCCGCAACTTTTTTTGCAGACAAAATTTTTTTTTAAATTTTTCCTCCACTTCCCTAGTACTAATAGATGCTTAATAAACAAATTTTCCCTCAAAATTTTCTCCCAAAAATTTCAAAAAATACCATTTATAGTCAATATTTTTGCCCTTCCAATTTCTTGTCCTCCAGGTTCACAAAAATCAATAATAGCTTCAGCTTTTTTAAAATCAATTTCTTTAAACTTAATAAAGAAAATTTTTTTGAATTTTAAAAAAATTTTTGAAGTTAGAAAAATTTAATGACCGCAAAAAAAATTTTTGTCCGCAAAAAATTTTGCGGACAAAATTTTTTCGTCCGCAAAAAATTTTTTTACCCCCAAAATTATTTTTGGATATACTTTAGCCGGTGGCCCACTCAGAAACGGGTCAAAATATATACCATTCGATTCGTCTCGGCGAGATGAGTCGAATGGTACCATTCTTTTTTTGCGGAAATTCCTACGAGCCGAGATATAGGTACTTAAAAATCGAAAAACCATAGGGGGGACCAAGCACTTTTTTGGGGTGAAAAATTCGAATATGCAAATAATAGCTCATTCGAAAGAGCTCGTTGAGCTGAGTCGATTGACACCAAAATCAACGAAATCCGACTTGATTGGACCGAGATATAGGCCTCTGAAAATTGTTAATCCAAAGGGGTGATTTTTGGAACTAAAAATTTTTTAACCATAATAGCTCATTTGAAATAGCTCGACAAGCTGAGTCGAATGACACCAAAATCACCGGGATTAAACAAGTTTAGACAAAGTTACAACACAAAAAACTAGCAACATAAACCTATGGGGCGTCGGCGAGGCGCTTGTGCAAAACTCCGCGCTTCGCGCGGAGTTTTGCGGCACGCGCCTCGCGGGGAGTCTACGGGCGCTGGGTCTGGGCTCGTAACATAACCCTATTCCTATCTCCCTTACTCTGGACGTATTTGGGGCCTCCGTAGCAGCAAAAATCTCCACAGATGCCATAGGTAAGGAGCTAAAACAAGTGCTCATAACTTTTTCAAATCAAGTCGGATTTCGTTGATTTTAGTGTCATTCGACTCAGCTCGACGAGCTCGTTCGAATGAGCTATTATTTGCATATTCGAATTTTTCACCCCAAAAAAGTGCTTGGTCCCCCCTATGGTTTTTCGATTTTTAAGTACCTATATCTCGGCTCGTAGGAATTTCCGCAAAAAAAGAGTGGTACCATTCGACTCAGCTCGCCGAGACGAATCGAATGATATATATTTTGACCCGTTTCTGAGTGGGCCACCGGCTAAAGTACAGCCTTATTTTTAAAAAATTCAACAAACCTCTTGTTCTTCCCTCAAAAATTTTAAAAGTGAATTTGCATCCAACCAATCATTCCCTTCATCATTAGCCAATCTAAGGGCATTTTTATATTCAGGCAAGTCTGTCAAAACAGAAAACAAATGTAAAAATTCTTTTTGGTCTAAAGCTTGGTTTTGTTGTTGTTGTCCGTTTCTTTCTAAAGTTTCCTATAAAAATTTCTTGAAAATTTTAAAATTATTTACAAATAAAAAAAGGATTCCATCTGACGATGAGACATTCTGCGGAGATATTTTTGTATAAACTTTTTTGCGGACGGCTTTTGCAAAAAAATTTTTGCGGATAAAATTTGCGGACAAACAATATTCGAACAAGAGAATAAATACGGCCATCCAAAATTCTAAAAATTTTTCGCTTACTGCGCTAAAAATCCAAACTTTCGGCAACTTCTGTGCCAAAAATTAAGCGCCGAAAATGATTCCACATATTAAAGATTGAAAATTTTGAAAAGCCTGGACCTGTTCCTGGACTCTGGGTTAGATTTCTTGACCTAGACTGGATCCTGGGCCTGTAGTCCAGAAAAACACCAGGAAGGTCAAAAAATGCCTCGACTCTGGGCACAGGAAAAACCTAGGCCTTGGTCCAGACCCAAGCCGATCTCTACCACCTATATCCTCCCTCCCGAAAAATTAAAATTCCAAAACGAACCTTAAACAGCGCTTTAACATAAAGTTCACTCAATTGTAAATTTAACCGTTTAAGTAATTTCCATAATTCATTAAAACCAATTTTTCCATTTTTATCCAAATCAGCATTTTTAAAATTTTTTAATAGCCACCAATTTTCATTAAAATTATTTTTTGAAAAATTTTCTTCTTCTTCTTTTCCTCCTCTTCCATTTTCTTTATTATTTAATAATAAACGTAATTCTTCTACCCATTCTAAAGCTTTAGTTTTATCAAATGCTATAAAATCCAGTGATTTACAGACAAAACGAGGATGTTTAAATATTATTGAGAAACAATGGTCTTCCTGAAAAAAAATTTTCTTGAAAAGAATTTTTGCGGACAAAAAATATTTTTTGCGGACAAAAATTTTTTTGCGGACGACTTTTGCGGACAAAAAAATTTTTGCGGACAACACGTTCTAAAGGTTTGGGCCAGAACCTATGCATGTGTCTCAAAATTCCAATAAATTAAGAAACACCTTTTCAATTTGCTAGCTAAGCAAACTTTACAAAATTACCGAGTCGTCGAAATACAAAGATGTGAAAATGCCGTCAAAAAGACAACCCTCCCCAGTAGCCCTCAAAATGCCAAGCCGTGAGAGCCAAAGAACTAACACCGAAAAGTATCGAATACGAACAATTTAGTCACATTCCTATGAGGGAAAAAATATGGAAAATTGTTAGGATAGGTAAAAATAGGTAAAACATAGAAAAGGCCAACTACCTAAAAGCCGTCAAAAGGTCTAAGTCTTTAAGAGACATAAACACTCCAATGGGGAAAAATCTTGGATAAGAGCCCATGGAGCAAATTTGTCCGCAAAAAAATTTTAAAATTAAATTTAAAATAAAACAAACCGGAGCAGTCTCCTGAAACCTCTTCATTCTCACAGCTCTATGCCAATTATCAGTTCGATAGCCTTGTCTAATTTCTAGCAATTCGAATAAACTGACTTTAAAAAAATTTTTTAAAATTTCAAAAAAATTTTTAAAAATAAACCAGTCTTTTTCTCTTTTTTAGAACATCCACAAAGCATTTTTGACGTGTCCAACATTGGATCATAGCTAATAGTATTGTCATTCTCATCCAAAACAATGATTGAATCTTTCCCTATTTTGCCTTGTTTTACTCGTCTAACTGGTAAAGCAACAGAAATTGATTGTCTGCCGCTCTCTTCAGTTTTGTTGTTGTTCCCGTCATTCTCTCCCCCCTCTTTTTCTTTATTTTGTGAGTGATTAGAATGATCTGCATTCATTTCCCTATTAAGTATTGGACTAATTTTCAAATAAAAATTTAAATAAACACAACGCCAATTTTGTAACTTTTTTGAATTGATTAACAAATACCGTTATTTTTTGGGGGGTATGTCCACTTAAATTGATGTAACTTTCGATCGGATAAACTTTAAAAAATAATTTTGGTATCATTCGATAGCTAAGAAGATTGGCTGTAAAGCGAAATAAAAATTTAAATAAACACAACGCCAAATTTGTCAAAATTTTTGACTTGACTGTCACCACCCTCATTTCTGAGGTAGTCTCACTTAAACGGCTATAACTTCCGATTGGATAGACCTTAAAAAATAATTTTGGTATCGATCGATAGAGGAAATCCTCCTCTACAAAATACCTAAAAATCATAATTATTGATAACTGACAAAAAAAGTTATGGCCAAAAATTAAGTATTGGCTCTTAAATTGAGTTAAAGAAGCTTCCATTCTAACGGGCATAACTCGGGGCCTAGTAAACTGATTGAAAAGGTTTTGGTATCATTTGATAGAGAAGAAAATTGGCTATAAAATTAAATAAAAATTTAAATAAACACAACGCCAATTTTGTCAAAATTTTTAAGTTGATTATCGAATACCCTCATTTTTGAGGTAGTCTCACTCAAACGGCTATAACTTACGATCGGGTAAACCTTAAAAAATAATTTTAGTATCAATCGATAGGGAAGAAAATTGGCTATAAAATGGAACGATAAACTAAATTTTAGATTGATTCATAAAAAAGTTAGGAATAAAAAACTAAAAGATTTTTGGTCGTTTTTGGAAGGTTGTCTTCGATTGTTTTTGAATTAAAAAATAAAAAATTTTCAAACTTTTTAATTTATTTTATAGTAAATTTTATTCTCTACATATTTGAGGGAATTTTGCAAAAAACAGAAAACAGGTGAGAGAAAAATTTTTTTGAAATTTATGTTGAGTCATACAAGGCACGAGAAAGGCACGAGAGAGACAAGAAAAATTAAAATTAAATTTTGGAAAAAAAAAATTTTTAATTTAATTTAAAGAAATAAAAGGAAAACTTAAACAAAAATTAAAAATAAAATTGCTAAAAGTGATTAAAGAATCTCTCGAAAAGAATGAAAGAATGACGCATTTCTTTCTAACACACCTTTAATAAATTTAAAAAAAAAAGTAATGAAAGCAATGAAAGTGTGAAGAGGAGAAAGGGTTGAGGGGGGGGGGGGGATGAATTTTTAAATTAAAAATTGTGTTTGTTTTCTTTTTAATTTTTTTTGCAACAAAAAAAAACCGAGAAAAGAAATAAGAAAAAAAAATAATAAATAAAAATTTATGCATTTGTTCCTCCCAAAAAAATTTTTTTCTGTTCGTATATTAGTAAAAAAATCCATTTTATTTAATATAAAATAATTTTTTTTGGATTTAAAATTTATTATTTATTTCTAATTTTCGTAAAAAAATTTAAAAATTTTTTTAAATTAAATTAAAAAACATTTTAAAAATTTTTACGAAAATTAGAAATAAAACTCATTTCCAGTTAACCCAACCCATGACTGCGTGTCCGGACAATGCGTCAGTGGACAATGCGTGAGTGGAAAATGCGTCAGTGGACAATCGGTCAGTATTGATATAAAGTGATTAAAAGTAATGATGTAAAGAGATAAAAAATGATATAAAAAGACTAATGATGGGATATAAACAGATTAGGAGTATTTAGAAAAGGATTTTGAGGTTTAAAATAGATATAGAGAGGTTATGTTGGGATTAAGGCCGATATCTCGGGGTTGGGAGGATTAACAGAGATATTAAGTTATTTGGTTGGATTAAGATGGAGATCAGCCGATTTGGAGGTATATCAGTGAATTTTTATCTCTTTATATTATAACTTTTAATCATTTTATATCAATACTGACCGATTGTCCACTGACGCATTGTCCGGGAGCCCATGACTGGGTTCGAACCATAGAGGACCACCTCTCTTAAATCAGAATCCTGAAAAAAAACCTTTTTCATAATTCTGATTTTACACAAGCTAAAAACACTTACATAATACCATCCCACCCCTTTTTTCTCAAAAAAAACATGTACACATACATACTACCCCTGATCGTTTCATTAGCTTAATACACATATCACAGTCTAGCAAGCTATATAATACATTTTTTATTAAAAAATAATTTTTTTTATTTATCCTATTACCTAAAAATATATCTTTATTTATTACATAACCCTTCTCCTTTTTCAATTTTTTTATATTTTTATTTATTTTTCCCTCACTAATATTCCTCCCCCCAAATCAACTACCTACTAGCTTTGACAGCTGTTCACTTTCCTTCCCTTCCCTCCCTTCCCTCTATGTCCCTCTTTTTTTAGGGGGTTTTCTTGCTTCTTTTAAAAATACACATACTTTTTTTTTAAAGGTTTTACTAAAATTTCGTCCTCAAAAATAAATTTTATTTTTTTTTTCTATTCGGTCGTCTTAAAGTCCCCCTCCCTCCAAAAACTCTCCCCCTTAAAAATGCCCTTCTAATCCTTCAAAATATATAAACAAAAAAATATTATTTTCAACAGTTAATATATTTTTTGTTGCTTCATTTTATTTTTGGAAAATTTAAAAATTAAAATAAATAAAAATGCCGACTGGATCCAGGGTTGGGGCGCATTTTCTCTCTTCTGTTTTAAGAATGCTTGAACCTAGAACTGATGATGATTTTGGTGAGGATTTTTAAAGAGAAATTCTGAACTAAATAAAAATCAGAATTTAATTTAAAAATCAGAATTCTGATTTTATTTAAAAAATTCTGATTTTAATTTTAAAAATTCTGATTTTTAGCATTCTGATCAAACCAGAATTCTGACTTAAATAAATATGAAGATTCTGATTTTACTTAAAAAATTCTGATTAAATTCTGATTTCATAAGCTGAAATTCTGATTAAATTCTGATCAGAAATTCTGATTTCATAACCTGCAATTGTTTTCAAAAAATCAGAATTCTGATTTCGTAACAAACTCTGAGTTCAAAACAAATTCTGATTTTCATACAAGAATTAATTTATCTTATAAATCAGAAATTCTGAATTTTATTCTGGTTTCCTTAAGTCAAAAATTCTGATTTTACTCTTTCCGATTTTTAGTTGATCGTCTACATTATTTATATACCCCAATAATGCTTTTAATGTTTGCCCTACTTGCATCAGCAAAAAATTATGCCGGGCACCCAATAGAATGTTTTGTGCCAGCCTATTTTACGCGTGCTATGGAACAGTACAGCGAGTGAGTTAAGAAAAATAATTTTAAAAAAATATAAAAAATATTTTTCAGAAATTATTGTTATGTTCAAAATACTTATTGGGTACCGTTTCAGGAACATATCCCTCACAGGCTTGATGAACGAGAAAAGTAAACATAAATATTATACTCAAACATACTCCTTTAAAACTTGTTTTGAAACATTTCCGGAAAAACATTTTTTTCAGAAAAAAACATAGAAAACAACAAACTTTCCGGAAAAACATCCAAACATCACCTAAGACAAATAAAATATATTTTCGTAAAAACATCCAAACATCTCTTAAAACACACATACAAAACAATTCAAACTTTCCGAAAAAACATTCAAGCTTCTCTTAAAACATAAATAAAAACACCCTTCCGGAAAAACATCCAGACATCACCTAAAACAAATAAAATATACTTTCCGGAAAACATCCAAACTTCTCTTAAACATACAAACAAAACAACGAACTTTCCGGAAAAACATCCAAACATCTCTTAAAACAAGCACACAAAACAACAACCCTTCCGGAAAAACATCCAAACATCGCCTAAAACATGAATAAAAATATACTTTCCGGAAAAACATCCAAACACCACAGAAAACAAATAAAATAAGCGTTCCGGAAAAACATCACTTTAACAAGAAAAACATTTACAAAATACATATTCCATCTTACAGAAAAACACCCACCAAAACATTCCGAAAAACACACTCAAAACATTTTCTTACTGGAAAAACATTTAGTCTAATTCATTAAAAACATTTAAAATTTTCCGGAAAACATACTCAAGACAAATCTAAAAATTTAATTTAGACGACAAATTGGCTATTACCAATGGGTTTCTTTTGTGCTTGCTATATCCGCCTTAATGTTTCACTTACCTGCACTTTGTTGGAGAATGCTTTCTAATCAGTCAGGATTAAATGTTTCTGTAGTTCTTAGCCTTGCTTGTCAAGAAGAAAATGTTGACCCGGAAGTTCGTGACCGTTCAGTAGACATTTTGACTGTTAGTTTTTATATATTTTTGAAAACACGAAATTTTTCCGGAAAACATTCAGAAAATATATCATTCCAACTTTCCGGATAACACTAAACCACCATTAATAAAAACACACAACATCAACATTCCGGAAAACCTGCAGAAAATATTCTATCCAAACATTCCGGAAAACTCAATAAACATTTACTTTTACGCAAAACAGACACAAACAAAACATCAAACTTTCCGGAAAACACTCAATAAAATCTCGCGAAAAACACACTCAAAAACATTTTAATTTCCTTTCCGGAAAACATTCAAAAACATTCAATAAAACACACACTTTCCGGAAAACACTCAAAAACATTCAATAAAACATTCCCCAAACTTTCCTGAAAACACCAAAACATTAAAAACTAAAACAAACATTTTTATAACCCTAGAGACATATTGACGATGCTTTACGTTATCAACGCGATCTTATTATTCGTTCAAAGGGTGTTTTTCTTTTTGCATTAATTAATATTGGAAGATTATATGGAGCTTATGTTACTTTAGTTTATTCAATGTGCAAATTATTACATTTATTTAATGTTTTGATTCAATTTTATTTTTTAAACAAGTTTGTGAGACTTTCTCCGAAATTTGGGAGGGATTCAAGTAGAGAGGGGTAGGGGTAGAGAGAAGTTACAAAGGGTCACAAATAGAGAGGGGGAAAGAGCTTAACAGGAGTAGACCCAAATAGGATGGAGAAGTGCGCAAGACTCGAAAAGAAGTGGTCTATTGGGAGGTCTATTGAGAGGAGCACAAATAGAGAGGGGGAGAGCTTAACAGGAGTGGACTCAAATAGGGAGAGAGGGGTACTTATAAATAAGGGTTCTAATAGAAGAGACTTCAATTTAGAGTCTCTAATAAAAGGGTTCCTAAGACCAACAGACTCAAAAATGACCAAAAGGAAGAACTAGAATCAAAACTTGAAACTCTAAACGAGTACTTAAGAATTAAAATTTTCCCCTTAAAGATTTCTTGGAACAGCCGATTATCCCCTATTTGGAGGGCATGTAATCTATGACCTATTTCGGGTAATTTAAAAAAATTTTTTCACTTTTTGATTTCTTAGGACCGTGAATGGCAAGATTCTGGCAGATTTCCAAGAGTAACCCTCTGTGATTTTGAAATTAGAGTTTTGGGGAATATACACAGGCATACAGTACAGTGTGTGCTTGTTATAAATATGTAAGCTTCTAAAAAAAATTTTTTGAAAATTTTCAAAAAAAAATTTCAAAAAATTTCAAAAATTTTTTAAAATTTTTTTCAGGTTTTTAGAAAAGATTTTCGTCTTTTTATGGCTCTGGCTTCTATTTTTAGCTTTCCTTTCAATTGTAAATTTATCAGCTTGGTTAGCAACGGGTAATTTTAGGAAGGAAAAAGTCCAAAAATTTTTTGTTTTTAGTAGCTGTTCCTATTTGTAGACAAGCATTTGTAGAAAAATTTTTAGATTTGAGTCAATATGAGCCTAAAACTAGTGCAGAAGTTCACTTATTTGTTGAAAAATTTCTTAGGCCTGATGGCGTTTTTTTACTTAAAATGGTAAGGAAAAATAAAAATCTTCCGTAAAATCCCTATTTGAATGCCATGGCATTCTATTTTTCAATCACCTTCCAAAGTGGCATTCTATTAGAGACTGGCATTCAATTGGAGAGTGGCATTCTAATAGAGATTTTATGGTAAACTACCCATCTCCCTTTTTTGGTCATTAGTGTTATCCTAAGGGTTGTTCCTTGATGGGGGTGGAGAAGAATGTTGGGAGGATGGAGGGGAGGGGGATTTTTAGATAGGATAATCGGCTCTCCAACTGGATAACCAAGGAGGAGAAAAATCAAACTAAAAACACCATTCTTCCCTTTTGGTCATTTATGTCCCACAAGATAAGGATTTATGTCCCACAAGATAAGGAGAAGTGGTGGAGGAAGGACGAGAGGATTTTTGGATAATCAGCCCCAAAGGAAAAAGGCTAAAATAAAACTAAAAAGAATTTATTTTGCTCTCTGTCCCATTAAAAAAATATTTTTCAAATTCAAAAATCATTCCCTTCTCCCCTCCCTCAAATTAATTTACTCAAAAATTTTTAGGTATCTGTACATGCCGGAAACATAATGTGTACAAGATTAAGTGAATCATTATGGATACAATTTCAACAATGGAGAGCTTCAACAAAAATATTACCTAGTAGCAGAAAAGAATCTTCTCCTAGTTTAGGAATTTTAATGTCAGGTGAAGGTGGAGGGGGAGGAGGAGGTGGTGGTCCATCTTCTGAAAGACCAAAAAGAAGATCATCATCGGAAAGAAGAGAAGGAAGAGGTATTTAAAAAATTTTGGGGAGTCCAAAAAAACTGAAAAAAATCAGAAAAAAAATCCAAAAATTTTCAAAAAAAAATAAAAAAATTTCAAAATATTTCCCAAAATTTTCGAAAAATTTTTTAAAAAATTCCAGAAAAATTTTCAAAAAAATTCAAAAAATTTCCAAAAAAAATTTCAAAAAAGTTACCAAAAAAATTTTTCCAAAAAAATTTTTTCACAGGCTATTATCAACCACCTCCAGACCAAGAAAATGAAGGATCAGAAAAAAGACAAAGAAATCCACCTATACAATTACCTACTTTAGGTGGTATTAGACAACATTTTGTATAGAAATAGAGAGAGAAGGATCTCAAAAAGTCTTTCTTTTTTTTAATTTTAAAAATGCCAAAAAAATTATTTTAATTTTTATAAAATTTTCCTAAAATATAAAAACAAGAAAATTAAAAATTTAAAAAATCCTTTGTGTTGCTTTAAGCGAAAATTCATAAGAAAAGAAAAATATAAAGCCACCTATACCCATCCAAAGTGAACGAGGTAATACACCAGAATATAGACGAAACTGAAAAATATTGGGGAAGGTAATGAGAGAGAAAAGAAGAAGAAGAGAGAGAGAAGGAGAAAATAAGGAAAAAATCCGGAAAAGTTTAAATTAATTTCCGGAAAAATAATAAATGTTTCCGGAAAATTAAATACCCCAGGAAAATTTCCGGAAGGTTTAAATGATGATTTCCGGAAGACAAGACTTCGGAAAATAAATTTCGGAAACAACAAAAACATCAACCGGAAAGTTTAGATTTTTTCCGGAAAACATCAGAAATGTTTCCGAGAAGGTTTAAATTAAATTTTAGAATATTTTTTAAAAATTCCAGAAAATTTTCAGAATTTATTAAATTTGATTTTAAAAAATATAAACCCACAATTCCTTCCTTTTTAAATATTTCAACAGCAAGAGGCAAAAGTTGACGGTTTTGTGAGCCTCTATCAAGCATTACACGGGTTTTGAGAACATCTAATGGACTGAAATAGAAAAAAAAACATTTAAAAACTAGAATTCTTTCTGGAAAAATTATTTAATTAAGAAAAACACTTCCGGAAAGTTTAAATAATTTTAAACAAAAAACTCAGAATTTTGATAAAGTTTTGTTCCGAAAAAGACAAGAGAACTAATTCCGGAATGTTGATGTTTAACGTAATTAATAGGGTTGGGGACCCGATCCGAAAGATCGGGTCCCCAACGAATTTTGGTATGCCTCGAATTTTAGCCCGAAAAAGACTCGGTCGGGCCGGCCGAAAAAATGAGACCCGAGAAAAATGACTCGAACGTCGGCCCGACTCGAAAACCCCAACCCTTAGTGTTAGTTTGGTTTTAAATGTTTTCCGGAAAGTTTCCAGCAAAGTTTAATAAAATACAAACAAACCCCTACGTTGTAATTCCTGCCGCTATAAGGCCTGCAAAACTCCCACAAGTAGCTGATTCTAAAGGAGTGCATTCCTATAAAAAAATTTTTTTTTAATTTTCTAATTAAAAAAAAATTACTTTATTTGTCAGTTTTCTTCTTTTTTGTTTTAAAAATTCCCAAAGTGGAAATTCAATGAATGAAAAAGGAATTTCACGAAATAAAGTGCTAAAATACCCTGAAAATTAAAAAATTTTTTGAAAAAATTTTCAAAAAAATTTCAAAAAATTTTAAAAAATTTTCAAAAAAAATTTTAAAAAATTTTCAAAAAAATTTTAAAAAAATTTCAAAAAATTCTCGAAAAAAAATTTTAAAAATTTTTTTTGAAAATTTCAAAAAATTTTCAAAAAAATTTCAAAATTTTCAAAAAATTTTTTAATTAATTAAAAAACCTTTATAAACTGCCAAAAATTTAAATTTTTTTCTTCTTCCTTCCCCTTCATTTATTAATTCACCAAATATTTGTAAAGGCCTTTTTTGAGGGTTTGTTTGTGCTCGTTGTTTAATTATTTCTGTTGGAACTCTGGCTATACAAGCAAATATTTCTCCAATACTGGCACTTAATGCATCGGTTAATGGAGCTGTTTTTTTTTAAATTTAATTTTTAAATTAAAAAAAATTTTTTTAATTACGAGAATACAAGCCAAAGTAAACTTAACGAAAAACAACATTTTATGTCTTCAAAAAATATTCCTAACAATTCCGGAACACAACAACTTCCGGAAATACTTCTTAACGTTCCATGAGCGTGCCAGTTTCGACTTTTTGTGTGTTCTGTCTTTTGCTGTTCACTTTTTAAACGAACTTCCGCATTTTTGTCTTATTATTTGCATACCCCTATTATGCTCTCAAAAATATTCCGAAAATCAGACATCCCGGGAAAGCTTTCCAAGTTGCCCAAAATATTCCCCTCTCCCCCTCTTTTCAGAAAAAAAAGTCAAAACTTCCCATAAAATAAAAAACAAACTTGGTTTAATGGCCATTTTTGTATTCAACAATTCTTTGCAACTTGAATAAGAAATAAAAAAGAGTGCAGAACCTGGAGCAGAACCTAATGCAACCTTCAAAAAATTTTTAAAAGAAAAAAATTAAAAACAAAACTGCAGGTATTCCTTTGTAAATGTTTCCAAATCCACCAGAAGCTTTAAAGCCGACTTTGCTTTGCATTCGAGTCTGAAAATTAATAGAATTGTTATTGACAATTGGAAAGAGATAGAGAATTCCTCTCAAGAAATTTGAAAATATTTAGGGGGAAAAATTTTTAAAAATTGGAAAATCCAAAAATTAACCCGACCCCCCAATTGAAAATAAGAAAATTAAAAAAAATCCATCTTAAAATCACTCGACTGAAAAATAAGAAAAAACTAAACTCAGAAAAAATCCCCAACCAAAAAATTCAAAACCTTGACTGTATCCAAAGGGTAAAGACTTAAATCAACTGCTAAACCAGCAGCAGCACCAGCTAATAGCCATCGAAATTGATTGACTAAAGTAAATTGATTTTCCTTGACATTTTCGTCCATATAAGCACTTTTAAAACTCATGAAAAAATTTTTTTAATTAAAAATAAAAAAGATAAAAAATTCAGAATTAACTGATAAAAAATTTCAAAAAAATTTTTTTAATTTTCAAAATTTTTTTTTAATTTTAATTTTTTTAATAACAATGTTGTTCATTTATTGCATATTTACAATCAAAAAAATTTAATTCAGTAATTTTCCAACGTCCAAAATTTGCTGGTGTTTGACCACCCAAATGCCTAGCTAACGAAATATTGCAAATTAACAAATTTTCTGGTTTTTTCAACAATTTTGAAATTGAACGAGTTGTTGGACGCCATAAATTAATATTTTCTTCTTCATCTTCTTTGAATTTTAGGTCTTCCAAATTTTGCTGTTTTTCTATAGTTTTGTCAATGAAAAATACAAACATGCTGTTATATGTTAAATCCTCCCGTTTGGATGAAAGAACTTTAAAAAATTTTTTAATATTTTGATTTAATAAAAAAATCTTTTTGAATGTCTAAAAATATTTTTGTTGCTAAAGATAAATTTAGAAATAAAAATAAAAAAATTTAAAACGTTTCCTTCACCGTAGGAATCGAACCCTACGCCCAAAATTCGAACCCTACGCCCAAAATTAGTTAAAGTTTAAGACAAAACCACTACACCAAAAAGACGTTAAAATTGACATTAAAAAAATTTTTTAGTATAGAAACGAATTTAACAACAAATATTGAATTTTTTACTGAGCCTCCCCTATACAAAGGATTCGAACCTGACCCTAAAATAATTCAACAACTAGAACCTTAACCACTACACCAAAACAACTATTGAAGGAAATTAAAATAAATTGGGTTAAAATTTTAAAAATAAAAAAAAATAAAATAAATTCTTACATGCTCTAACAATACTATCACAAGAAAAAAAGGAAGAATAAATAAATCCACAAACAATTTGGTTTTGTGTAAAATTAAGATTTTCAAAAAGGTCTTCTTCTTTAATTTGAGGCAATCTATTTATTAAATAATTTGTTAAATTTTTAGTTGAAATTTCTTTAAATTTGTCCCATTTGTGTTCTCTTAAATTTAAAGCTGCGAGTCTTGTTGCCTTAAAAAATAGTGTTGAAATCATCTCGTTTATCCAGCCTTTTTGTCCTTCTAATTTTTAAAATACTTCCTTCTTTCCATAATTTCACCCAATTTTTCTACGGCGAGAAATCGACTTAAAATTAGATAACAACTGTTCCACGACGGACACACACCTCCTTGGTTCGAAAACCGTGGCGCGAACGTTGCGGACCTGAATTTTGCGGACCCGAAATTTGCGGAACAAAAGTTGCGGGCCCGAGGTTGCGACACGAAGTTTGCGGACCTGAATTTTGCGGAACCAAGATTTTAGGACCGACACTAGAGTAAAAAGGAAAAATTGAAAATTTTATTTTTCGAGGATTCTGGTCGAAAACTGGTAAAACTTTCTTCCCACAGCCTTGGTTAAGTGGGTAAACTCTAAGTTTATAAAATTAATAGGTCGTTGGTTCGAATCAACGCAATGAAAATATTTTTCTCGAAACATGAGCTTATTTCCAAATAGAAGGAAAAAAGAGGAAGGAATAAACGAGACCATCCCCAAAAAAAAATAAAAAACAAACCATAATAGCTCCATTAAAAAACTTTTCTCTTGTAAAATTTTTCTCAAAAACTTGTTTGTAGAACAAACGGGAAGAGGGACTATAAACTAACCGACGCATAATTCCAACTGGAGGCATTATTATTGTTGGAGATTTGAAAAGGTAAAAATAAGAAGGTTGTGTTGAAGTTTTTAAAGCCAAATTTGCGGCCATTTAAGAGGTGAAAATCTGCAAAGAAAAAATTTTTCGAGAAAAATAAAATTAAAATAAACCTTGGAAGAATGAGCAAAATTTAGAGGTTTAAAAAAATTATATTAAAAATTAATTTGGAATCTTAAAACGTAAAAAGATTCAAAAGAATTATTTCTTAATTTTTTCAATGGAACATACCGAACAATGAACAAAAAAGACATTGAAGCCTTACAACTTTTCGATTGGAAGGCAAGTGCAAAAAAAACAAACAAAAATTGGCAAAGCGACCTTGTTTCTGTTAGGTCTCTATTGACTGTCTGATCTCTACTGACTATAAGAGCAGTCACTAGAGATCAGTCTTGGTCAGTAACTCCAACCGTTCAGTTATTCTCGCCTTTGTCAGCTTCGGTATGCTTGTATTCGGATAAACGTATTATTCTTTATTCTGTTAGTCACTAGGTAAGACCGCTACCTAGGACATAACAGTTCCACAGCTTAATCAAAAATTTTTTTAATCGTCTTCGGTATGTTCCCAATGTTAGGTAAAAGGTATATAAATTAAAAATTAATATTTTAGTAAAATTCACAAAAATCGCCAAGCCAAATTTTTATTTTTATTTATTAAAAAATAATTATTGTAATGCTCCATAAATTTAGGTACAATTTTCACACACACAAAAAAATAATAAATTTTGGAAGAAAAAAAAATCCCAAAAAATAACATAAAAAAAAACCTTTCAATACATTTTACATAAAATAGGTAAAGGAAACAATCTAACACCTCCCGTGCTTTGCATAACTCCTTCATCTCCCTCAACAGAAATCATTGTTCCTTCAGTTCCTTTATGGTTTCCGTAAATTACTCTTGCCTAAAAAATATTTTTTTTTAATTTAGTCCAAAAAGTTTAAAAAAAACCGTGTCTCCTTCAGCAGGTTTAACAGGAAGTAAAAACTCAAAGCCTATAGCATGGTCATCATCGTTTAATCCAGCAAAGTAACAAAGACAGTGGTCATTCTAAAATTAAAAAAAAATTTTTTTTAATTAACAAGGATATTTGATAGGGGATGGAATCCATTAAAGATTAATTTAAGCGTTTTTAGAAATCCACACACGTTAAAAATCTATACAAAATTTTCGTCTCTTACAATGGTGCACAAAAGTAATTGCGCTTTTATTCCAGACCTGGTCATGGATACGGATACAGATAAGATCAAAATGCCTGCGGATATCCGCCTGTATCCGCCGTAAATATCCGGATACGGATAGCAAAATCAGTATCTGTGACCAGGTCTGATCCAACGAAATTCTATAAGTCCAATTTGAACTCAAAAGTGTTTATTGGACTCATAAAAGAGTTTATTGATTCCAGAACCAAAACTATTTCCTCAACATCAAAAACACATCCTATTCTCAAAAGAAGTTAGGAATTATAGCCTATAAACACATTCGCACTATAAAAATATTCAAAACGAACCTTTACTGTTCTAATAGCCCCTTCAAGTCCAAAGAAACTTTCATCAGAAAATGTCCTCCTAACATTAACGCACATTTCAACCCCACACCAAGAACCACTCTTTAATTCATGATCAGCTTAAATATAAAAAAAATAATTAAAATAATATAAAAAAACTAACGAATTTCCTGAGGTCCAGCGGGAGATGCTCCAACTGGCGTTCTTGAAGGGTGTGGAGATGCTAGAAAAAATTTTTTTTTTATTTTTAAAGACCTTAGAAAAATTATTTTACAAGTCTGTGAAGAAGCATATTCATTAAACGTATCATTCCGAGGAGTCATTCCTAAAAAATTGTTCAATTAAAAAAATTATTAATTAACCCATTGGTGTGTTAGCTCCGAAACGATTCCCTCCGCCTGAAGAACCAGCAGGTGTTGCAGCTCCACCAAATCCACCTGTACCAAATCCACTTGTGCCAAATTCGTCATCATCAAAGTGGGCCGATGAGTGCGCAGGAGTGTTCGAAACTGTTGGATCCCATGAAGCACTAGATTGACGAGGTGTTCGGCTACCATCGTAAGCTGGTGTGGATGATCCATAATGTGGAGTTCGGGAACCATCTAGAAGAAAAAAATTTTTTTAAGTACATTTAATATAAAAAATGCAGAAATAACTATAGAATTTTGCTAGATAGCAGTCAACTCCCACCTCACAATATTAGAAGTAAGGATGTCACGGTTACACAAAACCAGATACACAAAATAAAACTTTTTAGACGCGAACCCCAACAATTTTTCATGGTACTTTTTCCCATAAAGGGAAAAATCTAGCTCCTAATCTTACAGAATTATTAAAATTTTCGCCTAACAAGGGCTAAAATGAGGCTAACATTTCAATCTAACAGATTTCTTAGTTAAGACCTTTCCAATAAATTTCTATGTATATCCTCTGATATTCCCCAATTATGACCTTTTTACTTAAACTTTACTTAAATTGTTTTTAAACAAGTAAATTCCCTTTCATCGTAAATTTCTATATAAATACACAAAAAATCCATACAAGAATCATGCATTGGTGTAGCTGCTCCACCATACATGGGCGTTTGGGCTCCTCCATACATTGGAGTTCTGCCAAAAGCACCAGCAGCCCCAGGGGTCGCAGCTCCTCCAACATCCATAACACCACTTGGCACATCCCCACCAACTTCCATAACTTTGTCGATGTTGAAATTTACTGTCTAAATGGTTCAGAATTACATTTACAGATACGAAATTAAAAAAAAACCTTTGGCATTGTGTGAAGCTCAACTTTAACTGTTGAATCAGTAGCGTCTTTTACTATACCAATATATCCTTTCATTGGCCCTGAACGAACTCGAACTGTTTTACCAATAATTTGCATATTTCTGCGGACAGTTTGTCGACCTGCTCCGGTGAAAATGGATCCGGTTGCAACACTTCCTCCGCTATGACTATTTGCTTAAAAATTAAAAAAGGTTTTAAGAGTTTAAGTCAGGGATCTCACGACCGGTTAACCGAACCAAAAAGGGAGGATGTCATAATGGCAAAACATTGAAATGTCAAACCTCCAAAAGGCGTTGAAATGTCAAACACACAAAAAATGCCTAAAAAAGGCGTTGAATTTAACGTCTCTCCCTTTTAGACATTTCAACAACTTTTGGGGGTTTGACGTTTCAACGTTCAACATTTCGATACAACATCATACCAAGCGGAAACCGGGTGTCAAAAAATGACGATAAGCAAAAACCGGGGTTGACCAGAAACAGAAAACCGTGTGTCGAAAATCAGGATTGAACAACCCCAACTAAAGTCACCAAAAAACAAACCTCGATTAAACCCTCCTCCTTGATCTCCACCACGAACAGATCCACCACCAGACACACTAGTATGTCCAGGCGTAAATCCTCCACCACCTCCTCCGCCTCCACCCGCAAATGGCCTGGGACTTTCTAAAGGATGTGGACTTTTTAATAAATCAGCAGTATCCATAGCAGAAGTTGGCATAGAATCCAAAGCTTTTGCTCCTCCGATTAATTGAAGTTGTTTGGCTTTGCATACAAATATTCCTCCATTTATTGAATGTTTACGTGAATAAACAAATGCCCAGTTACGATATAAATGTTTAAGTTCTCCTTGTTTTTCTTCATCAGATTCCTTTCTTGGCTAAAATTTTGAAAAAAAATTTTGCAAATTTTTAAAAAATTCTGAATACCGCAAAAGGTCCATCAACAACTTTAACCATATCTCCAACTTGTATAGTATTTTTTTGTGAATCCAAAGCTTTCATAAAACGTGATTCACGTTTACAATCAATTGTTTGTGGATTAATTCGAACAACCTTAAAATTATGTTTTTATTTTCCTAACCCTATAAGAAAATGTGGCTGATTATTAGCGTTCAGACTAGACATGCAAGAAACTCTAGATAATTTTTTTCAAGCGAAACGGAACTGAAAAATCGTAAGAAAAATTGAAATGAAGCATTTCAAGCAGGTACGTCCTAGACTTGACACCCAAAAAATCTGAAATTAGACCAAAGAAAATTTTGAAAACTCGATCCAAAACTGTACCGATTTTTCTTAATGCCACAAATAATTAAGTAAAATATACTCACAAATAAACCCATCTTGTCAAAAAAAAACTTTTTATACCTTTCCATGCATATTCAAAACTTCAACATGTTCTCTTTCAAGTCTAACAATAACACCAACAGTTTCCTTATCAAGCATAACCAAATCCTGATATTGATATTGACCCATTCTTTCAACTCCGGTTGCTATTTCAGCACATAATTGGACATCTTTTGGCAAAATTTTCATCTAAATTTTTTGTAAATTTCTCTCAATTAACAAAAAGAAACCTCGCTCATTGTCAAATCAGAAAGCAAAATAACCATTTTATCTTCAACTCTAACAATTAAACCAGTATCCCCCTCGTAACGTCCACCAATTACTCTTACATGATCTCCAGCTTTGAAATATTTTTTTAATTCATAAGCATTTAATGTTAAAGGTTCCTAAAAAATTAAAAATAAGTACTATAAGTTTATTTTAAAGTTAGAGTTGTTGGCAAAAAGGACGTAGCAAGGGGGTAGTAGTCAGGGGTAGTTTTTCAGCCCAGTCCTACTGAATACTCGTAAATAGGCCCCTGCTAGCTAATTTTTCAGGAGACTCATACGATCTTATCAGAGACACCATGGGGCTTCTGGGCCCTGGGTCCCATTATTCTCGTCTTATATTCACCACAGGTTAACAAGTCGCCACCAACGCTAATTTCAAAAAGAATTTTTACATTCAAATCTTCATGTTCTGGAAGTATAACAACTTTGTCCCCATCAATACTTTGTATTTTTCCTCTCAAATTTGCCAATTCACCATCAGTTACTTCAACATTATCTCCAGGTGAAAAATTATGTTTTTTCTCTCGCAAATGAGTTGATTCTACTGAAAATTTTTTTAAACAGAGATTGGAATTAAATTTAACAAAAACAAAGATGACAAGGTAACGGGAGAAAGTATTTCCCAAGAGCCTCAATTAGAATTCTTCACCCTCAATCTCTAGAAAATTCTCTTTAGGGGGGGGAGGTGTGGGGATGTCACGAGTCATCTAAGATATCACGGAGGCTATCCGAACCATGAAACCTTTTTTTGATTCAAAATCTGACCCGCCCTTTCATCAACCCCGTGGCTTCCCTAAATCCAACCCTTAAAAAAATTTTTTTTATTTACATTCTTTTTTCAAATCTTCCGCTGAATCTTGAAAATGCTCCAGTTCCGTAAGTGATGGTCGAACTCCATCAACTATCTTTAAAAAAATTTTTTTATTTAATCAAACTAAAATTTTAAAAATTCGCTTACTATTGAATTCATTGGAAAAGCTTTGTAAAGAAATCCACGTCTATAATGGCTACTTTCAAAAATATAAAAATCACCATCATTGGTTACTTCTCCACCTATTGCTCTTAAAAAAATGATTTTTAACTTTCAAATAAATTTAAAAAATACTTTATTCGATCCAAATCAAAAGGTGCTGGTAATGGTCTTCGTTTGTTTCTTAATGGGCGATTTTCTTCCTGAAAAAAGTGTAAATTCAGAAAATTACTAGAAAATTGGTTATCTTCTGCTTTACTGCCCCTAGAAAAAAATGAGCAGGAAGTGCTCTTTCGATATTTCTGAAGTCTGCCAGCGGAGATAGAGATTTTTGAAAAGCCTGGACCTGTTCTTGGACTTGGGGTTTGATTCATTGACCTAGGCTGGATCATGGGCCTGTAGTCATGAAAAACCCAGGCCTAGGAAAAACCCAGGAAGGTCAAAAATGTCTGGACCTGGACTCTGGGTACAGGAAAAACCCAGGCCTTGGTCCAGGTCCAGCTCGATCTCTATCTGCCAGTAGGTAATTGAGCGTGCTGACAACATTCCGAATATGGGTTCAAATTCTAACCACGAACCCAAATTAAACCTCGTTGAAGAGTTTAGGATTAGAAATAAGCCCACTCTCTCATCTACCAAAAACACACAGAAAGCTTAAGAGTACTCCTTCCCTATTTTTCAAAAGAGACCAGCAAAAAAGAAGATTACTAGAAATAAACCTGATTTTTTAAAGCTCCTCTTAAACGTGTATAATCAATTCTGGGTACAAGTTTCAAATGTACTCTATTTTGTGCAACATCAACCAAATCAACTTGTGCCAAATCATCTTTGTATATTCCTCTAGTAAGTCGAACATAGGAGCCTGGTTTTAATGTTGGTGTATCTTTAACTACACGTAAAGTATCAGCCATTTCTTTTATTGGAACCATCTTAAAATTTAAATGTTAAATTGACATTGTGGGATAGGAAAGAGCCTTCAACGAAAAAATTAACAGGATCGGAAGTAAAAAATGATATCGTCAGAAGGCGTAGCCAGGCAAGGGATAAGACATGGGTTGGGCATTTTAAGAGCAGTGGGAGCAAAAATCGGTCAGTCTTTCCCCTAATGTCCCGTTGCTTCCTGGGACTATAATATGGTTATCAGATCAAACCCTCTTGCAAATCTAACCATAAAACAACTATAAACAGGGTTGGCGGTTGGATATCCTTTGGATATCCGAAACCAACCCGAAATTTTCGGAAATCCGGGACCGAGCCGGAATGTTCGAAATCCTGGACCGAATTGAAAAATCCTCGGTACAGATCGGTCCAGAACCAACAACCCTAATTATAAACCCAGATAGAAAGGCCGGGATATCAAAACATACCAACCCTAACGGCAAATGAGATTAAAAAAAGAATACCGTTATCTGAAACTGATTCAAAGCCGAAATTCCTTCAATAGCTTTAGCCACATGTGCCTTTTTAAAAGCTTCAATATAAATCATTCCTTTCAATCCTTCTTTTACAACAACAGATTTAATTTGAAGCGGCTCTTCAGTGTTTTGAAAGGCAAGAAATTTGCGCATTAATTGAAGACAAGTATTTTTTTCTTCTCCAAGACGGCAACGAACAATCCACAAATTTGGGTCTTTTGTGCTAGGTAAAAGTCCATTTTGAGTAATATCATCATAAGCATCTTCATCAAGTTCGCCTTGATGTGTAGCTACTTGAGCGGCATGACGTTCTTGGAAATAACGTTCCATTTCTTCTTCTGTCATGTCTCTATAAATTTAAGGAGGAGATGTTAAGCGAAAGCGGAAATCAGTTTGCTAATTTGAAATGAGAACCCAAATTCCGTATAGGAACCAATGCTGGGTATTAGGCATTTTGTGGCTCCAGCCTTTTTCAAATACAGTTCCAGGGTTCAAATTATTGGCTCCAGCTCCGGAAGCTGGATACAGCTCCGAATGCTGGGTCCAGAGCTTGCTCACGTACACATACCCAGCACAGAAAAGCACCATCCAACCAGCACGAAAGGCACCATGCTAATTTTAAATGAAAATCCAAATTCCGTATGGGATCCAATGCTGTGTACTAGGCATTTTGTGGTCCTTGCCTTTTTCAAACTCAGTTCCAGGGTTCGAATACTTGGCTCCATCGCCGGAAGCCGGGTCCGGAGAGCTAGCTCCGTAGCCATACCCAACACTGAAAGACAACATCCAAATAATGCTAAAAATTTATAAAACGATTAAACTTACGCGTATTTATTCCGCCGCTTCTCCTTAAGTTTTTCTTGTTCTCTCAAGAAACGTTCAGCTTCAGCCCGTTCACTTGGATCAACACCAAAAAGTTCATCACCATCTCCACCATCATAGTCATCCTCGTCTTCATCATCGTCGTCCACCTCAACGTCGTCTTGAATAAAATCACGGGCTGTTGGGCGTTTCTAAAGAAATAGACTAACTTAAAAATAAAAGTTGAAATCTAAAAAACCCTTGGTCTCCGCTGTCTTTTCTTTCTTGGTCGACGAGTTCGAAAACTTAGATCCTCATCCTCTTCAACATTACCCTCATCCTGTTCTTCTTCATCTTCTTCGTCAGATGCAATTGCCTGAATTATATGAATTAAAAAATCTGATGATAGAAGGGGATAGTCAGGCAAGTCAACCTGACAAGAAATGGAACAAAGATCCGGTCAAGAGTAAAATTAAATATGTTCGCAGTACAGCAGAGATCGAAGCTGGTACTAGACTAAGGCCTGAGTTTTTCCTGTACCAAGAGTCCAGACCTAGGCATTTTTTTACCTTCCTTGGTTTTTCCTGGGCCAGGGTTTTTCCTGGACTACATGCCCAGGATTTGGCCCAGGTCAATAAATCAACCCCAGAGTCTAGGAACAGGTCCAGGCTTTCAAAAATCTATCTATACTGTACAGAGATCACCCTAAGTTCTCAGTTAACTGAAACAAATCTGAGGTTTTCGTTTGTTCGGCGCAGAACCGACAACACCCTATGAATCCGCTAGTAGCCCCCAAAATCAATCACAAACCTTTCTTTTAAGCGATCTTTCCTTTTCAAAATTGTTGTCATCTTCTTGATCATCAATAGTATCTTGAGTTGTATCTTCTTCACCCCCAGACAAATTATCGTCAGAATTAACAGGTTCCTCATTCAAATCTGCATCAGAATGAACACTTTCGTTTTCATCAGAAGACATTTTTAAAATTTTAAAATACTTGAATAAATAAGCTGAATGATTAAATTATGCACTTTAAAAATAAAAATGATAAAAACGAAAAATAAATTTGATAAGTAAAACAAATCAGAGATTTTACAAATTTTATTAGTGCTACCAAATAGCCGATTTTATTCTAGTTGGCAAAAAGTCGTTTGGACTAAGTGACTATCAACGAATTTAGGTATTATGTGCTCAAAATTAAAAAAAGTTACATTTTGCCAACTTACTTACTTTTTTTATTATTTAAACTCGAAAATCCAGACATTTTTTGTCGTTTATCTTTAATCATTTCCTTATCAATTTATCATTTCATTGTCGTTTTTAACAATTTACTTATTGATTATCCCAAAGTAGTTTTTGCGGACATTTTATACGACTCATTTTTGCACGGAATGATCAAAGGTTCTTCCTCGATTTTCTCAATTTTCCCTGTGGCATCATTCATTGACACACTCCCCATTCGCCATACATAAAAAATGATTTTGGCTGACCATAAATATGTCCGCAAAATAAGTCCGCAAAAACAACTTTGTGATAACCTTTTTAAGATTAACTGTACAAATATGGAGAATTCTAACTACGTAACCAACTTCAAAAAATATTGTCTCGATCAACTTAACTACATTTACGCGGCCTGGAACGCTTTAATTTCATATTCAAATAAATTAGAGGAGGAAATCAAAGCTTTGAAAGAAGAGAATAACACTTTAAAAGAAGAAAGGGATTTGGCGGACAAAAGACTTGAAGAAATGATTCAAGTGTTCAACACATTTATTAATCAAGACGTCAAGCAGCGCAACATTTTTGAAGAAATTGAAAGTCCAGAAAATGTAAGGAGGTTTTTTTAGACTTGTGGGAAGAGGGAGGGGACTAACATAAGGAATTTGAGTATTTCGCATTATAGCCCCATATGTCCGCAAAAGTTTGTCTGCAAATTATTATCGTGCCTTTCCCCTCTTTTTTCCTAAGGATTAGAAAATTTTCGAAGACTAAAAAAATTTTTGAAGAGAATTTTCGAAAGGTAGGCAAATAAAAATGTCAGAAACGTAATTTCCACATTTCCAGTTGCGGACAAAAATTTAACTAACAAACATTTGCGGACAAAGATTGCGGACAAAAAATTGCCGGACAAAGATTTGCGGACAAAAATTTGCCAGCAAACATTTGCGGACGTGATAACGCGATAGTACAGAAATTTTTTCTAATCTAAATTTTTCCAGATATCAGCAAACACCTCAACTTCAATTGCAACCGAGTTCCAAAACAACTACAACAATGTTGCTGGTCCTTCAGATCATTTCGAGCTGACTACATTACAATCACTCAATTTCAAGCAATTTCAAGTTTTATTTCCAGTTTCTCCGTTGCCTCCACGAATTGAAGAAAAAACTATTTGGGATGAGGATGACGACGAGGAGGAAAATGAAGAAAATTTGGAAGAGGAGGAAAATTTGGAGGAAGAAAACGAAGACGATTGTTGGTAATTTATAAAAAATGTGCAAAGAACTCCTGGTGATAATTTAGAAAATAATTTTTTTTAAAGAGATTTATTCCAAAAAATACCCTTTTATATTCAAAAAATACCCATTTTAATTATTCTAGTTTTAACCCTTTTTTCATATGCCTCAATTGTGATCTTTGTGCCTTTATATTTTTGTTTTTTGAATTAGTAAAAAATAATAAAGGTTAGAAATCATGGAGGGATCTCGCAAAATTTTTTTAAAGATTTTAGGGGAACAAAATTGTAAAAATATTTTTACAGGGTGAAAATTTGCATTTTTAAAAAATGTTGACAATATTCCAAATTAAAAAATAATACAAAAAAATTTTGTTGGCTTATTCAGTATGATAGAATAAACTTAACATGAGGATCTCAAATTTTTTATTTATTTGATCATTCACCGTTTCTTTTTTAATTTTATCACAATTCCATTCCTTGAGTTTCATCTGAAAAATGAAATTTTTATGAAATTTTAGCAAACTTGCGGACAAAATCCGCAAAATTTTTTTTCAGAAACAGAGGAGAACTTTAACAGATTCTGTTAATAAAGCCTACGCCCATCCCCCCTATAATCCTTAATTCCTACACTGGTTCTAGTGAAGCGCTGTTTCTGTTAGCATTACAATATTCCAAAAAAATTAAGACTATAGTTGGATCCCGGCCTTGAGAAGTTTCGGACTTGGGCTTTGTCAGGTCACAAATGTCATGGTCGGGGCTAGACGGAGGTCCAACCATACATAAAACGATCAACTCAAAATATGATTTAATATTGTCTGAATTAATTTATACTTTAAAAAATCTCAAAAAATGTTAGCAGAATCAACGCTTTAATTTCGTCTAAAACACCCCCTCCCCCTTCTCCTCCCCTAAAATTTCCCCAAACATAAAAATAAAAAAAACCTTCATAAAAATCAGAAATTGTAGAGTCCGACTCATCATTATCGTCGCATTCAGTGTCATCCATTCCACCACTGGCTGTTCGTCTATCTAATGCTTCCAAAACTTCTTCTGTTGCATATTTGCTTTAAAAACGATTTTAGAAATAATAAAAAAAAGAATTTTTACCGAACATATTCCCCACATTTTATTTTAAATTCTTCAGGTTTGTGTAAATATAATGATGCTGCTTCTCCATTTAATGGGTCAGTTGGATTTGGATAAGTGAGTAATTGAGGTAAAAAAGATTCAAAAATATTGGATAAATCTGTAAATTAAAAGAATATTTTTTTGAAAGAGACAATGCTTAATAAAATGGGTCAAAAATTAAATTCAGTTGAAAGACAAGGGCCAGCTTAAATTTCGTTTTATTTTTTCATTGTTTCGATCGAAGAAAAAGAGAAAAATTTTATCCGGCCTCGGTCTAGCGAGCTCAATGAAGGTTTATGAGGCCCAAGAAAAATTAAGCAAAAGATGGATTCATAAACTAAATCAGAGTCAAAATCCCCACAGTCAAAAATATTTTTAAATAATTAAAAGAAACCATATAAAGCTGTCCAACTCTGATTTATCACATCCAAACAAACAGTACCAGAAGCTTCATCAATATTTGGGTGATAAATTTTATTCATAAAACCGATCGAAGGAGACTTTAAAAAATTTTGGTTATAGTGTCGTTTAAGCCTTTTATTCCTCCCCTCTAGTTCCTTTAATTTACCCAAGTCAAAATTAAAAAGGAAGACCGGGAATAGGGTTGCCGTTTTTGAGCCGGGCCGCATTTTTTCAAGTCATTTTTTGGGTTTCAATTTTATCGGGCCGGCCCGTCCGCGTCTTTTTCGGGCCAAAATTTGATGCCCGATACATCTTTCGGATAGGACCGGGTCGGCAACCCTAACCGGGAACTTGGACTTCGAAGGCCGACGAACTTGTTCTTGAAGGTAAGGGAGAATTTGGACTTGAAGGAAAAAAGGATTCGAAGTACGTGGTGTACAGAACAATTATGCATGATGTAAAGGATATGAGTTGACGAAGGATTCAAGCCTTTCCATTCTCTTATAAGCAAAATCGGGCCCTTTCTAGAAAGAAAAAAGGGGGGTAAACAACACTATCAGCAAAAAAATCAAAAATTTAAAAAATTAAAAAGGAACCTTGAACGGATATTTTTCTGGTAAATCAACTCTAACACGCCAAACTCCTCCTTCATATGCTGCTAAAATTAAAAAAAAATATTTTTTAAATTAGTTCAAATCCAACTTCCTTTAGGTCCATAAAATTTAACCTTAAATTAAAAAAAATTATTTTTAATTAAAAAATAAATACCAAAAATTCATTTAAGCCACCCGTAATAATTACTTCATGATTTGCTTCAATTCTAAAAATTAAAAAAAAATTAAAAAAAATTTTTGGAAGGGAAAACTAACAATTTAATAACGTCAGTGTCCATTCTCCTTTTACCTAAAAATTTTTAAAAAATTAGAAAAAAATTTTCTGTCAATTCTAAGGCTTACCAGCACTTGGAGACGACATAATTAATTGAACAGAAGAAATAAAACAAAAATAAGGTTAACTTGAAATCAGAAAAAGCTCTTTAAAAGGGTTAAAAATTAAATAAAGTTAAGAGAAAAATACAAAAAAAAATACAAATAAAATTCTGATTTTAAAAGAAGAAATGACTAGTGTGTTTTCCGGAAAAAGAAAAACACAAACAGAAAAGAAATTCTGACTCTTTAGAGTGAACACAAATCAGAAAATAAATTAACAAAATATGTATTTAGTTAAACATAAATTCTGATTTTAAAAATAATTTTTAATTGTGCTTTCCGGAAAACACAAATAATAAATTCAGAAAAAACACATAAAATTCTGATTTGTTTTCTGGAAAATACAAATAATTCTGATTTTAAAAGAAACAATTTTTCTTGTGTTTTCCGGAAAATACAAAAAGAGCATAAATAGAAATTCTGATTTACCCGAAAACACAAATTCTGTTTTATTTTCCGGAAAAATACAAACAATAAATTACGAAAAATACAAAATTCTGATTTTAAAAATAAGTTCCTCCTTGTGTTTTCCGGAAAACACAAATAATAAATACAGAAAAATACAAATAAATTCTGATTTTAAAAATTAATTCTTTCTTGTGTTTTCCGGAAAATACAAAAAGAAAGTAGGTAAATAGAAGTTCTGATTTTTCCGGAAACACAAATTCTGGTTTATTTTCCGGAAAAGAAATAGTACACTTAATAAATGCACGATAGAAAAACGTGATTTTTACCGGAGCAGTTCAATTGAGTCCGCACGATTGAGTCCCCACGATTGAGTCCGCACGATTGAGTCCCCGTTGTATATACCTCAATTGAGTCCCCGTTAAAAATTCCCGGTAGGAATTTTTATTTTCCTAGATTTTTTATTGTTTTTTTTTATTTTTTTGTTTTTCTTTTGGGGTTTGCAACTAATTTTGTTAATTAGTTGACCGAGCATCCACTCAAGTCCATCCGAGCACTGAATTTTCTCAATGAGGACGAGAGGGAGGACGAGAATCTTGTGTAGGTAAAAGTTTAATTTTTATTTTTTAATTTTAGATTTTATATTTCAGGTTGGTCTAACTTTGCTCATCACGTGTCGGACTTCATCCCACGGCTGCAACGATGGGAAATTTGAAAAGGTTTGGAATTTTTATTTTGTTTTTCGTTTTTATTTTTAAAATTTTTTAGTTGATTTTCGTCAGTTTCTGACTGGCGATTTTCAAGTTCACAGTTTCTGAAGGAACGAAGGTGGTGAACTTAGGAGAACAAAAAACGAAAGAAAGGCCCTTCTTTGGCACAATAATTGAAGCTAGACTTTGGTTTTTTTTAATTTTTTTGATAAAATTTTTAAAAAATATTTTTTTATTTTTTTTTTCACATTTTGATTTTCTCCCGTATCCAGGTAAATTCTGCCGGAGTCCGGAAATTAGGAAGGAGTTTTTACGTTCGTAATTTAGATAGTTTCCCCTACCCTCCATAGCAGCACAAAAAGTTTTTCCAGCGAAGATTCTGTTGGTCAAAATTTGTTCAGAATCATTCAATCAACTTGATTTTGGTCTTATTCAACTCATCTCGTCGATCCCTTTCGAATGAGCTATTTTTTGTTTATTCGAATGTTTCGCAACAAAAATTCCCCATGGAATTCCACCAAAAAATCCACCATTTCAAGCCCCATATCTCGGCGAGAACTTGTTCAACAATGTTGATTTTGGTGTCATTCGACTCACTACTTTCGAATGAGCTATCATTCAAAAAATCTCTCGATATCCCTCCTAATCCCCAAACCCACAATATCCATCTTAATCTCTCCGAATTTGTTGATATCTGCCTTAATTCAACCGATATCCCCGCTTAAATCTACTTATATCCCTTGATATTCACCAATATCCATCTTGATACCTCGATGTCGCATACAAGTCCCCTGATATTAACATTAATCCCTCCAAATCCCCAAATATCCCTCTTAATCTTTTTTAATATAATTAAATCTAGGGGACTCAATTGAGGTATATACAACGGGGACTCAATCGTGCGGACTCAATCGTGGGGACTCAATCGTGCCGGGACTCAATCGTGGGGACTCAATCGTGCGGACTCAATCGTGGGGACTCAATCGTGCCGGGACTCAATCGTGGGGACTCAATCGTGCGGACTCAATCGTGGGGACTCAATCGTGCGGACTCAATTGAGGTGTACCGGATTTTTACGTGTCCGGACAAAATATCGAATCGTTAAAATATGGAATAGGCTAAAAAAGGGTTAAAATCTCGAATCGGGTAAAAATGGGTTAAAATCGCGAATAGGCGAAAAAGGGGTTAAAATACCGAATCGTTAAAATATGGAATGGTTAAAATATCGAAACGGGTAAAAAAGGGTTAAAATATCGAATCGTCAAAATATCGAATTGATAAAATGTCGACACGGCCAAAATAGGTCAAAATGTCGAATTATTTTAAAAATTGTGCTAAAAACTAGAACCCGGACGGTACCGTAATACCGACGGTATTTTTCGGTATTTATTAGTATTCCGTATCGGTAGTACGGGCGGAATACTGACCGATAAAATTTAAAAGGTGAACCGTATTTTTCGGTATTCCGTACCGTGGTACGGTACAGGTACAAAATTCCGGTCTTTACTAAATACTAGGCACGCACTCTAATTTTTCCGGATCAAGAAATCGCGTTGCTTCCGGATCCGCACGATTATGCCGGACCGGATCCGGTCGGTTTTCTTGATTTATCCGGTCCGGTTTTGCTCGGTAAAATACACTGAACTCAGGCAGAAAAGATTACGCCGGACTACGACTTACCAAACTTATCAACCAACTTATCAGCAGTAAGTTGATACGGTGATAAAATTATCAACAATCAACGTATGGCACTCATCTGACCCTTTATTAAAGGAATTCGACATTTTGACCCATTTTGGCCGTGTCGACATTTTATCAATTCGATATTTTGACGATTCGATATTTTAACCATTTTTTACCCGATTCGATATTTTAACCATTCCATATTTTAACGATTCGGTATTTTAACCCCTTTTTAGCCTATTCGCGATTTTAACCATTCCATATTTTAACGATTCGGTATTTTGTACCGGAGCCGATTTTTAATCCGGAAATATTGATTTTCTGAAAAGTTAAATTTCTCTAACCAAAACTCTTTTTCTCTACCGGTCTCTCTTCTTTTTATACACTATTTTCAATTTTATTTTAAATAAAATTTCTTTTTTTCTCTAATCGTCTCTTATTAATCCACACTATTTTTAGATGTTTTAATCTTTAATAATTTTTCGGAACAATAGAGTCTCACAATTTTTTAATAATTCTGGCCAAGTTTCTGATTTAATTATTTTTGTTTTTCGAATGCAATATTGCAATAATAATGGATCTGATGATGAAGACGATCAAAAATGTCTGGCAACTACAACTCCATTTGATGGACAAGTATTGATATTGAGTGAATCTGGTAAACCTATTTTCTACAGGTTTGCTTTTTTTAAAAAATTTTTATTTGCTTTTTTTAATACGTTTATGACTGTAAACGTGTTGAAGAATTTGTTAATTTTGAAGCTTAACTGACTGTTCTTTTTTTTCCAATCTCCCATTTTTCCTTCCTCCAAAGCCCCTCAATTCATTTTTTGAACGACCATATCTTGGCCAGATCAAAAAACGGGTTAAAACGGCTCAAAATCTTTGTTAGAAAGGGCACATTCTATATCGAATGAGCCCGGTCTCGACCGTTTTTAGGTCGGACACCTCGCAGCCTTTCCTTGTTAGGGTGAAAGTTTGTGTAACAAGCAGTCTGACCATTTTGCGACCGTTGAGGAAATTGGGAGCTGAAGTGGCTTTTGACCATTATGCAACCTTTATGGCGGGAGCAAAAATGGGTGTCAGAAAATGGCTTCAATATTAAAAAGCTTCAAAATTACCAAGCTTTTAAATTTTTAAATATCCATTTATTTTTCAGTAAAGGAGACGAAGATGAAATTTGTTCCTTTTTTGGAGTTATTTCAATTATTGTACAACGATACCATTCATTGGGGAATGAAGACGGGGTAAATTTTTTTAATTTTATTTTTTAAAAGTTTTTTTTCTTTAAGAGAGATTCACTTTTAAGTATTCAAAGAAGAGATTTATTTTTTCAATTTCTTTATAGAAGTCCTTTGATTCTTTGTTTGGTTTCTAGACAACCTTGTAATTTACATATTCAATTGGATACAATTTATAATCAGGTTTTTTTAAGTTTAGGTAGAAGGGTTTTGGTAATGAAATAGGGCCTTTTTTGCGTGAAACGGGACCTAACTTAGAGAAACAATTGACTGTGCCCCCTTCCAACCCGGTGATGATTCTTTTGTAGGTAAAAAGCTTGCCACTTTATGAAGCAATTTTTACTGACGGGGAACCCCCACCTATTCCATTTTTAGTCTCCCATTTTTTAGAGAGTTAAGGAAAGGGATTTAACAACCGACTGTCATCTTTTTACCCAACGATGAGTCATTTTTATTTTTTGATGGAGAGTGGCGTGCCACGATAAAACACCCTTTTACTGAGGGGACAGCCCTGCTGCCTCTTTTCTTTAGCCTCCTATTGGCTCCCATTTTTGAGTACCATTTAAGTTCATTTGGTTGAAAAATTCGCAGGATGCGTGTTGGAGTAGATCTATCGTGTGAATGAGACCTAATATTACAATAGATTGTTTCCAGGCTTTTAGCCAGGTTGGGAAGGGAGAGGGTTTTTTTTCTATATTTTTTGGTTTGCCGAAAGGTCCCCTCTTTTCTTTGCAAATTTTATTTTAATTTTTAAAGATAATCTCAATGTTCTCAAGAAAAATGTTAAGAGAATACTATCAAAAACGTGGTTCTAATTTTGATATTCGAAGCCTTTTTGGTATTTTTTTTATATTGTTTTATTAAAATATTTTTTTATTTTTTATATGGAATTGACAAACGAGTAGAAGCATGTAAGAAAGGATTTAATGAAGATCCAGCAATTCTCTATGGTTTATTTTTAAATTTCATTTAAAAATACACAAAGAAATTTTTTAAAAATTAAGTTTTTTCATTTGATAGGGCTCGAACCCCACACCCTTCTGGCTTTACTAACTGACTTACACGAGAGCTACATATGACTAACAGACATGAACCTGGGACTTTAGAGGGCCATATCTTGGCCAGATCAAAAAAGGGCAAAAACGGCACAAAATCCTTGCTAGAAAGGGCAATCGAATGAGCTCGGTCTTGACCGTTTTTAGGTCAGACACCTCGCAACCTTTCCTTGTGAACCTACCCATTTTTGATAAAATTCTCGTTAACGTTAGGGTTTGTTAAGTTGGGTAACATGTATTGTTGTGGTCGAAGATTTTCGGTTTAGATATCGATTCCGGATCACAATATCCAAAGATCTCCAAGTAATCACCAATCCTATTGTTGAGGGTTCCCAGCAGGGTAAAATTTTTTAAATTAATCTTTTTTAAAGGTTTCCGAATTCTTCCACTTTTACCAACTGACAGAGATTTTCTCGTACAAACAATGGGAAATATAATAAATGAATTATGTCCAAATGTATATTCTTTAAATTTAAAAACAAAAGAATTTTTTGAATTTTTTAACAGCAAAGGTTGTAGCTTTTGGACTTTTAATTGCTCATCGTCAACTGGTAGCACTTGTAAGATTTAAAAGGCTAAATTTGGATGCTCCAGATTTTAACACTATTGTGGTTTGGAATTTTTTAAATTAAATTATAGGGCATTAAAACCTTTGAAAATTTGAATAAGATTTATTTTCGAAAATGGGACAAAATGTCAAAATATAATTTGAGAAATTTTTTGAAATTTAGAATAAAAATTTGAAATCTAAAATATTTTTTTTAATTTCTAATCCTTTTAGAATTTAATCGAATGTCACAAAGCAAATATGATACACAGTGATCATCAATTCCCTTTTTGTCTTCCAAAATTTGATCCAAAGTATAATTTAATTTTCTTTAACTTTAAAAAGTCAAAAAAAAATTTGACGGTGGTGGTATGTGTGCAAAGTTTGGTTCAAGTTTGGGTTCCAAGCCATTTCATGTTTGGGCCTTACGCCCACTGGGTCTGGGACCATTCCTTATCCTGTCCCTTGAAATTTTCTGAAAGTTATAGCCAGTTTTTAAAAATTTCAACAAACGAGTTTAACTCAAAATTTCGAGGAATAGGGTAAGGAAAGGTTCCAGACCCAGTGGGCGCAGGTACCAATAAACCATACCCCAACTTTGCAATACCGATAAAAATCTAATTTTTTTGTTGATTGTACTCATAAAAGTTCATTGGACGCATAAACTAGACCAGCGCCCAAAATTATTTTTTTCTCTTTTTCTAGTCAATTCCTCTATGCCTACATTTCATACCTCTGGGAAGGCACAGGTCCATGTCTAGTTTTGCTTTCAATTACAAATTCTGATTATGAAAAATTAACTCAAATACGGCCAAAACTTGAAGAGAACATTTCTTCTTATAAATATAATACAAGACTTGTATCTGCACTTTCTAATCCTGAGGGGTTTTGTTTACAAGAGGTTTTTGTTTTTAATTTTAAAGAATTTTTTAAAATATTTTTTTTAAAGAATATCAAGTGGGCAGAACAATTGTGGCATTTTATTTATAAAAATACTTCAAATACTCAGGTTTGTTTAAGTTGGTAAATTAGTTAAGGTTTAGAACCCTTTGGATACCCATACAATTTATAAAAGTCTCATGTAATTGTCCCTGATCTCGTGGGGAAGGGTCCTCTTATTTAAGAATTAACTCTTGGCCTGCAAAGTGATAAGTAGGGTTGTTCCCCGTTCAAAAAGTCGGGGAATTTGAGAGATTTTCTGAAATCCCCCCTCTCCGTGACAAAAGAAAAAATTTTTTCTGTCCCCCACCCCGTGTCGATGCCTCCCCGAAAATTGTTCCCCGTGCCCCCCCCCCCCCCCAGCCGTCGTCGGGGAACAACCCCGTGGCGATGCCTCCCTAACTCTAGAAAATTAAAGTATAACTAGGAAATTTGTGGCTCATCTTTCTCTCAAAAGAGGTCCCCTCTCTCCCTCTCTCCTTAAAAAATTAACCTTTAGCCAGGATGTGACAAGATCCGAACTCCCAGAAAACCAAAATTTCTAAGAAAGCTTTGTCCGCAAAAATTTTTTTGTCCGCAAATTTATATTTTTTCTCTTTTAAGGACCCAACACAAGTTTGTTGTTCAACACCCAAAAAACCATTTATTTCATATAAAGAATTAATATTATTATATAATGGTTATACTAAATTGGCTGATTTATTGAGAAAAAGTGGTGGGGGAATAAAAATGTTATTTCAAATGTTGGAACGTTATGTACTTTTTGCTTGGATTACTACTAGTTTTGAACTTTATTGTGGGTTTTTAGTTGATATTTTTGGGATTGGTTATGATTCTTTGGGAAAATTTCGCGAAATTTCGGAAAAAGTTTTCTTGCGAAATTTCGAGTTTTTACGAAATTTCGGGAAAGATTTTTTACGAAATTTCGGTTTTTTACGAAATTTCGAGTTTTTGCGAAATTTCGGAATTTTTTTAACGAAATTTTGAAAAATTTTTTCTACACCTAAAGAATTTTTTTAGGTACATTTTCTCCATTTACCAGCCAAAAGAAAGCAATGGAAATAGCAGAAAGATTACTTCATGTTTTACGAAAAGAAGAAAAACGAGTACTTTTTAGTTGTAGTCCTGCTATTTTAGTGGGATAATTTTGTATATAATTTTTAATATTTTTTTTGATTAAGGGCAATTAAATAGATTTGGGGAGAGAGATTAGGTTAGCTTTTTTGAAAGGTGGATGGAAAAAAATTTTTTTGTAAAAAAATTTTTGGGATCAAATGTCACCCTTTCTTGCATTTTTTATTTTATTTTTGAATAAATTAGGTTTTAATCTAATAAATTTTTTTATAAAGTTATTGTCTGATAAATACTTTAAAATATTTTTTACACACATGTTAGACTTCAAATTTTTCTTGATTCCCTTGGGTCAAGTCTTGCGGACAAAGATTTTTCCAGAAAAATTTTTTCCAAAGATTCTCCCTTTTAGTTTTTTACGTTTCTCATATGGATAGGATTTTTTTGGACCTGTTTGGGCATTTTATAGACTTTTTGCGGACTTATGGAATTTTTGCGGACTTTTTAGAATTTTTGCGGATTCTGGAATTTTTGCGGATTTTCTAGACTTTTTGCGGATTTTGGCATTTTTTGCGGACTTTCCTAAAAAAATCAATTTTTCTAAATTTTAGGAATTTCTAAATGACAATTTACAATTTTTACTTTTTTAATCGCAAAGGAACATGTTTAGCCTACAAAGAATGGTGTAGAGAAAAGAAATCTGGATTATCTCAAGAAGAAGAATTTAAATTAGTTCACGGGATGTTGCTTTCGTTGCGTTCTTTCACACACAAATTGGCAACCAAAACGGGTCATTTACCTTTGGTACACAGCTACAAAACTTCTTCCTACAAAATGAATTATATGGAGACTGCTACTGGGCTTAAAATGGTTTTAAATGCTGATCCGGATGCAGTGGTATTTTTTAATTTTTTTGAGGGGTTTAGGGGAAGTATTTTTTTGTGTAAGAGGGGATGTTGAGGATTTTTGTAGGTGAGCCGATGGGGAGAGGATTTTTCTTCTTGGTAGGGAGGAGAATTTTGAATGGAAGAGAGAAGGATTTTTGGGAGCGGTGAATTTCTTTGGATTGTAGAGTGAGAGTATTTTTTGGGGTGAGGGATGAGAGGGAGATTTTTAGAATAGGGAAAACCTTTATTGGTAGAGGGGAAATTGGGATTCGGAAGTTAATTGGTGATATCTAAAAAAGTGACCCAATACCAAGAAATAAACTTCCTATCCCATAAGTTTGCGATGAGGATTTTGTCCGCAAATCTTCTGCCATGCTTTCTGATCCTGAAAATCGTGGTGACAGAAAAGGAAAGCTCTTTAAAAGGAAATTTGTGAAGAATTTTGGAAATAGAAATTTTAGGAAATCTTGGGAGGGGAAGATACTAATTTGGAAGACGTCTAAACGAGAAGGATGACGTCTACTTAAAAAAACCAATTTTTAATTTTCAAGGCTATAGCAGAATTAATGCAAGCAATATTTGCAATGTTTGTTGAAACAGTATTAAAAAATCCATTTTTGGACACTTCAAAACAAATAGATTCTGAACTATTTCATAAAAGACTTGATGAGCTTGTAAGGTCTCATTATTGTTTTACTTAAATTATTTTTTGATTAAAATTAAAAAATTTTTTATTAAAAAATTATTTTGAGGTTATTTCCTCCCAGATAAAAAATTTGCTCCTTGTCGGGTTCGAACCCCCAACCCAAAAAATGAAATTTAACCCACTACACCAAAAAAACTTTTTTAAAAATTAATTAAAAATTGTTTTTTTATTAAATTAATTATGAAAATTTTTATTAAATTAAAAATATTAAATTATTCCTCCTCTTTTTGATAAGCTAATTTAAAAGAGCGTCTAGAAATTCCAAAAAACTGGCTTGGAGTAAGATCTTCTGATGAGGTAGTAAAACGCCAACCAATATGAGTACCACATTCACTGCATTCCATTATTGTCCATTCATACCTTTAAAAATTTTTTTATAATTTAAAAATATTTTTAAAAACATTCTTGAAGTTATTTCCCCCAAAAATAAAAAAAATTACCCGGTGATGGGTTCGAACCTCCAACTACTTTTTTCCATTAAATCAAGTTTAACCCACTACACCAAAGACGTAATTTTTTATTTTCAATAAAAGATATTTTCCAAAACATTTCCCGGGCTATTTCTTCACAAAATAAAAAGGTTACCCGATAAGGGGTTCGAACCCACGCCCACCTTACTTCAAAAATTAAATTTAACCCACTACACCAGAAAAAAACAATTTTCTCTAAAAAATTTTTTTAAAAATACCCTGAAAACCAGCAAAATTCTGGTGATGGTTCTCCTTGAAAATCAACATTTTTAATCGTTCCAACAGTAAAAAGGTCATGCACAAAACCTCCTTGATTAACAAAATGTGCAGAATTTGCATCAACAGAAAGATTTATTATATCGTTTATACTGCATTTAAAGTCGTGACAGGCTAAACAGACAATGCGAGTCATCTGAATTTTTTAAATTTTAGATAGATTCGATTCAGATAGGAAAAACAAAGGCACTTTCCGTTATATGCCCATAAATATTCCTCTCAAAAAATTACAAATGGTCAGGGCTAGAGATAGATCGAGTAAAGAGCCCGGGTTCCGTGTTTTCAAAAAGTACTCGGGCGAGGTTTCGGGTTGACAAAAAGTCCGGGTTTTAGGTAGGGCGTATAATTTATTTTTTTAATTTTTTATTCCGGGGCATATTGGATATGTTTGGATTTTTAAACCATTAAAAATAAGAAGGATATGAACGAATAAGCATCATCAATGGGCATAAGTTCCAAGAACGAAGAAGTACTGCAAACCCCGAATAAAAAAATAAAAACCCAAATTGTTCGCCCTAAGGAATGAAAAGTCATAGGACACGAAACATAAGTCTTATGTCATTTTTATAAACCTGTGAAATAATTCTCCATTCCATCCTTAACCTCCTGTCAGTTGAGTTTTCTTCCAAAAGTAACAATTTTGAATCTAAACTCATTGGGATATTTGAGGCAACCCAAAAACTGAAAATTGTCATTCCCTTAAAATTAAAAAAAATTTTCCTTTAAATTCAAAGCAAAAAACCTGATTAATAATCAAATCAATTTGGCTTCTTTTAAACCTAAAAATGAAAAAAATGAAAGAATTTTAAAGAAAAATGGCTCTAGACTAGTTTATGAGTCCAATGGAAAGAGAAATGACTCTGGTCTAGTTTATGGGTTCAATGGAGGTTTGAGAGCTTACAATTAGCCAGAGGGCGCTTTTGGGACTATAGCCCCCCCCCTGAAATGGGAAAAATAAAAAAATTTTAGGAGGGAAATGATCAGAAAAGTGATTTTTTATGCCTACAGCCTACAAAATTTTCATCTGTGGTGCTAAAAAGTAAAATCGCCCCCTTGAAATCGACCTCCTGGCTACGCCCTTGGGAAGGTTTGAGAGCCCAGAAAATTTTTTTGAAACGAAGAGAAGTCTGTTCGGACTCAAAAACCTTCGTAGACCCGGATTAGAGCCGAAAAAAATTATTTTTTTACCAAACAGAAAGCCAATTGACCAGTCTTTTTACAAAGTTTTCCTTAAAAATTGAAATTTAATTTGTATTAAATTAATAAAAAAATTAACCGTGGAAGAATAATTGTAAATAAATGTAGTGTGAGGAGTTAATGATGCAAGGAATTTGTTTCTCTATTAAAATTTTGGGAAAAATTAAATTAAAAAATAAAAATTCAAGAACTTTCTAGAAAATTTTTATTCTAAAATTCCCCCCTAAAAATAATTTTTTATCGAAAAAATTGAAATTTCGACATTATGACATATTTTTTTTTGGAATTCTTAGTCTCTAACTAAAAATAAATCAAAAAACTCAGGCGGGGTTTCGGTTCAATATTCCCTCTATATTTTGCCTACAAACAAGCCTCAAGAAACTAGAAATTTTTCATTTTTAGAAAACTTAAAAAATTTGACCCAAATGAGCTTTTTAAAAATTTCAAAAAAATTTTTTTAAAGAAACCTCATTTTCCTTTAGCCTGTTAATTGAACTTTCAGGGAATTTAATTATTTGTTTAGACAAAACTTCTTCATCCAAAACCCTCACATCTACAGGATTACATATAGTAATAGCAATATCTTCCATATAAATATCGTGTAGCATTAAATGGGAATTTAAAGAACAGCGTTGACGTCCAATTATTTGGATTGTCATGTGGTGGTCGTCGTCGTTGGCAAATGCATTTTGGATATAAAAAATGAAGAAAAATATTAGAAAATACAAAAACACAGAGAAGCACACGTAAAATACAAAAATACGAAAAAAACACAAAAAATACGAAAAATACATGCGAAAACACAAACACGAAAAACTCACAGAAACACAAGAACAAAAAACCCAAAAAAACACAGTAATACAAAAACGAAAAATACACAGAAACACTAAAAATACAAAAATACAGAAACACAAAAACACGAAAAATACATCGAAAACACAAATACATGAGAAAATACTTTGCACCAAAATACGGAAAAACACACAAAAATACATTTAAAAACACAAAAACCAAGGAAACACAAAATATGTAGGGCTTAAAAATAAATTTAAAAAAAACTTGAAAAAGAGTCCCAGCAGAATGGCAAGGAATTTTCGAAAAATCTTGAGCATTTTGAAACAACACATTTTCGTTTCTAGTAAATAAAGCAAAATAGGAACGTTGTCGAATTGGATCACTCATAAATTCAATACTCGTTCTGGCATATAATTTGAGCGGCAATTTTTGGCCTGGTAACAGACAAACTTCGCCCATAAGGAGAACTGAAAAAATTTTAAAATCTGACCCAAATGAACTTTTACCCTTTTTAAAAAAATTTTTTGAAAACCAGGCACGTAGCCAGGGGTAGGCCCCCCGAAAAAAATCATGACTACGGCCTGTTGAAAACCTCATTTTGGAATAATTTTTAGCCCAGAAATTCCTTAAAATTTCCCAAAAAAAATTTTTTTAGTTCGACAAAATGAGAAAAAATGGGGGGAGTGACGAAGTGGGTATTTTTCCATTTACCCGTATTTCTCAAAAAAAACTTTAAAAATAACCTGGCACTTTTAATTGAGTATTAGGCTCCTCATAAAGCGATTCAAACAACAATTCTCCTTGGTGTACATCCCCCAAATATGAATGTAAAACTGGCAGTCGTCGATCAAAATTTATTGAAACTATGGGTAATTCTGAAGGAGAAGAGGGAGAAGAGTGGTTGTTGTTGTTCTCTTCAGTCATTTAAGAAAATTTAGAGGACTAATAAAGAAAAAAATAAACAAAGAAGGGGATAAACAAAAGCTGCTTCAATAGGAAGGGTCCCCTTCCCTTGCTTGCGAATTAATGGGGTGTGTTAAAGGGGAAGGGTACACACCCCATTTATTCGCAAGCTCAAAGGTAAAGGTTACCCCTATAGAGTTCGACAGGACGTTTGTGGGATATTCTGCGAATCGCGCGGGGTTATGTGGAACGCGTCTCGCACGAGTCAATGGTTGCTTTGTCTAGTACGCAGTAACATGGGTCTATTGTTAGCTCGCGAATAAACGGGGTATTTGGACAATTCGCCCAAAAATGGGGGTGTATTCGCGAATAAATGGGGTGTTCGGACAATTCGCCGAAAAAATGGGGGTTTATTTCGCGAATAAACGGGGTGTTTGGATAATTCGCCCAAAAATGGGGGTGTATTCGCGAATAAATGGGGTGTTCTGGGAAAGGTGATTTTGAGACTCTAACGTCCCCCTTTTTTTAAAAATAAATTTTCAGACTCAACTGACCCCTAGACTTTTTCGCACTAAAGTGTGTTTTGAATATTCAAGTATACAAGCCTAATTTTAAGCGCGTCTTCCTCTTTTTTAGTAATTTTTTAAAATGCTTATCTATGTTTTTTGAATGGGTTTGGCTGTCAATTTCACTGAAATTTAAATTGTTTTTTTTTAATTTAGCTTAGATCCAGTCTTAATTAATCTCTTAATTTCCTCCATTTTGCCTCTAAGTTTGTTGCAATTTTTCGTGTAATGCGCATCTCCCCCCTTCCTTTTGTTTACATCGTTTACCTTTTCTTTAAATCGATATTTAAGTGTATCTATTGCTTGGCAATTTGGAAATTAACCCAAAGGTTTGGATTAGTCTTTCGCCTCTTTTAACAAGGAAGACGATCGATTAGCACGTCTTTCCTGAGAGACGTGAGTTCTGACGCTCCGAAGAAAATTTCCTTTGGCATTGTTCTGCTCAGGAAATTTTGCCATCATTTTGGGGTTCACCGAAGAATAGAGATCGGCCTGGGTCTGAACCAAAGCTTGGGATTTTGCTGTACCCAGAGTCTAGGCCCAGGCATTTTTTGACTTTCCTGGGGTTTTTACAGGGCTAGGGTTTTTACTGGACTACAGACCCTGGAGTTGGCCCAAGGTCAATAAATCAAAGCTAGAGTCCAGTAAAAGGCAAAGGCTTTTCAAAAAATACCGATCTCTACCGAAGACGCGCTCCCGCCATTTCTTTTGTTTTTTACATATTTTTAACTCAAAAATTTTCAGTTCTCTAATAAAATTATTTATTAAAAATGACCACAGCACAAAAGAAATCTAAACCAATTTTGAAAGAAGTCCCAGATTTGGTTTGTGATGCAACAACAAAGCAAACTTATACAAAAGGAAAATTTCTTGGAAAAGGAGGATTTGCGCGTTGTTACGAGCTGACCAATAACAAAACAAAAATTGTTTATGCTGGAAAGGTGGTGTCCAAAACTCTTTTGATAAAGAAACATCAGCGTGACAAGGTTTGTAATTTTTTTTTTGGGGGGGGGGGGGGGGATTTATTTATTCTACGGTCCTCTACGTAGCGGTGACCTTCTCTCACTAGCAAGGGCGTAAACAGAGGGGCTTCTGGGGCTATCCCTGAAAAGCGGGGACAAAAGTAGGCCTTTTCCGTGAATAATCCTCCCTCTTGAAATGGGGAATGTGAAAAAATTTTAGGAGGGAAATGATCAGAAATGGGATTTTTACGCCTACACCTCCACAAAATTCTCAAAATTTTGGCCTCGTCGCGAAAAATAAAAATATATGTCCTTGATCACGTGGTTTCGTTATAACCTTTTTGGGATTATTCTCGAAAAAAGACCTACTTCTGTCCCAGCTGTTCGATGAGTTGTTGACACTTTCTAGTAGTGTGTTTCAATACCAATTACTTCGGGTGATTGGTCTGGTTTCGAAAATGGCCTTTTTTTGTCCTATGTGTTCGGTGAATTGTCGACAACTGTTCGGGTTGAGGTCCCGCATTTTGTGAACTTTTCCTTGTCTCCGCAGCCCTCTAGTACGCTTCTGACTTTCATAATGAAAGAGAGAAAGTTCCAAAAGCAGGAATCTTACTGTACGAGTACCCTATTTCTCTCTTTTTTGGGAACTATTATAAGCAAGATAGAACAATATTTTCCTTGTTTAGATGAAACAAGAAGTCCAAATCCAAAAAATGCTTTCACATCCAAACGTTGTCAAAATGGAAGGATTTTTTGAAGATGAAGATAATGTTTACATTCTTCTCGAGCTTTGTTCACGTCGTTCCCTTATGGAGCTTCACAAAAGGAGAAGGGCTGTGACTGAACCTGAAGCTCGTTATTTTACGCACCAGGTTTTCTTAAAGTTTTTATTTGAGTTATTCCTTGATAAAAAAATTTTTTTGACCTGCCAGGGTTTTAAATTTTCTTGGAAAAATTTTATTTTATCATTTTACATCAAATAAAATTATTTTCCACCAAAAGGGTTCGAACCTCTTACCCTTTTTTAGTCTGAACCTGAAATTATCCGACTACACCAAAAAGTCATTTTTTGAAAAAATTTTCGTTTTTGAATGGGCCTGGATTATCAATGATTTATTGAGTAAAAAATTTTTTTATAAAATTTTTATTTTTTAGATTGTCCTCGCTTGCCATTATTTACATTCAATGAGAGTAATTCACCGAGATCTCAAACTTGGGAATTTATTTTTGAATGAAGACATGCAAGTCAAGATTGGGGATTTTGGCTTAGCTACAACTCTGAATCATGAAGGAGAGCGTAAAAAGACTTTGTGTGGAACACCAAATTATATTGCACCAGAAATGCTTGACAAAAAGGGACATTCTTTTGAAGTTGATGTTTGGGCTATTGGGTGTATTTTGTACACGCTGTTAGTTGGAAAACCGCCGTTTGAGACAGAGACGCTTAAGGTTGGTGTTCTTTTTTATTTATAGAATTAAAAATAGGAATCTGATTTTCTTCATCCTCTCCGCTCACCTTTTTTTGGTTAAACAGTCAGCTAAAAATCAAAAGTCACGATTACGCTCTCTTATCCCTCCATAACTTTTCGTGAAATATTCCGATCAGATCACTCCTGTTAAGAAAAATAGTCCCCATATTCAGAGCTTTCGTTTGATATAAAAATCTTTCAAATCGGTTGAGAATTAAAAAAGTTATGATGCAAAAACAACCCTGGGGTGGTGGTTGTCCGCAAATATTTGCGGACGTCCGCAAATACAATAATTTCGAAATTTTGTAGGACACCTATAGCCGTATCAAGAATAATCAATACACCGTTCCACCAAGAATTGGAAAGGATGCTACAGCATTAATTTCAAGATTGTTAGCTCATGAGCCTTGTAGACGACCAAAAATTGACGAAATTCTTAATTTTCCATTCTTTACTGATGGATTTTTGCCAAAAATTCTCCCAAGTTCATGTCTTACAATGGCACCAAAGTTTAATATGCAAGCAGTTAGTGGTGGTCAAACATGTGCGCCTAATGTAATTTTTTGAAATTTCTGAAAGGAAATTTTTTTAATTTTTTGAAGTCTTCTGATGTTCAACCAAGTCCTCGGTCGAAGGGCCCAGCCTTTACTGGCCGTGCTCCTCTTGCACCAGTTCCTGAAGCTAAGGAAACACCACCTATGGTCACACATAAACAGGACAAAGCTGCAGTTCTTATTACGGAAATGCCTGCTGGTATTTATTTTAAAAATTTATATTTGCGGACATGTCCGCAAATATATTTGCGGACAAAAAAAATTTTTTGAAATTTTATTTTTAAATCTAGGAGAAAACAATGGCGTTCCACAAGATTATTATCTTTCTGATCTGTATGCCCAGTTATGTTCACTTTTGAATACCAACACTGAAAGATTCAATGAAGCTGATAGAGGTTTATTTTAGAAATTATTGGGAAAAATTTAAAAAATTTAAGGAGAAATTGAGCATCCAGCTTCTACCCCAATTTATTGGGTCTCTCGTTGGGTTGACTATTCAGATAAATATGGCTTAGGTTATCAATTTTGTGACAATAGCGTTGGCGTTTTGTTCAATGATAATACTAAAGTTATATTGGATGCTCCAGGAATGTGAGGAAATTTTTTTAAAAAATTTTTGGGACCAAATGTCATATAGTCATTAAATTGTCGTTTATTCAGCCTAAAAAATTCTCCAGGGATTTTTTAAAATTTTATTCTAATCGTTTTTGAGACCAAATGTCGCATTTGGGGTAAATGTCCTCTTCTGGACCAAACGTCATATTTTGGTGATAAGATGTCATATTCGGACTAAATTATCGTTTTTGGGACCAAATGTCTTATTTTGGGATGAACTTTTGTATTTGGGACCAAATGTTTATTCTGGGACCAACTTTTGTATTTGGGACCAAATGTCATATTCTGGGACCAACTGTCATGTTTTGGGGATCAAATGTCATCTTTGGCCATTTTTTATTTTTCAAATTTCAGACAACTCCAATACACAGAACGTAACAATATGGAACACTTTTATGCTGCAGACAAATACCCACAAGCATTGGAAAAGAAAATTACTTTGCTAAAATATTTTCGTTCTTATATGAATGAACATTTGATAAAAACTGGTGCAAATATTCCAATACGTGAAGGTGATGAATTGGCTCGTCTTCCTTGTTTAAATACTTGGTTTCGAACTAAATCTGCAATTGTTTTGCATTTAAGTAATGGAACTTTGCAAATTAACTTTTTCTATGTAAGTTTTGAAAATTTTTTGGGGATTTTTTTTGGATTTACGGACGATATTTGAATTTGCGGACTTTTATCTAGATTTGCGGACATCTTTTGGATTTGCGGACTTTTATCTGGATTTGCGGACATTTTTTGAATTTGCGGACTTTTATTTGGATTTGCGGACATTTATTTGGATTTGCGGACATTTTTTTTATTTTGCGGACATTTTTTTGGTATTTGCGGATTTTTTTAGATTTGCGGATAAATATATATTTGCGGACATTTTTTCTGAGATTTTTAATAGTGACAGGAAAAATTGGGGTTTTCCGGAGTCTAATAGAATTCGTAACTAGAGTCGGACCGGACCCAGCCTGATTTTTCCGGTTTGACCCGGAGTCTGCTTATATTGTCCGCAAATCAAAAATATTTGTCCGCAAATCTGAAATTTTTTTAAAATTCATTTTCTAAATTTTAGGACCATTCAAAATTAATTGTTTGTCCATTAATGTCTGCTGCCACATATATTGACCAAGCCAAAAATGTTTTTACATGCAAATTTTCTTTGTTGGAACAATATGGGTGTCCGAAAGAATTGTTACATCGACTTAAATATACAAAGGTTTTTTTCAGATTTTTTAGATTTTTATGGGTTACCCTCTTATTTGTTAGAGTTTGGGTTCTTTAGATTTTTTTATTTTGGTTGACTAGGAAATTTTTTTTTTAATTTTTTGAAGAGTCGGAGTGGGGAAGATTTTCTCAACCTCTCTTTGGTTTGTACTGGAAAAAGCCTGACCCTACTATAAGAGGCACCCAAAAATTAGTCCAAAATTTGTCTTTCTGTTTAGGATATTTTGTTAGGTTGGTTAAGATTAAAAAATTAAATAGACGTGTAAACAGTTTCTTTGGACATGATAACATTTTCGGCTAAAGCTTGGGGTTCTGTCCGCAAATTTTGTCCGCAAAAAAATTTTTTTAAAAGGTAATGGTAGAACGTTTAATATCCCGTAATGCAGCGACAAATCATGGAGATTTAAAAGAAGGTGGTGGTGGTCGTGATATTGTTATTGTTGAAGGAAGTGGACGTGGTGGTGGAAGTATTGGTAGTGTAGGAGGAGGAGGTACAACAACATCATCTCGATTGCCAGTAAATTTTTGAATTGAAAAAAAATTTTTTTTAATGAAAAATGGAATGGGGAGGGAATATAATCTTTCAAAAAATATTATTCACTTTTATTGTAATGTTTAATGACACTCTCCAATATATAAATTTAAAAAAAATTATGTGGCATAAAATGATTTTTAATCAAATTTTTTGTCCGCAAATTTGTCCGCAAAAATTATTTTTGTGTCCGCAAATCTTCTCATCCCTTTTGTGTAGCAATTAAATATTTTTCGTTTTTATTCTGAATTGCTTCTAGTAAAGAATCCAATGCCCGTATAATTATTGAGTCATCCTAAAATTTAAAAAAAAATTTTTGTCCGCAAGTTTAGTCCGCAAAAAATTTGCGGACAAAAATTTTCTGTCCGCAAATTTTTTGCGGACAAATACTTGAAAATGCCCTAATAAATTTTAAAATAATTTTTAATTTACATTAATTAAATGTCCACAAGCTGCTTGTAAAATAGCCTTATCATCAGATTTAATTTTATCCAATAAGGCCAAACTATTTGATAATGGAACGATCTGAAAATTAAAAACATTTTTTATTTTTCAAAAAAAACCTTGTCGTGAATTCCATGAACAATTCTGACAGGAAAATCAAAAAAAGGAGTTGGCAGTCGATTGTTTAGGAGAATACAGTTCTTAAAATTTTTTAAAAGTCCGTAAAAAAATTTGCGGACAAAAATTTTTTGTCCGCAAAAAATTTTTGTCCGCAAATATTTTTTGCGGATTTAAAAAAATTTTTTTGAAATTTAATTTTTACTTGAGCATAATCCTCCAAACTTTTCAAATCAACCCTTATTTGCCCAGAAAATTCATCATTTGTTGTTGGATGTTCAACAGCATAACCACTCTTTAGTAATTTCTGTTCCTCCAAAGGAAATACTCTTCTAATATAATTATCAACTTGCATTCCAACACCAGGGGAAATTAATAAAAGACCTTAAAAATGGATTGTGGATTGAAAAATAAATTTAGGAGATTTGCGGACTTTTTTGCGCACTTCGTTTTGTCCGCAAAAAGATTTGCGGACAGTCCGCAAATTTTTGTCCGCAATTTTTTCAATGCCCATAAACATATCCTCTTTCTTACATTAAATTCCCCTTACACTTATACCCTATTCCCTTTAAAAAATTTTTTTTAAAAACCTTCTATTCCATTAATAAGCTCAGGTTTATACCAAACCGATCTAAGAAAAGCTTGTGCACTAGCAGAAACACAAACAGCCATTATTTTGTTTTTTTCTTCTTGTTGTTTTTGTAATTTTTGTGTTACGTCTTGAGCTAGAAAATTTTAAAAAATGAAAAAAAATTTTGGAAATAAATCCGCAAATTTTTTGCGGATTTTTAACAAAACTTATTAATTACCCCAATTTTCTACAGTCCAAATTCTTCTGTCTCCACTACATTCATTATATTTAATTCTAAAATTAAAAATTAAAAAATTTTTTTTATTAAAAATATTTGCGGACATTTTTTAAAGACCCAAGGGCGTACAAAATACCAAAAAATTTTATAAAAAAAAAGTATCCGCAAAAAATTTTGCGGACAAAAAATTGTCCGCAAAAAATGTCCGCAAATATTTTTTTCGTCCCCAAAGGGACATAAGTGAGTTTAATAAATTAGGCAAAATCTACCCACATTTGAAATTTTAACAAATTAATTTCTGTCCATTTTTGAAACAATTTTTTATCATTTTTTGCTGACCCCAATCCATGAAAATAAAATAATTTGCTATAAAATCTTTGAAAATTAATAAAAGGGAATGGACACATTTTTTAAAAATAAAAGAGAAAAAGAAAATTGACTGAAGGAAAACTGACCTAAATTTCTATCCAAAAACTGGTTGAAAAGGGAGGATATTTAACGAATCGAAAATTAACAGGTCAGTGATTTTTAAGAGAAAAACGTTATAAAAAAGAATTTTGTTCAGAATTATCAATGTCTAATTTTCAATCTAACAACACTTTTACATACATGTATCATCTTCTCTTTCCCTTAAAATTAAAAAAAAACATTCATTCATTGACGGAAAGTCCGTTGACAAAAATTCCTGCCACCCTTTATTCAAACTAATTTACAAACTCTCAAAATTTAGCACCGAACTGACCAAAATAATTGTAATTTATTTTTCTCTAACTACACTATTTCTTTTTTATATTTCTCTAATTATGGAGATGAAATGTGACAAAATGGCACCTGAGGAAAGGCGGACAAAACGGAACATAGACAAATCTTATGCAGATTTATAAACAACCAAATACTTGCGAAAAAACTTAATTTTGAAAAGCACTTTTATCATCAATTTATTTTCAAAACATACAAGAGTAATTAATAGCAAAAAAAGCTTGTTAGAAAAATTTTGGACGCAACGACTTTTTGTTATTTAGAAAAAAAAGTGGCTCCTATACAACTCATCTAATCGTTAACTCATCTATTCGTTAACTCATCTACACGGCCAAAAAGGGATCAACTCATCTAATCGTTAACTCATCTACACGGCCAAAAAGGGTCAACTCATCCAATCCTTCGGAACGAGACTATTGAGTACCGGCCGTTTGAGTCTTTGGCCAGTAGAGTACCGGCCGGTTGAGACTTAACTGGTCATGGACTCAACTGGTCATGGACTCCACTGGCCATGGACTCAACTGGTCATGGACTCAACTGGCCATGAACTCAACTGGTCATGGACTCAACTGGTCATGGACTCCACTGGCCATGGACCCTACTTACCAGAGACTCAAACGGCCAGAGACTCAGACGGCGAGAGACTCAAACGGCCGGTACTCAATAGTCTCGTTCCGAAGGATTGGATGAGTTGACCCTTTTTGGCCGTGTAGATGAGTTAACGAATAGATGAGTTAACGATTAGATGAGTTGATCCCTTTTTGGCCGTGTAGATGAGTTAAGGAATTTTAGCCGTTTAGATGAGTTGAACGTTTTTGGCCGTGTAGATGAGTTAACGAGTAGATGAGTTAACCGGACACGAAAAAAGTGAGTCACAAAAAATTATTATTTTTTGAATTTATGGGTATTAAATTTATTTAAGACTGGTGAAATTGAAAAATAAAATTCGAAAAATAATTCTTAAAAAATTTAAATTTAAAAAAAGTCCGCAAGTTTTGTCCGCAAATTTAAGAAAATTTCTTTTTAAAATAAAAAAATCCGCAAATGTTGTCCGCAAAACTTGTCCGCAAATCTAAAAAAGTTTTTCAATTCAATTTCACCAGCCCTAAATAACTATAAAAAGCAAACAGACTTATTCTCTTTTACATTATCCAATTCATCTATTTTTCTACAATTTTTTGATAATTCGTCTAGGACCGCCACCCGGACGTGGAGGACGTTCAAATTGTTGTTGGCCATTATTTGCTGGTGAATTGTTCTCCAAAATTGTTTCACAAGTTTCTGGTGTCATATAATCCAATAAAGTTGTTTTGTCTAATTTATCTCGACTGTCTACTTGAATCTGAAAAAATAAATAAAATAGAAAAATTAAATTAATTAATGGACCTTCCTTGTAAGGAAAATAAAAATCCGCAAAATTTTGTCTGCAAATTTGGATAAAGTTTTAGCCTATGAAATTTGTATTTAATTATAGGGACATCGTTTAGGTATCCTAAAATTGTTAAGAAAAAAAAATAAAGCGAAAAAAATTATGACAACAAATAAAGGAACGCAGGCCACTACCACTTCGTGTCATAGGACTATAAATTGATCGAAAAAAAATTTTTTTTGACCCCGAACGCTACTTTGAAAGTATCAGTGACGGGTTTAATCAAATTATAATTTGGTGTCCAGGATTTTGAAAATTTTTTAAAGAACCGATTTGTTTATAGGCCAGGGATCCTTAATAAAGGCTTTTTTACTAAAAAAATTTTTTTATGCGGACATTTCTTGCGGACAATTTATTTTTTTTTGCGGACAAAATTAAAAGGAGTTGTCAGAGTAAAAGGCCTGGACACCTCAACTCTAACTTATTAAATATTTTATAAAAAAAACCTTTTTGTCAATAACAATTCCAATAGATTTACTCTCAATTTCACCAATTAGAGGTCCTTTACAACTTGAAAAAAGCATTAATTCTTTGATTGTGCAAGATTGTGATGGCGGGATTGAATAAATAAAAACTTGGAAAATAAAATTGAATTTAATAAAAAATAAAAAAAAATACAAATAGCTTCTCCTTTTGCCAAATTTTCATTTTTAAAACGTAAAAGAGAATAACGAGGAGATTTCTTAGGTACAAGATTTTCAAGTGAAGAAATATCTTGTAAAATTGTATGATAAGCTTCCAATTTTATTGCTTCGTTTAGACCTGAAAAAAGAAAGATTTTTTATTTGAAAATGTTATAATTTGGAAGGGAAAGTTGGAAGAAAAAGTTTATGTGTTGGGAGAAATGGGAAAAAATATTGGGAAATAATAATTTTGCGGACAAAACTTGCGGACAAAATTGGGCATGCTTTATCAAAATTGGCTTTTATCCCAATAAGTTGAAAATCAAAAAAAAATGAGGAAAAATTCGTATTTCAATATTAATTCACATACACAAATTAAAAACCCAACTAAATTCCTAATGGATTTGTCCGCAAAAATTTGCGGACAGACACAGGAAGAAAAATAGATTCCCCTAAATTTTGGTAGTAAAATTCAGAATTTTTAAATAAAAATAAACAAACAATCAACAGAAAGTTGTACAAAATCGCATTGTCCAGAAGCAAAAGAACGCAATTTTTCTTCAGCATCTTGATCTATTGGGAATTGAACACCTCGCATTGTTTGAGAAGCGTGAAGTGAAAAAGGAATATTTGCACGTTCTTTGGTTACTGAACTTAACTGAAAAAAAATTATTTTTAAAAAATTTTTAGATTAGAAAAAAATTTAAAAAATTTCAATAAAGAAAGAATTATTAAAAATTTAAAGAAAGTAAATAAAAAGGATTCTAAAATAAATTCCCACTAGTGGGATTCAAACGCGCGCGTGCGCATCTACAAACCCAGACGCTTAACCAATACACCAACAAGATAACTTATAACAATTATTAAATTGTGCATTAAATAAATTTAATTAAAATAAACCTCTCGTTCAACAAAAGAAAGTGGTCTAGACTCGTCTCCATCCTTTTATTTTTAATTTTAAATATCTTTTAATTAATAAAACTAAAAAACCTCTATGGCGGAATTCTCCGCATCTTTATTCAAATAATTCTTCTCAAAATTATCCAACTGGAGTTCATTTCGATTTGAAATTTGATATTCTGCATGGATAAATGACTGGCCAAATTCGGACTAGAAATTTTAAAAATTTAAAAGACATAATGCCAAAAATTAAAAAAAACCTTAAACGTCGCTTTAGTAGCTGCTAACAGCATTTTATCCTTAACGGAAGCTTTGTCATCGGCAAAACTAAAAAGAAAGTAATTTATGTATACACTAGAGATCGGATTTGTGAAAAGCCTGAGCCTGTTCCTGGGTTTGATTTATTGACCAAGGCCGGATCCTGGGCCTGTAGTCCAGGAAAAACCCAAACCCTGAAAAACCCAAAAAATCAAAAATGCCTGGGCCTGGATTCTGGGTACAGCAAAAACCCAGGCCTTTGTCCAGACCCGATCGATCTCTAGTATACACCATCTGGGGCTAAAGTGTACCTTAAATCGGGGCCTTCATATAAGATACGATTTAGAATATAAAAATAAGTTGACCATTGGACGAGAGGAACTGTTCAAGCAATAACCCCGATTTAGAGTACAACTCCTTACAAGAAACCCCCAAAATCAGATACACCTCCATTTAAGAGACGTTTTTTTAAAAATTGGCTAACCACTGGAAGGAAGGAGCTGTCCAAGAGACAACACAAATTTACGGAGACCTCGTTAACAGAAAACTATTTTTAGCCCCAGGATATCCATAAATTAGAATAATAGTTAAAATAAACCTTATCAAAATCCAATCATGTCCAGAATCAAAACGAAAAAGAAGAAAACAGGGCTCATAAGAATCTACACATTCTGGCAAACTTAAAAAAATATTTAATGAAAGAAAAAAATAAAACCATTTTTTCCAATCCTTTCGCCAATCTTTTGAAGGATTTAGATGGTAATTTACATTTAGATTTGCTATAAAAATTAGAAAAATAATTAAAATTAAAAATATTTTAAAAATAAATAAGGAGAAGACTCCAAATTTACCAAAAATTAAACGATTGACCAGACCAGACACAAAGACAGGAAAAAGATTTTAGGAGGTGGAAGGAGGAAAAGGAGCATCGTCATCGAAAAAATTAAAAATTCCTCTCCTCTAGCTCCGTGCCCGGTCCGAGAACCAAATGGGCGTAGATCCGAACCCAATGACAGAATCGAAATCCACGGATAGCGTCTGAAAACCGGAATAAACTAGAAGGGATGAATATGTCCAATAATCGACATAATAGTTATGACTGCGGAATTATTATGACTGCGGAACTAATTATGACTGCGGAAATTAAAAAATATCAAAGCCCCAGCTTGAAAAGTATTCCCAAAATTATAAATTTAAAAAAATACCATTATTAATAACAATTTTTCCAAAACGAATTTTGCATTGTTTGCATTGATCAAAAAATTCCAACAATTTAGAATCGGCTGCAAAATTGAGAAATTAATGTTTAAAAATTAAAAAAACCTCTAATTCCAGTTTGACAAGTCATAATAAAAATAGTTAATTGTTGTTAGCAGTGAAGAATTATTTGATGAATAGTTATATGTTAGCGCCTTAAAAATAAAATTGAAATTGTTATAATTAGGGTTGGACCGGTCCGAAAAATAGAGTCGGGCATTAAATTTTGGCCTGTAAAAATCCCGATCGGACCGGACCGATAAAAATGAGGCCCGAAAAAAATTACTCGAACGCCGGCCCGACGCGAAAACCCCCAAACTCTAATTATCCTCCCCAATAAAATACACAAACAGTCTAGTGTATATTTTAATAGCCACTGGGTTAGGTTGATGACTGGGATGGGCCGGTTTAAGAAAAAAGCCGGTTTCGGGTAGGAGGACCCGATTTAGGCTTTCGAAGTAACCCGCACAATTCATGCCCGATACCCTCTTTTTAGAGGTAAAACAGTTAAATAACCGACATTTCCAGTCAAGAACAAAAATAAAAATATTGATTTCATAAAAGAAAACCCTCAAACAAAGGAAACTAAAATTATTTTCTTTAAATAAAAGAAAAAATTTTGGGGGAAGACAGTTGAGTCACTATAGGTGAATCATTGGGGAAAATAGTTTGTTCATAAAATTTTTTTGATTGTTAGTCATTCAAAGTTTTTTAAGTTAAAAAAAATTTTTTTGATGATTCGCTTGAAAGTTGAAAACAGAAAGTTAACAGGAAAAATAAAAGATTACTTGACTCAACCAATTTGAGACTCAAAATGTATTTTATCTTATTTTTCCTATTTCTCTGTCTATTATAAAATTAACACCATATTCTGCCAATTCCACATTTTGCCAATATGGGTAAAAACTGACATATTGTCAGTAAGAATGTGTTGTCTAAACGTCGTTTTTAGCCTTATTGGCAAAATGTGTTTTGGCAAAATGTGTAACACGTATAAAATTATTTCTCTAACTGTCTAATTTAGATAATAGTATAGGAGATAAAATGTCATTTATTTTACTAATATCATTTTGCCAATTTGCAACATATTTATCAATTAAATATTGGCGGTGTTTTGTTTCATTTTTTGTGAGGGTATTCCTTGGATTTTTATTTTTTCTTCCTTGCCGTCCCAAAAGTTTACTTTTTTTCAGATTCACCGCCAAACTTCTTTAAATAAAACAAAGAAAAATGACAGAATTAGCAACAAAAAGTGAAATAACATTAAAAGGAAGTGCTCAAATGATTCAACAATTTTTTCATTATGGAATTCATAGTATTTTATATCAAAGGGGCATTTATCCGTCTGACAGTTTTACACGGTTTTTTAAATTTAATTAAATCAAATCAATAATTTTGATCATTAAAGTGAGAAAAAGTATGGAATGACTTTGCTGGTTAACAACGACTCTAAAGTTCAGGACTTTCTTAAACCTTTGTTGGAACATGTTGAGGTTTTTTAAAGTATTTTTTATGGGTAGGTTTAGCGTTAGTCTCCGATCCTGATTTCCTGTCAATTCATTCCCAAACCTCCTCGTTCTCCGGTAATCTATTTCCCGAGGTCCACGATTCCTCGAAATCTTCGTTCCTTGAACGGGTAAATTCAACTTCGTTCCCCCCTCCTTTTTCCTTCCCACGGCTCGACGAGTTCTATAACTTAAGATTAACTGACCATTTTTTAATACTTTGAGGAAGGGAAAAGAAGGGGGGAGCAAAGTTGGATTTTACCCTTGAACGATCTTCCCCGAAAGGTCGTAACTAGGTTAAATTTTAAAAAATTGAGGGAAACAAATATTTTTAAATAATTAGGGTAAACCTCCAATCTGGACTGTCCACAATCGAAAATAAACTTTTTTATAATTGACTTTAAGATTCCGTTAATCACAGATTTTAGCTCTCTAATAAAAAAAATAGATCCTTTCCCTATTCACATTTTATTCAAAAAATTTATTTTCCACAGATGTTGCTCGCCAAAAAGAAGCTGAAAAAATTAGTTTTGGTAATTACTGATATAGCTACAAAAGAAGCATTAGAAAGATGGCAATTCGATATTGAGACAACCGCTGATATTGAGTTTATTTTTTAATTTTTTTTTGAATTTTTAAAAATTTAAAATTAAGTGAGAAAGGTTCTGTTTGTAAAGATGAGAAGAGAATAAAACAAGAAATATCTGATGTTTTGAGGTTTTTTTTGATTTAATAAAAACTTAAAGGTATGGGGAAATAGGCTCAAAAAAAGTAAAAAATCCCTTTTTCGTCTTCTTGGTTTAGTTGGAAAAATCTTCAATTTCAACAAGTCGAGGGTTCGAACCCGCTGATGGACTTTATTTTTATTTTAACTGAAATTTAATAGAAATAATAAACAAATGGTGGAGATAGGCTCGAAAAGGTCAGAAAAACCATTTTTCGTCTCCTTGGTTTAGTTGGAAAAATCTTTAATACTTCAAAGGGTCGAGGGTTCGAACCCCACTGAAGAATTTTATTTTTTCCTTTGATTAAAAAGCTTTGTATCAACAAATTAACTTTGAATTTCTTTATTTTTAATTATAATGCTTTATTCCCTTTACAGACAAATTACCGCTTCTGTTGCTTTTCTCCCTCTACTCGAAAATCGATGCTCTTTTGATGTTCTCATCTACACTTTCAGAGACATTAAACTTCCAGAGGTTTTTTTAATTTTATTTTTTAATTAAAATTAAATTTTCTGACCAAGCGTATGGACTTTTTTCTCCTGACCTCACTCAAAAGGGGGAAATTTTTCACCTTTAATTTGCGGACAAAACTTGCGGATTTTCTGTTAAAATAAAAATTCTTTCCTATTATTAATTTTAATATTTTTTAAAGGGATGGGCAGATTCAAGCGAATGTCGAATTTCTGATGCCGAACAGGTTCAACTTCGTTCATTCTCTACAGCAGTGCATAATGTGCTGACTAAGGTGCAGTATAAGGCTGATATTTAAGTTTTATTTTTTTTACTATTTTTTTGATTTTTTAAAATATAAATATTCAATTTAGTATAAAAATTTTTGCAAAAATAAATATTCTGTTTAATTTTGATATTTTAGAAAAGGGGGTTAATTTTTAAGGCATATAATTTTAAGATAGTCTAAAAATGTCCGCAAATTTTATCCGCAAAAATTCAAGTCTATAAGAAATTTTTAAAAGCTACTTTATATTATTTATTAAAAATTAGTTTTTACAGAAAGTAAAGGTTTGGGATAATAAAAAAATGTTTAATGCCTGGGTATATATGATTTTTAGAGATCGGAAATTTTAAAAAAGAACCTTGACTTTAATTCTTGTTTGGGGACCTTGCCCAATTTTTGACCTCAAGTCAAGGAAAAAATCGAGTTCGAGAAGAAAAATCAAGGTCTAAATTCAGATCCAGTCCGATCTCTAACGACTTTACAGGTACAAAAATTGGTAAAATTAAAAAATTAGTTTTTACCTTCTTTTCCTCACATCATTCTCCTCAATTTCTCCATTATCTTCATTTTTATTATCATTCTCTTCTTCAATTTCCTCCTCCAATTCACTCATTTCTTCCTCTTCAGAACTTGTAGAGAACTCTTCTTTATCATTTATATCTTCTCCTTCTCCCTCCTCCTCTTCAGAATCTTCACATTTCCCTCTAAAGGAATTTTTTATCTGTTCATTTTTCTTATAAATCGCAGAAAGTTTCTGAAAATTTAATTAAATATTTAATTTTAGAATGACATAAAATCTGCAAAATTTGTCCGCAAAATTAAAAACGTATTCTTATAAATTTTTCTAACTTTAGAAACTCAATTCCAGAATTTTGAAGGTCAAAATCTAAATAAGGGACAGTTTGGTGTAGTGGGTAAATTCCCAATCTGTTATAATTTAAGGGTCAGAGGTTCGAACCCCACTAACGGAAAATAATTTTAAATTTCAAGAAAATGTACTTTTACAAGAAAAAATGTTTAAATTTGATTTTAATTCTTAAAAAGAATTTTTTGTTTCATTTTTAAGACCTTACAACCCCCCCCAAAACTTAAATTTTAGAGTTTTTAAAAATTACAAAAATTTCAAAAAAAAATTAAAATTTCCAAACCTTCAATTTTTCCAAACTTTCTTCCATATTTTGTGTCTCCTCTTTCAATCTATTTTCATCTTCAACAGATTTATCTTCACCTTCATTTAATACTTCTTTATTTGTTGCAATTAATTCTAATTGACTCAAAATTTCATTCATTGCTTTTTCTGTTTTTCGAAGTCTTTCTTGGACTGATTTGAGTTTGTAACCTTTAAAAATTAAATTTTAAATAATTTAAAAAGAAATTAATTTTTCAAACGTTTTCTTGGTGCTTCATCACTTCCACTTGACTCATCTTCACTGTCTTCTTCTTCATCTTCCCAATTTAGATACCCTCTAGGTCTCTTTTGTTTCTTCTTTTTCTGAAATTTTTTGATTAGAAAAAATTCAGAAGGGAAGGGGAACACTCCGAACAACTTATTAGACTCGAACCACACCAAATTAGACCGGAACAATTTTTAGTTACTCAACACAATTCGGGCAGTTTGGTGTAGTTGGTAAACTCCCAGGCTGAATATTCTATAGGGTCAAAGGTTCGAATCCCACCAATGGAAAATAATTTTTAATTTCACAAAAATGAGATTTTTTGAAGAAAAAAATGTTCAAATTAAAATTCCATACATTAAAAAATTTTTTTGGGAAACTTTAAGGCCTAGAAAAATTCAAAAAACTAACTAAAAATCTTAAATTTAATTTCTACAACAAATTTCAAAAAACATTTAGTATAAAAATCTGCCATTCCTAATATTATTTTCCCATTCCTAACATCATTCCCCCCCCCAAAAAAAGATCATCTCCCCAAAATATTTTAAAATACCCAAAAAATTCCCAAACCTTAAAAAGCGTGTAGAGAAGAAACAAAACAACACCAATTGTATAGAAAGGAAGGAGCCAAGCAAAACCACCTCTACCACCACCTCCTCCAACAGCCTGAGTTTGATGTGCTCTGGCCTGAGCATGCATTGAAGCAGCAGCTGCTGGGTGTGCATGGGGAGGGCGACCGCCGCCTTAAAAAATTTTTTTTGAAAATTTTTTAAAAATTAAAAAAAACCTCTATGCCCTTCTGGATGTGGAAAGTGAGAATTTGGTTGATGAGAATGTTTATTATCACTATTTCTCCCAAAAAATGAATTAATCATTGGAGCAAAAACGCTTGGATATAGAAGTGCAAAACACATAAAAACAGCAGCACAAACAGCATATAATTTCCATTTTGGGAGTAACTTGAAAATTGAAAAAAATTTTAAGCTCAAAAATACGTAGTTCTAAAACATATTTTCATTGAATTTTCAAAAATTTCAACTTTCAGGTGTTTTGGTTTAGTGGGTAAACTCTAAGTTTATAAAATTAACAGGTTGAGGGTTCGAATCTTAGTGACGAAAAAATTTTTGTTTGAAGGAAAAGAGTTTTTGATTGTTTTAAAGTGATAAAAAAATCCTTGAAAATTCAACCACGAGGAAATTTTAATTGGATTTTTTTTTACATATTTTAATTTTAACGTTTAACAGCCTTCTCCCTATCCCAGAAAAAAATAAAAAAAATTTCAGGGGATTTTAAAACAACTTTAGAAATTCTTCCTAATACCCCTTCCTCCCCTCCCACCAAAAAAAATTATTTTAAAAAAAATTTCAACAAACCTCTTCCTTATGCCTTTTACAGTCCATAAAATCTTCATATTCTTCATCATAATATTTTTCCATTTTTCTTCTTTTCTTAGTTTTTCTTCCAATTTTATTTTTGTATTCATCACAATCGGACATCTTTTCTAATTAGCTATTTTGTCCACAATTATTGCCAGTTTTGTTAAAATTTATTTTTAAAAGTACACAGACAGCCCTTCCTTTTTGCAGCAATAAAAATAAAATTTTTTTGCCAATTTTCTTCTTTGCTTGTCCTAAAAATAAAAAATGTTTTTAAGTGAGAAAAAATAATAAAATCCTTTTTACCACTTTTTTTACTCAGCCAGTAACCCAGAGATGTGTGCAGTCATGCCTTGAAGCTATACAACTAAATTCTTTTTTAGTCAATAAAATAGACAAAAAGACGGCCAAATGTTGACCACAATAAACGTGTGTGTTTATTTTATTTTTCTTTTTCTTCTTCTTTTGACTAATCCCCCCACCACAGACCTTTTATTTAATTTTTAAAAATTAGTTAAAATTAAATTTTTCAAATAATAAAAAAATTTTTTTTTAATTTTTTTCTTATCAAAAAAATTAAAAAAAATTTTTTTTTATAAATTTTTTATACATCACAACAGCGTAAAAAACCATTTTTGCAGAAAAAAATTTTTTCTTTGCTATTTTTAAAATACGGCAAGAAAAGTTTTAAAAAGTATATATTATGGCACAAAAAATATGCAAGTATTTTCAGAAAAAAATAAAATAAATTAAAGCTAGAGTTTAAAAATTCATTCCAAAAATTTTCAAGGCTAAAATCAAAATTCGGGCAGTTTGGTATAGTGGGTTAACCCCCTGTCTGAAAAAACTAAGGGGTCGGGGGTTCGAATCCCACCAGTGGAAAATAATTTTTAATTTCTTTAAAAACAAAATTTTTAAAGAAAAAATGTTTTTCAAAGCTAAATTATGGCCTATTCAATTTTTTAGCTTGTTTTCATCTTTTTCTTGTTAATTATTCGTTGAAAAAATTTTAGTTTAATTTAAACTCTAGCTTTTTACACATCTTAAAAATGAGATTTTTTTAAATAGAGGTAGAGAGAATTTGAAAGAATTATTTAGGTATAATCCCAAATAAATTTTGAACAAAATGTCCATTATTTAACAAAAATCCGCAAGTTATGTCCGCAAAAAATTTTTTTGTCCGCAAAAAATTTTTTTTGTCCGCAAAATTAAAAAACGGACATTTTTCAGAAAAATTGATTTTAAATAACGAAAAATACCCTCAAGAAATTTTATTTAATAAAAAAAATATACTCTCTTCTTTTTTTTTCATGTTCATCACAAGTGTTCTGCCAGGTCCTCTACCAATTATCAGCCAAATTATTTATTTCATTATTATTCCTCTTTAAAATCTTTGAAAAAAATTTTTTTTTAATTTTAATTATTTTTTAAATAAAAAACCTTATTATTATTTTCCTCTTCATATTCATCTCTATAATCTTCAGTTTCGTCAATTGGTGGAGGATAATTTTCACAAATATCTTTTAAAATTGATAATCTTGCCTGTTTAAATTCTCCAACAATTTCCATTAAATTACTTTGCCTTTTTAAATTTTTTGGGACTGTCTAAAAATATTTTTTAAAATTTTTTATTAAATTTTCGATCCATAAAAAAGGGCGCCTCTTCAATTAAATTCATTTTTAAAATTTGGGTTGGCCCCCAACGTGGTCGAAAAGTTAGGGGTCGGATGGCTTTTTGGGGTTGATTCTTTCAGGGTTTGAGGTCCAAGCACGAAAAAAGGATTTAGGAAGTAGACGCGGTCGGTGTCCAGCTCTGTTTTAAATTAATATTGGGACAAAATGTCCATTTCCCCGTTTTTCAATTTTATTTTAAGTTAAATATTTTTAAGTAAATTAGTTAGAACCCTTACGACCCAAAACCATACTTTTTCCCAACCCGTGACATCTCTGGCTGAAGTCCACTTTCCATCTTTCAAAAAAAAATTTTTAAGCCCGAACATTTCAGTCTATCCCTACCCATATCTGGAGCAGTTCCTACTGCTCTTATTCGCCTATGGAGCCCAAAATATTTTTTTAAAAATCCCCAAAAATTATTAAAAATTTTTTAAAAAAACCTAACCATTCCATCATAAGCCTCTTCAATAAAAAACATATATTCTCTTTCTGTATCAGGCAAAATACTTCTAAAATTAATTTTAATATATTTAATTATTTAAAAATAAAAAAATAAACCTATCAAATATTTTCCCTTCTTTAATCGAAATTCCCCATTCATCATAATTAAAACGTGTATAATAATCAAAAAATCCATAAATTAATTCTCCAATAGTTCGTTCATTTTTTGGTATTTCTAAAGAAAAAATTTTTTTAATTAAAATTAAAAATGCCTGTAAAAATTCTTTAATACCCCTTCATAATGAATAAAATCCCCTCACAATCCCTTACACTCCTACCTTAATAACAGTAAATAGCAGGGTCAGATTAGACGAAGCCCAGACTTTTTTCAACCCAAAACCCGGCCTGAGAAATTTAAGATAACCAGATCTGACTTTTCCTCTTCTCAAACTGACCACTTTCCGGTAAAAAAGGATGGACGAAACTAATGTGGGACAAAATGTCTCCCCTCCACTCGAAAACTTCTTACACTCTTCTACCTTAAAAAATTTCTAAGAACCCTGACTTTTTACTCCCTATTCTCCAAAAAAAAGTCAAAATCCTTGTTCCTCCCAATTCACCCCCAAAGTCCCCCAATTCTTCTTCCTTCCGTATCCTCTCCCCACTAATCCCCTTCCCCCCCCCCCCCCCCCCCCCAAAAAAATAAAAAAATTTAATTTACTAGGCAAGTCAAGTTCCATAGCATAATCCAAATCTTCCACATTTCCAGTTCCATCAAAATGTTTAGGAAACATTTTGAATAAATTGGGCAAAATTGGAGGATAAACACCACATTGCAAAAAATGAATAATCATTAAACTGACTGTATAACTATTAAATTTTCTCCTAAAAATATAAAAATTATAAAAGAATTTTTTTTAATGGTTTAAGGAAAGTTTAAAGCTATTTAGGCACTATTGTAGCTCCCTTCACCAGTAATGTTCCAAAATTAGGTGTGACAACTCATTGTCAGGAGTGGATCAAAAAAATTTTTTAAGGACACCTAAGACAATAGAATGGAGTTGTCGGCTCGGAATTGAACCAAAGAACCGAGGATTTTCAGTTAGGTTCTTAAGTTCGGTTTCGGATATCCAAAGGTTTTTCAAAAACCAACAATCCTAATATTTAACGTATTTTAACCCACACAAAAACAAAAAACTTTGGGGGATGGGTAGACAAAAAAATTTTTTAGAGGGTGTGAGGGACTTTAGAAGGAAAGGTCTAAAAACGGTCGAGACCGGGCACATTCGATAGAGAATGTGTCCTTTCAAGCCCACATAAAAACAAAAAACATTGGGGGTGGGTGGACCAAAGAAATTTTTAGAGGGTGTGGGGGACTTCGAAGGAGAAATGTGCCAAAAAATTTTATTTAAAGGGAAGTCAAAAAAATTTTTTTTAAATCAATCTAGTGTTTAAAATAATAAAAAAAAACCTTGGATCAACCACATGATTAACTTTTGCCCATTTTTTGAGAATCATATTCATTTGCACAAATCGGTTATCCAGTCTTTTAAATTAAATTAAAAAAAATTTTTTTAATTAAAAAAACCTCGAAAGATGTGCAAGTAAATGTGTATTAAAAATCCCAGCTACACAATTACAATTTATATCAACTTTAACATCCATATAAGGAAAGGCTAATTCGACTGTTACAATTGGGACCTGAAAATTGAATTTTTTGATAATTTCGACACGCCTCCAAACACGCCCAAATTTTTTAAAAATTAAAAAAAATTTTTAAGACACCCCATTTATTCGCAAGCTCAAAAGTCTCAAAACGGTCAACCAAACCTACGGGAGTTGGCGAGACGCTCGTACAAACCCCTACGCTTCACGCAGGTTGAGGCAAGAGTTTCGCAGGAGTTAACGGTTGCTCGGGCCCTAGGGGCTTTCCCAATTCTTAATTAAAAATTTTTCTAATTATAAAAAGTTACCCGAGCGCAGATATGCCTTAATCCAGTAATAAAAGGTTTTTGTTCAAGTATTCTATGAATTTTGCTCAAAACAAAATTGTTGACACTGAAAAAAGATTTTAGTTAAAAAAATTTTTTGACTAAATTTTGGAGCCAATTTTCATTCTTTTCCCGTCCATAAAAATGAGCCTGTCATAGTTGTGGAAAAATTTTTTTTAATTAATAAATGAAAATGTGGGCCTTGAATTTCCACAAAAAAAATTTTTTATTTTACCACTCAAAGGAATTTTTTGGAATTTTTCAAACAAAATTTTTTCCGAAAAAATTTTCCCAAATTTTTTTTTGAAATTTCGAGGCCACAAAAAATTTTTTACCAAAAATAGAAAAAATTAACCCTTCTTCAGTATAACTCCCGTCTTCACATCTGACAGCAAAACAGAGATCCAAATCTGCCCCTTTAGTAGCCAAATTAGTTAAAGTAGATCCTCCCATTGCTAAATAGCTTCCCTCTCCAAAAAACTAAGAAAATTTTTTTTTAATTTTTAAAATTAAAAATTTTTAGCTAACCGGCTCAATAGTTTTCCTTAAAAGCTTCCAAACATCAATTCGAGTTTTTCTTTCGTGATCTGGCTAAAATTTAAAAAATTAAAAATTCAAAAGTATCCATTTAAGGACAATTTCTCATCTCCGTTCGACCAAATGCGAAAAATTTGGGGGTGTGGCGAAGTGTCCAATGGACAGAAATTTTTGAATTCCTGCCCATTGGGAGGCTTGTCAATTTTCAAAAAATAACCCAAGTTTTCCCAACTTTCCCCAATTATTATTTAAAATAACCTGTCGATTTTTAACTATATAATCCTGCACACTTTTTGTATACTTTTTAAAAGAGTGTCGATAATCACTTTTTCTGTCATCCAGAATTTTGAAAATTTTATGAGCATTAGGTGATGTTTTGACTTTGAATAATTCATTAACCGTGTATTCGTCCATTTAAGCCTAAAAAAATAAAAAAAAATTAGTAAAAAACACTGGAAATTTAAATGTAAAAATTTTGGGCCTCAAACTCTAAAAATAGCTGCGACAAAACGGACTGCTTTTATTTATTAGTTTCGACGCGATTTGACAAAATGAAATTTCAAATTGGTAAATAATTGTTAATATTTCATAACACCAAAATATCGAACGCTTTGTTTACTGTTAGACATAGAATTAGAAAAGAAATAGTATAGGAAATGAGGAGAGCGAGAAAATAGTCTCTTCTTTCTCCACACTATTTTCTCTAGTTTCCGGTTTTTATTGAAGGAATTTTTGTTGGGGGGATTATTTGGTTTTCTTTTAGGATGTTTAGGATTTTTTTTTGTTTTCTATTTTCATCCACACTTATTTTTCATGATAAAATCTGTTTTTTAAACAGCTATTGCTTTCTATAATTTAACTTTCCTCCAAATTTTCCCAAAATTTTCCCCTAAATTTTCAATTTTTTCAGAGAAAAAAATGTCACAAGAATTACCCGAAGACGACACACTTAGAAAAAGAAATGTGTTACAAGAATCAATTAATGAATCACTTCAACAACCTCCAAAAAAAGGCAAAAGAACATGCGGGAAAAATTTCGGAATACTGAACAGAAAGCAAATGGGTCAAGTGATATGTCATTCGAAAGAGCTCGTCGAGTTGAGTCGAATGGTGAAAAAATTTTCGTGCGGACTCATACAAGGGCTGAGATATAGGCCCCCGAAAATCGAAAAACCATAGGGGGGACCAAGCACTTTTTTGGGGTGAAAAATTCGAAAATGAGAATAATAGCTCATTCGAAAGAGCTCATCGAGCGGAGTCGAATGACACCAAAATCAACGAAATCCGACTTGATTGGACCGAGATATAGATCCCTAAAAACTGAAGATCCAAGGGGGCGATTTTTGGAATAAAAATTTTTTTATACAAATAGTATCTCTTTCGAAAGAGCACGACGAGCTGAGTCGAATGACACCAAAATCACGGTGATTGAACAAGATTAGACAAAGTTATGATACAAAAAAAAACAAAAAACCTAAACCTATGGAGCGTCGGCGAGGCGCTTGTGCAAAACCCCGCGCTTCGCGCGGGGTTTTGCGGCACGCGCCTCGCGGGGAGTCTACGGGCGCTGGGTCTGGGCTCGTAACATAAACCTATTCCTATCTCCCTTACTCTGGACGTATTTGGGGCCTTCGTAGCAGTAAAAATCTCCACAGATACCATAGGTAAGGAGCTAAAATAAAAGATCATAACTTTGTCAAATCAACTCGGATTTCGTTGATTTTGGTGTCATTCGACTCCGCTCGATGAGCTCTTTCGAATGAGCTATTATTCTCATTTTCGAATTTTTCACCCCAAAAAAGTGCTTGGTCCCCCCTATGGTTTTTCGATTTTCGGGGGCCTATATCTCAACCCCTCTATGAGTCCGCACGAAAATTTTTTCACCATTCGACTCAACTCGACGAGCTCTTTCGAATGACATATCACTTGACCCATTTGCTTTCTGTTCAGTATTCCGAAATTATACCGAACATGCGAAGCAATTTCAGCCTCAGCCACTTCAGCGTCCTCAGATGATGAGGACCCTTTAACTGTTGTTAAGGAGAAACGATTGAATAGACTAAAAAGAATATTGCCTCAATCTTCTGATAAATTGGGAAGTTGTGTTGATAAATTACTTTCTCATCTTCCTGAACGGTTTTTTTCTTTATTTTTTTTAAATATTTTTTTTTAAATTTTTAGATGGCGAAATTGGGTTGTACGAGGGATTTTATCGGTTAGTTTCTAATAATTAAAATTTTTCCTCTTTTCTTGTAGTTGTCACAGTAGATAGGAAATCTGAAAAAACCTTGACCAGAGTTTTAAATCCATAGTTAAGGCTTTTTCACGCCTTCCTTTTAGATTCAGATCATTCTTGGCAAGCACCAAGCAGGAGATATTTCCCTTCTGGCCCAATAGCCAAGAATCTGGCTATTGCCTGATACTTGGCTCAGGTCAGGGCAGTTTGAGAGAGTTTATCAGACTTCAGAATCCACATATTTCTTTCTGAAACTTTTTAGAGGAATTTTCTCTTTAAAGCCTCTTTAGAGGAATTTTCTCTTTAAAGCCTTTTTTCAAGATTAAAATTTCAACTTTTTTAATTTTTTTCAGCTTGTAATGATTGGAATGTTTTATTTTATTGTCAAAAGAGGAGTTACTTGTCTCATGGCATTGGTCGGTAATAGTGTCGTTTCCCAGCCCCCTTTTTTTCCTCCCAATTTTCTACCCTATGTTTGAACGGAATGGTCAAATTTTCCCCTTTCTTTCATCAAATTTGCCTTTCCATATTTTGCCTAAAAACAATCAAAAAAGATTAATTTTTTATTCATTTCTTTCACAAGGATAAAAAAATGAGACATGATGCCAAAAATTATAAAAAACATTTTCAATATTGCCAAATCGTTTTTCGCCACATAAATTCCGGGAGATAACTTTTATAGGTTTCAGTGTTGTTGCCAGCTTGATGTCTGAATTTTCGTTTATAAGTTGACCACAATGATTCAATGTTCTGTGTATGGACATTAGGATCTTCGCTATCAACGTATTCTTTTGAATGATTAACAGTGGCGTGGATATATTGTTCTGGAAGCTTTGGAATAGACCCATATGCGCGCCAAAGGTCAGTATATATGGTTGTGCCAGGTAGTATATGATGTTGAATTAATCTTTTTGATTGTTTTTAGGCAAAATATGGAAAGGCAAATTTGATGAAAGAAAGGGGAAAATTTGACCATTCCGTACAAACATAGGGTAGAAAATTGGGAGGAAAAAAGGGGGCTGGGAAACGACACTATTACCCATTGGTCAATTAATTAAAAATTATTTTCCAAGTAAAAAAATTTTTTCAGGTTTTCCTTTTACAATTAAAATGTTTCTCAGAAATTATCAATATTGGATTAGCCGTTTACAGACTTTATGATTTGCCGTGGTTTAGAGCACTTTCGTGGTAAATTTTGTGCATTTTTTCTATTTTTGACCACTTTGGTGTAGTGGGATAATTCAAATTTTTTGTAACCTATAGGTCTCGGGTTCGACCCCCATTGGCGGAAAATAATTTTTATTTAATTGAAAATCTAGAATAAAAAATAATTTTATATTTTAAAAGGGTAGGAGATTTTTTAATAACCCTTTTTCCTTACATTTTTCATTTAAAATTTTTATTTCAACTTAAATATTTTTTGAAGGTATTTTTTGTTGACTAGCGATTATTTCTTTTTTGGAGAAAGTCTAATTGATTATTGGGGACTTGTATTACTCAAAGATGTAAGCAAAAATTTTTTCTTTTAAAAATTTTTTTCCTCTATTTTAAAAGCATTTATCCATTTTTGACCACTTTGGTGTAGTGGGATAATTCAAATTTTTTGTAACCTATAGGTCTCGGGTTCGAACCCCATTGGTGGAAAATAATTTTTTATTTGATTTTTTTTCCTTTTTTAATTAAAAAAATTATTTTTCTTAAAATAAAAAATTTTTTTCTCTCTCCAGAGATTTCTTTTTGCATTAATTGTTCATCATCGACTAATAAGTTTTGTTTTGTATTGCTTTGGATTTATTTGGTTTGTTCTCTCGTTACAAAAAGGATTTTATTTGAGACAATTTTCATTGGTATTTTTTTATTTTCTTTTATATTTTCTGTTTTTATTTTTTTCAGTTTGCTTGGACGCATGTTACTTTATTAATAATTGTTAGCCAGTCATTTTTAATAATCCAAAATTTGTTTCAAGGATTAATTTGGTTTGTTTTTTAATTTATTAAAATTTTTTCTTAACACATTACCCTTTTTGAAAATAAATTTAAATTAATTTTTAAGTTAAAATTTAAAAACACCCCCTAGCACCTCCAAATTTTTAAATTAAAAAAACAGACCTTTGGCTTTAGTTAGGGCCAAGGAACCTCATTTTTCGGGCTCTATTTTCGACTAGTTTTGTGGGATTTTACGTCAAAAACCGTTTAAAAAGGATAAAATGGAGTCTGATTAAAAATTGTCTTTTATTTAAAAAAAATCAAGTTTTTACCACTTTGGTGTAGTGGGATAATTCAAGATTTCTTTAACTAGGTCAAGGGTTCGAACCCCATCGGGGGAAAATACTTTTAAATATTTATTTTTTAAAAATTTATTTTATAATTTTCAATTTTTTTAAAGGTTCCTAGTCCCCGTCTCAATGATTATTTGCTGTGATATAATGAGTTATATGTTTGGATTTTTCTTTGGCAAAACTCCATTAATCAAAATTTCACCAAAGAAAACTTGGGAAGGATTTATTGGTGGTGCTTTTAGTACAATACTTTTTGGACTTGTGGTATTTCTTTAAATTATTTTATTTTTTTAATGGTCGAGGGCAGACTTTAGGGTCAGATTTAGAGGGGACGGACTATAGGGGCTGGGTCAGATTTCAGGAAGGTGTGGTGGTGGCCAAGGGTTCAGGAAGCCGAGAGGTAGGGGGTAGCCTAATGTTTAAGTTGCAGGGGGAATGCGGGTAGTCGAGGGAGGAGGCTCTAGGGTCAGATTCCAAGAGGGATGTCCTTAAGATCATATTCCTAGGAAGGGGTAACTCTGGGGCCACATTTCCGGAGGAGAGAGATTGGTATCGAATTTAGGGGACTATATCTGGGCGAAGGATCCATGGGTACTCCGAAGTCATTAATTCAAAATTTTTTCAGCTTTCCCACTTTATGATGGAAAATCCATTGTTTGTCTGCCCAGTAGAGTCTTACTATCAAGACAATTTAAATTGCACAATTCCACTATCATTTCAATACAGGTTTTTTTCCTTTTTTAATTTTTATTTTTCAAATTTTTCTAGAGAATTCGAAGCTCCTCGTCCCTTCTCTTTTCTGTTTCGAATATTTCGTCAACAACCAATTGTTAGATTTAAACCTTTTCTTTTCCATTCGGTGGTAATGGCTCTTTTTGCTTCCTTAATTGGACCATTTGGAGGATTTTTTGCTAGTGGATTTAAAAGGGCTTTTAAAATAAAGGTTGTTTTTTTCTGAAATTTTTTTAAAAAATTTTTCTGAAATTTTTTTTTTAATTTTTTGAAAAAAAAATTTTTTTTAAGGATTTTGGCGACATAATCCCCGGTCATGGCGGTTTAATGGACAGATTTGATTGCCAATTACTTATGGGAACATTTGTGAATGTTTATATATCTTCTTTTATTAGGTTTAATTTTTCTTAATTTTTCTGAAAGTTAAGAAAAAAAATTTCTTTTAGATCCCCAAACCCTCACAAAATTGTCCAACAAATTTTGTGGCTAACAAATGATGAACAATTGGCAGTTTATAATTCCCTACAAGAGCAGCTAATATCAAGTGGACTAATTCCTCCAAGTTAAATAAATTTTTTGTTTAAATAAATTGGGTAGCACCCCGAGCCTTCGGGGGTTTGGGCCGGGGTTTTTGCCAAAAAAATTCGTCTGGGGACGGGTCGGTGTTTTGCCCGCATGGGGCCTTCGCGGATCGGATCAGGGTTTTTGTCAAAAAAATTCGTCGAGGGACAGGGTGCTACCCTATTTATAAAAATATTTAACCAAGTCGCAAATGATCCTCCTCTCTTTGTAAAAAATTTTTTTAAAAGTAATCTAATTAATTTTTGAAGTCCCGTGAATACTAAAAATATTTTTTATAAAAATCTCATCCCCGTTAAAAAAATACAGAAAAAAGGAAATTCTTGTCGATTTTAGATATATACACAAATTTAATCTCTTTAGACAATTTTAGTCTTAAATTTTGTATTTTTTATGTTGTAGATAGAGCCAAGTTTTTTGGGAAAATTTTTTCTCTTGTCTAGGTTTTCTTGGGGGCCCGGTCCGAAAGATCGAGTTGGGAATTGAATTTTGGCCCGAAAAGGACTCGGTCAGGCAGGCCTGATAAAAATAAACCCCGAAAAATGACTCGAACGTCGGCCCGACTTGAAAACCCCCGATTAAAAAAATATTTGTAAAAATTTCCGAAAATTACATGTCAGTTCTATCTACTTTAACATAAAAAATATATTTTTAAATAAATGTATTTTTTATTAATTTTGCCCTTATTTTTAGGGCATTTCTTTTAATTCTAAAATAACAAATTTTTAGTTAAATGTGTCTAGTATTTTTTTATAATTCGAATAAAAAATTTAATTTTTTTTTAATTTTCAAAGCAAAAAAGACCCCAACCGCGCATTCATCCTATCCAACTCTCGAATTAACTCTTCAATAGAACCTTTACGTGGAGTGCGGTCTGTACAAGCACTACAACGTCCATTTGTTAATAATTGAGTAAGGGTCTGGAAAATAATAAAAAAAAATTTTTGAAGTTTTTGTTTTAATTAAAGCACCCCCCCCCCCCCCCCAGCAGTCTTTATTTTTCAATCAAGAAAAAGATTTTCATCATCTATTGCTCCTGACTGAGAAAATTGCTCCTGACTGAGAAAAAATTAGGAAAAAAATAAGGATGGAAGTTGGGAAAAAGTAAGTTGCAAAAAATTGAAGCAAGTAGGGCCTGAGGAGCTTACTTATTTACTTCCGCTAATGAAATAAAAAAATCAAGCAAACTCCAGGGAACCGCTGAAAATCAAGCAAAACTCCAGGGAACCAGCTATCTTTGGGCAGAGAGGCAAGGAAAAATAAAGAGAAAGAAGGAGGCAATCACCCACCAATCCTTCCCTGTGTCCATTACTCCAACCCTCCCTCCTTCCCCTATTCAACAAAAAATAATTAAAAAAACCTGTCTGCATTGTGCATTAACCCTTTTCTGTTCAATCAACTCCCGTCGTTGATCCATTAATAATTTTGAAAGTTCATCACATTTTTGTTGAAGTTGAGTATTTGAAGGAATTTGTTGACGATTTGAACTAGTTGATTGGGTAGATGTTTTGGGTATTGCACACTTTTCCCTCATTTCTTTTATATAATTTGTTAATTTTCTTTTTGGGCCCTTAAAAATTAAATAAAATAAAATAAAAATTTTTTTAAATACCAAAAGACCAATTCCCATATCATCAAGGTCTTTTTCTGTCAATTTAAGTAGAGATTCCATTGTTCTGAAAAATAAAAATGGAGGTGGGCATTTTTGAAAAAATTTATTTTATTTTTGGCATTTTGAATTTTTTCAAAAATTTTTATTTAAAAAATCTTTAAAATTAAAAAATACTTAATTCCGTGTTCCATCAAATTTTTCACATATTTCTGCAAATCCAATTGAAACAATGCCTCTCTCAATGCTGGCTCCATTTCTTGTTTGTAGCGCCTTAGAAGGGCTTGTAATTTCTCGTCAGTAGCTAGAGCATAAGCATCCAATCCTTGTTTATTACGCCGATTTGGATTTCCTTTCTTAAAATATTTTAATGATTTTTTTTTAATATTTTAAAACTAATTTTTCATTTAAATTTGAGATTAATAAATGAAGCAAATTATGCTTCAAGTTTATTTTATGATTGTTTCAAGTTTTATTATTTTCAAGTTTATTTTTTCCAAGTTTATTTTCAGGTTTATTTTTAAGTTTATTTTTCCAAGTTTATTTTAAAGTTTATTTTTTCCAAGTTTATTTTCAATTTTATTTTTTCCAAGTTTATTTTCAAGTTTATTTTTTCCAAGTTTATTTTCAAGTTTATTTTTTCCAAGTTTATTTTCAAGTTTATTTTTTCCAAGTTTATTTTCAAGTTTATTTTTTCCAAGTTTATTTTCAAGTTTATTTTTTTCTAATTTATTTTTTCAAGCTTTATTTTCTCTCACATTCTCTCCCTTTCCCTTATCTCCTTATTTTATCTAAAATCTTTCAAAAACCCTTACATAATCCAACAAATAAGATAATATTTTTTCATCTCCATTTTCACAAGCTGCCAAAACTGGTGTTGATTCATTATAGTCTTTTAAATTTTTTAAAATTAATTTTTAACAAATTCCCTCCAAATCAACCTGCCAAATTAGGGTCTGCCCCACGTTCTAATAATAATTGTACAACAACAGCGTGATAATATTTTCTAAAAAAATTTTTTTTTAATTTATTTTGTGTTTTTAAAGTAAATAAAAACACTGCATAATGCAAACTACTCCTTCCATATTGGTCACGACGGTTCAAATCGGCTGAAAAATCCAACAAAATTCGAACCTAAAAATGTGTGAGTATAATTAATAAAATTTAAGGAGTGTAAATTAATTTAAAAAATTTTTAATTAAAAAATCCCCCAAAAATATTTTTCCTTATTTAGTATTCTATTTTTAAGATAGTTTAACGTTAATGTGTTTCACTAAGTTTGTATTTTATTTGTGTTTATTTTCAAGTGTATTTTTCTCAAGTTTGTATTTCAAGTTTAATTTTACTTGTGTTTTTTGTGTTTTTAATGTGTTTTTCAAGTTTATATTTCTCAACTTGTATTTTCGAGTTTATTTTTAAATTTATTTTCAAGTTTGTATTTTCAATTTAATTTTAGTTGTGTTTTTTAAGGTTTATTTTTTGAGTGCCGGAAAATTGGGCTCTGGAAAATTGGGCTCCAAGATTTTTCGGAAAATTGGGCTCCAACTTTTTGGAAAATTGGGCTCCAGCGGAAATTTGGGCTCTATGAGAAAAAAACGGAAAATTGGGCTCCAATTTTTTAGGCGCGGGGAATTGTGGGCGTCGAAGTTAATTTTTGGATTTTTCCGAAAAATGACACAAAATCTAACAACGTAAACCTATGGGTGTCGGCGAGGCGCTTGTGCAAAATCCCGCGCTTCGCGCGGGATTTTGCGGCACGCGCCTCGCGGGAGTCAACGGTCGCTGGGTCTACAACAATAACATAAACCTATTCCTTTTAATGATTTCCAGCTTTGAAATGCCGACCTACCCACTAAGTATCAGCACAAATAGTTATTTCAGAGAATTTTGCGATATTTTTCGGAGAAATCCAAAAATTCACTTCGACGCCCAAAATTCCCCGCGCCTAAAATTTTAGAGCCCAATTTTCCGTTTTTTTCTCATAGAGCCCAAATTTCCGCTGGAGCCCAATTTTCCGAAAAGTTGGAGCCCAATTTTCCGAAAAATCTTGGAGCCCAATTTTCCAGAGCCCAATTTTCCGGACACCTTATTTTTTCAAGTTTGTTTCCAAGTTGTATTTTTTTCAAGTTTATTTTTAAACTTGTATTTTTAAAAGCGTGTATTTTCAAGTTTGTATTTTTGCGTTTAATTTATAGTTGTATTTTTCAAAATGTATTTTTTCAAGTTTGTTTCCAAACTTGAAAAAAGTTTGTGTTTCAAAATGTTTCAAAAATTTGCTGCAAGTTTTACTTCCCCTATAAACAAAACACCTTACCACATCAACAGCTCCACACGACGCTGCCAGCATCAACTAAAAAATGAAATTAAAAATTTAAAAAAAATTTTCTAACCGCAGTTTGATTTCTTTCATTAGCTTCCTCCACTTTAGCCCCTTTTAAGATTAATAATTGGCAAAGCTCTCTATGTCCCAAATATGCCGCGTACATTAATGGGGTCCACTCTAAAAAATTTTTTTTTAATTTCAAAAATTATTTTCCCAAAAATAACCTGAATTATTTTTCTTGTTCACCTCCTCTTCAAAATTATAATCCTTAAAAGACAAAATTAAAAAAAAATTTTAATATCCCCACATGTATATTTTCACTATTTAAACTTGTAGCAGACCAAAAATCCATTTCAGCATAATCCAATGTTTCATCCACTAGATGTTTTGAGGGTAAGGATAAATAAAGGATTTGTTGGACAGCTTCATGCATTTTTTACTGGTATTAAGTGAGAAAATAATTAATTTATTTTGATCCTAATTTCTGAAAAAAACTCGGAGTCATGATCCTTCGAGATGGCACTCTAGATTTAGAAGAGGAGACTTTCTAATTAAGAGCAGAGGTGAGGATCCGGAGAGGGAAAAGAGAAGCTAACAGAAGTATCGCAGAAATATCGCCATGCTAACACTAAGCATGCCTTAAGGCGCCTTTGTGAATGATTTACCTATGGCGTGCTGATGTCTAAGATCGACTGAGTTAGTCGAGTTTTCTTTTGCTGACTTTGAAAAATCAAGTCTTGTCAAACCCAGAATTCTAATTTTATTAGAGAGTAGGTTTGTTGTTGTTCTTTCAACAATAATTGAGATCCCTAGGCAACTCTGATACCCTTATTTTTCTTAGTAACCCAACCTGCAAGGTGGATAAAAAAGTCACCCAATATGAGCGAGTAATGAAAGGAATAATTGAAAATTATATTAATAATCAATTCATCTTTTCTTTATTTTTTAAAAATAATTTTTTAGAGAGTAGCGGGTAATTGCTATTAATTAATTTAACCCAAAAAAGTAATTCCTTTCTAACGTAAAAAATGATTATTAATTAGACTGCAACTATCTCTATTAACGCTAATTAATCTTTTCTCAAGGTGATCAATAAAAAAATTTTTTTAATAATTTTTTAAACTTAAATTAATAACAATTTTTTGAGCAGGCAAAAAATATGAGAGAGAAAAACAACATTTTAATTAATAAGAAAAAAATTTTTTTTGTTGGATATAATTTTAAAAATAGAGAGAGACCTTTTTGGAGACATTTTAATAATTTTTTTTGGTTGTGGTCTTCCCCCCAGGAATAAAACAATAAAAAATAATAGGCTGACAAGAGATAATTAGCTCTCGAAAGCCCCCAATAAGCAATATCTTTTTTCCAAGTGGATGGATCAGCTCTTGAATTTTTAAATATAACAAAGAAAAGAGGAGTCTCTACAACTTGATTTTTTAAGTTGGAAAACTCAAGATTTTATAAAATTAACCCGAAATAGGATATACGTTTAAATGAGGGATACTCCACAATCTACCACAGAGCTTTTCTCAGCCTACCCAGAGCTTAAAAAAAGTCGCGGATCTAGATCAGGACTGGGGGCGCAATTGCGGATTGCGTGTTTTTTTTGTCTTGCGTGATTGCGTTTGCGATATAAAAATTAAAATTGCGGATTGTGGCTGGGAAATTTTTTTCCAATTGCGCACAGCCCTGATCTAGGCAAAATCTTGGAATGATCCACTATATTTCGTCGAGCTACATCGATTAGTAGAACAAAAAATCGACCTGAAATGAACATTAAGGCCTAGTTATAAGAGTCTGTGGTAGACTGAGGACTATTAATGGCAGCTACAGCTCACGTCAGACCCCCTTAACTATTTTTCAAATTTTTAATTTTTCTCATTTAGCAGCCTCAGTTTTAGCATTTTTAACCATCTCAGCCAATTTTTTATATCTCCTAACACATTGTTTCTTTGTTTTTCCATCTACTGCTGCAGCTATTTTATCCCACCTTTCAGCATCACTTGAAGGTATTTCTTTCAATGCTTTTTCAAATTGCCGTTGTTGTTCAGCATTCCATTCATCTTCAGTATTTTTATTAATGTTGTTTTGTTGCTCATTATTTTGGCTGTTGTTTGTGTTATTAATTGGAATATCTGTTGTTGTTTGTTGTTGCGGTATGTTTTTATTGACAAGAACAGTAGATGAATTATTGCTTGGAGGAAATTGCCCAGACTTGAGTTGTTTAACCTTAAAAATACACAAATGTTTTTGTTGATATGAACATGTTTTTAAGTTTGTGTTTTTCAAGTTTATTTATTTGTACTATATTTCAAGTTTGTATTTTCAAGTTTATTTATTTGTATTTCAAGCTTGTGTTTTTCAAGTTTATTTATTTGTACTATATTTCAAGTTTGTATTTTTCAAGTTTATTTATTTGTACTATATTTCAAGTTTGTGTTTTTAAAGTTTATTTATTTGTATTTCAAGTTTGTGTTTTTCAAGTTTATTTATTTGTTTTAAAGTTTGTGTTTTCAAGTTTATTTATTTGTATTTCAAGTTTGTGTTTTTCAAGTTTATTTATTTGTTTTAAAGTTTGTGTTTTCAAGTTTATTTATTTGTATTTCAAGTTTGTGCTTTTCAAGTTTATTTATTTGTCTTTCAAGTTTGTGTTTTTCAAGTTTACTTATTTGTTTTTATTTAGGTATATTTGTGTTTGTATTTATTGTTTCAGGTTTATTTGTTTTCAAGTTTGTGTTTTAGTTGTATTTATGTTGTTTAAACAAAGTTGTATCTTTATTTCTGTATTTTTATTAATTCAAGTTGTATTTTTAAAGTTTTGTATTTTTCCTATTTCAAGTTTGTATTTTAATTTAATTTTTCTAATGTATTTTCTCTCTTGTTTCAAAACACATGTATTTTCTTTTAATTTAATTAAAAAATACAACTTGCCTGTTTAATTACATCTTTTTCACTACGCTTGTTTCCCTCACCGCTGTGCTCATTAATATAGCCAGAAACTTGCTAAAAAATTAAAAATTTTTTTAATATTTAAAAATGTAATAAACCTTCCAACGTTCTTGAGTCCCAGGAGGGAATAAATTAACAGCTTTTACCAACAATTGTAATTCTGTATGAGTCCAAGCATTTGTTGTAGAAGAATTTGTTTTGGCATCATTTGGCTGGGCTGAATTTTTAGGCATTCCATTATTTGACTGTTTGGAGTTACTAGAACTCTCAGGATTTGACTGGAAAAGAGTAAAAAAAATTATTTTTTAAGCGAAATTTTGACTTAAAGATAGGAAAGGATTTAGGGCCCGTTCTCATCTACAGGTCTATTTTTGGTTGCTTTTTCTTTTGGAGAAGCAGGGAGTCATTTCAGCAACTCCTCAGATGCTGGCGGATATTGGGAGAGAGATCCTTTCTAGTTACGAATAGGGTTGGAGGCCCGGTCCTGTCCAAAAGATAAAGTCGGGCATCGAATTTTGACCCGAAAAAAACTCCGTCGGGTCTGCCCGATAAAAATGAAGCCCGAAAAAAAAATGACTAGAACGTCGGCTCGACTCTAAAATCGCAACCCTAGTTACGAGGGAGATACTTCCAAAGAAACTCTTCAGATGCTGACAGATATTGGGAAAGATCCTTCCTAGTTCCCTCATCCCTTCCCATTTTCCAGTTTACCTCCAGTTACGTTTCCTGTTCCTAGTTTTTCTTCGCAATTTAGATCTACAATTCTAATCCCTCCTCTCCCCCTCACAACTTTGCATTAAAACAGAAAATAAAAAAGTAAACTAACACATTCTCTCAATATCCTCAATGCATCATCATAAACACAAATATCTTTTAATCGTTCACAAAGATTAACCAATTCATCAACTTCTGCAGACAAACATAACCTTTAAAAATAAATTTTAAAAATTATTTTAATTAAAAAAACCTTTCAATCTGTTCAGAAATTGCAAAAACTTGTTCAGGATTTTCTGCAGCAAGTGAATTGTCTAACCAATAATTTTTGTTAGATGACAAATCACGGAGTTGTTTACGCTGATTTGACAACAATTTTTTCTTTTGTTGTTTAGCCTTTAAAAAATAAAAATCTTAATTAAAAAATTAAAATCGAAGCCTTGTCTTTCCCATATAAAGTTTATGTCTCTAGTCCAGTTCATGAGTCCAATGAACCTTTATGAGTCCAATGACCCCGATCTAATCATGCCTCCAAGTTATCTTTTCGAGTTTTTTTTTTTGGAAAAGCTAAAAAAGACGTTTTTCCAATGACCCTCATAAACCAAGAGCTCTTAGCCCCTAATTGAGCTCTTAATTCCTATGCTAGAATTTATTTTTCCCTCAATATCTCACAAAAACCTAATTAAATATTAAAAAATTATTTTTTTTTTTCAAAAATTTAAACCTGTAAAGCCTTCTTTTCCTCTTCATTCTTTTTAATCATTTCCTCTTCCAAATCTTTTTCCTTTTGCCTTTTTTGTTCCAATTCAATTTTTTCTTTCAATTCCTTTTCTTTACGTCTACGCTCTTTCATTTGCAATTTTTTATTTTTATCCTCCTCTTTTATTTTTACAATTCTTGGGTCAACAGAATATGCCATCTCGACCAATGTAGAAATTCGCTTCAAATCTTTTTTTCGTCTTTTTTCTCTTTCAGCCTTTAAAAAAATTTTTTTGAAAAAAATTTTTAAAATTTAAAGAAACCTTATTTTGTTTCTCAATTTCTCTTCTTTCCCATCTATCCTCTCCTCGTTGTTTATCTTCAGCGTCCAAATAAGAAAATTCACGCCAAGATTTCCAATTGTACCAAAAATCGTAAAAATGTTCGACATGTGAGCGGTCACTTAAAAAATTAATTAATGGTTCTGGAATAGTCTAAGAGTCCAATAAAAAATTTAAGAGTCCAAAGGAGGCTTGTGATAGTTAGGAGTATTTTTTAACTTTTGGGATCTACGAGTTAATAGTTTGATGGATTTATAAAGAGTTCAATGGACATATAAACTAGACCAGACTCAATTAAAAGTAGCTTGTATTCATAGACGGACTTCACTATAAGATACACCCAACATTTGTCGGGACTGGCCCGACTTAATGATGTTTCATAATATTATATTTTTAATATTTTTTAACAAAATTCCAATTTCTATTTTTATTATTATTTCATAATCTTTCCGATGATTCTTTTCATGTTTCTTCCCAAATAATTCATATTTTTGATATTCCAACTTAATCATACTTTTAAAACAATTCTTGTTTTCACCCTTCTTTAAAAGCAAATTCTAATGCCCCAAAAATATCTTTTTCCTCTTCACTTTTAATTTTAAGAATAAAAATCTTCCCCCAAAAAAATTATTAAAACTTTTAAACTTTGAGAATAAATATTAAAATTTTACGTCTTTTCGAATTTATTTTAAGTCGAAATTTATTAATTTCGACAATTGGTGCCGCTAAATCGAACCTGCGAATAATTGCGAACCCGAAAGGGTAAAAATAATTCAAACTGCCTAATCGACGAGAGCGTAGCCCGATTAGAAGAAGAAGCCCTTTAAGAAGAAATAGAGAAAATTCTGAAAGATATCGGCCAAATTATCAAAGAAACAGGTCGTTTTATTTACATAGTGGTAGACAAATTAATTTCGATAGATATCCACAGAGTAGAAATTTTTCTAATACGTTTCGTGGGCGTGGTCGTGGTAATTTTAGAAATTTACGACAACAACAGCAGCAACCACAAATTGTGATACAAGTGCCACCGCAGCCACAGCAAATACAACATTTTCAAGAACATTTTCCACAAATTCCGCAACAGCAGAATTATTTACAACAACAACCAGGACCTTCAGCACAATATTATATTCCACCGCGATTAAATTACAACAATGGCAGCAGTTATTCAAGCTTCTATCCGCCCCATCAAGGAACGTTTGCGCCGCTACGTGGGAGAGGTGGAACAAGAGGATTTCAGCCTAGATGGGAATTTGCAAGGCGCTGAACGTCGCAGGCAATGTAATCTTTTAAAAGAAATGATAATTACACATATAGAAAAAATAAGTTGTTCGGTAAATGAGTTAGAGGGCCAAAATAAAATTTGGATGAATTGGTTAGGTGATATGGAAGACGAGCAATATCAAAGAGCAGCTAGAAATTTTACGGAATTTTCGGAAGGTCCAGAAGGCCATATGATTTTAATGGAAAGAGCCCGGGAACGATTAATACATCTAAGGGAAAACTTAAGAATTTTAAATGATTTTTGTCCATCCGAAAATGCGAACATTACTATAAGGAATCAGGGAAATCTAAATCAAACAATGGTTGAGTCAAATTTACCTACTCTCGAATTGCCAAAATTTAATGGGGATATAAGTAACTGGGAGGCATTTTATGAAGATTTCATGAGTATGATAGATGAAAAACAAATTTCGGATAAGATGAAACATTCCTATTTACGAAAAGCACTGAGAGGGGAAGCTGAGGAATTAGTTCAGGGCTACGCGATTACGGCACTCAATTATAGATTAGTTTTAGAGGTTTTAAAGGACCATTACGGTAATAAAAATATAACAAAAAGTGCGTTACACGGGGCATTAATAAAAATCCCGAGAAGCAGCAAATACGTCCCCGAGGTAAAAAATACTTTAAGAAAAATTGAGTGTATCCTTAGGCAACTTAAGCAATTAGGGGAAGATATTGAGCACGAACAAATAAAACAATTAATACAAAGAAAAATGCCTAAATGGATTTTAAAAGAGATAGTAAAAAGAACTAGGGCCGATCCTGAATGGAAAGTTGAGGCTATGTTAAAATTTTTAGATGAAATGATTCAATTAGAACAGCACGTATATTTGGCCCAAAAAGACTTAGATGAGATAGATGAGAATTTAAAAGGGCGTTTTAATGAAAATAGAAAAATAAATTCAGGCCGATTTCAACGTAATGGCAATGCGAATATAAGCCGAAATAATTATAATACAGGGTCAAAACAAATTTCTTCGGTAATGTATGCCCTCCAAGAAAAAGAAACTAAGAAAAAATGTATATTTTGTTCTGAGGCTCATTGGGAATCAAGATGCGAAAAATTTTCAACAAAAGAACAAAGGGCCGAAAAATGTCACGAATTAGGAATTTGTTTTAAATGCTTAGAATCGGGACATCTTTCAAAAAATTGTAGGGCAAAAATAAATTGTTTTTTCTGTAAAAAGCCCGGCCATAACACAGCATTTTGTCAGAAAATAAATAAAAATAATATAGTCAAAAGAAATGTCCCCAATCAATACACACAGAAATACAATTCAGCTAAAACCGAAATAAATAAACAAGTGTGCGTTGGAATAGAAAAAGAGACCAAAGAAGAAGGAATTGAAAATAAACAGTTTAATAGCCTAATAGAGCCAGATTTTGATAAAACACTAGAAATAATGCTTCCAACCACACAAGCAATAATAAGTCACCCCTCGCATCCTGAAAGGTATGAAAACATTCCAATCTTCTTAGATTCTGGGTGTCACATTTCGTTAATAGAAAATGAGATAGCAGAAAATTTAGGACTAATTCCGGTTAAGACACAAATTTTTAGAGGAAATGGTATATTTGGATGTAAAGTAAACAGAACCATGCCTATTTACCCGGTAGACCTACATTGCCTAGATGGAGAAATAATGAGAATTTTTGTAAGAGGGGCAGATAATGTTACCACAAGAATGTGCATTCAAACAAAAAGGGCCATTGAAGAAGCAATAAGTAAAAAATACGTTCCGAAAAACTCTCTTTTTGTTGAAAAACCAGGTATTTTATTAGGCTCTGACTACTTTGGAAAAATCTTTTTGGCTGAAAATACTGAAGCAGGCTTTGGAATATTTAATACAAAATTGGGAAAAATTTTATCCGGACCTGGAAAATTAATTGATGAAAAAATGCAAAAAGTAATTGGAGCGCTTTCTAAAGAAAATGAACAAAAGGAATTCCATAAATACTGGGAACTTGAAGGCATAGGTATCCACGAAAATCCAGTACAGAATGACGACAAAGTAGCCATGGAACACTTTCAAAAAACATGTACACGAGACTCAGATGGCCGATATGTAGTGAGCTGGCCATTAAAGGATGAAAATGTAAAAATAAAAAATAACTTTTGGGGAGCCATTTCAGTACTAAAGTCCGTGCATAAAAAGTTAATGGAAACAAAAAGATTAAATAAATACAATGAAATGATTATGACACAAATTAATGAGGGAATTTTAGAAATTATTGATAATGACGGTAAAGAAAATTCTACATTGTACATTCCTCACCATCCAGTGTATAATAAAGAAAAGGATAAATTAAGAATAGTTTTTAATGCTAGTTTTAAAACAAAAGGAAGCAATTCTTTAAATGATCTACTTTACAGAGGACCCGTGTTATTACCTGAATTAGTCGGATGCCTAATGCGTTTTAGAATGAGTAAAATTGTAGCTATAGCTGATGTTCAAAAGGCGTTCCATCAAATTGCGATTGCGGAAAATCAAAGAGATCTGACCCGGTGTTTTTGGCTAAAAGATATAGAGGGAGAAGTAGTGGAAAGTAATGTGATAAAATTAAGATTTAAAAGAATGGCATTCGGTGTTATAAGTGCACCTTTTCTTATGACGGCCTCTATTAATGATCATTTAGAAAAAACAAATACTAAGCTCTCTTTAGAATTAAAAAATGGGGGAATGTACGCAGATAATATATTTCTTTTTGCCAATTCAACACAAGAATTAAGGGACAAATGCGAACAATCCAAAGAAATATTTGCCCAAATTAAAATGAATTTACATGAATTTTTCTCTAACGATTTAAAAATAAATAAAGCATTTTCCGAACAGCACGAAAAGAAAATAATTAAGGTTTTGGGGATTAATTGGAATTTACAGGAGGATGAGATCTTTTTAGAATTAAGTAAAAATGAAAATTTAATAAATGAAAATATGATTTGGACCAAGAGAAAGGTGTTAAAACAACTAGCAAAGACATTTGACCCATTAGGCTATTTAATACCAGTCTCTCTCCCCAGAAAATTAATAATGCAGGAAATTTGGAAAAATGACATCGATTGGGATGAGAAACTTAGTCCTGAATTAAATAAAAAATGGAATGAATTAATGCAACAAAATAATGAAGAAAATATGAGTTTAAAAATAAAAAGAGAAACATTTTCACCGGAAGAAGAAATCGAAATACATATTTTTGTGGATGCGTCAAAGGATGCTTATTGCGCCGCAGCCTATTTGAAATGTGGAGAAAATATAAAAATAATTTTAGCAAAAAATCGACTTTCACCGTTAAAAAATAATTTGACCATACCTAGACTTGAACTTTTAGCAGCAGTTGCGGGTAAGAGACTAGTGGAATATATAAAGAATCAAATAAAAACTCCTTTCAAAAATGTGTATGTTTGGTCAGATAGTAAATGCATTCTCTATTGGATAATTTCGAGCAAATTAGAAAAATTGCCAAAATTTGTAAGGCGAAGATTGGAAGAAATTAGGGGCCAAAAAGAAATTATATGGAGATATGTTCCAACTCAAAATAACCCGGCCGATTTGGGAACCCGGGGTTGCACCATGGAAGAATTAAAAAATAATAAACTTTGGTGGGAGGGCCCAAGCTTTTTGAAGGATATGAACCAATGGCCTCCTATAGAAATGAAAGCTGAGGAAGAAAGTCAAGATGAAAATGAATTAGATAAATTAATGGCTTGTGTTTTAATGGGAGAAATTAATTTAAAAGTTAGAAACAAATGGGATGAATTAGTAACAATAGCCACATATTTTTTAAAATTTATTACAAAAATTGGAAAGAGAATTGATTTAAAAAGTGAAATTTTATGCGCTTTCAAAAATGCTGAATCAGAAGCGAAAGAAAGAAAAATAGCGCAACTATATTTATTAAGGCAGGCGCAATTGGAATTCCCACCCGATAAAAAGACACAAATTGATTATTTATTAAAGCAAGATAAGTATTCCCTTTGGAAATGTTGGGGGAGACTAGAAAATTCTGCAAGTACCCCACCAATATGGATGCCAAAAGAGTCGAAAATAGCCGAATTAATTTGCATGGAGGCCCACAGAAAATGTTTACATAGTGGATTAAGAGCCTCATTGGCCGAGTTACGTGAAAAATTTTGGATCACCAAAGGAAGAGCTTTTATGAAAAAAGTTATAGAAAAATGTGAATATTGTTCTAGATTAAAATTAAAAGCATTTGAAATTCC